TTATCAAGGGCTGGACTTAACTTCTTTGATACAGCTTCATCCACTGATGTGTGACGATTTGGGCACTTTGTGATAGTAAAGTGCATATGACTTTTAACCTGTCAACTGAGCCACCTCTTAAAGTGAGGTGTGTCATTCAAAAGCATAGGGCTGTGCTGGAAGTAGGAAGACACTGCAGCAGCTCAGGACAGCAAGGGACAGTAAGGCGTGCAATTTTAAAAAGGACAATGAGGTAACTCCTGATCTTATTCACTCCATGGTTGTGTTCATGCTGGTAGCCATAGGCTTTAAACTAGGGTGACCATATTCTGACTTCCCAAAAAGAGGACACGACCACACAGGGGTGGAGTCACGGAGTCGCATGAAGTTAATTTTGAGAGTTTTTTGGGTTGGAATGAGTGTCTTTTATGCGCTTTTTACTCAGTAAGTCCACATGACACAAAATTGAAACTCTTGTACAAAACCGCAGACATTTGAAGCATTTTATAAACTTACCCAGACAAAGCCTGACAAGCCCGGACAGCCCACCAAAAAAGAGGACATGCTTGGGTAAAAGAGGACGTATGTTCACCCTATTTAAACGTGATTGTAAAGAGAGGGGGAAGACATGCAGCAAAGGGCTGAATCACTGACCACTATGATGAGGACTACAGCCAGTTGGCGCAACAGTGACTAATTTTACTCATTAGCCCTGATGTACAGCTCTGACTGTGAAAACAGGCCAAAAACAGAACGAATTCTCCTGTGGCTCAAGTCTGTCCTGCCAATATTTTTCAAAAGAACTGACCTCAAAATAACTCCAGAGGCATGCAGAAAATGGTAGTCTTGTTGCATCATGGGTAATGTAGGATCTATTGTTCTTGGAACTATGTGGCTCCTCTGACTCTCCAACTTTATGGAAGCTCAATACCAGCCAGCTGCCGTTTCTTCTAAATCCAACCTTTTTTTGTCATCAAGTTACCATCCAGCATGGCTACAGTCCATTTGCATACTGCTCTGAGAGCTGTGCACAATGTGGGAAGTGTGAGATAAATATTATGTTGCTGAAAAAGATTAGAAAGTGCTAAAAAAAAAAAAAGAAAGCCAAATTTTCCCTAGCCAGACCTGCAATTTAAAAATGTTGTAGGAGTACGTTTTGCTCTGCCTCATCATTTTTTCGATAGCACCTACATATTAGCATCAAGGACGTTAACACTCAGAAAACTGCTGCATAGATTCTTCTTTATAACATGCTCTTTGCATATGTTTTACATATAACTCATATTTAAAAGGAAACCGTGCCAGTTAAAATCCAAATGTTATATTTATCTGATAATTTGTCCTCTTTAACATCTGCTTTCAGAAAAACTGACAATACAGAGAAAATATTCAGTAAGTCTTTTACTTTTCTTTCAGCGAAAGCAGAACAATTGAGTGTTTCCAGCTTGGATCTACGCCGTATCATTGTGTTGAGCAAAACGCTCAGCCTCTACTTTCACTTCACAGATAATGATATAACCATGGCAACAGAGACACCTTGGAGAAGGGCAGAAAGAAAACTTAGACATTACTGTCAGTCAGAAGCCAGTGTTTTCACAAGAAAGATAAAACTGCTGATTATTTCAGCTGACATGCTGAGTAACACCTTGAAACTTTGATACAGCCGTGAATATGAGACTCATCTGTGAGTCAGTGCACTTACCCTGATGTCAAGGCACCTTCATAATGTAAAAACAGTGTTAATCAGCAAAGTGTTTACATATTTACTGAATAATTTCCACTTCCTCTGATCACTCTTGTGTCAGAAAACATCGTCGTCATTAGGACTAATGTTCTGTGAGGACTGTCTGAGTGACACTTCATGGCCCACAGTGTGAAATCCTTCAAAACACAGAGGAAGTGCCAACCCTGAGACTGGGCCTAACCTTGCCTTGAGCCATGTGTTGATGAGTCTTGAGTGTGACTGAAACTTCAAAGGCATTTCAGCTCATAAGGCAGAGGATGCTGCTTCTCTCTCATCTTCTCTTGGCTGAATCCCTCTGCAGAAGGACATTTTGATGGTTTGAAGGAGGGGAAAAGGAGAAAGTTTGCTCGGTGATTTCTTGGAACGGCTTGACCGGCGTGAAAGGGGGAGGAATTAAAAGCTGGTGACTTTAAGTCATTAGCCATTTAGTTTGATCCTTGGGTGGTGAAAAACAACTTGACAAGCTGCTGAAATTGAATATTTTTCACACATTTCTCCCGTTGATTCTAATTTAAAGCCGAGCAGAGTGCACTAGTTATCATTTTCAAGCAATGATAAAATCATCACATCTTTAATTAAATCAGTGTTTTGCTTAAAATTTGTTCATCTCAGCTCTATCGCACACAAAACTAGTAATTATGAGGTGAATAAAAGGCGACTCTCCGGCTTAGTTTGTCTGGTTTGTTCACACGCAAATGCAGGCAGAGAGATTGTGCTCTTTTCAAAAACCTGATGGATGCACAAATTAACACACAGAGGAAAGAAGTCACAATCCAAAGCCTCCAATGTTATAATTACAGCTCTTTCTTCCTCCTCAACTGACATAAAGGGGGGATTTTATCTCACTCTCTGCTCACATCCTCTTTCTCTCTCTCTCTCTCTCCCTCCCTCTCCTCCACCTCTCACTGCACAGCTCGGGCGAGCGGGCATTAATTGCTGCAGAAAAGCTGTGGAAGCACAACAAGTGCTTCTCATCCTGGTATAATTGTGTCTGCAGGAGTTGGAGGGCTTGAGAAGAAAGAGGGCTTTGCTGCTCTCAGGAGAGGCTTTGTAGTGCATCTTGGGAACAGAGGAAGAGGAGGGGGGGAATGTGATATGATGGCGCTCTCTGGTGGACAAACAGGGGAAGACAAGTTTTATGTTCAAGGTTGAATAAATGTATATTTCCAAGTCGATCTCATCTCATGAAAATGTTGTACTGTCGTGTAAATCATGCTAAATACTTCCTTTAATTTCAATCAAAGAGATGTCTTTGCTTCCATTGCTGCCACAACTTTAAACAGCTGAATGCCCCACATAGTGGAAGGTGTGTCTGAGTTAATCCCACAGATTTAAACGTACGTAATTTATGTGACGTTCTTACGAGCAGCCAGGCGATTAACATCACTTTTACTGGAATGTTTATCAGACTATTTTTAACCATCCTCACACAATTACAGGAGGTGTTTTCCAGGTGAAAGTACAAGTGTATACTCCAACATCAAGGTGTCCCTCCCTTGCAGTTAGCGTTGATCCTGAATTTGTACAAGACACTGTGAGACTACCATCACTTCTGTTGAGTTTGAAGTGACATTAAACCACACCTGTAAGCTTTTGTCTGCAGACAGAGAAGCTACACTGTCTGCAGTGATAGCAGAGGTGCTAAATTACTTATTGCCATTGCTTAAAGCTCCTGTAAGGGGTTTTTAGCTGATTGTGAAACAGCCTGAAATTGATATTGATATCTCCTTGTGACCTCCAAAACAGACAAGACCATTAATAAGAAGAATAAGAATGACTATCTTTTTGATAGTTATTTTTAATGCCTGTTACCACTGGGGTAGTTGTCAGGTGAAGTGATTTATCACACTCTGCTGATAGTCTTTTTCACATATTCAATGGCAAAGACTTTCAGTGACTGATATATTTGACTCTTTAGCTAATGCAGTGTGAGAGGTGTTTTTTTTTTTAAATCAGGAAACACTGATTACACAGATATAGGAATAAAATCAGCAAAGACTGTTACGTTCACAGTGGATGACAAAATCAAAACCGATTTAAAAGTTCTTCAAACTAAGTCCTGCATCCATGCTTAGAATTAACAAAAACTTTAAGTCTCAAAAGTAAATGTACTAAAAAGATATCCAATATTTTACATTAAAGCTCCTTTGAGGAATTTTCTGTTCGTGTTAGAAAGTTTCTCACAGGACCTAGAGTTATCTACCCTCTCACACCAGTTTCATGCATGAAATATTACAATATCAAAATCTTCACTTACGTTACTGATGGTCTTTTTTGCAATTGGGTATCATAGAAAGGAATCATGTAACTTCAGTGTGTTTCATAAAAGGAATCAATGTAACTTCAGTCTGTTTCATAACTGCAAAAAAAAAAAAAAACTCCTCATAGGAGCTTTAATGTGGCCCTAATACGCAGTAATATAAAAGCTTATCACAGGATCTTGGATAAATGAATATATAACCTCAAATCTGTGCCATGGGAGTATGAAAGGGGTTAGCTAGTAGTAACAGGCGCTTTACACTGCAGCCTCTGCCCTCAGTGTGTGAATGTGGTGTTTGAGTGCTGGTCGAAAGATTAGAGAAAATACTGCACAAACACCGTTTTATCAGACACATTCCTCTTCAAATCATGTCTTTCACATGAGAGGGAAATTCAGTAGCGCAATGTGTTTTTTTATGATGCCACAGGCCAGAAAAACTGGTGAAAATCTAAAACAATTAGTTCATTTATAAATCCAGTACATGGAAAAAACTATTAATGTCAAATGTGCCTGAGGAGAAAGGCTGATAGTTACCTCTAAAATCTGGAGCAGGGGTCAGTAAGTGGTGTGTTAAGTCCCTCAAAATGTTGCACAAGCACAACACTTGAGTAAAAGCACCACTGCTTACCTCTGGTGGTTTTATTTTACAACCTACAAGAGCAGGAACGGTGTGCAGTCTGATACCAGCTGTTCTCCCTGCATTTGTTCTGTGATGATAACTAACCTGCTTCAGGCTGGCAGCGCTGCCTCCCACATAGTAAACATGTTGATGCTGGTGTCATCTCCAAGTCTATCTATTGTACACCTTTGATATTTTAAGTATATCGTCAACCTCCGCACACTGACACACTTTACACACATTGTCAGTTTCCAACAGAAATCCAAAGTAGATGTGGAAATGTTGCTACCGGAGGATCTGCTTGTGCTGCAGGAGGAGAGTTCATGTTGAAATGTGTGTTGATATATGAAGCATGAAATAGATCCAGTTTTGAAATGAATAACAACACGAAAACAAGGTTTGCGCTAAACATGGGTAATTTTATTTAGCTAGTGAGTCACCTAGAGGAGAAAACTGTCACGTCCTTGCAGTTGATGTCTTGCTGTTTTGGGGGGAATCCCAGTTAAGCCAAGCAGAAAGAAGAAGGTGATGTGTGTGTGGGGGGGGTTCTCCCAAAAGTGCTAATAGCTGTTAAGGACAGTCAGTCAGATTGAGCCTGAGATACAGCAGAGTACATCAACACCGGAGCAGCAGGTTTCTCCTCAGACAAATGCACTTCAGAATGACAGAATCACGAGAGAAACAAAAAAAAGTTTGTGCACTGGCCGGTGATTGCCAGCCTGCTGCATAATTGTAATCTTTTGGTACACAGAAACAGATGCAGAAAGAAGGGAACAGGTAGAGGGAAGGATTCATCCTATGATTGGCATGATTGTGGCTGTTTCCCAATTATTTCGTCCCACCTGTCAATCATCCAAACCTCTGTCTGAGGATGATTAGACAGCTGAATACAGATTCAAGTAGAAGATTAATTTATCTATATATCATCTTTAATTCTCTTCATGAAGCTCGCCTATATCCCAAACATTTGAGGCATTTAAAAAAATTACAAATAAGCCTTGTGAAATCTCCTGACTACTCGGGTTAGTCAGTTAGTTGTTCACAAACAAAATCATAGAAGAAGAAGAAGAAGAACACAGAGTTAAGGGTAATGGTAGAGGCTGTTCAGGAGGACTGAAAGTGCTTTAGTTTCAAAGTGGGTTACGTTCTTTTTCTCGTGAGACGGGAACACAGATTTGATTCACCAGTCAACGGATACAGATGAGTCCATCTATTGTCATGTTCAAGTGTTCAGATACATTGTCGTCTTCAGCGGAAAGATTGAGAGAGCCTTTCCTCCTTCTGGTTAGGCAATCATTTTGTATTAAGGTCCTACGTCATTAGTGTTGCAGTTCTAGCAGAGAGCTTGCTTGAAGGTTACTGTTTATTTCTATTGCGCTCCTGGCAAGAGACAAAAAAACAGAGAGATCATCAGTCGTTGGCATCAGAACCAGAGGAACAGACACAAAAAAAGCATCAACAGCAGCTCAAAGTGACACAGCTTGAGAAGTCCTTAAAAATGCAGGAAAATATACATGTTTGCTTGTAGTTTAGCGCACAGTGTAGGTAAGGATGAGTTCAATGTCTGCAGGAAAGTTAGGAGTAGTTAAGGGACACTTAAGCTGTAAGGTATCAACAAACAAGACAGTGAACCATTTTTAAGAAGTGATTTATCCTTTTGTTTTACTCAAGGAAGAGATGAATCCAATGAATACTTAAAATTAGTCTAACCACTCTGAAGAACATGACTGAATGTCTCTTTTTCAGTACATACATGTGTTCTGAGAAATATGCAGAGTAAACAGTCTGAGAGGACTGTTTTTAAGTCAATTATAACTCAAAGACCAGTGATGAGCTCGCAGCATCAGTCAGTTTGGGATAAATGTTTCAATTAAAGCCCATTTAAAGGAGTTTCCATACAACGTCTTGACTCGAGAGACGTGATTACGTTTTGAGAATTTTATTCAAGAAACCGAGAAAGAGTTTAAAAAAGGGGCCAAAGAGCGAAGAATAAAAGCAACAGATTTGAAGGACACTTTTCAAGGAACTCTGCCTATTTAAATACTTAAATACTCTTTCTCTTTGATGTCATCTTTTGATCCATTTTGTAATTTTATTATCTTACGACACAGTTTGACTTTCTGTTCTCCATAGAAACAGCTGGTTTCCAAACCTGCTTTCAGTGACAAACATATTTAGCTTAATTCTCAGAAAAACACAAAATAACTCGTAACTCTTCTTGAAAACTAATCCAATATTTTTATCAGAAAACAGCACAAGAAATGTAATTATGATGGGACTGAAAGAGAAAAAGACACCAACTAGAAAGTTCTCTGAGAAATAAATGATATAATGTGTGTACACTTGCGTTTGCAGGTACTTGTAATATTCATGATATGTCTGTGAGAACATCTTTCATGAGACTTTAATTTTGTCTGAATTTTTTTATATTATGTTTAGTTCAGAATTTTACTTGTAAGTGTAAATACTGACAAAAATTAGATTGTGAAAACCTTACAGTGGACTGAAACATCATTCAAGTTCAGGTTGATAGAGCTTTCACTGTTTTCTAAAGTAGGATGCATAGCATAGAGAAATAGATCCTCCAGCTGGCCTCAAGTGCTGTTAACCGCAAAGTTCAGTAATGTTTACACAGACTCCACTACACTAAGCTTGCTATAATGTCGTCTCAGAGATAAACGCCACTATGCACACACTTGACAAAGCATAAGCAATCGGAATGCACTTTAAATATGAAATATTCCAGGGTGTGTTATGTACTTAAAAACAGGAAATGCTGTGACACTATTAGAGAGATTATCAAAGTTAGGGGCTCGGACTGACAGCTGGATTGTATCACCTTTACATGTGACAGGAAGTGTTCTTTGTGGGAGTGATCCTGTCAGTGTTCAGGGGGAAAGGTCTGTAAGATCCAGAAGCCTCATTATTTCCAGAGTGGCCATTTGAACGAGGCTGGGCCGCAGGAAAGGCAGCAATCCAACCTCGTAATGCAATTTGATTGTGACATCATGTTGTAACTGAATACCTCATAAAACTCAAATGACCCAAATGTACAGATTACGTTTCCTCAAGTAATACTCTCTACTACAGTTTATTAACGGTCTCACTGTCAGATGATTTAACCCTTTTTGGTACACACATGTCAAGCAAATTAATTACATCTGTATTGCTGTGATACAACTGTCACTAACACAGCTATTCAAGTAAACACGGTGTCAGCTCTTTTATTCATGTACAGGCAGAGGAGGCAAAGAGCTAACCGCTAACCCACTGCTATTAATTGCCAAATTAGAACTCTATTAAAATCCTGCAACAACTTTTAAATCAGGAGTAGGCGATGAAATAATAAATTCATATTTTGGCAGAATCACAATCTTGATTTAAAACTATTTATTTTGAAAGTTACTGGCCTGTAAATCCAGACTAAATTTCCCTTTAAAAATGAAGTCTACAAAGATAAACAATAATAGATCATTTACGCCAAAGAACCTTTTTGAACAGATTTCAACCTGTTTGATATTTGACAATTTGTGCAAATGAACATCAAACAAGAACGATGACTTTAAAAAGACCTCCAGTCCACCAGTCTGTGCTTGATGCAAAAAATTAACAATGGCTTGAAAAGGCTCAGGATTAAAAAGGAAACTTTTAAAATGGAAAACTTTGATTCTTTTTCAATGTGGCAGATACATGGTTTGTTTGGCGCCTGGTCACCATTGGAGCTCTACACATGTGACTATCCACAGAACTGCAACAGGTAGAATGAGTCGACACCACCATCTCTCTTGAATGGTGGACATGTTCTACATCTCCATGTTCTAATATTGCCTTATTGCCCAGCCCTAATTTAGACCCCCAGCTATATTTAAAAAAGCACTCTGGAAAGGTGCTGTGGTGCAAGTAGCTACGCTGGTTTGACACCTCTCAAAGTTGGGGAAGGACAGGCCAAACAACAGAGAACAATTAACCTTGTCAGGCGGAGGAGGGCGAGGCCTCAGCCCGGCCGATCCTGTCATGTAGGAGGTCGGGGCTACAAAAGCAGCACAGCGCAACGCCTGCACAACGCAGGATGAAACAGGCTTTCTACTGACAGGTTGTTTTCAGAAGCCTGAAAACATTGACTTGAAATATTTATGAGAAAGTAACCCAGCGCATATTAACAAGGTCAGCAGCAAGCGGAGTCAATACAGCATCAATGGAGCAAGCAGCAGTAGGGGAGTGGGAGAAAAGAAGGGATTGGGTCACGGGGGGGTTTCTGAATGCTAATATATTAGCATACTGATAAATCTGAGAATGAATGCAGCAGGATGCGTACAATAATAACATGTTATTCACTCCTATGCTGCCGTTTTTTTATCACAGGTGGAAACCAAAAGAGTTTTCACAACCTAAACAGCACATACAGAGGAGCATATCCATGCATTTTATCACGTTTCTACCGGGAAACCTTCTTGTGCAAGAACATCTGAGGCAAACTGCTAACTCTGAGGCACACTGCAGCCAGTTTGCAGGCCGAGGGCTTATGTTGTTAAAGACTAATAAAGCATGAGGAGCCTGTGGAGAGCCGAGAGGCTCTGCGTTCAAAGGGAGATCAGAGCCTACATCTGCCTTTGTCTGAAGGAGAGGAATGCCAGGAATGCAGGCTATTTCAGGAAACCTCCATGCATCTAACTCCACTTGGGCAGATCAGCATCGCAATCTCAGCAGCACAAGATGGCTGATGAGGAATCACAGCTTCCTGAACCTGCTTATGAGTAATACAGTAGCATGTCAGTCTGCTGACAGGCCTCTGGGAACTTCCATTTACGCCAGAGTGTTCATTCAGCCAAAGGAAGTTACAACCTCTGAGCGAGAGCAGGTGGAACCAGATCAGCTGATTATAGTCTGGCAACAGGCTGTAGCGGTGACTCAGTGAAAGTTAGCCTCCCTTTGGATTAAAAGGTAACTATAGTGAACTCTCTGGCAAACAAACAAGCTGTTTACACAGAAAAAAGGGTTCTGTGTACGTGTGTTTATCTCACCTTCCTCAGAGCCTCCTCCTCTTCCTGACGTTTCTCATAATGTGCAAAGTCATCAAAGATTGAGGTGGTATGCTTGTAAGTGGCGATTATTTTAAGCACTTGTTTGGCCTTCTCCAGAGGCACTTCCTGAGTGTCCCTGGAGTTGGTCACTGGCTTGTTGTCATTGTTTTCCAGCCGAATGTGTCGCAGCTGGTTGTTGGGCACGTCTTTGATGAAGACCCACTTCACCTCAAACTTGCCCTTCCACTTGTCCTGAGACCAGACGCCTGCATAGGCATTGTAGTCCACCGGTGAGCGCATCTCGGCCACGCCACAGAAGTGCCCACTGCCGTTGACACTGAACAACAAGTACAGGGGCCCCTTGTTGCCCAGTGAGCGGTAGGCGCCATCCAGACGCTTGTTGCCGTGTTCTGTGCTGCACCAGATAGAGTACTTGATGGAGCGGTGGATGTCGTCTTCTGAGTAGCTCTTGATAATGAAAACACGTCCATTTTTCAAGTTCCAGTCAAAGTCTTTGGGGTTATAATTATTTAGGGCGCGGAGTTTCTCCAGAACGGGATGTACTTCTCCAGAGCATGGAGAGGCACTCAATGGGATCCCACCGCCCAGACCAAAGCCCTCACCACGGTTTCTGGGTGCCACCCAGCGGTTAGGGGGTGGACCAGGCTGCTGGGGTTGTTGCTGATGAAGGGGCTGTGGGGGACCAGGCTGAGAGGTGAGGTGCAGGTGTGGGGGGCCAGGGGGCAGAGAATGGGGGTGTTGGGGGGACTGAAGGGACTGGAGCTGGAAGGGCTGGTGTTGGTGTTGATGTTGGTGTTGGTGTTGGGGCTGGTGTTGAGGCTGAGGGGGCAGAGGGTTCTGCAATAAGGGTTGGTGCTGAGCCAAGAGAGGCTGCTGCACAAGAGGCTGCGGGGGCATCATAGTCTGAGCTAGTGGGGGCTTGTTAAGAGAGCCCTTATCGTCCCAAGTACCAATGTTCATATTGTGCTTTATGGGGGGTGGAGGAATAGCAGCACCTCCCCCCATCCCCATGTTGGCTTTGGGTTTAACCTTGGGCTGCGGCTTGGCCGGTTTCTTGGCGATGGCTGCCCAGGAGGCGGGTTTAGGTGCAGACGAGCTGACAGACGGGGGGAGGCTATTGGCCGCCATGCTGCTCATACCTGCTGTGACACTTAGAGGTGAACCCACAGTTTTGGTGACAGCTGCCACCATGTCCGTACCCAGTTTTAACCCTGTCATACCCTGTTCAATGCTGTTAAGCACTGGAACTTTACTCAGTTGAGTGTCGCTTCCAAACCCTGCCTGTCCGTCCGTGATGGCCCTTCCCAGTGAGCTGGGGGCATACCCATAGCTGTTACTGTAGACAGAGGTCTGCGTGGACTGACCCTGAGAGACGCTGGTACCCCAGGTGGAAAAGTCTGCATTGCCAGGGAAAAAGTTGAACCCATGCTGCCCCAGGAAGGGAGGGGTGTTCCCCAGGGCACCTGGCTGGCTGAACACACCATCAGGGATGAAGTGTGGCTCACCATTGCTCATCTGTCCATAGGTAGTTAGGTAGGGCATTGGGGGGTCTCCTGCTGTAGACCAAGCAGCTTCTCCCAGAGAATAAGGGAAACCAATGGATGGAGCATAGTAGCTTGGCATGTAGGGGTCTGACATTGGTGGATAGCTGTTACTCTGTGTGATAAAGGGAGACAGCTGGTTAATGTTCTGCACAAAAAACTGTGGGTTTTTTTCACAAAATAAATAAACATTTGATGTAACTTCAACTTTTTATAAAGAGTAAGGAGTGATGTTTATTCATTACCAGCTCCACTCAGTTTACATGGCATCTTTTATAGGAACAGTCAGCATAGTGTGACATCAAGTCAATTACAAGATCAAATATCTTTCCAACACGCAAGAAAATTTAAAATAAGGAAGTCGTGATCCTGAGCTCAACTATTAGATCAGAGCTGATCTGGACTTTTATTCATCATTATTATTAGGGATCGAGAATTTGAGCCAAACAATTACATCAGCTGTTGCTATGCACAGCTTGCAGCAGAACACAAGAGACTTAATGTAACTGAGCATTCTGGGATTGCCAACTGTATACTTGATATGAAAATGTTATGACATTAAACTTCATAGCATCAATCAACAACCACTACTTTACAGCAGGCTTTACTAACTCTCCACGGACACTGGTCTCAAAAAGGCCGAAGCACCAAACACAGGACAGTCTGTTACACCAGCTAAGATGTCAGTGCTGAGAAAACATTTTTAACTAGAATGCTCAACAGCCACTTGCAACATACCGTATGCAGCATAATCATTTTTGCGAAGTGGTATTATAACATCAGAAAATTAAAAAGGCTATTTCACCAAAGCATCAAACTCTGTTTTTTGACGAGGAGGATAAATGTCTTCAAGAAAGCAAAAATGCTAAAAATAAATAAATAACGAAGGAGGTTGTTTAAATGCATTGCTTTGTACAACCAGCCTGTCTCTCTTGTAGAGAATATGCCATCTTTTGGGTCTGCAGGATGTCACCCTGACTTAGTGCTAGATGTCAAGACATCACCAAAGCAGAGCTGGACAACAAAGTTTTTACATATAAGGTGATGTAAAACATGATGCGACTGTTTTTTTGGTTGTTTTTTTACAAAAGACATCTGGAGCTCTGATGATTGTCTTGTGTTAACGCTAAGCCAAACTGGACTCTAGGTTGATGCCTCCACCTCCAAGTTTAAAAAAATTCTAGTCAGTTGATATTGTGATCTGCTTTGTGAAAAAAATAGGAGTGAAAACGGCAAGATATAATGTGAGAAAGCTGAATTAATGTCCAATAGTTATGTTCTATGACTAGCAGCCTTGTGCCACCGTTGTGAAAGAGAAGTATCACCTTCAGTTTAAGTGTTCATGCATACCAGGTTTGTAGGTTTCAAACAGCAGAACGTGTAGAACTAATCAGATGTGACTGTGCAACAATTATTGCAGGACTATATTCAATTGAATAACCCAAAGAAATGTTTTAGTTATTTTAATTATTTCAAGTTATTTTTGTACACAAAAATGTGTGAAGCTCTAATATCTAAACACTTGCAGAGGCACAATATTAAAAAAATCAGATCAAAATCAGCTGCCAAAACAGCTGATTGGGACATTCCTAAAAACAATCACACTGTGGTGACTGTATTCAATTGTTTCATGGCTGACACCAATGTGTGCAACTGATCTGTCCACAACGTGAGCCTACAAGCTTTCACACACACACACACACACACACACACACACACACACACACACACACACACACACACACACACACACACACACACACAGAGGCCATATTGTGGTTTGCTGTGGGTCATTACCTGATTTGTCTGGCTGCTTAAGTAAGGCTCAAAGTCATCATCATTCACTCCATCTTTTTGATGCATTGATCCGTTTTGCACTGAGGATGGAAAGAGAGGACATATCATCATGTGTTCAGCAATGGAGCTGTGTGATGCATCAATTCACCCTATTTGGTATGAAGAGGTGAACTCTTAAATAGTTGTGCAACACACACACCACCAGTCGGGGCAAATAAAATCTGCATTTCTAGCTACAGCTTCAAACCTTAACCTCTACAGTGCCATGACAGCATTTATAAGGAAGCCCATGGAGGACATGTGTCTGTACATATTATTTATTTGGTTTTTCTGTGATAAGTTCATTCCAGTTGTTTTTGTGAAATCTCAATTTGGTGCCAAAGGATCATAAGTCACAACTCCATCATTGCAAATCATTACACAAACACACAAAAAAGGCTTCACTTACCTTCTCAGTTTGGGCAGTGGTTGCATGCCATGTAAAGGTTTGGGCTATCACAGTCACCAGCCTGTTGTTTTGCTTTTTAAATCACTGGAAAATTATAATGCCATCACCAGAACACCAGGCTTGCTGCCACAAGATAATATCATAAATCAATCTGTTAAAATAGGAAAACCAGCTTTGTTTTCACATAATAAGACGATAAAAATAAGCTGGGATCTCAAAAACAAAACCGAGATTTATTCCTTATCACAGGACACCCAAGTAAATAAATAAAATTGATCCATGTCCGCTCAGGGCTTCCATACATTGAAGCTAATTTGAAACCAAAACAGCTGGCTGTAACACATTCATGAGCCATCTCCTGGTTAAACGCCACTTACCTTTATTTCCTTGTCCTTTGGGTCTCTGAAATAATGGGCAGCACAGAGAAAAAAAGATGACACCGTTGTCAAATCACGACAGGAAACAAGACACACGGACACACATACACTCATAAGGAGCAGACTGTACCCTCCACAGATAAACATAGCAGTCGATGATGGTGGTAACCTCGAGCTAAACCTCGGTCCTGATGGCCACATTTACAGGTTGTCAAAGGCTCTGACATCCAGCAATAAACGCTGCCGCATTGACAAGCGGCTACGGCTACAGTCGGCCTACATTACAGCTAATAGCTATCATATATCAGAGACTTTTTAGCCTGTTTGATCCGGCATGACAAACCAGATCCAACTGTTGTCCGCAAAGTTTCATATCGTCGCAAATGCCTCGAAGAGCTGTCAGTACACGAACCTGATCGACTGTGGTCGCAGACATCCTCCAGGAACCGAAACTGATCGCTGTTAGAGAAGACTGTCCACGGCTTCCCCCTCTCTCTCTCTCTCTCTCTCTCTCTCTCTCTCTCTCTCTCTATTTCTCTCTCTCTCTCTCTCTCTGCTCTCCGGTGCTTTCCTGGCTCCTCTCTCGGGTTGTCCAATCACTCTGTAGCGGGTACAAGGCAGCGTTTTCCTCCCGTGCTCAGACCTGACGACGATCCGTTTGTTCTCCTTCTGGCTCTTACAAACGGCGTCTCGGTGTCTGCGGTGAAAGCGTCTGCTAATGTGTTGGTTAAAGCCGCCGGCTAGGTGTTAAATAGCCAACCTGAAAGTGACTAGTGTCTTAGTGAAATATCCCTCACCATATTCCACAATGGCGGACAGGCTTTTTACTCCCGCTTCAGTTCCGTTCTGCTGCTCCGTGACCTTCCGCCTGTGACGCTATGAGTCATGTTACAAACTGACACTTCACATGACAGTCACCAACACACGAGTTACCAGATACTTTTCAGGAGATTCTCAATCAAGGTTATATGTTTTACTGACATACTAACAGTCTGCCCAATCTGAATAAAAAAATAAAAAACAAAAAAACTGACACCACTGCACGAGACTGCATTTTAGATGTTGATGGGTGAATGTATTTAAATGTGATTAAAAAGTATTTAAGAAAGTAAAAAAAATGTACCATCTACATAAATTTAATCTCATTTTGTCAGTTTAATTTTTCTTCTGTTTGGGTTATAATTATTTGCTAATTTATTAAACAAGAAAGTACAGTGCTTACTTTCTTTACTGAAACGTGTAATGGCAAACAAATATTGATAAATAATGTCACATATAATTGACAGTTACATTCTGCAAAACAACTAGCCCAGAGACAGCCCTAGCCTTTTTGGTGCCCTAGGCATGCATGATGCTGGCAGCACAATGATCATATACTGCGTAGCTATCCTTTTCATGATGAAAAAATTATAAATAAAATCACCCATCCTGTTCTGACTCCTCGCTCGCTCGCTCGCTGACTTGAGATGCACCCCAGCATCATGTGCAGGACTTGCCAAGTGACAAACATAGTTACTTTATCTTGTAATTTTATTTGTTATTTTCAAGACAGAAAATTAAAGGGTGCGCCAGTGGGCGTCATAAATTATTTTATAATTTTATCTTAATTTTTTTCCTGAGGCGGAAGGTGCTAGCAGTGCGCCCCTCCGGCAGATGGCGCCCTGGGCAACCACCTATGTCGCCTATGCCAAGGGCCAGCCCTGAACTAGCCCACTGATTTTCTGCGGTTGTATAATCTCACTCCCCGGTGCTAGTGATTGCTTCTCTGTAGAGCAATTTTGCTTTAACTGAATTTAAAAAATGAATTTCTTTCCTTGGCAGAAACTACAGTGGCCGAGACCTGCCACTGCTGCAAATAAAAAAGAATGTAAAAAAAGGAAGTCACAACGGAAGTTACTGATGCAAAAAAAAGGAACTAAAGCCTGCTGCAAATCAGAAAAGAAACGTTGCAGATAAAAAAAGCCGCAACAGAAGTTAACAATGCATTAAAAAAGTGGCAATGGAAAAAAAAAGTTACTCACTGCGAAAATTAAAGGATGCAAACAAAAAAATCCACAATGGAAGTGAGCTACCAGGGACCAATAATGATGATGCACACAGTGCTTTTCAATGTGTCATTTGGTCAGGCCATGTTGTGCCTGAGTCCATACGAAGATGAACTGAATCTAACACTACATGGGAAAAGTTTACCAAGCAACATAAAAATAACCTTTCCACTTACTTCTTTGCTTGTCTTTTCGCTGTCGTCTTATGTGCCTAGATTGCAAAACACTGGTGCATCATCATTATTGGTCCCTGGCAGCTCAATTCCGTTGTGGCTTTTTTTATTTGCATCCTTTTATTTTCGCAGTCAGTAACTTTTTTGTGTTTGTTTGGCAACACCACTTTTTTTTGCGTCATCAACTTCTGTTGTGTCTTTTTTTTTATCTGCACCACTTGTTTTTTAATTTGCAGCGGGCTTTGGTTTCTTTTTTCTTTTTGCATTCTTTTTTTATTTGCAGCAGTGGCGGTTCTCGGCCACCATAGAAAACTTCCTCCACTGAGCTGTGCTGTAGTTGTATGATGGACTCATAAACTGTATATAGAATGGACGCCGTCTGCCTCTTCGTTGGGTGAAACCACCCCGAGAACAGCACCCTCTGATGACGGGCTGCAGTGTAGGTCATAAATCCAGCCTCCTCCAGCATTCCCTGTGGAGCTGTGGACAAACTTTAAAAATTTATCACACAGAATATATAAAAAAATTTGTTTGTGGATTAACCAGCATGTGTCTTTATTTCTGAGACAAACATCACACAGTTTTCAAGATATGCACAGACATACAAATTGAGGATATTCACATGTGTGGAGAACACTGCCTCTCCCATCCACTGGGCGGCAGTGTTGCTCGCTCTGGTGAGAGCATAGACTGTGAGGAAGATGATTGACAGCTATATCCACCTTAAAAGTGGGGAGAACAGTTTATGCCCTTAACAGAGAGACAGAGAGCTCTTTACACAAATGTGGTCAAGTTTAACCCAAAATACACTTGAATTCTGATGATTTATGTGTTGTATTATATGGTACAGGTGATTGAAAGACGAGAGGGATCATTAAACAGAGCAGCAGATACTCTCAGGTGATGTTATCATCTGTGTTTTTTAAGTTAATCAGTGTTTTAATTACTGGAATATTAATTATTGTGTTGCACATGAGACACGACTTAAAGAAAGCATAGAGGTTGAAACATCAGGGTTACGATTTAATGGATTTTATTCACCAAAAATCACAAATCAGCTGACATTAATGTGTTTTTTTGTTTGTTTGTTTTATTTAATTCGCTGCATGAAATGATAAGACAGGAAGTCAGAGGTGGCTGGAATTTTGAAGAAACCAAGTCATCATGACAAGATGACAGAGATGATATTTTATCAAATGTATCACACAACTCTGTATTTTTCTATTTCATTTATCATTTGATATACATGTAAAGAAGTCACTGGATCATATAAACATAAATATAAGACCAGTGTTAATGAATTTAGACGGAACTTTGATTTTTTTTTTTCTTTTTTTTTTCTGATTCAATCACCCACTCTTTTTTTATTATTATTTTGTTTTAATTGATTAGAAAAACCCCAGAAGTTTCTTGTCATAATATTTTACTGTACCAAAGTTAGTCTGCTCTGTATTATTTAAATAAAGTTTATTTAAGTTTAGCAATTTTGTTTCTGATATTTTTGTTTGTATTACTTAATAAAATGCAAAACAATAACATTAAAAATGATAGATCTGCCATTTGAGACCTGCTTTCTAGTTTTCAACTTCTCTCCACTTTAATTCTACTGTGTTGAAATACAGAGTACCATCACTTTGATGTCTGTTAATCTGTGCAAAGGACATCTTTAATAAAATCAAACAGCCTTCTTTCAGCCTGGTGGAGCTAAAGAGAATTTATTTTACATTGATAAACATAAGCACGGAGTCTTGGCTCTTTTAGATCATGATGAAACCTTCATTGTGATACTATTGAGGCTGTAGAGAGGTTTCTATGAGTAACAGTGTCAGACAATATTCTCCACTGTTAAACTGTAACCAAAGGATCCTAAAAAGCAGCTAAACTCTCAGTTGTTTAATCTCAGTGCTGAAACATCAAACTACAGCTGTGATACAAAGAAAATCCTGTTCAGCTCAGGGGTTATGTCCGCTCATTCACTGTGGCTGGATTACAGCACCAAAATCTTAGCAGAGATTCGTACAAAATGAGAGATGAGAGAGATTGTTTGTCTCATCATGTTTGTATGTGAACAGGTGCAGTAATTGGCTAATAGAGGTAGTGACGTGTATTTCGCGCATGCGCAGTACAAATCAGGTTTCCGGGATGGATTGGGTAGCGACAGGCGGAACTGTAGACATTGTATACGTATGTTATTCATGCTCAATCTAAGGCTTATTTATTTATCAATCAATGGCTTATTTATTATAAACGTTCTTTTATGATAAATAAGTGCCTTGTTTGTTTGTTTATAATTCAATCAAATAATAATGTAATAAAAAAATACTGGAGCGTAATCCAGTGTCGCCGCCATATTGGATGGGTCTCCCACGCCAGGTTCGCTCAAGAGTCAAACGGGGTCAATGGAGAACGAGCAACTATGCCCTTTTTTGCGCTCTATGGTTTAAAAACCCGACGCAGTTTTGAAACTAGATCACGTAGGATTGGATTTCACAAATACGATTGAAAAAAATATATTTTTATTTTTAATGTGTGACGCTGTCCTATATTATTGCTACAATCCCTTCCGTTTGTAACAAACCAAACAGTGAAAACCAGGCAGAGGTTCAGAGAGTTATTGTTAATATGGTTGGGCATTCCTACTTTCTTTAATGCACTGGAGGGGCATGAGGGACCTATCCAAGATGGCAGACGCGCTGATACGAGAGCTCTAATAGGCGGCGTCAGTCTATAAGGCGTCTACGTACATTATGTCTATGGGTGGAAACAGTTGTCCATACATTTTTTTTAAACGATTGAAAACAAAAGCCATACAATTACAACAAAATAATTAAAACAAATTTTGTGAAAGAACAGAAGGCCAGGGTATATACATATGAAAATTAAAATTAAAACAAGGAGAACGAAAGAAGAAAAGAGGAAAATAATAAATAGGTAAATAACAGAAAAAAGACAACGAAATGACACCTGATTACTCACCAATATCAGGTTTTTCACATATAATCTTTTTTCATCGCTTTCTTGTTTTCTAGCGGGGACTGTATCATTCGAAGCACTTACAGAAAACAGAAAAAAAGTCTATCTCCAGTGAATTTAGCTCTGTGAATATGTAACTTTGCATGGAATATTAAGTTTATTACAAAGGTCTTATCCAAGTCTTCTATTGTATCTGAATGAAGACCAAAAATAACTCGATCGAAATACAGATTAAAGCTTATCAGAGATATATATCGATAAGTGTTTCGATAGCCTTTTTGTATAGCTGCAGTGCCAGAATAAGTGGTTTATTGTTTCGGGTTTACCGAGCAAAATGAACAGTTGACGTCAATATCATTCTTAAATTACTGTTTGTTTTAATGTTGTACAGTCCATGCAGTCTGTGGTTGGACTACAACTGCTACGTGAGCGAGCGAGAGACGCTGGCTCTGGCCACTCTCGCGATAGTTCCTCAGTGGGTCGCGGAGCAGTATGGCAGCCGTCGCGCTGAGGTCCTGCCGCAGAGGACTTTCACAGATTTTAAGCAATGGGGCGCTCGCAACTCTGTCCTCAAAGCGTCTTGAAGGTTTGTATAGGTCTCCTCTTCAGATTAATTTATCGCACAGTGTTTGAGTTTCACATAAGGGCGTTTAAACGGCGAGGAGGGGGTGTGGCTCACAGACTGCGTCGTCTTAGAAAATTTAGGGCAGTAAGTGCTGCGCCGTTTGCGCCTATGCTCTGTCTTTTGCGCCGTCTACCATAGTTCTTGTTGACTGTGAAACGCTTAGGGATGAATCTGTTTATCCTCTGGGGTGTAATAATGCATAAAATATCTCAATGTTTAGTCGACATTAAACAATCCCACGTGAGTCCCCATGTGCAGTTCTTGTAACTTGCACCAGAAGAAGCCTTAACCTATTTATATAGTATCTAGTATTCTTGTATCCAGCCAATAACCTGTAACATACTGTAAATCAAGTTATTTACATACCATGTTTTGCCACAGCCGTTATACTTTGCTCTGTGCCAACCAGGAGACAGGAGACACAAGTCCACAGTTCAGTATGCTTCACGACCTGACCTCCCGAAACTGGCCTACAGGAGAGTGAAGGGGAAGAGTCCAGGAGTGGTCTTCCTCCCAGGATATGGCTCCAGCATGAATGGGCAGAAAGCTGAGTCACTAGAGGAGTTCTGTAGGTCACTAGGACACTCATACCTTAGGTAAGTCATCTAACCACACCAACAAAGAGGGATGAATGCTAGAACTGTGCCATACTCATAATTTTCCAGATTCGGATGAAACAATCGAACCTGGTGTGATCATCTTGGATTTTCAGGGACTGAGAAACAGGTTTACTAACTAACACAATACATGTTTCAATGTTGCACTGATCATTGCATCTACCTGAGCGGATCATTTTTAAGAGTGACGAGAGATTGCAAGGAGAAACACTTTAATACACACAAAAGTACACAAACGAGCTTACACTCAACAGTAGCATTCTCCAGCAAGTATGGAATGATTTATTATTTGAGTGGTTGGTTATTTTTCTGTAAAATATCTAATGAAATGACCAGGTTAAGTTCAAACACAGTTCACATACCTGACTACAGAAACAGATGAAATATTACCACCAGGTTTTGTTTCAAATAGATATTGCACCACTTTCCACCAGAGTACAGTTGTAAAAACAGACTATACTTAAGCATATTTGCTTGCTGAGATTAGATATTGTTTTCAAATGTTTTATGCCATATCTCACCAAGTTATAAGAGTATGCAATTTCATCACTGAAGCCTTGAAATCTTAAAAATCAACACAAAGTTGGTTGTACTCAAAGGAACCTCATAACATACTGTACACTGACCACCCAAAGTTTATGAAAATCTAATGTAATTCAATACAAAAGCTCTGCCATAGATTTTACTTTCAAGAGGCTTCCAATTGATTAATTTTTGTGTTGATATGATCAGGAAGGTGAATATTGTGTTTTATATTTAGCATTGAAGGTGTACTGGAGTGAGTTGTATTAAAAATAATTTCTTAAATCTTCATTAACAAGCACAAGGGGAGCAAAATCTAAACACCTTTTAATACAGTTCATGCTAGCACACCACCAACGACCACTACAGTTCAACAAATAATTTAGAGAACAATCATCACCTGTCTGACCATGTCAACAAAAACTGATCAAGTTTAGAGCTGTTGCATCAAAGTTGCATGATATCGCACAGGTGTTCATCGTATTATTGGTGGTAGATGTATAGTGCCATTGAGCAGTGATGGAATAAAGTGTCCATGACTGTTTGTATTAGACTATGATTATCTGAGTATCAAAAAGTCTTGTCTTTTTCTTTCTGGCAAAATATTCCGCCTGAAATACCAAGACGAAGAAGAAGCAGGTTATTTTTATGCAAAAAAAAAAATAATAATAATAATTTATCGCTAAGAGTGTCTGAATGTAAAATGCTTGCTAAGCGGAGGATCAGACTTATCATGCTTCACAGTAACTTCCTGTCCTTTAAGGCCATCCTAACTGAAAAAGCTTTACAGATGGGAGGAGTGAAAAAGGGAGCATTTGTTTCAAAATTCTGACCACTAAATATTTCTATTCTAACTCACTGTATCTTTAATAATCTTTTAAAAACTCCTTTGAGTGATTAAAGCTCCTGTGAGGGACTTTCAGTATGTCAGTTTTGGCACCTTGTGGTTGACCTAGCGGTCTTTGCTTACCTTGTCTTTGACATACTTGAGTAGTGTTATCTGACAAAATCTCATCCTGCTGACTGTTGATTATCAAACGTGTCATATTCTGTAAATATTTAATGTTAAAAATAAAAAAAGAGGGCCTTTTCTGCAGCGGCTCCACTGACACCTCCACCTTCTGTCAAAAACTCCCCACTGGAGTTTTAAATAATTGAAATCCAAAACAATGAATCATACTAATAGACCATACAGCTTCTTAGTTTTTTTAATTAGTTAATTTAGCTTATTCATCGTGTCATGCACTCAAAGGGTGACGAGCCTGTTTTGACTGACAAGACACGGGGAGAAAAGAAAGAGTAGTGAAATTATGGTACAGATCAAACAGTAATCAAAAGTAAGCAAGAGCACAATGTTGCATGTCAGACGTAGGCCCTCCATCACTTCTTTTGGAATGATGACCCTAACTTCACCCAATAAATCAATTAAACCATTAAAAGTGTCATCTCATCCAGCTGGAAAGTATCAAACACAAACTGAGCAAGTTTTAATATTCATTGTGTAAGTAGGCACTTAAGTCTTTTTCTTTTACACGTTGAATATAAATCAGGATGATTTTAAGACATTTTGCTCAAAAGCTTACACCAGAGTTCATAATATTAGGGGCATAGAAATAACTTTCTATCCTCCTCTGGTATTGTGTGAAAGTGACCTGTGGCCAAAGTCAGAGGAAAAAGACCACATCTCAGCTGAGCACAGGCAGACCCTCACAGTCTGGTTAGTTTAAGGGTAACATAGAGTTCTGGTTCATGCAAGAGCAACTCCTTGCACATGCTAGTGGTTATAGCTGGCGGTGAGTTTCCTAAAGTGATATCATCCTTTAAATTCTACATTGAAGAGCAGTTTTGTTCATATTCTCTTGGTGGTTGTGCTTTCACCATTTTTTACTTATTTTAATTCATAGATCCATTTTGTTGAATAGACTTAATCCCATCTTCACTTGAAATATAACCTATTGATTTTACTCAAAATATCACAAAGAAAACAAAATGGTCCCTGCTCTCTCATGTCTTGCCTATGTTTCTACCCCCTGATACTCACATACTCATGCTTTGTTCTATTTCTGTTTTCTTAGGTTCGACTACACAGGACATGGGGCCTCAGAGGGAGTACTAGCAGAAGGAACTATTGGCACCTGGAAAAAAGACGTCCTTTTTGTGTTGGATGAGTTAGCAGAGGGGCCACAGGTAAATATTTCTCAGGGTCATGACCCTCAGCAGTGCACTGGTCTGAAGTAATCAATGAAGTTATGAAAACTTTGTTCCAAAGAAAAGAGCGGGTAGAGTTGGTTCCTAGAACAGATTCAGACTTACTGCAGTAACAGATTTTTGTCCAGTTAAAAAATGATGTAATACAGTAAATTATGCTGTCAGTTAAAAACACTGATGCAGTGGGAAAGAGCTTTGAAATATTCCTAGTGTGCATGCATTAAATTACATAATTAGGATGTTTATGAAAAGCAACCACGTTGTGATGCTTCTTCTAGCAATGAAGGGGCGAGTTTATCTGTGGAACAACTAAAATAGAAATCAACCATTGTTATTATTTACATGCTGTTTTTTTTAGCATTAGTCTCGCAGTCAACCTGTTTTTACTAAAGTCAAAGATATTTTCATGTTTGTGTGTGTAACACCTCTGTATTTCTGTTTAAACCATTCAAACACATGCATAGGAGTTCAATGGTTCCTTTATTGCTATAGAGATCATACAGGTAGGCCTACAAAATATGCTGGGTTTTTTTAAATCACAAACATCTGAACTTCCACAGGATTCCTGTTTTTGCTTCATTTTTTTTACAGCAGCCAAAAGAGTAGAACAACCACAAAAAAGAGCAGCAAAGACTAACAGAAAGCTGAAAGCTGCCTCTAACATAATAAAACTCTTGCGTTCTAATAGCATGGCTTTTAGCCTTACTATGACTGGTGAGACTGAAGGCACTCAATAACTCGCTCAGTTCTTTGATGATTTTAAGAGCACCTGTTAGAGGTCTCTGGTCATCATTTAATGCATTCTTGTAAGAGGGTTTCATTAATTATTCACTGTATATTACTCAGATGATGGCATCTCAAGCAAGTTTGTGAACACTGAGCTTTATTCTCAATTACTCTGTGTTAAAGTCAAGATTTTAATAATATAGTTTTAAAGAGCGCGTAGTTACCTTCATGAAAAGGTTCCTTATTGTACCTTATCCAAACATTTCTAGGAACATACTTCATATTATCCAGTCCTCCACTTTCACCACAGTGTACTGAGGGCTCGATGTTTCTACATAATGGGTCTGTAACGTGCAGGTTGAATCATGGTTGGCTCAAAATAACATCTTTTACGAAACTCAATCATACTCTGGACATAGATAATGCTGTTAAGAGAATATTAACCAATAGGCTAGCTGTAGGTGACAACAAACTAAATATAATTTCAATGGTGAGGGACAGTCCGTGTTTGTATTTTATTTTTTATACATGAATCAAGCTTGGCTTTTTGTATTAAGGTACTTTTAAAAATCTTGTTCAAAGAAATTCATAGTTAAAGTAGACTTTGTTTTCAACGGTCATGTCTTGTACTCATTGTTTGTTACACTTTACATCCACAAGATGGCACTGTGCAACCACTTTTTTTATTGTAACTGCAGCGATTGTACCGCATAAGTCTATCTTTGTGGAGTTTCTTGAGCTCCAGTTGTTTAACAGCCTATAAACTGTGTTTTTGCACAGATACTTGTGGGTTCCAGTATAGGCGGTTGGCTCATGCTGCTGGCAGCTATTGCAAGACCAGAGAAGACTGCAGCACTTGTGGGCATCTCTACCGCTGCGGATCACATCGTCACTTCATTTAACACCCTTCCTATTGAGGTAAGATCATATAACCGTATCACACAAATCACTTTCAGTGTTTTAATTAAGATGTCTATCTGAAATGGATCTCTCCATGTTTTAATGTGCAGACCCGCAAAGAGTGTGAGGAGAAGGGGGAGTGGACAGTGCCCACCAAACACACAGAGGAGGGTTTGTACAAGTTTAGCATGGACTTTCTGAAGGAGGCAGAAAATCACTGTGTGCTCCAGAGTCCCATCCCCATCACATGTCCCGTACGGCTCATTCATGGGCTCAAAGATGACGAGGTCCCCTGGCACATCTCCATGCAGGTGGCAGAACGCGTCCTCAGCCCCGATGTGGACGTCATCCTCCGACGACATGGCCAGCACCGCATGTCTGAGAAAGACGACATCAAGCTCATGGTGTACACTATTGACGATCTCATAGACAAGCTGACCACTTTGGTCTGAGTGCAGGGCGTGGGGAAGAGAGCTTGAGAGGTTGCTGAGATAAAGAGAAAAGGACTTTGTTTACTTTGCAGTCAACCCTCAAGAAATGTACCAAACAATGGCATGTGTCTTCGCCAAATACCACCTTTTATCCACCTCTATTCTCTCTGTACTTCACTGGTTATTTCATCATGCCGTTACAGTGCAAACTACACTAAGGGGCGCTCTGCCGTTAGCTGATCCCTTCTATCTTCAGGTTGCATCTGTATGTATCCCTGGTTATTATATGGAGTGTTCTGTTGGCCTGCGTTAGGTCTGTCGTTGCTGCTGTGTCTGCCGCTGTTCTTATCATATAACTGTTTCCCCTCCCTCTTTACTTAGACGCTTAGTTTTCCCCGTGCCTTTTTTAATCACTTTTCAACTGTTTTGGCCAATAAAACCTCTGCACATAAGGGTGCAGGTCTCAGTCTGTTATCACAACAAACACAACACACTTATCTAAATAATCTATGAGTTGATACAACTGTTGGTTATTTAGAGCTGTATGACGGAACGTTGAGTACACTTTGGTTTGTTGTATGTTCTTGGTTAAGCTAATTAACAGAAAAAACAGGATTTTAAATGAAGACGTTTCTATTATGCAGTTCTGGAAGAATTACATCAAAACACTGAACTGAAAAACTATCAAGCATCTCAACACGAGTAATTTTATTATTAACTGCATCAAAATCAAAAAGGTCGTCGGCTACTTCCATGTGAGGATTATTTTTGTTTAGCAGAGCACTCTGTTACATGACTCCTCATTCCTGTTGGCCTTTGGCCACGGTGAGGCCTGCAGAATGGAACCACTGGACTGTTGATTATTAACATGTAATTGGCCACTAGCTGCTCTGTGTTCAATGGGGCAGAACCCACCACTTAACTCTCTCGGATCCACTTAACTGCAGCACTGACCTTTAAGTCATGGTTGGGCTATGCAGCCAGTGATTTGTTGTGTCAAAACTCAAATTAAAAATCAATTCATGGGCGCATACAGTATGACAGTGTCACGCCAGTATGAGATGTAGTGTTAACAGGTACTGTGTACAGAGAGGTTTCAAAACAGATACCTTTGCTGTATATTTTATCGAAGTACAAGTAGTAGCTCTACCCTTTAAATCTTTGCTGTCTTCGGCTAAAATGAGACATTCATCTTTCTGTATCGAACCACTGCAAGATTTATTCCCTACAAAGGGGAAACCCTCTTAATCCAGCAGGTAAAGAAATGGCTCCTATTACTGGAGGAAAGAGACAGATCGTGTAGGAAACTAAATACTCCACACTGCCCTGTGTAGTAGCCAAAAAGAAAGTAAAAAGTAGGGAGGGTAAAAATCTGGTTAAGCAAGACAACAAGGCAGATGTGTCACTGAAGCACCAGATTTACTGAGTTTTAGGGGAGATATTTTCATTGTAAACAGTAGACTGATGTTGTAGGCTATATTAACTTTATTGGGTTTTGAAACAGAATTAATTCAATTTGGTATCATCTCTGTTGTAGTTGGTTTAGTCTCTCTTCATGCTGCAAAGCTGAACATGCACTGCACTGACCACTGTCCGGAAGCGGTGTCACGTCGCACTCTTTGTTGGAGAGTCTCTAGGGACCCCTCCTGGAAGAGCTGGCATATAAAACGAGTGACTCACCCCTCCCGGACACACAAGACCCAGCCTGCGCCCCGCGCGTCTGTGCAGCGCTTCATGGATGCTTCAGCACTTCAGCATCCTCAGCCCTGCCCAGCTCAGCGGAACTGAAACACGGTGACACGGACGAATCGGACTCTCCTCCTCGGTAAGTGAACGTTGCTTTGATTTAATGACACTGCTTTTGATACAGGACATGGAGTATACAATGTTTATGCGGGTGATGCAGTGTCGCAGCTCTGTACGGTAACAGCTTGGTGGGTTTTCTCAGTTGCCTTTAGGTTACTTTAAATGCTTAAACACACTGCAGAATGTGTTCCAATGCGGTGCGGTTACAATACAAGCGTAACTTTATTGCGTATTTACGCAGTTTTAGGGGGAAATGTGCTTAACAGCATATTATTGAAGTAACACTAACCTCTCTTGTGCGGCACATTGAGCTGACGTAATCGAATTAAACTTGCTGTCAGGCTAAATATAGAGCTGTTAGTATGAATTATTAAGAGGGATAACTTTCTGTTGGTGCATTTGGGTTTTTTTTGCGCCCTGACTATCTACTGGAGGTCATACTTTGACCATCCTGTCTCACAGCGCATCACTGGCACACAGCGTGCCGGAAACGGGCTCGATTCGATTGTTGCCATAGCAATAAGAGGGCTGGTCTCTCTCCCTGTGCGGGACAGCAGCCAGTGACCACACCCTTCACTGCTACAGCATCCAGAGCTGTGCGTGGGTGGAGGGCTGAGCTGTGGGAGACAGGTGCTGTAAAGAGACTGGAATCTGGCTTATTAGGTTTTTTTGTGAAAGTGCTTCACTCATTTTAGAAGGTTGTAATTTTGAAGCAACTTATACAAAGTTATAACCAAAGAAATATCACAGTTATGTTTAAAAAGAGGACTACTATGATATTGTAAAAGCCTGATTTGTTTTTGGCAAAAGGTTTGCAGCTTGTCACATGTTCAAACTAGTTTACCTTCCAATGTACATTTGTTTTCTCTCCAGGGCTACATCATTACACTAAAGTGTTCCTGGAGCTGCCATGGCGAACAGAGGGCCCAGCTACGGACTGAGCCGGGAGGTGCAGGAGAAGATTGAGCAGAAGTATGACCCTGACCTGGAGCAGCGGCTGGTGGACTGGATAGTTGCACAATGTGGAGGAAATATAGAGAGGCCACAATCGGGCAGACCGAACTTCCAAAAGTGGCTGATGGATGGGACAGTGAGTAGTTGCAGTACCTGGGCTTAAAACTAATGTTATTTAATTACTTAAGCATAACAATTAAGAGCCTAATGACATCAAAAAGTGTTGAAAATGTGTTTTTTTCCCTTATTGTCATAATTTTTCACCAATTTCCTTGTTCTTTGCTTTGCAAAGATTGACTTTCCACTGAGTCATTACAATGACATTGATGTAAAACTCTTCAGTCCCTTCAAGGAAATGCTGAGCACTATAAGACCTAATTACCAGCCAAGCTTAAACTGCATCCTACATTGTCCGGCAGTGTCTTTACTCTTGGCACTGCAGCTGACTATTGTTTGAGAAATCTTTCAGGGAAATCTATCAGAAACCGGACAGAGATATCAATTCCTGGCACTACAGCAAGTAGCTGAGGAAATGTTGCTATGCAGTAACCAAAAAATCCTGTTTCAGTGACGGAAATAATTCATATTACAAATCAGCCAGTATAACTAAATCGAAGATAAATTTTTACTTTATCTTTTGAGGAATGACTCTCTGAGGAATCCTTGGCAGAGGAGGGGGGTTCAGAAAGTAAGATAAGAGAAAGCTGGCACCAAAAAATGAAAGTTTTTAAGCATTTCAGATGAGAGCGTTTTGGGGTGAAATAGTTGTCATTTCAGTTTAGTTGGTGTGTCAGTTAAGATCGAGCTTCAAATGCATGACCGTCTTTGTTCCAGATCCTCTGTAGGCTCATCAACAGCCTTTATCCAAGGGGGAAGGAGCCAATCAAGAAGATCCCTGAGACACAGATGGCCTTCAAACAAATGGAGAAAATCTCTCAGTTTCTTCAGGCAGCTGAGGCTTATGGAGTCACAACCACTGACATTTTTCAAACTGTGGACCTCTGGGAAGGTGATTAACCTCTGAGAACTAGCCCCTGTTGAATGGTTATAAATTCATTCATGGTAGTTATTTCTGACTCTATGTAATGGCGAAATTCTTGATTATTCTGGCTTCAGGAAAGGACATGGCAGCAGTGCAAAGGACTCTCATGGCTCTGGGGAGTTTGGCTGTCACCAAGGATGATGGTCATTACAGAGGAGACCGGGACTGGTTTCACAGGTAAAAAATGAAGCACAATGGGCTGATCTCTACACTCACAAACTCACAGACTTTAAGCATGATCCCTGCCATTTTCCCAGCAACAACTCAAGCATGGATGAGGCAGGAAAAAGTGCAGATAAGGTCTGAGTGACATGTAGTTCACCACCAAACCACAGAACATTAATAGATTTGTTTGGGTTTTACGATCATCTGCAAGGGATTAGCATTTATAGACTTTTTACAGTTTTACCACTAATGTAAAACACTCAAATAGAGACAAGGACATAGCTGACAAGGACGTAGAGCCTTTCTTGTTTCCTTGTTTTCATCTTAAGCCCGCACACACTGAAACACATCCTTTAAAACCATGAGGGCTAAGGTGGCATGGTACAGATTGAGTTTTGGCCTCTCAAACATCTGCACACCCATAATGCTTTATGTTCTTCCACCTCTGTTGCTAATTATTGTACGTTATTTATAGGAAAGCTCAAGGGTATCGACGAGAGTTCTCTGAAGAGCAGCTTCGTCAGGGTCAGAGTCTGATCGGTCTGCAGATGGGTAGCAACCGTGGGGCTTCCCAAGCTGGCATGACGGGCTATGGTATGCACCGTCAGATCATGTAGACCACTCAATACCTTACCTGCTCCCCTGCTTCAAGTCATTATTTTCTACTAACACCACAAAATCTGTAGCCTCCGTATCCTCTCCAGCACCTTCCATGTTAACCTTCACTTCCCTGGAACTGCTGCTTTCCCAAACAGAGTGATCTATCTTTGAAAATGATGTCAAACACTGTAGAGTTTCTTCTTCCAATTCCCCTTCTGCTCCTCTCCTCTTTCCTCACATGTGCTGTTCCCTTTCTTGCTTTATTTCCATGTGCAGATGGTTGCCTAATGTGGAGTCATTCAATATCAATTTAGTCTTTATCTAGATAATTGATAATAAAATCTCTCTTCAAAACAAGCCATCAGTGTTATACAAAGTCTTGAAAAGCTGTTAAAGCATCTTTAGAGCTATTTATTTGTAAATATGTAAACATTTATTTCCATTCATCATTGATCATTGTTTCAAGAGAATGTGTTGCTGTGTAATTATTTAGCCTTAAACCTAATGGAACTCAGTGACAGACGATGTCTCTGCTATCTTGTCGGTAGACTTGTTGCAGTATCCTCTGTAACCAAATCAACCTCACGTTGTGCCTGGTTATGGGACTACAGAGACTGGGTCCTGATTTATTGTCTGCAAATTCTAAATGGGTTTCATTCATTCTGAGCCATGCCTTTGTCATTTGTTTGTTAGATTACATCTTTGTCCACTTTGTGTCCAAGCAAATACATGTGCAGTAGCCAACATGTCTGACAGTGATGTTTCCATTTCTGGTGCCAGGTAAAGACATAGTTTGAATGTGCACTTTTCTGTATTGTCATGTTTATATTTTTGAATATATTTATATCTGGACGCTTGTGAGAGGAATTATGTAAAAATAAAGTATGTAAACATATATTTGTGTCAGTCTGTTTCACACACGGAAGTATATGAGTATATGCTGTGTGCTCTGAGTGGTTTCTTCTTATCTTGGTTTTATGTTTCTGCTTCTCCCTTGTGCCCATCCCTGCTGCCTCTCCCCACTGTACACAATCTAATAAAGGGGCAGCAGCACAGCATAATGATTATGTCTGTTACTCTACCTGAGAGGCCTCATCAAGCCTGTACCAGAAAGATATTGAACTCCTGGCTGGTCTAGCATTACTTTTAAATACCTGATTGTACGTTTTGTGAGGTATTTAGCAAAAGCATATCCACCAAAGCTGTCAGAAAAGCTTTGTACAGCTTTGCCAGCATGTGTAAATTCAGTAATCAAATGCTCACTTTAAGCATGCACTAAAATCAGTCCAGCATGCAAATCTGAGAGACACGTCTACTTAGATAAGCAAGCGATCTTGTCAAAGGTAATCTGGGTTGGGTTTTGAACTACAAAAGGTCAAGTTTTATGTTGGTGATCAACTTTATAGGCTCAATTGTTTGTGACTGTTGACATTTAAAGCACATATACAAGAAAAGCATGCCTGAATTAACATTTGAAGCCTCATTCAGTTGCTGTACAGATCCTATAACATTAAGGTGCTGTCCTTGAAATGTTAAATAATAACAACAACCCATATCATAAATGTTCATAAAGCTGCTCTTTAATTGCTTAATTAAAAAGGAGTATTGCATTCTCCACTGTAGAAGTGCACTGACAGAAAATAATCTTCTGGTTAGGATTTATGTTAGCTTTTTTGTAACAGCAGACTACTCATGACAAAGTATGCAGCCTTGGGCATGTCTGGCCTGCACATACAGCTTATTATTAGCCTCAAACAGACTAGAGAGGCATGAAGAGGGGCACAGGTGATGTGTAACTGACCGGCTCAATAAGTAAGCCTAAAACACAGTCAGGCCAATGAAAAGGCTCGGAGGACTGAGGTCACTTTTGTACAAAGTTCTTGTCCTGTTGAAGTATTCTTTGGTCAGAGTCTTGGCTGTTGTCGATACTTTTGTGTCTGCCTGTTAGGGGACATTTTATATGTTTTGTTTTAAGGTTTTTGCACCAGAGTTGCGAGGCAGAATTATGTACCATCTTGACCTTCTTGCGGTGTAATTTTTTTTAAGTTTGAAAGACAGGTGTATCAGGAACAATGCTACATATGAGGGTTAGAGTTACTTTTTTGCTCCTTTTATTGATGGCCAGGTGTGTTGCACAGGAGGAAGCACAAAATAAAGGCTGTGTTTGTGGATACCCTGGAATACCAGGGGACCCTGGACACAATGGGACACCTGGTAGAGATGGCCGAGATGGACTCAGAGGTGAAAAAGGGGATCCAGGTAAGTCTAGACTTCAAAACTTTAGAACATAACTTATATTCCTGTACATGTCTTGAGTTTTAACTTCACCATTCAAAATAACAGTAATTTACAACCCAAAGGTGAAATTGGCCCTGCTGGACGCCCAGGCACTGATGGACAAAAAGGAGACAAAGGCGAACCTGGTATGTGTCTTCTGTTTATACCAAAGGTGTATGTGCTGACTCTACTCTAACCAGCTGTATGCTCTTTATATGCAAATACTTAAACACAACCACTTTTATATTTTCCTGGCCCATCTATACTTTCTGATTCATACACATTTAACATAAAGGGATTATGTGTGCTTGTCATTTACAGGTGGAGTTGGCCAAGTAGGGCCCAAAGGGAAAAGAGGAGATAATGGAGAAAAGGGTCATCCAGGGAAAATGGGGCCCCAAGGTGTCCAAGGGCCCATTGGCTTAAAAGGAAATAAGGGAGAGCTTGGGCTGCCTGGACCTCAAGGAGTTAAAGGGGATTTGGGGCCTCTCGGTCCAGAGGGTCCTAAGGGAGAGATTGGCCTTCGTGGTGACAGAGGCATTCAAGGACCAATGGGACCTCCTGGCAGACCAGGGCCTAAAGGGGAACTTGGTGTTCCAGGTCACAAAGGCAACATTGGTTATCGTGGTGAAAGAGGGGCTCGAGGGGAGAGAGGTGATAAGGGTGATAAGGGAGATGCTTTTGTTATCTCTCACAGCGCCTTCTCTGTGGGACTTACAGCATTTTCTAAACTCCCTGCAGCTAACGCACCCATCCGGTTTGACAAGATTATTTACAATCTGCAGAATCACTACGACCCACAAACCGGCAGATTCACATGCTCTGCAGCAGGAGCCTACTTCTTCACCTACCATATCACCGTCTACTCCAGAAACGTGAAAGTGGCTCTAGTAAAGAATGGTGCAAAAATCATCCACACCACAGATAACTACCAAAGCAGTGAGGATCAAGCAGCAGGGGGCACTGTGCTGCACCTGGATGTAGGGGACAAGGTGTGGCTGCAGGTGGCAGGAGGAGAGCTGTCCAATGGGCTCTTTGCTGATGAAGACGATGACACCACCTTCTCTGGCTTCTTGATCTTTGGGGTCTAAATGAACTGTTATTAGTAAAACTGAGAGATCACAATACTTAAATATGTTAGGTACCTTTACTTTACTTCTTTTCTATACTGTTGACAAATGTTGACAATTTCTCAACACTTAACCTGTTATCTGTTATCTACCCAGGTATATCAGGGAATTCAAAGAATCTGTCTCTTAACACAACATAAGTAAAATTCATTATAAATGCAGAAATTATAATAATCTGAGGAAGACCCAAGTGGGCATGCAGCAATACATTTTTCTAATCATTATCGTTATTTACACTGTTTTTCCCGGTTGATATCTTGAAAAAAGCAACCTATTTTATCTCATGGGCACAGGGAGACAGAGTAGTCTAAAGAAAGAGTTCAGATTGATGCTTAGGGCTTACTTTCCAGCCAGAATTCAACACTCGTGAAAGACTAGCCTTGCCTTGATCACTTTAACTTCTGATGCACTGTTTGTCTGTAATTATGCCATCATACCTTGGTCTGGTGAATTTGATTTATCCAAACAATCTTCGTCTTTACTGCCTTTGTGTGTGATCAATTATGTTAACTCAATCAAATTACCAGTAATCCAGTAATCATAGATAATTGTTTTTGATTTAGAGCCTCCGGTCTAATAAAAACATTACCCAGACAGAATGGAGATGTCGTGTTTTTCACAGTTTCACATCTTGCTTGGTTAGTTTTCTTATAACCTGTCTGTTGTGTTTGAGGAGAGAGCAGCGTTCAGAAAGTCTTTATCTGTCTCGCTCTGGTATTCGGGGATGGGCACGCACAACAGCAATACCCGAGACATTAGTTGTTTTGGCACGATAAAGTGACACGGCACGAGGAAGACGGTACGACGACAACTGGAAGGTCCAGTCTTTTTTTGTCTTCAAAGAACCGCAGGAAGTCAGACGCTGCTCTTTGTCTTTTCTCTTTTTTTCCTCTTCAATGAAGAGCGCTCCACTGTGGGCGTGGTTCTGCGGTCACTTACGGATCTGCTGACTTATGATTGGCTGTGAGCAGAATGGCCACGCTGTGGTCAACCAGTAACCTCTAGTCTAACCCCCTCCAAGCCCCGCCCCTCGCAAACACTGCAACAAGTGCATTAAGGATGCTCGCCAACTCATTCCTCCAAGAAAGGCGTCAGTTGAGTGGATTCATTAGCGAAATTGTGGGGTTTACTTGAGGAACTCTGGAAGATACTTATGTTTTCTCTCGTTGGACCACTGTCAGTTTTCACCCGCCCGAGAAAGCGAAATCAAAAACCACAGAGCTTGCGCAATACAGAAGAAGTTTTATCAGGAGGCTTTGCGAGTTAGCTTCAGCTGCTAGCGCTGCGTTGAAGAAGTTCGGCAGCCGTTTGCCTCAACATGTCTCGGGGTGACTTGTTATCAGAGCCGGAGCTCCTGTCGGCTTTGTTGGACTCGACATGTTACTGAGAAAGGACGAGGAGAGCGAGGCGGCGAGTTCTCGGACCTTAGACAAACTTTGGCTCCTTCACGATGGCTGAACAAGAGAAACAGCTGCCCTGTTGATGTGAGAAAAGAGGGTCAGGGGGACATCAGCCACTATGAGCAAGGTGAGCCTGGGTTTGAGCAACTGCGCAATGACTGCTTATTAGATCCATATCTAACGCAAGCACTTAAATCCTTGAAATTATGATTAGGGAATCACTTAACCATTGCAGTGATTTCCTCCTTGTGTTCTCGTTTGGACCAGAGGGGGTTATTGTAGTGCATTACAGCCGTGGTTGTTATAGTGATGTGGGAGATGCCAGGCTGTGCAGGGAGTTGGTGAAGGAGGGGACAGGGGGATTCAACTACAAAGAAAGTTAATGAATGCAGAAATAAATAAGAAGACTTGTATGAGCTTAGAAAAGTACTCACTATAATCCCCTTTCATAGATCATTGTTTCCAGGTTCCACTTCATTCATAGCATTGCCTCATTTAGCCACACTTGGAGTAGGATTTTACTCACAAGTTCTTGGCTTGTTTTCACAGTTACCTGGATCGAGTTTTACGCTTGTAAAGACAGTAATGTGTTGATCTTTCATTGTTTACGGTCAGAGTCCTCTGGTTTACACAAGGTATAAAAATATAACCAATAAAGACTCACATTTCAAAGCAGGGTACTTTGTATTTTACTGTTGTCAGTCAGTCTCTCTTTCTCCTTTCTTTTCTTTCTTTCTTTTGCACTTCGGTCCATCAGCCATTTTAGTGTCAAGGTGTCAAAGAGACATTTATTCTTCAAATCCCACACAACATGGGTAACAGATGACTTGAACCTCTGCATAGAAATAGAATATTCAAGCTCTTAAAAAGCTCTCTACTTTTAATGGTTTATGATACACAGAGCATTCTCTTGCACCGCTGTCAGGTTACACCATCCACAGTGGATGTGGAGGCTCAGCAGTGTTTTGTCCTCTCTAGGCCTTGTACACTGTGTGGTGTTCAGTTTCTGTCTGTCTGTCTCTATGACAGTCCACAGCAGATCAGGTGAGTGTATGGCCGCCTCTGTGTGAGAGTGGGGACACTCCCTGGTTTGGCCTGTACCTGCACTTCCCACGCTCTATAGAAAGGGGCGTGGTATCTCTCAATCCCCTTCTTTCTACTGGATTAAAAAATGAGGAACTAGGTCGTAGACAAATATGAGACTTTAACCAGGAAACTGAACCGGTTACTTGTCTGCTCACCTGATCCTAACATGGGACATGTTGTCTCTTTTAAACCACTTCCGATTCTTTGCAACAAAACAATACACTCAACTTAATTGCTGGTATGTTGAACACACAAGAAGTGTCACATGAATACCGTTCAGTATTTTACCTTATACTTCTTAAATAACGCTCTTAAGATATCAAGTGCAAAGAGGCCTAGTAACCCCCTCAGTAGTTTTAGCCGTGGTAGGCTGTTTACAAGCCTTGGGTGTCACTCTCCATCAGCTGAATAGTCTAGTTGTCCCCCTGATTAGGCTATCTTGTGTAGATGAAACCAGTCCTAAACACAGACTGGTAAAGCCCCACTAATCAGATTATAACTGGGGTAGAAGAGGAATAAGCTATACATTCATAAACGTACTCACTACAACCTCACATGCACATGGTTGCCTCTCACTCGCCTTGCTCACATTTTCATGTGTAATTAGGACAGTACAGATGGTAAATGGACTATATTTGTATAGCGCTTTCTCCAGTCTTCTAACCACTCCCAGGTGCTTTTACATGACATGTCACACTCACCCATTCACATCTCATTCATAAACTGATTGCAGAGGCCGTTATGGTCAAGTGTCCTGCCCAAGGGCACTTTGGCGTGGAAACAGCCTGGGATCAAACCCCTGACTGACCCTCTGATTGGAAGATGATTGACTCTACCTCTGAGCCATATCCACTGAGCCAAGGCTGAAAGATTTACATTCTGACTCAGATTCTTGATGTGGACTAAGAAATGGTTTTCTTCCTAGGCGCTCTCAGCCTAAAACTGAAATTCATCTATCCAGGTAGTGGGCATAAGTTTCACATTGATTCAGTTCATTGTCTGATCCATTCCATGAGGTGTTGATTGAGACACTCTGAAAGAAAGTCCTCTTCACAGCTTTCATTCATGGAGACAGACAGACAGGCATGCAAGTGACAGCTCAAAGAGGAATGGTGGTGTTGCTTCAGGGTAGTTGAGTCTGTCTCAGAGTTTAGCTCAGGAATGGAAAATGACAACAAAAAAAATGATACTTTCCTATCATTGTTTTCAGTCTGGGATCTTCATTTTTAATACTCAGTTCATTTGAGCCTGATGAGTTTTATCCTAGCCCCTGGCAGGACGGACCTCTGCAAAGGTGAACTATGGGTAGACGGTCACTATCATTATGCATTTATGACTCCTTACATAACTGCATGGGTTTTCTAGCCAAACAGGAAGGGAGTCAATGATTTAAGTGCCTTCCTCCCTGCTCTGTTCTGTGCATGCGTGCATGTGAGTGCACACATACACACACACAGGCCTGGACACGGGCCATGCAATATGAGAGAGGATGCTCTAACTAATTGCGCATGTGTTTTTGGAGTGCATTCTTTGAGCTCTTGTACACATGTTGATGTATCTGGGTGCATGTTCATCCTCGTCTCCAGGAGTCTAATCTGAGGCAGGCTCCAGCTGGCTCCCATGTGTGTGTGGGATGGGGGGGCTCCTCCCTGAGCTCTTAATTAACTCTGGACCAGGGCCCTAGAGCGCTGTTCCCCTCCACAGTTAAGCAGGAGGAAGCCCAAGAGCGGGAGTGATTGTGGAGAAGGGAGAGCAAAGCAGATAGAGGAAGGTTCGACGCAGTAAAAGTGATCTGCTTTTACACAGAATAGGGCGTGATATTGAGATATGCGTAAGTAACATTTGTCTGGGTTTTGCAATATTCTGAGCTGTTGTTGTGGATGTCATAGATTCTTTTTCACTTACATTTGTATTCGTTTATTTCTAATTAATCAGGTCTGATGAAAAGATACCAAACTTCATTTTTTTAATGTTCATGACCAAAATCAAAGATGTTTCCAGAAATGTATCAGGAAACATTTCGAAGTCCAGGGCCGTGCATTTTGTATTGAACAAAAATACACGGTTCGAATAGGAAAAAGCAGTGCAGGGTCTCATATTTAACCAAATTGCAGGTTTTTAAATTGGTAATTATGGATTACCTTTAACGGGTGAAATAGTTGTGTTCACTAGCTCTTGAAAAGTAATGGTATAATTTAGTATTTTAGTCAGTCAAAACTAAACATTTAAAAGGCTTTAAAGAAAAAGGATACAGCTTTTACTGGTACTGAAGAATCTACCATACTGTAGAGTTAATATCGACCACATTCTGGTGCATATGAGCTCTTAATGTTTTAAGTCTGTGTTGTTTTTTGTGGATTTTCATAAGCGCCACCTGCTTCAGCCTGGTTCTGACTAACATCACTGCCAAGTCTCAGTTAAAGCCAACTGGCCTGTGACATTTGGCGCCATGTGTAGAGAGACAGCAGAAAGGTGCTGAAGGATGGCACAGTTGGCTGAATGGATGATATCATGATGAGAGTATTCAAAACAAAAACAGGCTACTGGAGCTGCAGACATACCTCTCATATCTCCAATCTTTCTGCTTAGAAAATAGACAATAATCGATTCGTCTATTTTCCAGTCACAGCCCAACATGACTCCTCTGCAGCCGAGGAGGAGAAAAGTACAAGAAGACAATTCAGCTTTGAAAGCGGCGCATTGTTCATGAGGGGTGTTTACTGTCTGTCAGCATTGGTGCTTGGCAGCGGTGGCTCTGTGTTTACATAAGTGCTCGGTGTGATGGAGCGAGCTGGTTGAAGTGACAGCAGATTCCACAGAGGGTTTGATTGAGAAAGCCCATCTGCTGCTGAACACGCATGGAGACTGGAGGTATGGGAATGTTCCAGGATCCCTGAAACTCCCAGCATGTGAACGTGGGATTCAGTGGAAGCAAAAAGTCTTCAGGGCTTGAAACTGTGGCTGCTAAATGTTTTTTTTTTTTAATACCTGAATGATTATGACTATAGATTGACCCTGACTACTTGTGCCATTAAGGGACAAGAACTATCATACTCTACTTCATTCATTCAACAAAGCTCCAAACATTGACCATCAGAAGGTTACAGGTCTTAACAAGGAAATCGCTGAATTCGTTACTCTCAACAACCAGCTTTTCAGGGTCTTGGTGGAAGATGTTAGCTTCTGCCCGGCTGGTGTTTCCTCTCAGACGTGGCTTTACCTGAACTGTGAAGCTTTGTCATTAGTGGTATGATATATAAAAGCACCACTGTAATGCTATATTAGCTTTACCATTAACATTTTGACATCAAGCGTCGGCCATGTCAGCATGTTGGGCCTCACTGCTCATTGGACTGATGACATGTACTCCCCAGAAATTGTCTTTACATTTTCAGAATGAATGTCTATAGTTGGAAAACAATTAATTTCTAGTAGAATCTGATGCTTGAATTGTTTTTTGTCTGCTCCCAAAACAAATATTCACAGTAAGAGTAACAAGTAAATTTAAGTAGAGGAGATGCTTGGAGCTCTATAGGTGTTTATGTGCTGTTATCTGTGAAACCATGTTTTAAAATACCAGGATATTGGATAGAAGAATCTTATAATGTTCAATGTGTTGGACTATGTCCCTGATTTGCAGACCACACATCCCTCCCCTCACCATCACCTCATCACCTCATCATCTGAGTAATCTGGAGGAAACTGGGCAATTTATTTCATTAATCACAATGGATTAGCAAGTTTCATTGCTTAGTCACGCTCACAAAGCCCTACTTCAAAGACTCGGCTGCATTAGCCACTGCACTGAGTCACACACACACTCACATTAAGTTGGACGTAGCACAACACCACCCCAACCTGGGCCTCAACTCTTCTTGGACATCGAAAGTACAGCACCAAGGACAAAAGACAAGGACACAGACTGTTTGTAATGACAGATGTCTCTCTGCAAACTGTAGGATAATTGTTTTTCTGTTATTCTCTGTCTTCTTTTATTCCTCAGTCTGTCTCCTTTGCGTACAATCACAGTGGACGCTGTACTGTAAACACACAAAAGTGCATTCTTATGCTCCCAACTCCTTTGGCATAATGTCTGTCCTTTCCATGCTTTATGTAACTTTGTGTTGTCTGTCTTGGCAAAACATTTCTGCACAAATGCTTCCCGAAATCACTAAACAAAATCTTTTTGTTTTTCAGGTAGAACAAAAGGACAGGGTCTTGTCCACAAGTGAGGATCCTCTCCCGATCCTCCACAACTCTGGGGCTGACCTACTGAACCGAAGCCGACCCCTTAGTGACATATACCCACTCCACAGTCAAGCTGATGGTAGTGCGGTCCCATATCTACTGTCTGGATGCAGTGCCCAAGTTCAGACTGTGACTTCAGGTCCTGATGAAAACAAGTTGAACAGAATCAACTCCTCCGCCTGGTCCAACCCTGTGATAGATCGGCCTGAGGGCAAGCCTTACTCCTCAAGAATTATGAGGCTTTTTTCAAACTCCAGGAAGGGCCCTGTCCCTGCTCACAGTCCAACCACTGACAGTTCTACCTCATCTAGCAGCATCAGCGACCCCAGCCCCCAGTCCTGGCCTGGACTTTCAGGACTGGGTGTTGTGGACTCTTTTAAAAAGCTCCGCTCCTCTGTTCTACAGGGTATACAGAGTAGAGGGACAATCAACCAAGATGGAGAAAATATCCCTTATTTGAACGAGGAAGTGAGAAACGGCACTGTTGTAGCCAACTCTGGCCCAGGTCTTAATGATGCAACAAATCATTTCAAGTTTGCTGAAGGATACAGTTTATCTAATGGAGGTCACACCAGCCAAAGGTTGGCTGTGATGTGTCAATGTGGATCAGATTTTGAAGACTTTGACGATGAAGAAGAAGCTGATGAAGGAGATGGTCTTACGCGAAACACACGATTCTCGAGGAGTATCAGGAGAGCTTACGGAGCAGGACGCATTTCCTTGTTTGACATGGGAAACGGGAGACATGCAGGAAAAGGCACAAATGAAGCCGAGGGACAGAAACAAGATCAGACATCCAAGGAAAGCTCTCAAAACAGAAACACGAACGACAACACAAATGTGAAGATGCTGAGCAGACTGAGCAAAAGTGCAGAAAATCTTCATATATTTAAAGCACCTTTCAGACGCAAAGCAGCAGCCCAAGGGTCTCCCTCACCTCAAGATGACCCCGAGAGGACTTGCACATCAAACGGGGCTCCAAGTATCCAGAGGACTGCCAGTGCTTCCTCAGTGGACATGCAGAGCCACACTGTAGCCAAGACCACTGTGAAGACCAAGGGACCTATGTTAAAGTTGGTGGGCAGTATGTCTGACCTCACTGTCCGGCGCAGGCGAAGTCCGTCCCCGAGCCCTACCACTCCATCTCCCATGTCCCCCCTCAGCCGTCTCCATGACGACTACTCCCGCCGCGTGCCTTGCTTGACAACCAGCGAGAGACGGCGGCGGCCCTCGCCTGTCAGAGCCAGGGTTATGTCAGCTGGACATAGCCCTCTGGGTCATTCACAGCCTGATGTCAGCCCACAGCAGCACCAGGTCCTCATCAGCCCGGTTCCTGTGGAGATGGAGCAGACCCCACCCGGTATCTCTGCTCATTATGGACCACTGAGCGAAGCAACAACAAGTGATTTTAGACAGACAGCAGAATGTGATTCATCTCCAGTGAGCCAAAAAGAGCCTTCGCAACAACAAGAGACTGAAGTCAACACCGTGTTAAACGAGGTAAACTAAAAAACAAAGATTAATTTTGTGGAGTTTTTTTTTTTAATTCACAAGAACATTATGCAGTAAAAACTCTAATCTCATTACCTCTTTGCTTAACTATACCTTAGCCAGTGTTGTGCTAGTTACTGAAAAACGTTAACTAGTTACAGTTACTTTGTAAAACAAATAAAAAGTAACTCAGTTACTTAAACCAAACAGTAATGCATTACTGAGAAAGTAACTATTTAGTTACTGTAAAACGTTGCTTCCAATGTGGATTGATTGATTTCCCCTTTAGCCGTCATTTTAGTTCTGTACTGATTCTGACTTAAACAAACTGTTGATTAAAACAACTATTTAAATGGGCTCTATGAACAGATCCACTACTTCCTGAATTTAACGCTGGTCCTTACTTTCCTGTCTTACGGTACATCAAAGGACAAAATGATTAATCCAGGTGTGTCTGAGCAGTAACAGTGATCAGTCACGCCTAGGTTAATCAGTTCAGGAAGCAGTGGATCGGTGCATAGAGCCCATTCATTTGCATTCACATCACTGAATGGATGATTATCCAAGCAATATGATCCATTGTGCACCAACACAAACCTTGACAGTAACACCAAAATTTCACCATTGGACTCTTGGAATAACAGCCTGATATCGCTAAAAAAAAAAAGAGCGAGAGAGAGAGAGAGAGAGAGAGATCCAAATAAAGAATTTAACATACCATGCTATTGTTTTACAAAGTTGTGCCTGGCCATGGGTTTGTCTTTGTCAAACTTTGTCAAAGCATGCCGCTCCTCTAGGCGCTTCAGTAGATTGCGATTGCTGTTGTTCACCATAGAAAGGATTTTTGATCCTAACTAAATACCAAAAGCCTGAATAAACAAGTGTTGCTTGTCATGCCATGCCCTGACCTGGTATACTTGGACCGTTCTAGTCCTCTTCATAGTGCAGGTTTGATTACGTGTGTGACGCCAGAGGGTGACGAGTGCTTTGATTTTCTAATTTGACTAAACTTGATTGATCGCTAAGATGTTATGGGGTCTGTGTACCGTTGTAAAACCTCACCAAAAGGAGCGGGGTAACGCAGTGTTTGGTAACAGAAACTGAGTTACTGCATTAAAAAAAAAAAAAGATAATGCATTACATTATTAGTTACTGAATAAAGTAACGGCGTTACTAATAACGCGTTCCTTCCCAACACTGACCTCAGCATTGAAGTGGAAATTTCAGAAAATAAAGAGAAACTGGAAGGGGTTGGAAGTCAAGCTGATATTTAAAAAGTAAAAGACACACATTTAAAAGGAAGGAATTCATGGACCACCAGATGAAGACCACCAGATTTAGGATATGTTCTTATTCTTGAGTGTCTGTCATTGCAGACTGAAAGAGCCTTTGTTTACATTTTTACCAGCAAATCTTGCATGAAGAGCAAAGATAGAGGATATACACTGTCCAAAGTGGACGCCCAAAATGAAAGTTGACCATTTCTTGAAGATAAAGAGATCTTCGTAACAAATAACTCAGTTTTGTTGGCCAAACTGTACATGAAAATACTTTGATCATTTCAACCAGTTTCTTCCATGCTTGGTGTTCTAGGAAATGCAGATAGGTTGATGAAACGCAGGACGTGTGTAAAACAATAACGATGACATCAAGCTAGACTGTTATCTTTATGTACCTTGCCTGTCTGATTACTGCTGACAGATGAGTACAATGTACTATAAGACATGAAGGCTGCGAAAAGTTTCACATGATCACCCATCAGTGGCACCTTAATCACTGAGTTAGAAACTTGGGATTGGAAATCATTAGATAAGAGAGTTTCTGTAAACTTCCAGGGAAGAAGGAGGCACTGACAGACAGAGAAAGTTGAATGTGCTCTTTATGGTGGAACAGCATGTTCATTGAAGGATGCCAGACTTTCAGCTTTATGGCATTGACCCTTGCATCACTCCTCTAGGAAGTGATCATTGATTCTGACATGGTTATAACCATCTGAGATAACTTCCTTTGTTGAAGATGCACCCATTAGATCAGAGTTTGTGGCTTAAAAAGTAGCTGTGTGTGTGTGCGTGTGTGTCCAAAGTCCCCTTCAAAGTCAAATAAATAATGACGTAGGCGTGACCATTCCTCACTGTCCCTTTCCTGTCAGCCGTGTTTGATATACTGACTTCTGCTATAGCAAGGTCACATGCTGGAGCCAGCTGTTCTGTGCCTCTATGCACGCTGAAGGAGCAGTCAGAGTTAATGATTAGGCTTTGTTTATGATTAGCAGCCCTTGCGCAAAACAGCTCCAGAGTCCTGTTACTGTGGGAGGATATGCAGCTATGAGTGAGTACAGCCCCCGCCTAATGTCTGCCCCTCTTCCCCTGTGCTGAAGCCCAGGGGTCAAAGTCCAGCACCAAGAACTCTGGGCCTGGACAGTTAGGAGCATGTGGATGGGACCATAAACACACTGTTAAGATGGCGTGTGTTCGTGCATAAGAGAAAGGATTTGTTTAGGAGATGAACAGTAAAAATCAGGATTGTTTACTTAGGAAATCAAGAGGTGTCAACTGGCCTTAAAGGAAAAGGGGACTTGGCCTCGGGGACACAGGCCTGCTTGTGTTTTTGTGTGTGTTTCACAATGGTGCTAGTCCACTGTGTGCCTTTCCAGTGTATATGCCGAGGACCGGACCACGATCGAGAAATCCAAGAGGTGAGGTTGAAAATCTCAGGCTGGCTGACCGACTTTAACAAAACTTTGGAAAGAGTAACAAAAGCTTCTGCGTGTGAAGTTACCTGGTGGTGCACATGTGGTGTGATAACATTTAATTGTGGGTTCTATTTAGCTTTAACTTTGGTTTGAGCCCGATAAGCGTAGAAACCGTATTGTGTTGGGTTTGTGTGAGCTCAAATATAGTGATATCGTTGTGGAGTTTCTGATTTAAGTGAATTGAAGTAGTTTCACTCTAATTCTTGTGGTTCTACTTTGAGATCCAACCAAGAAACTTGCACATATTAGGAGCTTTTATGACATGCAGCACCATTTTGCTCTGTTTCTGATTAACAGATGTTCTTTCCAGCAGAGGTTATGTTCTTAATCTCTGTGAACTGCAGATCACTGAACATTGTGAAGTCTTTATTAAGTTTTCAACCTTTTTTCTTCTCTTTAGATGACTGTGGACAAACAAGAGTCAGAAGTAATCCTCCAAACAGAAGAAGCCTCATCAACAGCCAGCTGTACCCCCCCTATCTCCCCCACATGCTCTTTAGAGTCTCCCACATCATCCACATTGCCTACAGATGCTTCCCCAGATTCCGCTGAAATATCCTACGTCAAGCCCAGAAGAAGGGCTGGGCGTCCGAGACCTCGGCCCATCTCTGATTATGCACAACTCGTTTCCCGGAAGCACTCCATCCCTGAGGAAGTGGCAGAACTGTGTTCTGAGGACAGGACAGCAAATGCATCACCTCATAAAGACTGCAGCGCTAATAATATTAGAGAGAATGGAGGGAGCCCTGGGAGCTGCAGCGAATCAGACGGAGACGTTCAAGGGAGTAGACAACGGCCTGTGTCAGTGATAGGAGTCGTGGATCTGTTGTCTTCTGATGCAGAGGGGAAAGATGACAGCCTCCCATCTGTAAGCAGTCATAGTTTTTTTTACCTACCTAGTAAAAATCAGTCTGATGCAAGGAGTGCCACAGAGTCAGTAAATTACAGAGGTCTTTGCAAGCTGAAGAGAATTCTGGTCATGGTTCTTGTCATACCCTCTGTCCTTTCTGCCTCTGCTTCCATTTACATTGAGGAAAAACCCCAAAAGAACATGTTTAAAGTACAGACTGGATTTCCAAAACATAATAACTGAAGAAATGGCAGTTTAATTATAGATATAATAATAGAGAGTTATCACCCTCATAGAAATGAAAACTGAAGGTTTTTTAATTGATCAGATTCCCATTCCCCATATAATTAAAAACATTTTTGTGACTCTAAACAGGTAAAAATCACAGATTAGTATATCTTTGTGGTATGTCAACTAACAGTTTTACAGTATTTGAAATGCAAGTAGAATTTTCTATAGCTGTGCGTCCTGCATTTTAATGTTTGAACTAAATACAAATTAGAAAACTCTGCAGAGGTACAACAATAGTTGTTGAACCTGGGCTCTGGAATAAGAATGTTCTAGTCCCATTGAGTCAGAACACATTTTTTAATGTCTCCTCCATTTCCTGTCCTCCAAATTTTGCCTAAAACTCTGGCGGCATCCAGCTCAGAATAATTGATCATGGTCTTCTACTTTAGTGTTATCTGTTAAGGAGCTGCAGGTTTATTTCTTTGAAACATTGAGTCATCAGGCGGCTAAAGCCTGAGAAAGTGAGGTCCAGCTAAATCCCAGGATATTTTTCTCATCTCCTCTGCAGCCTCTGTCGCGGCCACCAATCCCTTCCCACCAGGTTCCCCCCTACAGAGCGGTGTCAGCCAGGTTTCGCCCCTCCACCTTCTCTCAGAGCACCCCCATCGGACTGGACCGCGTAGGTCGGCGCAAACTCCACAGAGTGCTCAGCGGTGAGAACCATGTTACAGCCAGTGGGGAAAAAGCTGAGTCTGGGAATGTCAATAAGTGTGTTGGAGGGAAAATGTTGGTGCTGAGCCCGGTGTGGGTGTGCCTGCATCTGTTGCTTGTTTTCCTGGATTCTCTAAATCCTTTTCAGACAGTTTTCAGCTCCACGAGGGATTCTTCAACTTTCTGCTTGTGTTGCAGATGGTGTGTCAGAGTGCTCGGCAACTCTTGATGACAGCGTAAGTGAGGAGGAGGAGGGAAGCTTCGATGAGCTCACTGAAGGCACACCCTACCTCCAGCCAGGGGTGGAGCTTTCTGTGCTCAACGAGGTGAGGCTCAGGCCGGAAACTTGTCACGTTGAAGCAGTTGTAGCTCTATCTTCTCCAAGAATGTGTATCTGACTTATGATGCAACTGTCATCCCGCTGCTGCATGTCTTGTGAACAACCATGTGGAATGATTTTATGTGTGCGGTTTCAAAATGTTTGGCGGTGGTTCAACTGAACAGACAACCACCGCTGTGTCCTCAAGTCTAGACATAATCTGACATGTTGGACATGGGCTGAGCCTGCATGTAATTGTATATTTATCTGTGTGTGTGTGCCGCTCAGTGGATAAGCTGTGGCCACACAGTGTGTGCCGAGGCACTCTGGGACCATGTGACCATGGAGGAGCAAGAGCTGGCATTCAAAGCCGGAGACGTTATCCGTGTCCTGGATGCCTCACACAACGACTGGTGGTGGGGTAAGGGGGCCGACAGGGAGGCCTGGTTCCCCTCCAGCTTTGTGAGGGTAAGTGGACTTCCTGACCCGTGTGTCCGGCGTATGTTTGCTCTCATGCAGCACAGAAAAGCCTCGCAAACTGGCTCAGCTCCAAACAAACCTCAGCAGTCCTCTTGACGCTGTGTGTGGAAAGCCCGCAACCTCAGAGGTTCAACTGGTTTCTGTGGGGACCACAGCTGATTGACAGTTGAGTCTTAATCAGGCAGAGGGCGGTAACCATGGTGAAGTTGTTTGATTGGCAGATGGGCGTCTGCTGTGTAATTGCTTGAAGCTGAATCAAGGTTGCAGAACAGGAGCTGGTTAAACTTGCATGTTACCGTAGCGATAAGGAGTAGTCTTTTGTAGTCAGAGCAGCTATTGTTCTTTTTTTTTCTGTAAATCACAAAAATATGATGAGTACAAAAAATATGGAGATTTAGGGGGAAAACTATGGCTAAGCATGATTCAGTGAGACACTCCCCCTGTTTTGAAATGATTTCGCTGCTGCTTAGGAGGTTACTGTGTGTGGTGGACATATTTCAGGTGCGAGTGAATCAAGAAGACTCCAGTACAGAGAGTGTGGAGAGCGTTGTGGACCAGGAAGAGCCAGCTCCAAGAGACACACACAGCACTCAGCACAAGGAGCAGATGAGAACCAATGTGGTTCAGGAAATCATGAATACTGAACGCATCTACATCAAGCACCTGAAAGACATCTGTGAGGTACAGTTGAATATTCATGTTTCTGGCAGCTGCTTTGGTGATAAATGTGAAATTTGAAGCTTAATTTGTTTTGAGTGTTGCTGATAGAAAAGCTTAAGGCATCCAAACCTAAAATCGTTAAGTCTAACAACCGGCACCTCCTGTTGGCCAGTACTTGAACTGTCTCCATCCTCTATGCATGTGTGTGTCTGTCAACAAATTGCTTTTTTGTAACTTTCAGGGTTACATCCGTCAGTGTCGCAAGCACCCGGACATGTTTACTGAGCTGCAGCTGAAGACCATCTTCAGTAACATAGAGGACATTTACAAGTTTCAGAGGCAGTTTGTCAAAGAGCTGGAGAAGAAGTACAACAAAGAGCAGCCGCATCTCAGTGAAATAGGATCCTGTTTTCTCTTGCAGGTTGCAAACACACACAAACCCACTCTCCTATTCACCTAATCACTGTGAAGCTCATTTATTCACCAAATTTCACAGCTCAGATAACTTAATTTCATTAAATGTCACTTCTCTTTTCAAAGGGAGAGGGCTTCTCTATTTACTCGGACTACTGCAACACTCATCCAGCAGCCTGTGCCGAGCTGCAGCGCCTCATGAAGTCAGGAAAATACAAACATTTCTTCGAGGCCTGCAGGCTCCTCCAGCAGATGATCGACATTTCCATCGCTGGGTTTTTGCTCACACCTGTCCAGAAGATCTGTAAATATCCTCTACAGCTGGGAGAACTTCTCAAGTACACCCCTAAAGACCACAGGTACCACTCGGCAGTAACCTGATATCACCATGACAACAATCTTAAAATTATTGAATTTTGTGCTGTAAATTCTGTTTTTTCACTTGGCTTGATTGATTACAGTGACTATGAAGGAGTGAGTGAAGCATACGAGGCGATGAAGAATGTGGCCAGTTTGATAAACGAGAGAAAGAGGCGGTTAGAGAGTATCGACACCATCGCTCATTGGCAAATGGCCATTCTGCACTGGGAGGTAAAGATGACGAATAGTTCTTCATGTCTTAAGTTAATTAAATGAGGTCTGTGCGTGTGAAGAATATGAAGTGTGTCAAATAAATTTCTTCTGTGTCTGAAGGGATCTAATGTGCTGGAGTGCAGCTCAGAGCTGATCCACTCAGGTGAACTCACCCGGGTTGTGCGGCAAGGAAAAATGCAACAGCGCAGCTTCTTCCTGTTTGACCACCAGTTGGTCTACTGTAAAAAAGACGTCTTACGCAGAGATCTCCTCCACTACCGTGGACGGCTGGATATGGACCAGACTGAGGTGGTGGATATGCCTGATGGTCGGGACTCATACCTGGGCTTGACCCTGAGGAACGCTCTGCGGCTGCGCAACGCCTTCACACTGGAGTTTATGTGCGTGCTGTGCTGCAGGAAGACTGAGGACAAGCAGAGGTGGTTACAGGCGTTTGCCAAAGAGAGACACCGAGTGAAGGAGGACCAGGAGATGGGTGAGTCCTGTGGAATTCCTGTCCGTTCTGACGACAAACTTGTACTGTGGGTAAATGTCAGCTCAAGGAGGAAAAGGGTCCAGAGATTGTTCGAAAATGGCGCTGGCTCTGAATATTTTAACCTGAAGGTGTGTTTGTGTGTGTTCTCTGGCAGGAATGGAGATCAGTGAAGAGCAAAGAAAGCAGGCCATTGTAAACGCCAGAAGAGCCAAACAGGGGAAGAACAAAAGTAAGGAAATATTTATCATCATGCAGTTTTCACCTTATTAAATTGTTTTTGTAATTTTGGTTTTAATTTCTGTCTCCTGGTTTCCCTTTCACCCTTTTAGACCTTGGTTACTCTACCGCTGGCCCACCACACCACCAAAACCTCCACCCACTTCATCAGCGTCACATCACTATTCCAACCAGCGTGCCTCAGCAGCAAGTCTTCTCTCTTGCTGAACCCCCAAAACGGAAGCCTTACCACCTGTTGTACAGCATAACCCGCAACGCCTTTTTCAGGAAATGAGGCTGTGCGTCCTCGTCGTTGTTTTTCCTCCTGGTGCACATTCTGAGCATGCCCAAACCGTCCTGAAGACTCAAAGAACACTTGTTTTTTTTTCATGTGTGTTTCTCCTGCCTGTGAATGTTTTCTTTCTTCTCCTCGTGTGTCTTCTCTTTGTATCAGTTTTTGCTGCATTTTGAACTTCAGTGCCTCCACTTTTAAAAGGGCATGACTTAAGTGTTAAAATACTGACTGTCCATTTTGTTAGTGTGTTAAAGATGCTGCTCACTCAAAAAGAGTCCCACCCTCTCTGTCTTGTTAGTTCCAGTTTTTTTTTATTATGTTAATTATGACAAAGATGTATATTCCGCTTTTACACTGACAAACATGGTTTTAGTTTATTCCACAAAGGCTGGACCCTTTTTTGCTGTGAGTCTGACAACTCTGAGCACAAAACGGTCAGAGGAAAAATGAACTGACACTTCACCTTCCCTGTTAACCCTGTAAATAAAAACTCTTGTACAAACATATCAAATGAAAATAATTCTTTCCTTGTGCATGAAGAGGATGTTTTATCATGGAAATATTGTAGACTTTGAAGCCTCTGAATATAACCGCGTGAATGCAGTAGAAGTTTATGAATGAAACATTAGCTGTAGCTCTCGAGGAGGTGCATTACCGTCACAGAGCTGCCCATTCCTCCACCGCTTGCCTGTGCTGAAGGATCTGGTTTCACACACCTGTCTCCTCGACTGTGCGTTTAAACAGTGAGCTGGTGGCTTTCCGCGGTTTGTGTCTCCTCATGTTGGTCTGCGGCATTTTTCTTCTCAAGGAAAAGAGAGTGGATCTCCAAAGACCAGGAAGTAGATGATAGAGGCCTGAAGCGATGCCTTTGTCATGGGCACAGAGCATGAGGAGAACGAGCCAACAAAGGGAGATGATCCATCTCAACAGGATGCTGTCAGTGTGAGTATCTCCTCCTGGGAACGGTCTCATTTCTCTGCAAACATTTTGATGTAAGATGTAAAGTATTTTCAAATTCCTCTGTTAAATTTTGATCAGGATGACGGCCATTTCTCTAACAAGATCCTGAAGATTTTAGTAGATGAGTCTAAATCAACACGTCGCTATTACAGATTAAATTTTGGCTTTAACAGGTTGAACGTTTTTCCCGTGGGAATCTATATCCTGCTAACTTGGGATGAATTAAGTGCTGCTTGCACAGTATGGGATGACACTAGATGAATAATACATGTGTGTTTGGTAACTCAATGAGTGCTGAGCGCTGCATACGATGTCACTGTTACTGGTTGTCAGGCATTACCCTCATAAACTCAAGTGACCAGTAATGGAGGCCATTACCAGCGAACACAAGCTTACATCACTGGCGGCAGACCAACGGCTCTATCTATGTAACATTTCCCTTTTGAACGTCTATGAAAACTTTTCTTTCCAAACACTTGCTCAGCTCTTCCTCTCTGCATTCAGGATTGATTAGCATATTGTTCACCCTACTGTAATGCAAACTAGCTGACCTGAATAAGATAAAGTGATAAGAGGAGAATGGCGGCAGCAGGGTTATGCCCTTTTGATGTTCCACTGGTAATTTAACCTACGTAAGCTCCTCAATGAGAGCCAGTGGCGCCTTTGTGTTCCTCAATTCCACCATTGACTCCTACGGGCTCTTTGGTCCCTTGTCAAACGCTTGATGACAGACTTACTGTATCACGTTTGTGACTTTCACATTATTCCAGCCATTGACCACATCCCTGTTACAATCCACTCAGACCGAAATGGCTTTTTAAAAAGGGCAAGTTCAATTTACTGTTACTGTGATGACCCTCTGGCATTAGAGAGCAAATGTGAGCCCCTGTATGGCTGTAGATTGCAGATGTGTCTGTGGAGGTGGCCACAGTGGACCACACTCTGCAAAAGCTCCGCAGGATGTACAGAAAGACGAGACGGAAGCCCAAGGGGCTCCAGAGGCTTTGGGTCCGTCTGCTGAACATCCCCCACCTCGCTGTCATCATCGCAGCTGTGGTGTTTGTGGTAGTGGTGATCATGTGGTCGCTGCTCTGGGTCTTCATCTGTAAGTAAAATGGTTCCTCTGTTTCAAGACTCATCAAAGCTCCTGAGGTTTAGTGAGTAAAATAACAAAATGTCTTTATTCTTAGTCCGCAGAGAAAGCAACAGTGGGGTGTATTTTGCCGGTATGTTCCGTGTTGCCAATGTGGAGTTTATCCCGGAGTATCGCCAGGCAGAGTCTCTTGAGTTTGTCTCTATGGCAAACAAAATCCAACATGTGGTAGGTATCAGTGTAACCCTGTTATTCACTAGTTGGTCCCTGCTGAACACAAGATCTAAGAAAGTCTTTGTGGTAATTGCTGGTGTCTGCTGATGCAGGTGAGCAATGTGTACAAGATGTCCTCAGTGGCCAGACTCTACAAGCAGGCAGTCATTTCAGACCTCAGGTACAGCGGCTCTGTTATCTCTGTTATTGGTGTGTAAAAGCAAAAGGAGCTGATATTTATGTTTGTGCTGTTCATTCCAGGTTCTAGTGTCATCACGCCCTGTTTTTAACTTGCTCTATAAATTCTCTTTTACAGTAACAACAACAAAGGCGGTGTGTTGGTTCATTTCTGGATGGTGTTTGTGGTCCCTCGACTGAAGAGCACAGCAGTGTGTGAGGAGTGTGTAGGAGCTATTTTCAAAGACTCGGTCCACACCAGCATGAAGAACAGGTCCTCTGTGGGTTACCTCCTGGGTCTTCCAGTCGATATAGACTCCATCCTTATTAACGGTATGTCACTGTATTCAAACAGGCTTTAAAATGTCCTCGATGAATGCAGAGATTTATGATTGTGTGTTTCTGCAGCTGTTCAGCGGTCAGATTACTCATCCAATGGAGCAGGTAGGAGTCAAAACTTGCCTTCAAATTTTCCCTGCAATACAAAGAGTATAAAGAGTGTTTTTTTTCTTCTCTCCTCACAGGTTCTCAGTGTGTAGATAAGCTGTATGCCAACCTTCCTGGGACGAGTGTCCCTTTAAATGTCTTCTCCTCATGGGGTGTGACCTGCCATGTAAAACTCACTGCTGTGCCCGGCTCTCTGATCCGTCTGACTGTCTCTTCCTTCCTCATTGAACCCAGCGACTGTGTGAACGATGCCCTGACTGTGTACGACGCTCTGCTGCCCATGAGAGGGCGCATTCTGCACAGGTGAGCCTCCAGCTCATTTCTCTCCTCGTGAGTTTAGACGTTTCATGTATTGAAGAGTATCTCTCTTCTGCAGGCTGTGTGAGCCGGTGTCCACCTCATTCTCTTTGGTGTCTACCTCTAATGTCATGTTGCTGTCCTTCAGGATGACTAACGGCAACAAAGTCTTCAGAGGACACTTTGAGGCCATTGCTGAGGAAAGTATGTCACATCTGCACAGAGGTTCCTGTCTCTTTGTGGCTTTTGCCCAAGTCTTCACAGTTTAATTATTGTCTCCTCAAATTGAATTTTAAGTAGTCTTAAGGGATAAAACTACAGGCAAGTTCAAAGATTTAAAAAATGAGCCAAGAAAGCTGATGAAAATGAAGTTTATCCTCTCTCTTGTTGACTTGATTATCTTTTGATCCCTTTTGGCCTTGAGTCTGGGGCTGAGAGTTGAATCCTGTCTCTGTTTCCCTAAGTATGTTTGTCTCAAATTGAGACCCAGTTAAAGCCTGACATCTCTGGCCAGATCTACAGCCCCTTCTACCCCAGCCTTTCACCCCCACAGTGCGCCTGCACCTGGAAATTCAAGGTACAGTACGCACTTACACACACATACAGGCTGAAATCAAGCTAGCTCTTTGCTAAAGTGACCAATGACTGAAAACTGATTTTTATCCTCTTTGTATGTTGTTCCAGACCCCTGGTAGGAATTTAGGAGTTGCATTGCACTTTCAAAACTATGTCCTAAAACCAAAGAACTTGAAGGCTTGCGATCAGGGCTGGTGGAGGATCAATGAAATCATGTATGTGGACACAACAGCAACATAAATAACAGTTTAAAGGAAAATCCATCTCAAAATATCAACAAAACACTCTTTCCTGTAATTTAATCAATTTTCAACACATATCTCTGAAAAAAGACACTGTCTCCTTTGGCTAAAAGTACATTTCCTCTGTAATGGTAGAATTTATTTACACTTAAAGTTGTTGTAGAGTTGTATCTGCTTGTTCATTGGCCTGTTCAGCACAATAGTACCCTTTGATGATTTCTGACGATCGCTCTCCTCCATCAGTTTCTGTGGCAACTACGTGGGACACCAAACCACGTTTCGGATCTCTGACCACAGCCCAGAGGTGGAGTTTCGCTGCAGCTCACGTAACTCTGCTCAACCTTTTCAGGCATCTTACAGCAGCTACAACATCAGCCAACGTAAGTACTGCAGGGCCAGTACAGCAGAGAAGATACACAGCAGAAAAATGCAGAATAAAAGTCTCAAAGGTGCTTTGTTGTACTCAAGAGATGCAGCTGCTGAAGAACGTTGTTTGGCATTGGATGCTAAAAATTAAAAAATTAATATGCTTTAGGAGAATATACTTTTTAATGCACTGCTGGGATGTTACATGACTGGAATAACATTTTGATCTTTACTCCATTAAATAACTATAATCTACATCTGAGCAGCCTGATCAGAGAAGCTGATCTGTCTCAAAAGAAGCAGGAAAAATTAACATTTGCTTCTGATGTTTTATTTTTTCTTTAATTTTTGTTTCTTTTTACTTTCTTTCCTTCCAACAAAAAATATGTAAATGTAAATGTAAATGTTATTTATTTATGCAGCCCTTTACAACAACCCTTTCGGTGAACCAAAGTGCTTTACAATACATAGTAAATAAAAATGAATAATTAAAAACAATAAAAAGCAAATAAAAACAATAAAAGCAATTTTAAAAAAGAATAATATACAATGCAATAAAATAAAGTGTCATTGCATTTAAAAAGGCCCAGGTCAAAAATAAATCTGATTTCGGTGCGGAGCTTATTCCAGAGCCTGGGACCAGCAACTGAAAAGGCTCAGTCACCCCAGTGTTTGTGTTTTCATCTGGGCACTTCCAGTAGAAGTTGGTTTGACTACCTCAGAGCTCTACCCGGCTCCCACATGTTAAAAGCTCAGTTAAATAGATGGGGATGAGGCCGTTAAGAGCTTTAAAAACAAACATTAAAAATTTAACATCAATCCTAAAAGAGACGGGAAACCAGTGAAAGGAGCTAAGGACAAGAGTGATGTGCTCACATCTGTTAGTGTTAGTTAAAAGCATTTTGCACAAGTTGAAGATGACTAAGAGATGATTAGGAGATGCCAACATAAAGTGCATTACAATAGTCTCATCTTGAGCTGATTAGAGCATGGATGACTATCTACTATAGTACAATAGTATCTATATACTATAATCCTTCTCTTCACTCTCACATGTTTACCAGCCTGTCCAGAGAGCCACTTCCTGTGCTCCACAGGACTGTGTGTGGAGAAGAGCAGACGCTGTGATGGTCTGGATGACTGCCAGGATGAAAGTGACGAGGTCTTCTGCTGTGAGTCATCTAACAAGCTTAATAAAACCGGTTGTTTAAAAAGTAAAGTCTTGCATACAAAAATCTTTTATGTCTTCACAGCAAGGCCAACCAAGAACTGTGGAGGCAAGAGTCCTCTGCATCCTTTGTTCGTGTGCAACGGAGAGAGTGACTGCAACAATGGCAGAGATGAGATCAACTGCACTCAAGGTAAGACTTTTTACTCTTATTTTAAACGGTTACATCAACAATTACTGAGCAATAATGATACTGTCTCTGTCAGAAACAACCTGCTCTGCTATAAGGTATCAGTGCAACAGTGGCTCCTGCATCTTGAAGAAAAATGCTAAATGTGATGGTGTTTATGACTGTCGGGACCGCAGTGATGAGGCAGACTGTGGTAAGTGATCCGATTTTTCCTGCGCAGGCTGAAAATGTGCAAGTTGCAGTTGGAGTAAGAAACTATTATATGATATTTTTCTACATTAAAATTACAAGACAACATCAACATTTTTTCTTCAGAGTAGATAAAACTTAAACTCCTGTTATTATCCTAATTGTTTTCCTTCTTCAGTGAATAAGTTCTCCTCATCCATGATCAAACACAGATGAACTACTTCTTAATAAAACCTTGTGTACATAGTGATTAAACTGTACCCACAGTGATGGATCATTCAAGTAGCCTCATGAGAAAGTTGTCGTAATTTCACAATTCACTGGGCAGTCAAGTGCCAACCTGCCGACCCGCAGCGCAGAGGTGACCCAGCCGTACAAGCAGCTTCACTGTTTGCTTTTGTTTCATAATGGTGGGATATTAAGGCGATGGGAACAGGCCTGTCTTTGATCACACACTGACACTGGGTTTACTGTACACGTACCTATCACACAATATTAGAGTTCTACTTTTAAAGTGGACATCTTTTTGATGGACTGATGATTTTGCATGCCTTCATAGTGGACTTTGTAGGTGTACAAGCACATTTGAGCTGAAAACTGAAACAAGAACACTTGGCTTGGATGACCCCTGATCAGAACCGCTAACGACTCATGATTATGATAGTTATATTGAATTTATAATGCAATCAAAATAAAGCAGCAAATGGTCTATGAACCCCAGGCCAGCAGAGATGTGCATGCACACGAGTTCAGTGAAGTTAAAGCAGCATGATGATCATATCCATCTGTGCGTGTTTTCCTGTCTAGTCTGTGGTCATCCCTCTGTTGTGAAGAAAGTCGTTTCACCAAAGGGACAAGAGCGTATTGTGGGTGGGGATAACTCAGTGGAGGGGGAGTGGCCATGGCAGGTCAGCCTCCACTTCTCTGGTAACCTGTACTGCGGTGCCTCAGTCCTCTCCTCTGATTGGCTCATCTCAGCAGCACACTGCTTCAGCAAACAGAGGTCAGTGCGTGTTACCTCAGCCTCACAACACATTATTGTACTGGCAACTGGACTTTCACTGAAAAGACAGATTTAATACAAAGATTTTAAAAAATTAAAGGAAAAATGTTTTTAAAAATGAGAATTATGAATTAATAATCACAAATTAAATCTCTGAAAAAAATGTTACATAGTATTAGATTGTTTGTATTATTCCTCTCTTAATTCATGTGACACTGAAGTCAACTCAAGAATCACAATCATTTCTTGACCCCATCTGTGACCCCTCACCTTTGACTCCTCCAGACTGTCTGACCCACGTTTCTGGAGCGCTCACCTCGGCATGCTGACTCAGGGCAGTGCCAAACACGTGGCAGAGATCCAGCGGATTGTGGTGCATGAGTATTACAATGCGTACACGTTTGACTATGACATCGCTCTGCTGCAGCTGAAGAAGCCCTGGCCTCCCTCCCTCAACCCACTGGTGCAACCTGTGTGTCTGCCTCCCACCTCCCACACTGTCACCCAGAGCCACCGCTGTTGGGTCACTGGGTGGGGGTACCGCTCTGAGGATGGTGAGAAAACTTTAATTTTCCTTTCTATTTTCTTTGGGTGTCACTATTTTTATTTCCATTTGTTTCACTGACAGTGGCAATCAGTCAAATCTTATCTCTAGCATATTCAAATGCCACTTTCAAACTAGATGTCACACACTGCAAAGGCGTGTTTCTAAGAGGAATCTAGCTTCTTTGAGCTTTTGAACTTCCCTAACTGTGTCACATGCATCTCATTAACTGTCAAAGACAACCAGAGACATGCAAAATACTGCAGACAAAATACTGCAGATATTTTTATGTCCTGATATATCTTAATGCCTTCAGTGTCTTTATCTCTACCTGTGACTGTCCTGTAAGTTGCATCACACATCTTTTATAAGCTTCCAAAGTTGCATCCTCATCCATAAAGAACATTTTATGAGTAATTCTCCTCAGCTTTTTAGTTAAAGTACAAAACTTTTTTCTTGTAATCGATCATTATGATCTTTCCACACCTCCCCCACTGCAGACAAAGTGCTTCCCTCTGTGCTGCAGAAAGCAGAGGTGTCCATAATGAGTCAGACTGAGTGTAAGAAGAGCTATGGACCTGTCTCACCCCGCATGCTGTGTGCAGGGGTCTCCTCTGGAGAGCGGGATGCCTGCAGGGTGAGCTCACATCTGTCTGCTTTGTGCACCTGTATTTTCATTTATACCAAGAGATGAGACATTGAAAGTATCTGAAAGTGCTTTTCTGTATCTTTCTTTGTGACCCAGGGTGACTCAGGGGGCCCTCTGACCTGTCAGGCTCCAGGCGGAGGTCGCTGGTTCCTCATTGGCATTGTGAGCTGGGGGGCGGGCTGTGGCCGACCGAACCTACCTGGGGTCTACACCAGGGTTAACAAGTTCACCTCCTGGATCTACAGCCATATCAGCTGACATCATGACATGGGACCCAATTCATTCACTGCCAGTAGAAATCTGAAATATTTGTCACATATATGAGACAATAAAAGCATCAGCTGAAAAACGTGTCCTGTGCATTTTTTAAAGCTAAACAATGACTTTTTATGGTGTGAACTTTCGCCAGAGTAAGTACACACAAAAAATTGCTGGGTTGTTTTTCCAACCCAACCACTAGGTTGAGTCTGTTGGTCAATTTATTTGGGTTATTTTTATGGGGTTGGGTAATCTGAGTACCCAATTTGCAAGGTTATATATGTTGGGAACAGAGTTATTAGCTGTTGGGTTGTAATTTCTACACAGTTTTGTTGGTTTATTTTATATCTACATTAGGTAGATGTTCATGCATTTGAAACCAAGCACCATCCACTCACTAGATTGATGCCACAACTGCCAAATTGAGGAGACATAGAAAGCAAGCTTTGTGACATTCCCACAATTGCTTTACCACATAAATGACTTGATATTATAACATAGACCCTCATTTTGTTGTTAAATGCCCTCTTACAGCCATGGCATTCCATGGAAGGGCAGGGAACCCTCAGAACAGAGCCATACCGCCAATGTAAAAATGTTCGCTTGTAATAAATGATTAATTTTGACTAAAGTGATCCTGACTGAAGTGCTTTAAAAGACTACCATCCTCAGGGACCCTCTGAGGATCATTTTTTGTCCTCCTCCAGCCTCACAATGCAGTTATAAAATTTAGTGCCAGATTAGTAATTGCAGCATCTGTCCTGCTTTGCACCCTTACAGAGCACCCCTGGGCACAGCAGCTTAGCTTCAATTGTAAAACCTCCTCGCACACGTTTCCCTCAAGCACTCTTTTGTCCCTCCAACCTTTTCTCCCGCATACACAGAGAAGTTTGCCCACAATATCTGTCGCACGGATGGCTGTGCGGATTGAACCCTTTCATAGTGCACCCATTGTCCCCCGCACTGCATTCTGGGGCTCCGTGTGACACCTGCCGCCCAGTTCAGGTAAGCGGGAGGCGGTGAAAGCCCGTCGCATCCGAGCCGCTCAGGTCGGATTTCTGCACTTTTTTTTTCAAAGGAAGCGACAGTGGGGGTTTCCTCTCTCCCTCTCTCTCCATCGTATGCTTGAGGTATTGTTGCATATCGCCTCTCCGGAGCTGAACGGGACAGTGCTATGAGGACTCTCCCTAAAAGCAAGACTTGTGAAGTGTACTTCGTCTCCGGGCATGGACGTTCAAGCTGCTCCGCTGCACAGGTGAGCCATTTTTATCACAACCCCAAATGAGGCTTTGCTTTATAATGAACCACTTTCTCTTTATCTCAACCTTTCCTCATCAGTTGGGTCTTTAGACTTGTGTAAAGTTATAAAAAACGGAGTCAGTCATTGTTCCTCTTAATTGTAAAATCCGTCTCTAAGGGTGTGGGGGGTCTCTTTCCTCTGAATGTCCGAGTCGGCGTGAGCCACTTGATTGAGTGCTGACACCGCAGAGCCAGGCCGTGGGAAAGCAGACTCTCCAGCCACGCTTTGTCTGCTCCCCCGGGGAATCCTGCCAAGCCCTTAAATGTTTAAGGAGATCCTTTCAGCTCAAAGATGCTCACGGTTACTCTCAATAAATCAGAGTCTGCTCAGCCATTAAATCTGTCTCATTGATTTTGGCAGATTTTCTTCTCTGCCCCCCTCTGCTGTGCTCTCATAAAGCTGAAAGCCAAAACAATTAGAAGCAACCTGAGCAGAAACCATAAATGATATTTGAGTCATGTTCTTGTTTCTTGAAGGGAGAGGGGGAGCTGAAGGAGCCCACCCAGTCACAGAGCCCCCCCACGAAGCTGGAGGAGAAGGTGGAGGGGGGGCAAGCTGCAGCCTGTGGCTCTTGGAGGAGATGGATGTTAGGTCTGCTGCCTTTCTTTCCCTTTACTGCCGCCATTGCACTCACTCTCCACTTTTTAACGTGTGAGTATACAGACCTGCTTTTAATTTTACTCTCAGACCTTTCCTTACATTGTGTTTATTTTGACTCAGATTCACCTGTCTCAATCCCCCTCCTCCTCCTCCTCAGCTCCGCCCTCTTCAGTGTTCTTCCTCGGTGGCTGTGTGGAGTTCCCAAACTTGAGCTTCACCTCAGAGCTGATTGACTCCACCTCCCCTCAGTTCCGCCTGCAGGCTCAGGCTTTGAACCATTATGTAAGTGGGATGCTGGATTTCTATGTCACTACACCAGCTACAGGTGCCTCTCTGAATCTGATCATGCTCTTATTTTGGAGGGTTCACTAATGCAGGCTGTTAGTCAATATTTTCTTAGACTTTCCAAACAATTCTGCCCCTCTGCGCCTCTATTCTTGTCCTTATTTGCATCCTTTTTAAAATTCCTTTCTTCTTTATCAGCTCACTCTTTCTATTTTTTCTTCCTGCACACCACTTTCTCCATTTCTTTGTCTCTCTCTGGTGTTAAATGTAAAGCTGAAACCAGAGCTGGGCACTGTGTGTGAGTGTGTGTCTGTGTGTGTGTGCGTGAGTTCCCCCAAACCCCTTGGGACAGGGCCCTTTCAGGGCTGAGGACAAGCCCGGTATTTGTGAGCCCAGCTAGGCCCAGGCAGCAAGAGTGAGAGGAAGAGCAGGCCTTCAATAAAAACATTGTCTGTGTGGCTTTCACACAATCAGCTGCTCTGTGCGCTGCACGCTACAGAGAGGAGGAGAACCTCGGTTTGATGGGGCTGAGAGGGAGAGACAGGGCAGTAGGGCAGGACGGGACGACGGGAGGATCGGGGACAGAGATATGAGAGGGGGAATTTGGGTTTTGGAGGAAAAGGTCAGACACATGGCAGGAAGTTATTTGCAGCGTTTGTTCCAAAGTTGATGTCACTAAATCCTTAAAAAAGGGCAGTAAACCGGCGTAATGTCCCTTTAATCAGCTGTGAGCTTTCAGGCTTGTTAAGTGGACATAGTATCTGTGCGGCCATCTGTTCATTAAAGAACAAGTGAACTCAAGGCCAGCAGCCCATACCACCCAGGTCCTACCGCTACATGGCCGGCAGGTACAGACACAAAGGAGCTCTGTGCTGCTCAAAGTCAACATACACACAAGCAAGGTTTGATACACTCTCTCTCTCTCACACACACACACAGAAACACACACAGACACACACACTAGAACAATGCTTTTGAAACAGAGCTCAGGCCGCATTATCAGCCAGGCGTGCTCATGTGTTACTAACACAGTAACGCTGACCTCACTTGCACCGCTGTGATGTCACACCTACACTACTGTACAGTATGTGCGTCAGTGCGTCTCTTTGTCTGTTGAAAACAGTTCTCAGAGCTCTACGAGTCCTCGCCATGGAGCTCTTACTACCTGCACTCAGGGATCACTGCCTTCAGGTATGCTACACCTGCTAATGAAGCGTAACTCATTCACAAGAGTATGAGAGCAGCATACTCAGCTGTGTTTTACAACCTTTGTCTGACAGTGAAGGAGCAGAAGGGCTCAACGTCTTCTACTGGAGTCAATTCTCCGTCCCGGATGACGTCGCCATGGAGATCAGGGGGTCCAGCCCAGAGAGGCTGCAGCGAAGGCTTCCAGGCAGCAACAAGGTGCTGCGAGACAGCCGCTATGAGCAGCGCTATTACATGGAGCGAGATGACGACATGCTCCACCTGCTGGGTACAGACTGTGCACAAACATTAACCGCATGCAGACAGTGTGTGTGTGATTTTTACATCCCAACTTAAGCCCTCTGCTTTTTTTTTAGCATGATGCATGTTAGCCTCAGACAATAAGAGCAGAAACTTGAAAATCAGGCTAAAATAAGCATATTACAACAACTTTAATGCTATTACCTGGTAATAACTGAAGTTGTCCAGTTCCAACAGCAGGGGTTTTGCAAGTATGCCAGTTAATTTACTTATTCAGAACTTTATTTCCTATGTCACACTATGGGAGCATTTTTGCCTTTTATTGATTTATAGGACAGATGAGGAGAGACCGGAAATGCAGGCGTAGAAAGTTGGGAATGACATGCAGCAAATGGTTGTGGCCAGAACACAAACCAGCAAATGTAGGGATGAGGGCATGAGTGCACACTTAAACCACCAGGCCAACCGTGCTCTGACATTACTTTTTTAAAGCACTGAAATTCTGGTTGTACTTTGTATTCTGTACTGAGGGTGAGGCGGCAGTATTTGTGAATCAGAGGAAAATTAGGTCTCCGAATGTGGTTTCAGGTATTTGTACCATTCTCCTGTGTACTTTGACTTCTGTGTGTTTGTGTGTGTTTGTAGGTTTAGACCCTGATGACTTTGAATCTGATGAAAAATCAGACAAGAGTAAGAACCCAAGCAGCATCCAAAGTGGGAAGTGGCAACTTGGTTTCCAAGGTGAGTTTTGCATGAGTCTGATTCAGTTTATTCATCTAAAACATCTTGAATCCACTAGTTGGTGAATGATTAGAAAAGAAGGGAGGATAAGTCTTTTTTTTTATTTGTGTAGATTTGTGTTTTTTTTTTGGTGGCACTCGCTCAGATATATTTCCATTACTTCTTCTGCTTAGCAATGTCCTTTGACCTCTATGCCAAATATGGCAACAACCGCACCCTGAGCCTTGTGAGTCCAAAGAAGCCATACTATCAGTGGCGCCTTCGCGTGCCGTCAGGTCATGTGGTTCGACTTGTTGTCCTCACCCTGCATGGAGCCACCCCAGGAAGCTGCACCGCACACAAGCTCTCAGCCTACGACTTCTTGCTCCCTCTACAGAACAAGATCATCGCCAGGTAAAAACTTTTCATTGCTCTTTTATCCATGCGGTATTTTCTAAAACATTCACACTGATCTTTGTAAAATATGATTCACTTACATCATTTCTCCAGGTGGTGTGGGCTGCCTCTTTCAGGTTCATCCCCTGTCATGAAGTTGACTTCCTCTGGGAATGTGATGTTGGTCACCTTCTCCTTCAGCAGACAGAGGGACGGAGCCATCTTCAAAGCTTACTTCCAAGCTATCCCAAAAGCAGGTTTAGTGTTTTGATGATAAAACAAAATCCTGCACAGTACCTCAGAAGTGAAAAAGCTTGTGTGATGAGTTGATGTCAACAAAGACAAGAGCTTCCCTGGTGTCATTGGGTATTTCTGTGTATATGTATCTCCCCCTGCAGGTTGTGGAGGGTCAATTACGTCCTGGAACGGCTCTATTTCCTCACCCTACTATCCTGCCTTTTATCCTCCTAATGTGGACTGTACCTGGACATTAAGGGTGAGCAAAAAGCACGGGAAAGAAGTGTAAACCTTACCTGCTTAATTTACACTCAAGATTCCAGCATATGAACTTTTCTCATCTTTTCTCATCTTATCTGATTGTCTATCAGGCACCGTTACCTGGATACCTGATCTCATTGACAATCGTGACGATGGACATTCAGGATTCATCATCAGACGGCTGTGAGAAAGACTGGCTGGACATCGGGGGGTTGAGGTAAGTTGTGAAGCTGAGCTGTGACCCACTTTTTGATCTCCTGTACATTTTTAGGTTTAAAACGTTTTTAAAATCCTCTTATTATTTGCTGCAGTTAAAAGAGAAAATCCTTTTCGTTTTGCTCCTCTGTTCCTAGACTGTGTAATCCAGTGTCAGACAGCAGCAAAAAGAGGGTCTACTCCTCTCCTGTCTCGCTCCACTTCCATTCAGATGAATCTCTCACTCATAAGGGCTTTTACTTGCTCTACCGAGCGTTTTCACCAGAGGGCAGTAAGTAAGATCATTTCCTCTGCTTGATTTTAAACTGCTCTCCTTTGATCGAACTGAAACTGTGTTTTCGAATTTACTTAGAGTCAATTTTTGTCTATCTCTAGCCTGTCCTCGTCAGTTTCGCTGTGGGGATGGGCGCTGTATTCCTCTGAGAAAGGTGTGTGATGGAGTAAAAGACTGCTCGGATGGACGAGATGAGGCAAGATGCTGTAAGTCTTTTGCAAACAGTAAAAGTGCCGTACACTTGACACATTAAGTTTATTATTCTGAACATCGGGGGTGCCAATGTTTTTGTTTTCTCTTTTCCTGTTTTCATACAAACATGTCCCAGCATCCTGCAGGCCAGGTGAAGTAATGTGTGGGAACGGACAGTGTCGGCCTCACAGCAGCCAGTGTGTGAGTCAGAGTACCTGCCAGGACAGCAGTGAGGAGGGAACCTGTGGTGGGTGGACAGTCACTATGGAAACATAAGCATGAACTGTTGTGTATTTGTATTTGTATGATTCAAGCTCATGTGTTTGATTTCAGGAGGCAAATGTTACCACATATGTCCCAACAAGGTCTGTCTGCCCAAGTCATCGGTGTGTGATGGTGTTATTGACTGCAAAGATCGCAGTGATGAATTCAACTGCACAAGAGCATGTGAGTATTTTATCGATGGTCACACCCACAGATCAATTTTAGGCTATTCTTTTAACAATAAAAGTTGTATGTCATCTCTATTTTACCTGTAATCTGTTTCCATATCCCTGAATATGTCTTGAATTCTTCCTAGACATCAAAGGCTGCTCCCCATCCTCTTTCAAATGTGCCAACGGCAAGTGTGTCAATAAGGTTAACCCCGAGTGTGATGGCATCAAAGACTGCTTTGATGGCTCAGATGAACTGCGCTGCGGTTTGTTTACTTACAGAGTTAAACTATAAACCTCCAATTAAAAAAAAAGTCAAACTTTTTAAAGTGAATTGTGTTTTTTTTTTTGTCTGTATCTCCTTCCCTGTCAGGCTGCGGCACCAGGCCCAGGAAGCGTACGAAGATAGTGGGTGGCTCTGATGCTGGATCGGGGTCGTGGCCATGGCAGGTCAGCCTGCAGATGGATCGTTACGGACACGTCTGTGGAGCTACACTGGTTGCTAGCCGCTGGCTCATCTCTGCAGCTCACTGCTTCCAGGACTCAGATGCAATCAAGTAGGAGAGCTGCTCAAAGGTGTCACAGTGATCATCATTATTCCTGCGGACTCATGGATTTTCTGTCTGCAGATACTCAGACGCCAGGGCGTGGCGGGCATACATGGGGATGCGTGTGATGACCACAGGAAACAACGGTGCTGCAACAAGACCAATCCGCCGCATATTCATCCATCCACAGTATGACCAGTTCACCTCTGATTACGACATCGCCCTTCTGGAGCTCAGCGCTCCCGTCTTCTTCAATGACTTGGTGCAGCCTGTGTGTGTCCCTGCACCCTCACACACCTTTACAACAGGGACCAGCTGCTACGTCACAGGCTGGGGTGTCCTCATGGAGGACGGTAGGAGCAGTTAGATAGACTACAGTGAAAGTAACTGAGAGCATGAAGCACTCCTCTCTTTTTTAACATTATTTTGCATATGTCTTTGATTTGATCCAGGTGAACTGGCCTCTCGCTTACAAGAGGCTTCAGTGAAGATCATAAACAGGAACACTTGCAACAAGCTGTATGATGATGCCGTCACTCCCAGGATGCTTTGTGCTGGGAATCTGCAGGGAGGGGTGGATGCCTGCCAAGTGAGTGTATGCATTATGGTTGGTGGGTCTCTGCACAAGTAGGTGTTTCATGAGAAAATACTTGACAGTCTGACACTAATTCCCAGGTCTGCTGAGAAACTTAGTGTTGTAATTTACCTTTTAGTCATAACCACAAAAATGTCAGGTTACCATGGACTTTGTTGGTCTTGTCTTTAACTTAACAAAATAAGAAAAGATTAATTTGTCTTGACTGTGAAGTGTTACTGAAGGCATTTTGAAAAAGTTAAAACGGTTTCTGACATTAAAAATCAAAACAATTATTGAGTAATTTAAAAAATGAGACTCCTTGAATATAAAAAAATAATAGATCAACTAAGTAAAATGGAAGGAATAAATCAACAAAATAACAGGTGAATAAGTTTCGCTTGGGTATAGACCCGCATACAATGACTAAACTTACACTGTCCCTCATTGAAGGACATCACACAGTCTCGTCAATAATTGCCCAGCTAGTAAAATACATGTAGACTTCAAACAATTTAAGTAACTGGGAAATTTATACAATAAAATACAGCTCAACTACAACTGAAGAAGCTAAAGCTAAGCCTCAGTTGCTAATGGCCTCAGAAAACTAGTATTAAACAGCCAGTATGATAGTTAGCTCGTTTATAAGTAATTGATGAATTAAAAGACTCCTATGGTGAAAAATTACAGCTATGAATTCCCCGATTAAACTATCAGCCAGAATGTGTTTAACTCAGATCAGATAATATGTGGTAAAAAGTGTTATTATCTAACTGTTAGAGTCAAACTGTGAAGACTTTTTGTTGCAGAATACCAAAAATGCCAAGAAGTTGAGACCATATCTTCTCTTTCTCTCTTTTGATTTTTCCTTTAGCACACTCTATAAATGACTGAAAAAAATACAACTTCTATCAACATATGCCAAAAATCCAAAGCTGTTGATTAAGTATACACAATAGCCGAGGTGTGTTTTTATTCCCCTCGTGGGTTTTCTATTTGAATGTTTTTAGACCTAAAGTTATGTCACTGTGCGTGTTTATATCCTCAGGGTGACTCTGGAGGTCCATTGGTTTGTCTGGAGCGAGGCAGGCGGTGGTTCCTGGCTGGGATTGTGAGCTGGGGTGAAGGCTGTGCAAGGCTGAACCGCCCAGGTGTCTATACACAGGTAGTCAAATTTACAGACTGGATTCATCTGCAGACTAAAGGACAGGTGTGACAGAAAGCCAAACTCACACGACCAAAACTAGAGACTTAAAAAAAAACGGACTGAGGGTGTTGGATCTAAAGTCAATCTAAAGACTGTTGTTATGATTGTATGACAACAAATTCATCATTTTTGAGAGCCTGTGGGGGAATTTTACAGCCTCAGACCTACAAGCATCCTTGCTGTCTCCAATCCTCTACAATGGCTTTATTCTGACAAGCAAAAACACTTCATCACTTGACCCGTAAAATGAAATGAAATGACTTGGTTTTTCCTCTCTACACATATAACAGAGATAGCCCAAATACATAAGATCAATATACCCAGTCAGCTTTAAATTCTGCTCTGTCTGCACACATGTGTACTCGGGGTCAAAGACACATGATTTAAAGATATGCTTCAATTCTATAAAATAGAATTTCTCAGACACAAATAATAATAAATAAACGATTATAATGCTTCTGCGTGATAAAAAAAAAAAAACAGGAACTACATTTCTAGACACTGAGGCATTTGTTAAATATAGACCGCACTGTCAAAAGTGCAGTCTGCTTTTAACAAATGCCATACAGTAGGAGGCCATACTTGACAAATCACAGTGCACTCAGCAAACTGGACACTTTTCCAAATAAACCAGCAGATCAGCTATTTGCTAAAATTATCATATAAGCTATGTATAGATCTCTATTTTTACAGTGTCCTCTGATGAAATTTATTTTTTTTAGACAAGAATGAAGTTCTTTACGGGAACATTTAACCAGGCATGTACAATCCAGTAAAAAGCAAATACAAACTCTGAGCAGCCTTTAGAAAAAAACTCAACCTTTTCCGAAAACTTGTGTCATGACAGGACAGGTTCTCTTCCTGTGCTCATGTAAATCTGGACAAATGTTTACTGAAGTCCCAACCCTCCTACCTGCCCCTGCCAAAGCCTTCACCCTCAAGGTGATCATGTCATGTCAACAGAAATCAGCTCAGTCATACTGAATGTGGGAAGAGTCCTCCTCCGCTGCATAGAGCGCTCAATTTGTCCATGTACTGTATGTGTGTCCATGGCTCACTGCATATGCTAAAGAGTTGTTATTGTACTGAGTGTGTATGTATGTGTATTTGTATATCATGAGTTTATCTGAGTCATAGCCTTATTTTCAACATATTCTGTTATATAGAAAAGTAAATAATGCCTCCATATGAGGTAATAATATATTTCACTTGTATTATGATTTACCATAATTTATCTGTATGGTGCCTCCTTATAAAGCACCATCGCTGCTGCAGCGGTGTTGGTCCTGGAATAAGGAACAAATAAGATCATCAAAGAAGATGCCTACCATTCTTTGGGTGCAGACACACCTGCATGTTCAACTCTTCTTCTCTCAGTTCAAAATCAGCTCACATCACCACCCTGTGGCCACTTTGCACCATTCTTTCTTTAATGTCTTGAGAGAGTGATGCACCTTACACCCAAAGGACTCTGTTACATGTGTTCTTTCATGCATCACTGTTTAATGCATCATTGTTTAACTTTATATGCCTTTATATTAAAGACACACATTTCAATGCATCTGTAGAGCTACTGTACTTTATTAGGAATTTGATGTTTGTCTGTTATGCTAAACAGTGTCTTGGAAATCTGTTTGTGGTAACTAATTGATGATTTAGACAGAGAGTGCAGTGTTTTGTAGACTGGCTATCATTGACTCAACATGCATTATTCCCTGATGTGGGATAATTGAAGTAGGATGTCACCTTTGAACTGCGGTAACCTCTTTTTAAGAGTTCAAACCACTGCATCTGTATTTTGTGGAATGTGTGACATGCTTTTTCAATGAGCTTGTAACAAAGACAGATTGAAAGTAGGGAATGTGAGGAACGCGCCTGTCAGGTTGATCGTGACACCACCCGTTCCCTCCGGTGTCTACGTGCTGCTCATCTCGTTTACCCATCCACGGTACACTCAAGACTCCGGCACACAGCTGTCCAACATCCCCTCCGGTACGCAGTGGTGCGTAATTCCAGCCTGTGCAAAAAAGGAGATAATTTAGAGAGTCAAAGCTGGGTCATGCGGGAATAAATGTGACATTGCTGTTCAACTACAACTACAGGACTATTTTTGACTTTATAAATATAGTTTTATTGACCCCTTGGTGATCGGCTGATTGACCACTAGGGAGGACTTTGAGGGGGCTGCTGTTACGCGCCCTGGGTGTGTCAGCGGACGTCACGGAAGTCCGCTATCCGCTGGCTGCACTGTGGGAACTGTATAAATCCGCGCCAGTATCCAAAACGATGGGAAAAAGTTGCACTGGAGTTCAAGCGTGGAGTCCTGTTGCGTGATATCCCGCAGCTTCCCTCAGGAAATCTCCATTCACTCACAATCAGCGCCGAGCGCCACAGCCAAGTGCGCTGAGCGCCGTGCTAAATCTGGAGTTGGAAACCATCAAGTGCAGGAATTAAACTCGTTTTTATTTTGTATTTGAAACCTATCTGCTCTACCGGAGTCTCCAAAGATGATGAATTTTATCCTCTTCTGCCTCTTATGTGGATTGTATGGTGTTCTTGGAAAAGGTGAGTAACTTTTACTTTGGTTGATGTATTGCACTGAAAGGTGCACAGAGTGCATGGTGTGAAAATCTAATCTGGTGCTCATTTATCTCACTCTTGTATTAGAACAAACTGCTTTAATCTAATCAGTGATACAGCCGGGGTTTATCTGTTACAGTCATAAACCCCGCGACCCCTCACAAACCTATAAAAACTGCATCTTACGCACAGATTTCCTTTAGAATACTATTTACCAAAAAACTACAAATCCCTAAAGATCAGTGTGCACCTTTTTGCTTTTTAAATGATAGCATTTCCCATCTCTAATGTAAACCATGCAGTCTATGTTGTGGAGAAAAATAAGATTTAGCCAATAGGAGCTTTTCATTTTGACGCACTGGCTGTGACCCGCCTGCATATCTCGGGTGAGTAATTAACAGGTTTGATTGTACGTCTGCGGCTGATCAACTTGTTAACCTCAAAGAGAACCGCGTGTCGAGATGGAGATAAGCGCTATCCTGCGGGACATATGTTTGGATGAAGCGGACATCCAAGGCGCTGCTCCTTGCGCGCTCGGACACATGCAGGGCGTTGTTTTCCTGCGACTGATGAGTTTGTCGAATGACTGATGTTATTGGAGGGACGTTGGGATAATCAGCGAGCAGCAATCTGTATTAATTTGTGCTTACTGCTAGACCGGTGGGCAAGTTCGCGCTTCACGGAACTTTCTCTCTCTCTCTCTGTGCAGTGATTGGTCACTTAAAAGTCTTCAAAAAAGAAAAAAAAAGGTTAAAAATGAGACAAAGTAAAAAAAAAACAAGGGCACTTGGCTTCCATCATCATCTGAACTCAGAGGTTAATCTTTTTCTCTGTTACGCAGAATATTCCTCAACTTTCCCTTTAAGCAGTTCATTATTATTTATTCCTCCAGCGCATATTTTGTTGAACATGCTTTCGATTTTGTCAACTTAAAAAGAAATGCATGTTTTATTCCCCGTTGGGAGCTTTTGTCCTTTTTGGTACAAGGAAAGATTTGGACACAAACTCTGCTGTAAAACATGCAAATGCTAATAAACATTATTTTGACAGTTACACAAACTCAAGTTTTTGAAACCATGGCTTGCATCAGAGATTGCAACATGTGTCACAAGACCCTAGGTTTTCTTCTTAGTATCACATTTAGAAATCACACCTCAAATCATAGAGAACAAAACAGTTTAATTGCATTTCATTAACATTTTCTTTAGGACAGACTTTTTACCATTAGGCCTGGACATGATCATTGATATGCTGATGTATTATTATTATTATTATTGCAGAAGTAAGGTTTTTCCTTGGAACATCATGTTCAGATCAAATTTCTAGTTAAAGGGTTGCCTGTGAGTCAACTGAGGGGGGAAAGTGGGCAGTCATTTTTTTCTGCAGTAAAACAAAACGAAAACTCTACTCTTCAGTGAAATTTCAGGAAATACTTTGGAAATGGGGGTTTAGACAGTTCACAGCTTGTTAAAAAGTCCTCAGTAGCCCTGGAGGGGATCTCCGACTTCCCTTCTATCTGCTGAAATTCGCCTGATGAGTTCGTCTGAGTGTGTTTGATTCTTGCCCATGAACAGGCTGCGAAATTGAAGGAAATAGGGGAGGAAGTGGTTGTAGTGTGAGTAATATTTGGTCTACAAAATGGGGCATCCACTGGGAACAATGATGCTGACAATGAAAGGTAATAATGAGCTCAAGTGGTAAACTTACACACCATTGTCCAAGCGATAAAAGAAAAAAAACAGTTGTGTTTGTGTGTTTTTTACACTCTGTGAGGAGCAGACAGAGTGAAGGACAGACTTCCCTGAATGATGTTTCCGCTGTTGTTGGGGGGAAGGAAGGGCGGACAGACAGGCGTCTTTATCTCTCATTAATAAACCTCAGCCATCCAGCGGCGAAACGCCGACGTTCGATAAACAAGAGGGACACTGCTTACGCATTTCCACACAAGTTGTCAAGTGTCCTGCGCATGGAGACATGAGGAGGGTCACAGATACTGTGGCCTGGATGGAGGACGTGCTCCAGAGCTGGGACCCGCCAAGACCTGTTCTGCAATCAGAGTCCGGTTTAGTCCAGTTTGAGATGTACAGAGCTCATAGGAAGTGTCAAAAATATTCATTCCTCTTAAAGTGTTTTGACTTACAGGATTTCCCCTTAAAGTGGTCTTATGTAGACCTGGGCCACACAGAGGAATTCAGAATATCCTTAATTGAATATAACAGCATTATTTCCTTCTACTAGTTTATTGATAAACAAGATTCTCCTTCAGTGGAGTCCAGAGGCCACAAGCACTCATCTCAGAGGGTAAACATCCTACAAGATGTCCTCAAAGATTTATCTGAACACAAGTCCTACAAACCAACTTTGACCTTTGACCTTCCGGAAGATGTGCACACATATCTTGACAGTGAAAGAGTTTTAGATGTTTCTGCACCCTTATCTTCTCTTCTGTCTTTGCAGATAAAGAGCAAAAGGGAAAGTACAGCGTCCCGATTCTGGATGTGAAAACCCGGCAGCTGGTCATAGATGTCAACCAGACACTCCAGCTCAACTGCAGGTGAGTTTCAGGGAGTGTGATCCAGGCTAATATGGTTAAACTTGGTATGATTTTGACAGGCGTAGAGAAAACAAGATGAATGGCTGTGAATTTGGGCACACAAAACTCCAAGGGTAACCATTTTTAGGCCTTAATCAGATAAATGATGGTCAAAACCACAACCAAGATACAAAACTAAATGAAACAGGTTGAAAAGGTGTTGTATTTTGGTCCCACACAAAAAAACAACATAAGGTTAAAATAAGACGTAAGAAATGTGCAAAAGCATCTCGATTGAGCCCCTGACTCCCAAACTTTCAACTCAAGATGGTGAAACAATTATTCCATGATTTGATGGATTATGTAAGCCGACTGTGAATGCTCATACAGAGATTGCCAAGTTTTTCCTTTGTCTATCTGCTGGCTAGGGGTCGCTGGGAACTGTCATGGGCGTTCCCGTCAGGTTTGGCAAAAAATCAGGTGAGGGTGGAGGATTCTCGCTGTGGGCGGACCAGCCAGCAGTACTGCAGCAGAGTGACGCTGAGCCACAGTCAGGCCCAGCACACCGGCCCGTTCCGCTGCAGATACACACATCGCACTCGGAAACAGAGCTCCGTTTACGTCTATGTCACAGGTAAGATTCTCCTGCTCGAGCTCCAGTTCATATTCATTCAGAAACCCCACGCTCCCTCATCCTCTACTCCCATGCTCATTGTTGATAACTCCAGGTTAAACAGGATGCCGTGGGTGCTAAATACAGACCAATGCCAGAGAGCCAATTATATCTAAACACAGTTTGTCCCAACAACACATCCTTCTACATGACTCTGGCACAGTTTCTCAGCCCCCTCCTCTGTACCTCCCTGTCGTTCTATATTTAAATCTTTTTTTTACTTTCGTTTACGTGCTACCTCGAGGCCAGGAATAGCCCAGCTGCTGAAAGGCTCAGGCCCCGGGCAGAGTTTCCCAGGGCATCAGCCTTATCTGCTCCGCTCAGCCTCGCTTGAAGCATCCTGTGCTCAGGGAAGGAGGGGGAGGGAGGGCTCAAAGGGGGGTTGTGCTGGGAGGGGATGTCGCTGTGTCTCTAAGGTGGCAGCAAGGAGGTGTGTGGAAGTGTTTATGTGCGAGTGAGGAGCTGAAAAGGACAAGAAGAAGGCTTTAGGAGAGGCACTAAGTCTACCACTCCCTCTTCCTGGAGGATGAAGCTCTTTGGGCTCGGTCTGCTACCTGGCACGGAGTTGGGCTGTAGGCCAGGGTCACAGGGCACGCTACTGTTTGGCCAACAGGACCCTCGGGGGCCATCAATCGTTCAGGTCGCCGTGTCCATTAAGTCTCAGACTTGGCCTACAGCTCTGCTCAGACGCTGCCTCCCTCCCTGAGTCCTCTATTAGGAATCAAAGCGAGAGAAGGAAGCCTCAGTGCGCTGGTCCTTTGGGTACTTTTGTTTGAATGTTCAGAGATTTGCTTTCCTTGAATAACACCCAAACAATACAGCGAGCAACACCCACACTTTTCAATGGCACCGCGCTCTGAGAAGAGTCGAGCTGGGAGGAGAAAGCTCAGAGAGGCCGTTTGATTGCCTCTAAACAATCTATTTGTTTATTGTTGACTGCAGGCAGTCATTGGCTCAATGGGTATTCAATGAATGGGTGTGTTGAGGAGTGTGTGTCTGTTTGTTTTTGTTTGTTGTTGAGATTGATACTTGGAAGTGTGTGTGTGTGTTTGTTTCAGGGTAATTGTTTTTGTTTCTTGTCTGTTTGTGCATGAAATTAAAGGGTCAGTTCACCAAAATTTATTTATGATGATATAATTTCTCACTCCAGTAATCGTCACGTTTCCTGGCTTTGGTGCATTCAAGAGCCTATCCTCGTGATATGCAATCAAAACTGATGCCAAGAGCACTGAATGTGGAATATTTTGTCCCTTAGAGCTAATCTAGGTCACTCTGTGCAGACAGAATAACAGTTGACACAATCACAACTGGTTGCACTTTCTAAATAATAACACCGTTTACTGAGGTCTGACACGTTTCTGGCATCTAGTCAGTAAACTTGGCAACTGGATGCCAAATTTCACTCTAGTTACCTGACCTGAGGGAACTTCACAGGAAGGCTTTAAGTCTGAAACTCATTGTTCTGATACTCATTCTTGCACCACATGTAATGCAAAGGTAGAGCTCACACACTTTTACATGTGTTTTTGGGCTGAATTTTTCCTCTTAGATTATCATCAGAACATATTGCTGAGGGTAATGGCCCTTCAGGGAGCTACAAAGAATATCCATACTAGTCATGGCCAACCTGTGGCACTGATGGAGATTTTCCTTATGTCAAAAAGAAAGGAGAAAGAGAAGGAAAAAAAGACGCTCCTGAGCCATTTTTATAACCCTCTAAACAACACGATATTATCTTGAGTGGCCTGTGCTGACCAAATAAAAAATAATTTGGTTCAAGTTTGTTTCTCACAGCAGCATTCAAACTTAACTGTCTGGTTGCAACTTCTGGGGATTTTAAAGTTGATCACTTTAGCCACTTTTATATCACTTTCCACTGAGCAATAGACGGCTATTAGATGTCTAGTTTTTTTAGACCTAATTTCAGCCACCTAGATTCTGTATATTTTTAGACGAAATTTAGACGTTGCACTTTAACTCATTATTCGATAATATTTATTTCAAAAGCAACTGTATGATCTCCAAGTACTTAGCCAAAATAATTATGATAGCCGTTGAGCAATATACAGTGTAGTACAGATATAGCTCCGTTAGCCGGCTAGTCTAAACTTGGTGTAAATTTAGATGTCTAAAAACTTTCACTTTTAGACCTTTAGAAGCCGGATTTTAGACCAGTCGTTTGGGCTACATTTAGACGTCTATTAGACCTCTTTTCGACCAAAAAAAATGCTCAGTGGGTTAAAAGTACCGTGTGTAGAAATGTAAATATTAAGCAGTATATACAAGTCAGAATTGACTCAAACACTCCCTTGCTCACCCCTCTTGTTGGCGAAATGATGGTGGCCTCAGGGGATAAAAAGCTCTTGTGACGCATGATAAGGATGATTCTCCATTTGCCAAGTTTTTACCATCGAAAACATATGTCATTGTAAATTTCTTTCATGCGCAACATCGGCCACTCTGTTGTTTTTTTCTTCCTCAGTAAATTTTGAAAAAGTCTCAGTATTAATTTCAGTTTGTGTCATAACTCAGTGAAAACTACTCACAGAAGAATACAATGACCAACTACAGCCATAACTTTACAATATGACGTCCAGAGCTTTGCAATTAGAAAAGATGTTTCCAGAGGTTTCTTTGAACTGACCCTTTAGTCACATGATCATAATCTTGTGTGATATTGCTCTGTGAGACTATGTTCATGAGTCTGATTTTCATGTTTCCTATAAGCGCTATATGTGTCCCTGACCGAAGTTTTTTGGTTTCAGACAGCCAGCAGCCATTTGTGGACCATCCGGCTTTGAGCCCAGATGTGTTGTACATGAAGGAGAAGCAGCCGCTGGTCATCCCCTGCCGCGTCACCCACCCCAACACCACCACCTCACTTGTCAAGGTCAGTGCAGGAAATATGAATGACAACCCAAGAGAGGGTTCAGATGTTTGGGTGCGTAAAACTACGCTCAGTCCTTTTCTGTTAATCACACTCACATCTTTTACACCTCATCACCTCGGTCACATTCTTCCTTCAGCTCCTACTTATGCGTCCCAATTTTCCTCTCTGTGCAGATCAGTCAGCACATAGTTTTATCTTGGCAGTCATAACGCTGTGGAGTGTGTGTGCATTTGTTTGCGTCCGTCTGCGGATATGTGTGAAAGCATGTGCGGATGTGTTTGTAAGTGTTGGTGCTTGAGTGCTGAGTGAGGGAGCCAGTGGACAATGTTACCAAGTGCAAAGAGGAGTGTTTGTTTGGAGTGAGCGCTGTCTGCCAGAGTCTGTTTTTCTATTTGCCTGTGAATGAAACATATCCGTCTGCCCGAACTTGCAAGAAAACCTTCCCCTTGAAGATCTCTCTTTCATGACTGTCTTTTTCCAATCGAGTGGCGCCCGCAAACTCCTGTTGGCACTGTTTCCACCTTTGGAGACAGGACGTGGGGTCTGGAGTGCCCCTTTGGCCCCTGGCCAGCTCCACTTCCCACATCTCACCCTCAATCTCTCATAGTAAGACTACAGGCTGCCAACTTCCCTGTGCTGATGTTTAAAACAGCTGGCTAACCTGGTGGAGGAAGCAGAGGGAGCTACTGTTGGCCCCGCAGATCAAAGAAGAGTCTATTCTCCTCAATCACGTATTCCGATCATTAACATGACAAAGTGTGCGTCACTGTAGGAAGCTTAACACGGTTTAACCACAATGAAATGGCTCTAAGTCATGCGAGTGAGTCAGACTCAAAAACACAAAGGAAGAATAAAAATGACACTTAGCTGAGACATTGATAATTAGGTTACAGTAAATTTATTCCCTATTGTGCAGTGAGAAAACATACACACATTACAATCAGTGCAGAGCTGCAGCTATAGAGGTTAAAGTCCCACTCCGCTCACATTTTTATTATTATTTGCACTGTTCTCAGTGGTCTTTAGATTGTAATTATTACATTTTTCGCCAAAATCACGTTACCTGTCATTTTCTAGGGCTTTTCTTCTGAAGAGCAGGTAACATAGGAGCTATTCAGCTCTCTGACGCCAGTGTCTTTGGGGGCATGATGAAAGTTAATGTCATAATAAGCTTTGTTACAAGCATTGCAATCCGCTAATGCACACACTTGTTTCACCATCATCCTCTCTACTTCTCGGAGTCTGTCATACAGAGCGGGGCACAGGGGCGGAGCTTGAAATTGTGACATAGGAAATCTCACTGTGTCTGAACCTGCCAAACGTCTCTGTTCACAGCAATTTAAATGCAGAAATACTCAGAAATGCAATTTTGCTCTTTAGTTTTCTCATGGTATGTCCTCTAGCATCAGAACATATAGACAACAAGAAAAACATCATTTTCATTGGAGTGGGTCTTTCCTCAAAAACAGCCAGGATGCTGTTGATGAGGCAGTTTCCCTTACATCATATTATTCCTTCAATATTTTTTTTTTTAGACTTGACAAAAGTCTCCCAGAGATTAAAGATTAAAATCACTTATCCAACCTGGTAAAGTGACCTCAGAGTGAAAAATAGTTTCAGTTTCATTCTTGTGGAACAGGACTGCTAATTGCTCTGTGATGTTAAACCTTTGCTATGTCCATCCAGTTTAAACTGTGTCAAACACAACATATGTCTACGGCTGATGAGATTTATCTTTTATTTTTTTATTTGTTGTTGTTGTGAATGAAAGTTCATATTACGATTTTAAAATGGCACAAGGTGAAAAATATAAGGACAACTTACAAGGAAGTTATTTAAATTAACCCACATCAGAGCTCAATTTAAACTAAATCAGCGTTTTTAAAACATTTCTCTCAAAGCCACGAGCATGGCTCTTATGGAGGAGTTGGAAAATGGTCAGGTGCTGGTAAAAGACTGCTAGGCTCCTCTGTAGGAAACAAGAACGTCAGTAAAATATTTAATTGTGTTTTATTTTACACTTGCTGAGGTAGTTCAGTCCTGGTGAACAGATGGTGAGATGCTTAGAACAAGAGGCCCGTGCAGCAAAAAGGAGTGTTGAGGAACTTTAGGGAGTTGTCTGGATTCTGGAAATTCAAACGTGATCATTAAACGATCCTTAAACAGACATGGCTGCACATCAGCACACACACACACACACACATGTTTTTGTTTTGTTTTGTTTTTTTGTTTTTTTTTTTTGTCCTGCACACTAAAGTAACTCCTCTAAAAATAGCTCTCCTCCCCTTCCTCACCTCCCTTCTCTCACCCTGAGCTGGCCGGTCTGAACCAGGAATCCACTCACTGTCACAGCCTCTGGAGTGTTTTTTTCCTGGAAGGAATTGCACTTTGCCTGGATCTCTAATATGACCCTTGTCATCAGGAACAATACACAGGAGCTCTCTCTCTCTCTCAGCTCTCTCGCTGTGAAAGTGACCAGGAGGTCCGGGATGACAGGGTCGACCTGGGGTTCCAGTCCAAATGTCTATATCCTGTAGTAACAGGATGCAAGGAGATGGACTGGAGTCACGTTTCCCATATCCTGAGTCCTCTGACGTCTTAACTCCTCCTCTTGTTTTCTCCTCTGCCTTCATTTTACTTATATACATTTAGAAAAAGTGGGAAAAAGGGGGCACTGAGGGCACCGAGGGTGTTTAATCAGTGGCACGCCGTCAAAGGCTAGAGAGGAGGAGGAGGAGGAAGAAGTGGAGGAGAAAGAGCTCAGTGGCGTCTGAGAGGGTGGCCTCACTCTGGGAGGGGGGATATCAGCCAGTTCACACACTGGGGGTGCAGGGGAGAGGGGAAGTGTGTGTGTTCGTGTTTGTGTGTGGTGGTGGAGGTGGTGGGGGTCTACCTGTTCCCTTGAGAGTGGGTGGGAGGCTTCCACTATGTCACAGAAATTCTCGTAAACATTTCCTTGAGGCTGTGTCCAAGAAAACAACAAGGTTATACAAGTGTTATAGAATCGAGATTATAGAATTATAAAACCAGCGCTGTGAGGACGCTCATCTGGGGTTTATTGACTAATTCTAGGCTGTGATGAGTTTTTGTGCAACTAAAATTCCTAAAGGAAGCTGGGACTGAAGTAGATGGATCAAGGAAACACCAAAACAGAAACTTAAACGAAAGTGGAGCCAAGAAGGAGCTTTTACACTCTGAAACCCAACCCACTCTTTTTATGTGTTTGAGAGAGGAGACAAAACATGTGAAAGTTTCCATTGCAATCTTCACAACCTCTGAGTCTGACTTTTCATTGTCACAGAGTTAACCAGTGTATAAATTCGTTGAAATATAGATATTATTTTCTTTGAGTCTGTCTCTGGTAACTTGTAGTGACTGCTTTCCTTCAACAAAAAAAGCTGCTGGGGTTTAGGTTCGCTTGCATCTGTGACCCGTTCAATTATCAGTCCGGTTTGAGTGTTAAAAAGTGGTTTATTGTTCCAAAAAAGAAAAGAAAACACGCTGATCGCTGAAAAAACTTTTGCCTTCGAACGAAAAAGTGATGCGATAAAATTAGGTTGAAACAGGATGAGTTAAACGCTCAACAGAAATTTATCAGAGCTTACCAAAACCTATTGTCTGACTACACCGGTGGGATTGAAATAACCCGCCAAACATCCCAAAACCACACCCCTTAGTGACGATCCCCAGAAGTGATGTACCTATTAGAAATCGTACTTTTGACAAATATATTTAGGCTCCTATATAACTTTTGATATTTCTTACAGTCAAATCTTTTTATCTTTCATTATCCAGCTTTTGCTAACGCTGCGCTCAGTTGCTGTCTGTTTGTCTGTATCACCCTGCATTTTGTTTCCTGCTGGCTTACGTATTTGTTTGGCAATCACATTTTATCACAACTAGCCTTTTGGGTGAAATTCCCTGTGGTCTCATCTTTCCTATCTATCATTATCTATCTGTGTTTTCCTCAATCTTGTTATCCTCTTACTGTCTTGCTCAGTTGTGACCCTTCATCATTATGCTGTCTTGCTTCACTTGCTTGCAAGAGTCAGGTAGTATCAGCCACTCTCAGGAATGCTGAAAGTGTGTTATTGAGTCTTTTGTGATGTTTATTGTACAAACATTTGAAGGGAGTTGTCTCCTCCTTCTCCTCCATCCTCCCACAGCTCCAAAACCCCAGCCTGAAACCAGACCACAGGAACATTATCTGGAACAGCAAGCAAGGTTTCACCATACGATCTCCCACTTTACATTACATCGGCCCCTTCTACTGCGAGACGATCACTGATGGCGTCACACACAAGTCTCGGATGTACTTTGTACACAGACCAGGTCAGCGATTTGCCAACTCCTTTAGAAATTAATCTGATTCTTTGTAAAAATGTTTGTATGTGGGGTTCTTAGCGCCAAGGTTTCTGGTGAACTCTGCTTCCTGTGACTCATCATTCCCTTTTTCATCATAGTGAGTAACATCATGGAGGTGAATCTGAACAGCAGCGGACCTGTGCAGGCCCTGAAGGGAGAGAGACTGGTTATAAACTGCACCGCCACCGCAGAGTTAAACACCAGAGTCAACATCACCTGGGACTTCCCTGGAAAGGTCAGAGCTGCATAAGACTAGAGGGCGAGATATGAAAGTTGTACTCCTTTACTCAGCTCCTACTTAAACAATACTCCCAGAAGTAGAGCTGTGAAAAAGGGATTCTGGTACAGGTGTTTTGTAGTGTTAATTTTGCTGCTCTTTCTCACTCTCCACCCTCAGAGTAACAACACTGGTTCCACCGTCAAGAGGCTCCTCAAACACAAAACCCACATATTGTTCTACAATATTCTGACCATCCCCAAACTCCAGCGTTTGGACCGAGGGCTTTACACCTGCCGCGTCTCCAGCGGGGACAAAAGCAAACAGCAGAAGGTGTTTGTTACCGTCTATGGTGAGTCATTTCCTGAAAAAATTCCTTAAGTTTAACATGATACTCAAACTGCAGATATGCAGGCATGGTTACTGTGTCATGTTTCTAAATATAACAGAGTCCCAACTTGTTTTTTTTCCCCGGAACCAATTTTGAAAAATGTGTTTCCTTGTTGTCAGATCATCCCTTTATCCGTCTGAAGCCCAGACATGGCTCTGTGATGGAGGTGCAGGCAGGGCAGAAGTCGTACAAAATTACTCCTAAACTACGAGCATTCCCTGCCCCTGAAGTCATCTGGTAAGAGCTCACTTTGATCCTTCAATCACACCTAACAGCCTTTTGTCTTCAGTTTCCCACCCTGTTTTTGCCTCCAAGCCTTTTATCTATATTAATCTCTGGCAAACTTCCTCGACTCCATTTCCTTGGAAAGGCCAGGCACAGTTTGTTTTAGCAACCAAACTTTTCTCCTAGAGTTTACGTATCATAATAACCGCAGCATTCCTGAAACAAAAGAACTCTCTCTCAAAACTTTCACTGAAGGAGGAAATAAGTTTTTAATTATTCAGATTCTTTTTTTCAGCACTTTGCTCAGAGTGTTTTTTGTTGTGACAGGTTTAAGGATGGTATGGTGGCAGCAGAGCAGTGTTCCCGATACCGCATGGATGGGACTTCCCTGGTGATTCGGGATGTAGCAGAGGAGGATGCTGGGAAGTACACTGTACTGGTACGAATCCAGGAGCATGGGCTGTCCCAGAATCTCACTCTCACACTTATAGTAAATGGTGAGACATTGGTTTAATTCATCACTTATTAACTTCCTTTGCTCTCTCCTCATACTTGTTAAACTTTGTTCCTCTCTTTGTGTGTGTTTGTTCTAACAGTGAGTCCTCAGATAGGGGAAAAAGCAGTGTTGTCGAAGGATCCAGGTTCAGTGCCACAAGGAAGCAGACATGCCCTTCACTGCACATCCCACGGGGTCCCGCCTCCTCACATCCAGTGGCTTTGGCATCCCTGTCCGTCCAAAGGCCTGTAAGTAGCCCTAAAGACTGGATGTAGTGTGGATAAGCAATGACCAGCTATAACATTATGACCCTCATACTGAGCTGCCCCATGCATCATGGTTGGTTGTGCAGCATAGATGCTGGACTGTATTGAAATCTGGGGAATCAACAACTATTTCAACACCGTCAGGTTCCCCCAGACCACCTTTTATAGCTTTGTGGTCCAATTCAGTTGATCACATCCACTGTTGGCACTCTTGGTGGTAAACAGTGGTCACATGTTCCTATCAGCTCTAATTCTGTTGGCAGTTTTCGCTCCAGAAGCTCCTCTTTCAGTTTGAACCACACTAGCCAACTTTCACTGACCCTGTTCCTGGTTCACTGACCCAGTCACCGAGCTGTTTTAATTTCCTCGTTTTTGACATTTTTCCTGCTTTCAGTGCATCAAGTCTAAGAATCAAATTTCTACTTGCTGCCTGATATACCACGCCCACTGACAGAGTCTATCATATAATCAATATCAGTGTGATCCACTTCACTTATCAGTGGTCATAATGCTATGGCTGATCTGTGTGAATGCTGTTATTAGAAAACGAGGGGGAAAACACAGTAGTTAAGAAGGGCAAATAAGCTGTATTTGTTTATTGCTTTTTTGTTTGTGTATTTAAATTTATTTTTATAAGTTACATCAGCTAGAAAAAAAATATATAAATGTAAATGCAAACTGTTGTTAAAATACCCAAAGTGAGAGTTCAGAAATTTGAATTTAAAATTAAAATCAGAAATTTTCAAATGAGACTTCAGACAATTGAATTTCCCTTCAGTGATAAAAAAGGTTATTCTTATTCTTAAAGTGAGCTTGATCTATTTAAAAAAGTTAAACTAAATACATCTTAGCTGCTACAGCTAGAAATGATTTTCATCCTTTACCTATGTCAACATGAGCTCTGAAATACAGTCTTGTTTGTTTTATTCTACTAAAATGTGGCTAAGTGTGTTTCGGACTGTGTGTGTGTTTGTGTGTGTGCGCGCGCGGGTGTGATTTTGAAAAACGAGACATGTTTTGTCTAATTCAGCGTGTGATCAGACAACATTTCCTTCTTGTAACCAGAACAGATGCCTTCGGGGGCCTTTCATGTGCGGGAATGTGTGAAAATGTGTGTGTTTATTTGTGTGTGTGTGATTGTGTGTGTGCGCTTATATTCATCTACCTGTGTGTGTGTTTGTGTGAGTGCTCCATCATATTCATGTTTATGTGTTTGCTTGTTTGTGCAACTCTTTCCCCATATGTTTGTTCTGTTTGTCCATGCGCCCTTTACCATATGTTTGTTTAAGTGCGTGCAGCCTCTGTGTCACCGTGTGTGTGTGTGTGTGCGTGCATGTGTGTGTGTGCTTGTTACATTCACAGACACAGTACACAGTGTATCTCAGACTTGAAAGGACAGAGAAAAAAAACACACTTCAATAGCGGCCAGTTCCGTGCTCTCAGTCACGATTTGTTGGTTTCCAAATCAAACGCTATGATTTAATGAATTTCCTGAGCAGGACGCAGGGTGAGAGGCCTGTTTATTATTGTGATTGCACACCGCATCCTGTGATGCTTTTCTTATATCTGACACAAACACTATATATAAAGTTCTCATGAGAAATGATGGCCCGACCCAGGGGTGAAGAGGGACAGTCCATTTAGCTCACTTACACACACGCTCACACACTCTAACAGGCACTTGGCAGTTACATTGATTGAGTTGTTCTCAGAGGTCAGGCTTGTATTGTGTTGCTCATGACCAAGTCAGAAAGGTTAAGTATTACCTGAGAGCACCACAGCAGCCGCCCATGTTCGATTCCTCCTCTGAGACACACTGACATCATCAGTGTACCTGACCCTTGACCCCTGCACTCTTACATGGCGCCATGCCGAGGTTATTACATTATGGTTCAGTCGTCTGTCTCCCCCAAATGCAGTTTATGAAATGTAAATGAACATCTCCAGGTGATTGTAAAGTAGCTCTTAAGCTGAAACTATTTCCTGCAGAAATGTCTACTCACAAAATCTGTTGTATTTTTTACATTTTTTTATTTCAGTTTTCAGATTTTGCTTCTAAAAAATTGTTGCAAGTTGTGACGTCTGTATGAGAGCAAACTTTTTTCTTGTTTCTTCATGATAAGAGCCACATGCAATCTGCTAATGGAAGAAAAACTGCACCAATCCAAATAGTTTGAGAACAAATTTGGTGATTCTGTGACCAATAATCAGATTTGATCATGTTGTGAGTCCAAGTCATGTTTGGGTAAATGCTAAATGTTAAATGCTAGTAATTAATAAAAAGACAACATGCTATTAAAAGTGTTCAAATACAAATGCACATCAGTGTTTTAGCAGATTACATTTGGCCCCTTCACTAGCTGGCTCATGGTCCTCTGTAAAGCTCTGTTCTGGTTCTGGTTCTACTTCAGTGTCTGTATTGAGTGTGTTGCTGTAGACCAGTTTATGACTGGATCCTCACTAGGCCCCTTGTTCTTTGCAGCCCAGCTGCACCACAAGCCTGACGCCGCGCCGGAGGAGGCCCAGGGACAGAGGACCAGGCTGGGCCAGGCTGATGGGGGGCCTCACGCCTGGGTCCTGGGCCCACTCCTGGGTCTGGCCCTGGGAACCGCAGAGCTCTTATCTGGCCCGGGCAGGAGGCGCACTGGGCTTCCTGTGCGAAAATCAGAGCGCTTTTCCTCTCGTTGTTTGGCTTCCTCTCCGATGCGAGACGCTTCCCAGCAGCGTGATTGTCCCTTCGTCTTCAAACGTGGCACAGTCCGCTTCCTCAAGAGCTTGATCTATTCTTGAGAGGCCCCACACACACACCCACCACCCCTACACACCTCTTCCCCCAACTTTGCTGCCCCCCACACATACCTCTACAGCCCCTTCCCTCACCATCTCTGCCCTTCACCCCAGCCCAGCATCCTCCACCTCTACAGAAGAACAACCCCCATCGCCTCTGCCACCACCTCCTCACACTCATCAGTGCTTCTGCATAGCAGCCAGAACCCTCAGTGACATTACCAGTGATCCTCTGTGATGATCCTGTTTTTTAATTTTTTGCTAAACTGATGTGGAAAGTGAGGAAAGTGACTTTGAACACTGCTGAGCAGTGACGACCAGAAGACACAGGAACACAGAGGAAAAAAAGCCACATCATTAAGGATAGAAAGGCACCTGCTTAACTGATTATTTATTTATTTTCTTCATTCTCCTAATTTGAGTGCTCCCTTCGTAAACAGCCAACCTGTAGTTTCATGCTTTTTGATATAACACAGACATTTTGAGCCAGAAGAAGTGCAATCCATCCACATGCCACGTTTCTGGAGCTGCTTTGCTTTTTTTTTTTGTGTCCTTAGAGTGGTACTATAATGGGTGCATGAACTGTGCCTGTCCAATGCCCTGATTTGATTCTGACATCCACAAAAGCTGTGAGTTTCTATCATGATATTTAGCCGCTGATGGAGGGTCACATGTGCTCACCTTGGACGGGCAAAACAGGAGAGAGGACAAGCTATGTGTTGTTCACTATGGGATGCCGACAGTTCTCTATCGATAAAGACTAATGGTCAGCAGACACCTACTATGTAGGAAGTCTCCACAAGCCAGAGACTACGCCTTACTACGTCATGTTATGTTACCCCATGTTGAAAAGTGTCATCCCATGTCAAGATGTCTTTGGTTTGTTGAGTGATGTCAGTCTAACAGCCCTTTTAATTCAAAACTCAGAGTATGTGTGCTATTACAGGCCATTTAAAGAGAATGAGTGCCTTCAGTGTATAGAGCAAAGTCCATTTATGCCTGTGCATATGTGTGCAAAGCAAGTGTGAGAGTGTCTGTACTCGTGCAGAAAAATTAGAGTGTATGTGTGTGTGTGTATATCCCATTTACGGGTGTCTCCCAATGTGATTCATGCCATGTATACAGATGTTCTATGAGTAATATATGAATCTAATATTTAATAATTTTATACAACTAACTTACATATGATGAATGACATTATTTGACAACTTTGTATGAATCTGTTAAGACGTATTGAAGTGTTATATCCGTTGTTTGTGTTTTTGCATTAAACTTTGCCTATATTTGTGTACATGCCTGTGTTTGGTTTATACGGTCCTGTGTGTTATTTTGGGGTGGAGACAGGAACAGACAGGAACAGACAGGGACAGCAGTACAAGGTGTATTTTAGGCAGCCGAAACAGGACAGGAAGAAAAAAAGCAGGAGATGACCCCCACTGATATACAACTGAGCAGTCCATTCATACTTCCAGGCGGCCACTGCTCACCCTGTTGGCAGGCACACACTGTGTGAATGTGGCTGTTTGTATGTGCGTATGCATGAAAGTTCATTTCTAACTTTGTTTGTGTCCACACATCCATCCAACTAATCCTATTTTTGAGTGAGGAAGCCTTTCCTGGGAAGCGTGGGAGTGTTCGCTGGAATCTTCACTGCTTGGAAGATGAGAGTATGTTTGTGAGAGTGAATTTGTGTGTAAGGCCCGGAGTGTCATGCACAGGGTGGGTCATGTGTGCAGTCGCACACTTAGATGCCAAGAGGAAGAGTAATCAGGGAGCAAAGAGGAACCAATCTCAGGGAGGAGCTCAGGACAGACAGAAAAGTGATGACGACAAGGATACAGACAGAGACAGGGAACAGAGAGGCGCAGTGACACATCCATAAACAGGCAGAGGATCAATGGACTGGGGGGAAATAAGAGTTTACAATAAGGACAGTGGTTCTAAACATATTTGGGACAGACGAACAGACATACAGACAATGACAGATAGATAGATAGATAGATAGATAGATAGATAGATAGATAGATAGATAGATAGATAGATAGATAGATAGATGAAAATGTCATAGTATGGTATGATAAAAATGTCATAGTATAGTATGACAAAAATGTCATAGTTTAGTATGTAGAAAAGTCGCAGTATGGTATGATAAAAATGTCATATTATAGCATGTTAAAAAATGTCATAGTATAGTATGATGAAAATGTCAGTATAATACGATAAAAATATCATAGTATAGTATGTTAAAAATGTCACAGTATAGTATGATAAAAATGTCATAGTATAGTATGACAAAAATGTCATATTATAGCATGTTAAAAAATGTCACAGTATAGTATGATAAAAATGTCACAGTATGGTATGATAAAAATGTCATAGTATAGTATGATAAAAATGTCACAGATAAATATGACAAAAATGTCAAAGTATGGTATGATAAAAATGTCATAGTATGGCATGTTAAAAAATGTCACAGATAAATATGACAAAAATGTCAAAGTATGGTATGATAAAAATGTCATAGTATGGCATGTTAAAAAATGTCATAGTATAGTATGACAAAAATGTCATAGTTTAGTACGTAGAAAAGTCACAGTATGGTATGATAAAAATGTCATATTATGGCATGTTAAAAAATGTCACAGTATAGTATGATAAAATGTCATAGTACAGTATGACAAAAATGTCAAAGTATGGTATGATAAAAATGGCATAGTATAGCATGTTAAAAAATGTCATAGTATAGTATGATAAAAATGTCATAGTATAGTATATCAAAAAAGTCATAGTATAGTATGACAAAAATGTCCTAGTTTAGTATGTAGAAAAGTCACAGTATAGTATGATAAAAATGTCATATTATATAGCATGTTAAAAATGTCACAGTATAGTATGATAAAAATGCCATAGTATAGTATGATAAAAATGTCATATTATGGCATGTTAAAAAATGTCACAGTATAGTATGATAAAAATGTCATAGTATAGTATGATAAAAATGTCACAGATAAATATGACAAAAATGTCAAAGTATGGTATGATAAAAATGTCATAGTATGGCATGTTAAAAAATGTCACAGTATAGTATGATAAAAATGTCATAGTTTAGTATGTAGAAAAGTCACAGTATGGTATGATAAAAATGTCATATTATGGCATGTTAAAAAATGTCACAGTATAGTATGATAAAATGTCATAGTACAGTATGACAAAAATGTCAAAGTATGGTATGATAAAAATGACATAGTATAGCATGTTAAAAAATGTCATAGTATAGTATGATAAAAATGTCATAGTATAGTATAACAAAAAGGTCATAGTATAGTATGACAAAAATGTCCTAGTTTAGTATGTAGAAAAGTCACAGTATAGTATGATAAAAATGTCATATTAAAGCATGTTAAAATGTCACAGTATAGTATGATAAAAATGTCATATTAAAGCATGTTAAAAAATGTCACAGATAAATATGATAAAAATGTCATTTTATGGTATGATAATGATAAAAATGTCATAGTATAGCATGTTAAAAAATGTCATAGTATAGTATGATAAAAATGTCATATTAAAGCATGATAAAAAATGTCACAGTATAGTATGATGAAAATGTCAGTATAATACGATAAAAATATCATAGTATAGTATGCTTAAAATGTTTTAGTAAAGTTCGATTAAAATGTCATAGTATGGTATGATAAAAATGTCATCATAAAGCATGTTAAAAATGTCATAGTATAGTATGATAAAAATGTCATAGTATAAAGCAAATTCTTCATTAACATACTGAATGCTTCTCCTCGTCGTACAGTCTATGATCATCACTTTCGTCATTGCTTTTCAATACAAGAACAATCATACAAGATGTTTCATTTGTCTTAGGCTCTTCAGTGGTAGGATACTTGCTTTCTCTGTAAGATTATTTCATATAGCCTGTTGTCAAGCTTGTCAATTAAACAGAAATCCGAGTTTATTGTAAAGATTAAAATAAAGGAGACACAGTACACAGCTGGCTGGCTCAGTGAGAAAGCAGCAGCCACCAAAATCATCTCACTGAAACCCGCAAAGCTCACCATTCAACGTCATTTAGGGAGTTTGTGACATTTGACTGAGTTAAAACAAGTTTCACTGAAATGGATATGAAGGAGGAAGTTTTGTTGATCAAAACTTTTTGGCACTTTTACACGTGAGTACATCAAGTGACAGAGTGCTGCTATTAATTACCTGTCACTGCACACCCATGACAAGACTTTTATTTCCTCATAGTTATAAACCATGTCTGGTGCTTACTTTCTAAAGGGAGAGTTTTATATACACTTCCTCAACCAGCACAAGTAAGAAATTAAGAAATGAACATGTTTGAATAACTAGACTTTTGATATCAACAATGAATTTGCAAGCTTGGCTAGTAAAAAGGCTTGTTTACGGACTAAATCAATCAGTAAAGTGGAGAGTCCAGTGTCACTAACATTATCCATTAGCTAAGATACTGTTTTTGAGTTTCAATATTTATTAACAATGGTAATTAACAATAGAATACTGGACAGATTGTTGTTAAAACGAAATAATATCAAACAGCAGATAAATTGTAGTTTCCAATTGTTTTAAGGTCAGAGGTAAAGGTAAGAGATAATAATGTAATCTTGAATTTGTTTATATATTAAGCTGTTGTCTTCTTTATTAAATCATTCATAGTTTATAGAGGTCATTTCTGTGTCCCTTGGTGTTTGCCTAATTCTCAGCGCAGGACATTTATGCAAACAACAAGGGACTATGTTAATGAAACTAATTTCATTTAAACACCCTGAGCTCTTTCACTATTATTTTCACAGTAATAATACTGTTATGTATTTAAGGCGGCCTTCCAGCTCCTGAATGGTGTCAGAGTTTTACATCATGAGATTAAGATGTGCATACCTCAGAGCAGCTTGCACAATTCCAGTTCCCACAGCCCCACTCATGTGTAATCTATGGATTTAGAGACAGGAACTCTTGTCCTGGAAATGTGGGATGATTTGTTAAGAATGGAAGGAAGTTGATTCATGGGATGACAATACCACCTCTGCATCCTCCATAGATGAACAATCCAGTTTTACAAAGCACTCAAAGATCCTCCATTGTCAGCCTGCAGGACAGGGTTAAAGGATGTGATGCAAGTGATGAAAATGGTTTTGGTGGTGATGATAATGATGATGATGATGATGGCTGAGATGATATCAAACAGTGGTGATCAAGGCGCTTTCCTGATGTTCTGTTCTTCCTCCTGCTGAGCACAGCTGAGAAAAACACACTTGCACACACACCTGGTGTCAGCATAGAATGACTTGTGTTAACACAGCTGAGCTCTCCGCCTCCTCATCTTTCAAGGTGTGTGTGTCCAAAGTCTTCCTCTCTATGGGGTCCTGTGATAGAGAGAGTCCCTGCCACGTCCACAAGCAACCGCATCCTGAGTGTTAAACAGAGACAGGAAGTGCTTCAGGGAAAGAAAAAGGTAGGTTAACCCCTGAAATATACTCTAAAATATTAGCCAACTAACACTGAAAAAGAATCATATCTCACCAATGTACTGTTGAAAATTATGGCAATAGTTCAAAGGGGAAAGAAATCAATTACAAACAGAATCCAAAAGTCTATTTTGATTCCAAGAGGATGTTTCAGTTGCTCACTGATAGAGAAAGGGTTATTAAACATAATATATCAGAAAAGTCCCCATGAAGGGTGAACAAAAACGAACATAGATACAAAGTGACAGGATGAAATCTGTTCATGCAGCGGTTGAATGAGATTGTTGTAAATATGAGCAGATTCCTTCATCAAAGTTGACCTAATAAGCACCACTTTGTCCAAACATTATCAAAAGACATTAGGCAAACTTCACTGCACTGCTGCCTTTGTTACATATACACACACATCTATGTTAATACTTATCGACAACTTGCATGTTGTGCTGCCCACTGGGCTGGAAGTGGGCAGGAGGTCCGGCTCAGAGACCCCTATTGTCTGCTCAGTGGGCCGATGGAAATTGTGATTCCTGCCATCAGTGGCAGAGGTAAAAGGCCTGAACCTGACAAGTCTGCATGTGCGTGCGTGCGTGCGTGCGTGCGTGCGTGCGTGCGTGCGTACGTGCGTGTGTGTGTGTGTGTGTGTGAGCATGTGTGTGCCTGTTTTTTACGGTGTGCAAAGTGCTGGTTCATTAATGAGGATGTTTGTGGTTTCCATAGACAGTGGGAGTCCTGACCGTGGCAGAAGCCTTTGTGTCTGGAGTGTATCGCTGCGTTGCGTCCAACTCAGCAGGCACAGACCAGCTAGACATCCACTTCTATGTCACAGGTGAAAAGATGAATCCTGTTTTTAATTAAACTATTCATGGGAGTTGTTTTCTTTCGTCATATCTGGGAATTTTTTTTTAAGCTTACTAAGAAATGACACTAAAAGAAAAATAGATTTGAAGTTCCTCCTTTCTCTCCTCCCTCCCACCTTCTAACTGTCTTACTTTAAATAACCTCTTTCTGTCTCATGTCCGTCATCTGTTTCACTTTTCTATACTTCCACATAAAATGATCCCATGATCAGCAGATCCACTCAATGCTTTGTCGTTATGAGCTCAGCACTTAATCATTCTGCTGTCATTTAAGTCAGACTAGAATCAGAATATGGAATCATCACTTTTTTCCCCTGTTGAATTTTTTCATTATTATCAATGAAACTTCCAGAGCTCTTTACTCACCTTAAATTTGATGGAAGTATATTTTCCTGAACATATTTTCTTCAACACCGTTGCAAAGCGGTCACAAAAAAATTTAAGTTACACTGTAGTGGTTACATTAGACAGCCGTGGAAAATATTTATGCTCATTAGCAACAGATCTTAAATATCCCACTCAGGTCTGAACAGTATTGAGACTGTAGTCTCCACTGATATACAATATAACTCAGCTGGGTTAGGTTAGAGGACATAAATCTCTTCACATCCAAATGCTTAAAGCTGGAAGGACGTTGTTGAAATTTGACCTCTAACAAAGTGGAACATTTTATTAGGTGGAAAGACTTGATAAGAAAATAGACTCTTAGTCGAGCTGCAGTGTTATTGTGTGAGACTCATACTACCAGGAATACAGGTAAGGTTATTTGTTGGCTTTTTTGAAGTGTGTGTATGAGTGTATCTGTGTGTAAGCTGTTAGTGTATGAGTTAGAGCGAAACAGGAACCTGGGGCTCTTATCGTTCCACTTCCCCGTGCAGCGCACTTCCTTGGACTGGCAGGTCCGCTTTATTTCGGGAGGCCTTGGGGTGTTCGGGAAAGATAAACACTATCTGCCATCAGGAAACTCTCGAGCCGTTTCCACGGGAAGTTTCAAATGGCTAAAGTAAATAAAAGGCCTTTTCACTGTATTCCACTGACTGCTTTTACCCACAATAGCCATTCAACATTGTCGTCCGAAGGTTCAATAAATGGAGGATTGGTCCAATCAGCTTGTCCTGGTTTCAGGCACCACAAAGGATCTGCATTCGCATGCTGAGAAACTGAGAGGGCTAATTCATCAAACAAGAAACTGTCAGAGTTTATAATTTGTTCATGTGACCTCTTTTATGCTCTCAGACATCCCAGGAGGCTTTAGTCTGAGGCAGAGGGAGGTGCCTCAAGAGGGTGAAGACCTCCATCTCACCTGTGCAGCCAATAAGTACCTGTACACAGCACTGTCATGGCAGCGGGGGAATGACACTGAGGAAGCTCGCTCCTGGAGCTCTAATCCGAGCACTCTGCAGTTCACATCAGGGCAGTTCTCCAATACTCTGGTTCTGTTGCTAAGCAACCTGACAGCAAGAATCTCAGGGGCCTACAGATGCTCCGCCCACCACATCATCACTGGGCAGGAGATGCACCTGGATACACAGGTGGTGGTCACAAGTGAGTCCAATCCTCTGTTTATCTTCACCTGCAAAATTGGAGTCACTTTAAAAAAGACTGATAGCTTTACTATTTAAGCTTTTCTTTTATAAACAGTAGCAGACAAAGTAATTGTCTTCTCTATTTTAGACATTTGTGAAAGATGAACTGATTGTATAGGGTTTTTTTTGTTTGTAAACACGCTGAAACTCTGTGACTCTGACTCCACTCTTGCTCGGTTATGTCATGTCCCCTCTCTGACGTTAGGGCTAAACTCTCCCAAGTGGCTCTTTCGGAGTCAGAAGCAAGGATCTATTTCTGAGGAAGTCAGGGTCAGGGGGAAGCAGAGGGCTAAATTTAAACATTGAACTATGAACAGTGAACTCTGAACAATATAATCAGGCACACATTTTGTCTAATAGTTGCACCACGACAGCACGACAAGAACTTTTGAATTTTTACAACTAATTGGCATGATAAAAAAAAGCTGCAACCTTTCAACATAAAAATCCATAACAGAAGTGCTAAAAACTGCAGGTCTTCAAATGTGCATTTAAGGTTTAGCTGCAGAAGCTAAACCTTAAATGATCAAAATCAAATGATCAAATGATCAAATGATCAAAAATGAACAGATTTACAGCCTGTAAAAACAGCTAATAAAGCTGGGACATTGTGTAAAACATGAATACAAACAGAATGCAATGATTTGCAAATCTTTATCCTTCTGTATTTAATCAGATACATATTTCATGTTCAAACTGATTAACTTTGTTGTTGTTTTTTTTGCTAATATTCACTCATTTTGAATTTGATGCCTGCAACCCAGTCCAGCTGGACGTGGACGACAGTATAATGTTACTCTAAAACCTGTTTGAATGGAAGAGTTTAAACTTGCACTTGTAGATGTAGAGACAGACTAACTGACAGTGGTTTTCTGAAGTCTTCCTGAGCCTACATGGTCAAACCCTTAAAAAATGATGTGGGTTTTTAATGCAGTGCCGCCTGCAAGGTCAAAGGTCACAGGCGTTCAGCGTTGGTTTTCTGCCTTGCTGTTAACATGCAGAGATCTCTCCAGGTTCTCTCTGAATCTTTTGATGATTTTATGGACTGTAGATGATGAAATCCTTAAATTCCAGCAGTTGTGCTTCAGGAAATGTTGTTCTTAAATTGTTAAGACTCTTTGCTCACACGGTTGTTTACAAAGTGGTGAACCTGGCCCCATCTTTGCTTGTGTCAGGACTGAGGCGTTCAGGGATGCTCCTTTTACACTCAATCATGACACTTGCCTCAATTTTCCAGTCTTTTCCCTGTCCCAGCTATTTTGACCGTGTTGCAGGAATATAATGACGTTTATCAGTTTGAACATTAAATATCTTTTTTAGTGTTTGTAGTGCATTCAATTGAATATGGTTGAAAGGGATTTGAAAATCATAGTTTCCCATTTTTTATTGAAAATTTAAACTCCACTAATTTAGAAAATATTTTTCAAAGCTGTTTTTTAAGTTTAAAAAAATGTATTGTTTTGATTCAGAGCTGTTTTAATGTGAACAACGCAAATTTAATTTCATAATGACCTCTTTATGATTTTATCATTTTCTTTTATTCTTACACAGATCCTGATAGAAAAGAATCAAACCACAATAGTTAAGTAACTTCAGGCTGAAAAGGGCCCCTTAGGTGGAACAGGAGGATGTTCATCATTGCGGGGCCCTAAGTGATTTGTTGTTAGAGCTTTGAACCTGCTCTGATAACTTCCAAATGCATCATTTGTTTATTAGTTGTTTCTCTCCCCTCAAACTTGCTGCCCCCCATGATTTCTGTGCATGCGTGTTAAACATCCACGCATACAAAAAAACAACCAAACTCTCACAGAGTTTTGCTGCTTGGGAATTGGGTCCCCACGACTTCCTGGGGCCCCACCCTGCCTTTGCTCTTGCGCTTCAGCTCAGCACCTCTTTCACGTGGGAATGAGCTCTTGTCTGGAGGAAGAGCATACAATGGCACTTCCCACAATGCCACATTTACAGGCCCCCACACAGGGCCTGAGGAACAATCAGCCAATCAGACACTGTCAGGCCCCAGCCCCTCGGACAATCATCAATTGTTGTCCAGGAGGAAGATAGGGGAAACAACAATCAGTGGCCTTAGTTAAGTGACTTTTCTTCATGTCTTTTACTGCTGTTCACTATACAATCAGGGTCCAACACGTCAGCTTCCTCCCCTGGGACCCCCACATGGGGATTACTAGAGAGACAAAGGGATGAGAAAGAAGGAAACAAGGAGCCAAACAGGGGGGAAAGGAGAAAATTCAGGAAAAATTAAAGCATGAGGTTTGAAGTTTTGAAGGAGTATGGAGTTAACGTTCCTTATTGTGTTATTTGAGTACTGTACTTTTCTTCTGGAGCTTGAGAAGGAAACTGAAAACTTCATCCAGCCCACAGTGTACACTCAGACCTGTGATGAAATATTATACTGTGTTGTTTTTTGGAAAAGAGTTTCTACTAAGAGGTATTTCAGGGTTATCAGGAAACCCAAGAGGGACCAACCTCTGACTCTCAGCTGACTCACAGGTTGGAGCCAAGGCCACTATCACGGAAAAATGTGTCACTACAAGTGCGCAATTATTGTTCGAAAGTGGCACCAGTCCAGAGAACAGTGGGGAAAAAATAGCACAGTTTCGCTCCATCGCAAAACTGAAGCGGTCTATAAATAACTGCAGCTGCACTGAGATAAATGTGGCTCAGCTAGATTCAGTGTTGAAATATATCAGTCTTTCAAAAAGTGAAGTAAAAAAAACAAACTGTTCAATGAACTGTGTTAATCAATAGTTAAATGATGTTAATTATGTCTTCAGTTTCTTAGAAATAGTTTTTTTTTCTTTTATCTCAGATATGTAATCTTTGTCACGCATCTTAACATGTTTTGGCGGAAACTTCCACCTCCATCAGAAGTTGTCACTTGGTAGTAGGAGTGACGCGTCATATCAGCTGGTGTTACAGAGGCGTGACTCTCCTGTCAATTTTTTTGACATGACAGTCACGCCTCCTGCTGTTTGTACGCAGCTGCAGGACGCTGGTCCAGGTGTGAGAGCGTGTATGCCCCCTCATCAATGTTCATCGTCCCCGTTTCCTTATTTCAATGGCCCAGGAAACAGGGCCCAGAGGCATGCACCTTTTGTCACAAAAGATGTCTCAGAACAGTTCCACTCAGTGGTGACCACATCCGTTTGAAAACGCCATGAATACTTAATATTGCAATAATTCAATAGCTTTACTAGCAGCTTGAAGACTGAAAATTGTACCTCAAGAAAATGACTGTGGTCGACTTGTCCTCCACTCAGACCTCCACCATAGATGTCCACAGAGTTGATATCACAAGTCACACTCATTGGTAAAAGTAGAAAAGTTGCAAATACTTTATAAGATGTAATTAAAACTCCTGTAAGTAACTTTTAATTTGTGTTGATGTTGGAAAAACTAAAAATTCAACACTTGAGTTAATACTTGCTATTGGTCGTAAATAAGTCATATTTTCAATTCATACTAATGATGGTGTGTGTGTTTCCTGTTGACAGTTTTAGAGCCCCCTCTGCTGCTCGATAATTTGACAGATCTGACAGTCAATGTCAGCAGCTCAGTGGTCCTGAGATGCCCGTCTGCTGGCATCCCACCTCCCACAATTACGTGGTACAAGAATGAACACGCTCTCTCTGAGGGATCAGGTAATAAGAAATAACATACAAACTTCAGCTTTCACTATATTTGAGTTTCTAATTCTTTGTGCCACTATCTTTAATTCCTAGGCATCATCATAGCACCAGAAGATGGTAGCCTTCACATTGATCGGGTCACAATGGAGGACCAGGGTCTGTACACATGCCAGGCCACCAACAAAAGGGGGTCTGCAGAGAGCTCTGCTTATATATGGGTCAATGGTAAGTGTTGGTCACAAGGCGTTTTTTCAAGCATCTCTGCCTTTGATTGGCTCTGTTTACATCTTCTCAAAGATACGACTCTTCCATATATGGGCATGTGTGAATGTCCATTGTTCCCAGCTCTCTAAATAGATGTATCGCCAGGACGCACGGACATATAGTGCAGTTTATCACATTGTTTTTTATGAATGCAGTGTTTACCGCGGAGGCATGGCGCGCTGATTCTATTAATAGAAGGTGATAGGTTTGTTTATCAATGTCTGAGCAAACACTGATCAAAGATGCTCTTACATAATCACCATCTGAGACACACTCAGCCTTTTGTTCAGTTTCCTCATTTTCACATACACACACACACACATATGTATAGTGTGTATGGTGGCAGGCTCTGTGTAGTTCTGCCAACCCCCCCTAGTTTGTGTGATTCTCTGTGGCACAACTGGCCGACAAGCATCCGAGTCTGGAGAGGAGTGGCTGTGTGTGTTATGTTCAGATCAGTCAGGAAGGAAGCTGTCTCCCGTTTTTATTTCCTCTGGAAGGGGCCGGCTTGCATCCCGGAGAGGCTCTGCGCTGCAATTAGCTTGGCATTTCTATTTCTTCACCTTGAATAACAAAGACGAAAATAAACAGAGGATTTAATCAGGAAAAACATAGTGTAGAGTAGTAAATATGGGGATTATGGTACGACAGTAAAACCTCTCAGTATAAAAATAACTCATATCAGTATGTTTCAAGTTAGAGTTGAACTGAGCAACAATCTATAAACCAGAGTTACTTCTGCAGTTTTTTAAGACCTTTTTGTGATATTTATTACCATAAACAAACATCATTAAATGCAGATTTAGAGCTGACTATTTACTCATGAGTATTTCTTCTGTGTGTGTGTGTGTGTGTATGCGTGCGTGCGTGCGTGCGTGTGTGTGTTTGTTTGTTTGTCTCGCAGGTCCCTCAGAAACCTCGTCTCTTGAAATTCCCACACTCACCTGCACCTGCATTGTGGCTACTCTCTTCTGGCTCATGCTTACACTCTTCATACGGAGACTGAAACAGGTGAGAATAATGTGATAAATATGAATTACATATATTTATTTTTTTAGAGTACATTTGCAAGTATACTTATCTTCCTCTAAACTAAAATGAGCTTTTTTCTTACCAAATATTCTCAAAATTAGTTTAGATTCTGAATAGATATCACAGGATTACTTTTTCTGTATTTTGTTTTGGCTGGTGATGATACTTGCATACTCTGTCCTACTTAACTCTGCACATATATTTTTACTTAACAATATTTTTACTAGTTTTATACAGAATATACAAAGAAACACATCACAAACTCCCCCTTTCCCTCAAAACCCCATCTACTGCTGGATATTTCTATTACTGTGCTTAAGTAACAACTTCTGGAGCTATAACAAAAATAATAGAATAAAAAACAAATAAATAAATACAAGTAAGTGCTAGAATTCAGGTTTTCAGATCTTGAAATACACAAGATGTTGAGGAATAAAAAGTTAAAAGAGAATAAGTTCAATGAACTACTGTATGTTAAGAGAACTACCAATATAGACAAGTCGCTGAAAACTGAAAAAGTCCATAAAAGAGATAAGAATTAAAATTGTACGATTATAAAACATCACAGAAATATACTCTGATCTCTGAACATGTATTAATAGGGATTGAATAAATTAGACAATAGTAATAGTATTTAACAATAACATAACACTGGCAAAAACATTATACAAAGCTGCTGTTACATACTACTAAGGGCAACAATTATTCACTTTTCATCCATGTTGTTATAATAATTTATTTAGTCGAGATGAAAAAAAAAACAAACAGAATAATCAACTTTGAACCAAAATTGTTTAACTCTGATGTTTTTCTTCTTTTACAGACTTTTTAAAATGTTTTATTTCTTTCCATGTTTGACTTTATAGTTTTTTAATGACTGTTTTTCTCCTTTTAAAGCCCAACAGCTCAAACATGAAGCCAGAGTACCTGTCAATCATTCTGGACACAGGAGAGGGACCAATAGAGGAACAGTGTGAGAGACTGCAGTACGATCCAAACCAGTGGGAGTTCCCTCGGGAGAGGCTCAAATTAGGTTTGCTTCCTTGTTTAATGAAACAAAAGTGATGTTTGAACAGAATCCACCTCAACTGTGATACAACAAAAACTGGGAGGACTTCAACCAGAGGAGGATGATGGGGGAGAAGGAAGGTTTTTAAGATCACATGACAGATAGGAGGACTTTCTCACAGGTCTTATCAGATTATTATTGGGAGTGACTCTCATTCCATTAATCAGACTTTGTGTTCTTTGCTCAGCTAATCAGCTCCAGCAGGGGGTGTGTGGACCGTGTTGATTGAAGCTAATCAGCTCTCAGTATTGTCAGGGTGGGATTCACTTAGATGGACCACTGATGGGCTCCTCTTTTATCGGGCCATAATACTAATTAATACAGGAGCTCAATTAGACACCAAAGCACACCTCCCTTCCCTCTTATCAGCCCCTTTCACATTTTTTCTCTGTCCCCCTTTTTCAGGGAAACCTCTGGGCCGGGGGGCTTTCGGTAAGGTGATGCAGGCGTCTGCTTATGGTATTGATAGCACCACTGGCTGCAGCACCGTGGCTGTCAAGATGCTCAAAGGTACAGGATCATTTCTCTGGTGTTCTGGGAACAGTTAAACAAATCATGTGAGAAAAAAAAACTGACACTTTTTTCTTGTATGCCATCTGTCCACTAGAGGGAGCCACAGCCAGTGAACACAAAGCACTCATGACTGAACTGAAGATCTTGAACCACATTGGGCATCATCTGAATGTAGTTAACCTACTGGGAGCTTGCACAAAGCCAGGAGGTATGCATGTGCTCTAAGTAAAATAGCAATATCAATATCGCCATAGTTACAACATCAATGTGTATTTTTTTTGTGTATACAGGACCACTGATGGTCATCGTTGAGTACTGCTGCCATGGAAATCTCTCTGCCTTCCTTAAGAGCAAGAGAGAAGTGTTTGTAAATAACATGGTGAGATCAGCCTCCGGACACGTATCTCCAAACACAATCAGACACAGCTATCAAAAAATAGTCTCATTCTGCAAAACACTGGGGCTCCAGGGCTCACACATTTATTTCACACCTGCCTATGTGCGCCAAACTTCTTGTTTCTGAGGAAGAAACGGTACACTATCAGCCGTCTATGCCGCACGCAATTTCAAAATCATACACCCTAAAAGTTACTTCTGCAACCCAGTTGAGGTCTGGAGATGTTATCAGGTTTGAGCAGGCGGTCCAGTTCCTTAATATTTCACAGTTTTACATGCAAACAAAAAAGTGGGTCTTAAGGTCAGACTGAAAAAGGATTGTGAGGCTGTAAAAAAGTTGTTTTAGCTGTTTTAGTTTAGTAAAAGTTGAAAGTTAAATTTTCTGTCAACAAAATCTAAACGCTGATTTAATTTCTCCTGATCTCAGGTGGCTGGAGAGATGTTTGGAGATCCACATTGTGTCAGCTACAAGTTTGACACCCAAAACCACGATGGAACAAATTTTGATGATTCAAACAAAACAGAAACCCTTCAAGGTAACCCAGCAGCTGAATGAACACTTTGTGATGTCAGAGCAATAAAATAAAAGTCTCTTACACCACTTTTTTTTCTCTTCTAGATTCAAACTCTCTTCCCAGCTCTCCATTATTCCTGGAAGACCTCATCTCCTTCAGCTTCCAAGTGGCACGGGGAATGGAGTTCCTGGCTTCTCGCAAAGTCTGATACTGGTCTTGTGTAAGCTTTGTATAGTTGTGCGTTTGCTGTTGATCATTTATTTATTTGTGTATTTTGTGTCTGTTTCAGTGTATTCACAGAGACCTAGCAGCCAGGAACATTTTGCTGTCTGACAACAAAGTGGTAAAGATCTGTGACTTTGGCTTGGCTCGAGACATCTACAAAGACCCAGACTACGTCCGCAAGGGAGATGTGAGTAACAACGACGCAGTATGGGTCTAAAATCCACACAATGAAAGTATCACATGAGGCTTTTTTGGAGAGGGAATCCATGCATTAATCAAACTTTTAGACTCTTTACAAAACCTACATGAACAAGATTTTAAAATTCCCATCAAACTTTTTTTCCATCTGTTTGCCTCCAGAGAAGATATTACATAGAAACGTAAAGAAATTAAACTTTATTTATTCAGACTTCCGGCGTAAATTTAATTTAGGGTCAAATACACCATAACACCGAGTTAGACACGCCCTCGAGAGATTAATGTTGCCGATCACTTGCTTCTCTAGTGCAAAATGATTAATATGGTGATTATTAGTTCAAGGAAATGATAAAGAAATTATCATAAATGTTCTTCACTAATGGACTGGCCTGAGGTCTCGCTACAAACAAGCGGCTGCTGGAAGAGAGTAGGTGAGTTGTGTTTAGTCTCTTTGCTTAAGAAATTAGTTAAAATTAAAAAGATGTTTGGTGACTAGTGCTGTGGCTAGGACCCTATATGTTCTGTTGATGAAGTTAGGTGCTGTTCTGAGCATTATTTGTGTCTATAGAGTGGCTTTTTGGTTGAGGTTTGTTTATGGCTCCTCAGACCGCTGTGTATTGCTATCCTGCTGTCGTCACTAAAGTTGGTATAACTAGAGAAGAAAGCAGTCGGCAACATTCATCTCTCGAGAGGGTGTCTGACTCAGTGTTATGGTGTGTTTGACCCTAAATTAATTCTACACCGGAATATCCCTTTAAAGATCTGTGTATCCCGTATCCACTGCTCCCTCTCATACCTCATCCCTGTGATCTGATTGGCTGACAGGCCCGTCTGCCCCTGAAGTGGATGTCTCCAGAGTCCATCTTTGACAAAGTGTTCACCACACAGAGTGACGTGTGGTCCTTTGGCATTCTGCTGTGGGAGATCTTCTCTCTGGGTAAAATCTCAGACTGCACATAAACGGGTGTTTATGATCTGACTGGGTAGTTTTTTAGTTTATGTGTAACTTTGTCCAACAGGAGCGTCTCCATACCCTGGTCTTCACATCGATGAAGAGTTCTGCCACAGGCTGAAGAGTGGGACAAGGATGAGAGCGCCTGAATACAGCACACCTGAGATGTATGTGGATATGATTGAACATTGATATCAATCAGCAGCAGAGATCTGGATGTAAACATGCAGCTTTAGATCCTTAAAAAAACCTGCTTCACTTTAGATATTTGACTCAAAGCCTCTGAAAACACTCAAAGGAAAGAGAGTGAACACAGGCAGTCTTAAGGTTTACGTTGTGTTGATACTATCTAGCAGTAAATCACTATGTTTGTGTGTGCAGTTACAGCACAATGCTGGCATGCTGGGAGGCCAGTCCCTCAGATCGACCCACCTTCACTGACCTGGTGGAGACCTTGGGAGACCTGCTCCAGGCCAGAGTTCAACAGGTCAGACTTCACGGATCTTATCTCCTTTGGCTTATCATGAAAAAGACCGAAATGCCTCATAATACCCCTTTTATGATTTCTTCTCTTTAACAGGAAGGGAAGGATTACATTCCTCTTGGATCTTTCTCAGCGGGAGATTCTGGTCGCAGCCAGACCATCAAAGAAAACCCACTTGCAGTCACAAATCTGAGGTAAAGAAGAACGAGAAAATATAAACATCATACAATTTAGCGAGGTCTGAGCCAGTTTTTTCACTTTAGATGTTGGTAAAAAAAAAAAAAACTGAAAGGGGTGCAGGTGACAGGGAGGGGAGAGAGCTTCCAGAAACACAGAGGAGAAACGTCAAACTCATATTTTTCTTCTGAATTAAATCCATTCAGCTACATGAGGGGCATGGCCACGCTTCAAACCTTTGAGGAGCTGCAGAGTGAGGAGCCGGACAGCCCTGATGTAAGAAGAACACCCTTACCCTTTAAACACCGAATAATTTAGGCTCAAACAAGAAAAGATTTAAAAGAGAATCTCTGTAAAACCTTCAATAAACTTTTTGTCACATCCTGTCTGTTTCAGGATGAGCAGAGCGACAGCGGCATGGTCCTGCCGTCTGAGGAGCTGAAACGTTTTACGTGGAATAACAGCAACAAAAACAGGAAACTGAAAAGGTGATGACATTTTATCTCTGCTGTAAGAATACTTGACTGTCCTCTCACCAGCCCAGACATCTCAACATCTCTGAATCATTTCTGTACATTGGCATACAAAGGTCGTTAGATGTATAAGATTACAATTTCCTTCTACCCATAAAAGGAGAGTAGTCGTGTTGAGAGAAAATCCCCTTTTTTTTAAGTCATCAAAGAAAAAATGCAATTAGAAACACGTAGATGATTGAAGTTTGTGATGCAGCATAAATTATTCAACATGACAAACCTGCAAGAGGATGACTCCTGGTCTGTTTTCTGTTTAGGTTTCTCACCTTTACTAAGTGCCAGGACAACAAGGAGCCCCTCTTGTGCCCTGACACCAAAGGTCGCCGTGACCACACTCCGTCCATCTTGCCATGTGATTGGGAATCGGATGAAGGCGGCTCCCCTCCTCCAGACTATAACTCCGCTTTTCTCTACCCCTCCCTCTAGCATCAGTTTCATCTTTAACAGTCTTTGAACAGGGTATAATAATCTGTATACTTTTCTGCTCTTCAACTCCTGCCAATCAGAACTCATTTCTCCTTTTTTCTACCTCTACAAGTATTGATTATTTTCTTCTCCTGCTTCCACCAAACTGACGTTTTTCAGTGTTACTGTGTGTGATCTTGTATCACCACACACCTCCTTTAAGAGCAGCTAAGTTATACCTGATAGTAACTCCAACATGCTGAATTCTGCAGAATGTATTCACCTGCCTAACAGTACTAAGAGCTTTTTGTATTGGTACCTCATGTGCTGAGCTTTGTAAAGAGGAACACTGCTGTATGAAATATTTGTTTCTCCTACACAGCGACTATATGCTGGAAGAAGTTATTAACCACTGAATTTGATTATCTGTTAGACAGGATATAGCTCTATTTATACAAATGTTGTTTCCATGTTGTGGCTATTTTTGATCTTTATAAACAATTACTCACTTGGCTATCAGTTTATCAATTGCACTATCTTAAACTTAATAGCTGTACAGGTAAATAAGCGGAGTTATGACCTTCACGGCTATTATAATGTTCTGTGTTTCTCTTTAACTGTATGAAAACAAGCAGGCATTATAAAACACTAAAACCCTGTTGAAGCTACAATTTTACCGTCTAGGTGGATGAAACCAGCTGACATCTGAGTTCATATCAAATCACATACTCAGTTATCCCGAATAAAGTTTGAATATTTTGAGTAGTACAAAAACTTTCCTTATGATGTATTTGCCATGTATTTTTATCAACAACAAAAATCATTTAAAGTCAAGTGTTTTTTTCTTAACTCTATCTGAACTCTTTTTCTGACTGGACATACAGGGGTTGGACAGTGAAACTGAAACGCCTGGTTTTAGACCACAATGATTCATTAGTATGGTGTAGGGCCGCCTTTTGCGGCCAATACAGCATCAATTCTTATTGGGAATGACAGAAGTCCTGCACAGTGGCCAGAGGGATTTTGAGCCATTCTTCTTGCAGAATAGTGTCCAGGTCACTACGTGATGTTTGTGGAGGGAAACGTTTCCTGACTTACTCCTCCAAAACACCGCAAAGTGGCTCAATGATGTTTAGATCTGGTGACTGTGCAGGCCATGGGAGAAATTCAACTTCACTTTCATGTTCATCAAACCACTCTGTCACCAGTCTTGCTGTGTGTATTGGTGCATTATCATCCTGATACACGGAACCACCTTCAGGATACAGTGTTTGAACCATTGGGTGCACATGATCCTCCAGAATAGTTCGGTAGATCCTTGGTAGTGACCCGCCCATTGGGGCCTAGGGAATGCCATGATATTGCAGCCCAAACCATCACTGATCCACCCCCATGCTTCACTCTGGGCATGCAACAGTCTGGGTGGTAAGCTTCTTTGGGGCTTCTCCACACCGCGACTCTCCCTGATGTGGGAAAGACAGTAAAGGTGGACTCATCAGAGAACAATACATGTTTCACATTGTCCACATCCCAAGATTTTCGCTGCTGGCACCATTGAAACCAAGTGGTGACCAAAGGTTTGCCTATAACAGCCCGGCCGTGTATACTGACCCTGTGGAGCTCCCAACAGACAGTTTTGGTGGAAACAGAAGAGTTGAGGTGCACATTTAATTCTGCAGTGAGTTGGGCAGCTGTGGTTTTATGTTTTTTTGGACACAATCCGGGTTAGCACCCCGACATCCTTTTCAGACAGCTTCCTCTTGCGTTCACATTTACTCCTGTTGGATGTGGTTCGTCCTTCTTGGTGGTATGCTGACATTACCCTGGATACCGTGGCTTTTGATACATCACAAAGACTTGCTGTCTTGATCACAGATGCACCAGCAAGACGTGCACCAACAATTTGTCCTCTTTTAAACTCTGATATGTCACCCATAATATTGTGTGCATTGCAATATTTTGGGCAAAACTGCTATTACTTTGCTAATTGAAGCTCCACACTCTGCTCTTACTGATGTAATGTGCAATCAATGAAGACTGGCCGCCAGGCTGGTCGGATTTAGCCGTGAAACCTCCAACAATAAACTGGCAGGTGTTTCAGTTTCATTGTCCAACCCCTGTATAAGGGGGGTACAGGTATGGGGGTCCCTCAGTAGTGTCCCATTGGTATTTGATTAATTTGGGATTTTGTATTGGTTCTTTGTGTGTATATGGATTTAATGTCACGGATCTAAATGGTTCATATTTTTGTTTTTATGAGTGCTTTCTAAACGTATAAACCAAACCGTTTAACACAAAAGAAGACAAAAAAACATCGGAAACACCCTGGAATAAAATTCAAGCACCTGACCAACTTTGTAAACATTTTTAAACATCTGGTGTTTCGATGCAAATAATAGCTGTAATAGTTTCTATTCGGTAATGATGGGAAAAACCCATTTAGTCAAATCTGTCCCGTATGTGGTTACAAAGATTTTTTCAACATATTTGTTCTCATCTAACAAAAAACCGAACAGCATCAGTTTTGGTATTCTTTATTAAAATACTGCTGTACACACAAATATTGCAAAATTTGAGACAATGAACACAAGAGGGGCATAAAACATACTAAGATGGTGATTGTAGGTGTGTCCATGTGGGGCAGGAGAAGAAGGATGTCACTAATCATTAACTGGAGTGTGTGTGTGTGTGTGTTATGGTGTGGAAGAAGAAGAAGGTGATATGAGCATTGACATTGTGTAGGCTGTGTTGGAGGGCTTATAATGCGTGTTTGTGTGTTTTTTTTGTTTTGAGGGTTTTTTTTTTCTAAAGCACCACATTCACCAAATATGTTTTTGTCTGTTCATGTCACTAAAACAGAGGAAGTAGTACATGATCAAACTCACCCTGCCGGTCTGTTGCCCCCAAATACAGTCGGGACACTGTTCCTGTTTATTCTGCTTTTCATCTTCATTTGCCTCTAATCTGATGATGATGACGTGATGTTTCATGTTTGTGGAAGTTAGCCAACCAACCAAAAGGCGATGGATAAATCAAGAACAGTGGTTTGACAGAGCTCGGACTGACTCTTTATCAGGGTAAAGCACCAAATTCCTCCAGTCAATCTACAGATTGAATCTGGGAATAGATTTGAGATAATAATCAGATTATTAACTGTGCTTAAGGGCAACATGAAATCCCTCCCAGCATGATCCCCACAATGCTGTTAACTCTCTAAAACCTTGTTCCAAAGACCCCACTCAGCTCATCTATCTGACTGGACAGGGGGCAGCCAATGACGGCCAAACACATTCAATCATCGGGCCCCTCCAGCTGTTTGTCATCCTGAGAGAAATCCAAGCCATCCGAGTGAGCGCAGCCGCCCGCGCCGCTGCATTGTCTCCAGCACATTTTTAATATCATGATCTTTAAAAGTCAAATAAAACAAACAAAAAGAAACTTTTGGTACCCAGTGCCCAGTTCCTCTTCTCTCCTTCACCCCTCATCCCTTTCCCCTAAAGCCCCTGCTGGAATTGGTCCACAGAATAATAAAGAGTTGAGGCATAAATTAACTGCCCTCCAATTTCCCATCATGCATTCCTGCATAATATCTGAGCAAAGAGAAAAACCAGCTAGAAAAATCACAAAAAAGCATCACTTTTTCTCAAATGGGGGGAGGTCAGGACAAGAAGGGGGAGTAAGAGTGAGACAGAAAGGGGACGTTTGGGAGGGTAGGGAGTACGGGTGGGGGACAAAAAAGGACATTCCACAAAGAGGCAGCTGTGGCTCCACCTCGTCAGAAGCCCCACCCGCAGGCTACACCCAAGTGCTGGACAGCCAAATCACAAAGACTCATCCTGGAGCAGTTCATGTCACTGTAGCGTCCATTCACCAAAGAGGCCGCTGCATCTGTAACAAACACTTGGTAGACGGCATCAGGGAAAGACTTCCCTTCCTCAGTGCCAAAGAAAACCACGTTTTACCGCCCAAATCCCAGTCCATGTTAGCCCCACCCTCCCACCCACACACATCACTTACTTACATATGAGCCTGATGTTCCACAATCTTCTGAGCTAAAATGTCAGAAATTCATAGATTTTTCCAGTTTTAAGAAACCTTCCCACACACTCAAGTGGTTTGTCCTTTCTTACTGACAACCAAGGCAAAGGCAGGCCGGCCCATTTCATAAAACAGGTGCCATCCCTTCCCAACAAGAGCCTCGAGTGGTGTGTCCCGTCTGTCAGTGCGTCACAATGAAAGAGTGTGGTCTCCAGACGGAAGAGAGACGCAGTCGATGCAAAGCTGGGTTTCTTTTTTCTTTTTTTTTTTGTTTTTGTTTTGTTTTTTCCGTTTGATTTCATTCTGCTCTGGTGTTCATGTCTGTGTGTGAGACTTTAGCTTCCAGTACACCCTGTAGGCCACTCACACATTTTCATAAAAATAACAAAAAATAACAAAAAAATTAAAATCTTAGTGCATCCTCCTCTGAAAAATAAACCCCAACTGTAGAAATAAACAATAAAAGCAGGAAAAATATTCAAAACCTCATGGTTTGTTTCTCGTTTTGTTTTGTTCCCCAAATCTAAAAAAATGTCCTCATAGTCGCTCATCACAGCTTCCATATGTGTCTTTTTTTTGTTCCTTTTGTTGTACAATTTTCAGCTGCGGGGTTTAGGAAAACTAAAAAAAATACACTTTAGAAAAGCCTTCCTGGTGGACAGGGTCAGTGTATGTGACTGAGGTTCACGAAGCCCCGCCCCGCTGCCTTCGCCATGCTGATGTCATACCATGAGCCTGGTCCTCCCCCTGTAGTGCAATAGTGTGCTCCAGGTCTGGGCAGTCCCACTCCAGGCCCCAAGAGGGTGCTACAGAGAACCAGAGGCAGCGGCCTGCAGCTCCTGGAAAGTACTGTCGAAGCAGCGCTTCAGGTCCGAGTAGGTCACGACCAGGACGCTTTTCTCATCCCGAGACACCAGACTGATCTTCTCAGGAACACCTGCATCCAGCTGCAAAATCACAGACACACACTAATTATTTTGATCAACTACAACAAACAGGAAACAACGAAAAGCTCTTCATGATATATTCAAGTGAAGAAGCAGAATGAAGGGGAGCTAATTATATGCTCAGTTTTTGTAGATATAATTTAAGGATCTCTTTTGGACTACGATTAAATTGATGGTAGTTTTGTCTGAAGTCTGAAATTAGATTTTTGGGCTAAGAGACACAAAGAGACGTGATAAAGTCTTTTAAATGTGCTCGGGGATTTTCAGTTTCACTGCTTTTGCCGATAACCATCTGCTCACCAAACACCAAACGTCACAGGTGGAAGTAAGCCAGAAAAAAAGTCCCTTTTTTCTCTCTTTTTTTTCCTGCAATCTGTAGAAATTTTGTACATAACTATTATAAAGTGAATTTAAATCATGAATACATGTTCTAAAAATGAGCCGCTTGGCAAGTGAGACTGACTCAAAAGAAGTAAATAGTTCTTCTTTAGAGACAACTTGATAAGTGTCCTCCGTATAAAATAGAGGGTCACTGACTTTGTTGAGGCAGGAGACGATGTGGCTGAGGTCGATCCAGGGGGTCCCAGCTTCTGTCACCTGGTGGAACAGGTGATCCCGGAAAAGTTTCAACAGGTAGCGGTCGCCCGTCTCCGACCAGGTAGGGTCCTTCTGAAACCTGATTCAAAAATGCCCGTTTCACATCACAGAGTCACAGATCCACAAGCTCACATACAGGCGGATCCTCATGACAGGAACTACTTACTCTGGACGCTCGTTGATGGTGCCCAGTTTGGCCAACAAACGGAAAAGACGGCCATTTTGCACTTCCTGAAAAGAAAATAGTGGTTATGAGCTGCAAGAATTTTCTTTTGATTGAAAAGTTTAAAGGGTGTTAAAAGGAAGAAGACAAGTCACTTAATGAACCTGTTTGACCTAATGTCAATGTGAGGCGCATCCTTTTTTTCCTCCAGAAGACAAACTCAAGCCGGCACAAACATCAACTGACAAATGTCACATTTAGTAAAAAGTTGTGAAAAGTTTTCTGGAGGCTGTGAGAGGCAGAAAAAAACCCACTGTGGTCAATTTGCTCTCAGGCGGATGTTTGAGTTTCACAGAGGCCAAAAAAAAAAACCCTGTGGGGTGTACAGATACTGCAGGTTTGGGGTGAACTTGATTATGCTAACAAGCTAACAGTTACGTGGAAAGGGAAGAAACTGAATGTAATGAATATTTCCGATAGAATATGCAACAATTCTTAGAAGAAAATAGAACTTGTAGTCTTGCAGAGAGGACAGTGAGAAACTGAAACTTGTCACTTCACTTTAGGTCTGTACATGGTGTGGGACTGTTTCCTCACAGGCTCAAGGTGACACTTCCTCCTTACTGGAGGTCAGCCAAGCTGCAGTTTCTTCTAAATTCATCTTGTTTACAATCTGACAGTTAAATTTTTTTAATATAGGGCCAATTCGCGACAAATGTAAAAGTCCAAGCATCCTCCCTATGGTGACTGGAGCATCACTGTTATTTCCCTCAGAGTCATGTTGCCGTCAGTCACTTCAGTGGACTGTTTGAAGGGCTGGTTCTGTCAAGTCATAGCTCACCTTTCACTTCGGCAGATAAAATTTACTCCTGCCTTTCCTCTCCTTTCTCTTCCTCCTCTTTGCCTGTCTCTCCCTGTCAACACTCTGCACTGCAGGACAAAGTGAAAAGGGTTGAATCAAACTGGTCAGGATATCATGTCTTCTTTCGGGGAAAAGTTCTCCATCACTGGATCTCAAGTAACTCTTTAAATAGTTTAATATTTGAGTTGAAGCGGTGTCTGTTCCAGGACAGCAGCTTGGCGTTGATACACAGTTTGTTCAGACAAGCAGGTTCAAGTGGACCAAATCAGGCTTTAATGATCCCTTCACATAGATCTGCTTATTTCTCAACAGACTTTCTGAGCAGGAGAACGTTTAAGAAAACGTTTTTAAAGCCACATTATATTTATTTAAACATACTCCTCTATTAAGGTCACATGTGCAGTAAAGTACATTAGCTACAACACTTAAAGTGTGCAGATGAAGGCTTCACTTGCTGATTTAATGACTTCATGACAGTCTGAAGGTAAAAGAAGTTTTGTTTCCAGAACCATCATGGCGAGAAAAATCCCTTCTGACTTCAGCAGACTGCATGACCCCTACTATCTTAAATTTGATCTGATGGTATTGTCAACACAGACAGACTCAAAATAGGCTCCATTCACCGAACACATACTCATGTTGCATGAGGACACGGGAGTCCCCTTCATGATGTCTGAACTTTACTCTCCTCTGTCTGTTTCCTTTTTGCTGGGTTAGTAAAGCTCTTGAGTGCGCTCTCTGTAGGTATCAGGCTGATGTGAAAAACAAACACCTGAATAATGAACATGCTGAATGTCCTGCTCTAAACCATCTGAAACAGATGGAGATCATTTGGATCTTTTAATGTGCATCACAGCGACAGCAGCCTGTTTCCTCTTCTGTCTGTTCTTGTTCTGTCTTAAACATGGAGAAAAATCAGCAAATTAATCCCTAAAATTATTGATCAACCCCAGATTTAAAGACAACAATCACAGCTGATCATGTTCGAAAAAGGACTTCATGTCTTTTTGAACATCCCTGTTATGTGCTGCTTGTGGTTTAATCATTTTAAAAAATGCAGTTATCATGACAGCATAGAACTATTTTCAGCAAAGTCCTACAGAGGCAGGTAAAGACTCAACAAACTCATTGTTTCTTATGAACCACACTGTCATTGTATCGTGCATAAGTTTCTTTTGCACATAAAACAGAGGCCGATTACTGGGCGACTGTCTCCAATCTAACTCAGTTATCAGCAGAACACAGGCAGATTTAGCCGGAGCAGAAAACCTCAATCTGCAACTTGTTTTATTTCCACAGATTTGAATGTCCATCTCAAATCGCCAGCTGTTTTGTAGTTTTGTGCTGCTCGTAACTTGTGAGATCTGCTTGACATCTGATAAAGGCAGAGACAGACAGGCAACAGAAACATGAATTTGCATCAGTTTGAGGTAACAACACCAACCCAAACTGCTACTGGTTTGGCGTAAAGGGGAAGTTCAGCCTCCAAAAGAGAAAAAAAAAATGAGGTGAAGGTTGGCTGTTTCACTCTGGCATGCCAAAATAAACTCAAAACAAGACCTCAAAGCCAATACATCCTTCAACTTCTCACTTAGCTCATCAAACATGCCCCAGTTTTTGACAAATACTAGCAGCCGAAAAAAACACAGCACTACTCTGGACATGTGTGCACGATATTTGGCCATGAAAAAAAACAGCCGTAAGCAAAACCTCTGCATCTTTACATACCTTAGCTAGATCCTCCTCAATGACATCATTCCTCATCTGCGATGCATCCAGCTGTGTGTAGAATCGAGCTCCAATCATGGGCATGATGTCATTGACACTGCGCAGGCGAGACTGTTCAGTCAGCAGATACCTGCAGAAACAGAAAAACATCAGTTTGTCAAAAGGTTAGCTGCAAAAGTCGAGAACAACAGTGCAAGGTAACCGATAAACTCATCCAAAAGTTGCATTCACTGGGGTCTTACAAAACTTTTACTGGAATTAACGTCTGATTTAGAAAATAGTGAAAGACACTAATCATAAACCTCATTTGAAGTTTTGACTCAGGATCCACAGGTGCTGCATTAAAGTTCCACTCCGATCGATTTTTTTTTATTATTATTCAGTGTTCTCAGTGGTCTTTGAATTGTGATTATTAAGTTTTTTAGCCAAAATCACATTATCTGTGTCATTTTCAAAGACTTTTCTTCTGCAGAGCTCCAGTCGCTCATTAGCAATTCGCCTCTGAGCTGTGGGCGGAGACAGCGCTACTCTGCACACTCATCTGCACGTTAGCTTTGTAGCCTAACATTGCCAGTGTAGTAGAAATAGCAGGTAACATAGGAACTATTCAGCTCTCAGACACTAATGTCTGAGATGAAAGCTAATATCATAATTAGCTTTCTTTGCAATCTGCTAACACAAACACTTGTTCCGCAATCGTCCTCTATTTCACAGTGTCTGGCCTGCATAGCGGGGCTCAGGGGGCGGAGCTTGGATTTGTGACATCTAAAATCCCACTGTTCCTGCCATTTAGGTCTGCCAAAGATTCACAACGATTTGAATGCAAAAACAACAAGAAATGCAATTTTGCACTTATTTTCCGATGATATGTCCTGTATCATCAGAAAAATGCCACACCAACATGTAAAAAACGAGAAAAACATGATAGTCATTAGAATGGGTCTTTAAAGGAAACTGAGCTTCACATAACCGAGAAAAGCCTCAGCCTATGAATCACCCTCTTGGGTTAGAAAGGCTTAAATAACTGAGAAAGTGACTACGTATGTTTCCTATGTATTGAAACCATTCTGCTTAGGGCACTCTTTCACACGTCTTTATCTTTTATGTGAAGAAAACCACAGTTAATGATATCGCCAACGTCATGAAAAACACACGGGGGTGGAGGACAACTGGTAGTGATATGATTCAAGGAAAAGACGTCAATCAGATAAATTTTATCTGATGAATAGGACTTTAAAAAAATGAACTAATTTGTATGTCCAGCCTTGACAGATTTGAAACTTAGTTATGTTATTGTGATTAAGATCTCAACTCCATTTTATAGCAGAGAAACACTTCCTTCTTTACTGTAATCACAATCTGGGCTGACAACAGAGAGGAAACTTAACAGCTAGTGGCAAAGTTTACCAAACAGTCTTGCAAAAACCCCAGATCTGTTTGGTGTTTAACCACGGATAGTATCCTCATAGCTGGGTCAACCAGGCAAAACTTATGAAATCATGACTACGACCAACTGATGTGCTGAAACAAGTGCTTGTTGATAAGGGCATGGTCACAGAACTTCCCAGTAAGCAACAGAAAAAAATGGTGCCGCATCGCTGTCATTTCTCATCAGTCAAGCGCTGAGATGTTTCCAGAGGAAGAAGACTTTGACATGTGAGAAATGTGAACTTTCACCTTCCTCCCTGGCACACATTCAGGCATTCTGATCTTTCAAACTCCATCCAACGTGCTCTAAAAAGGCACTCCAACGTGAGCCGATGATAATGATTTTGGGCAAATTTGGAGAAAAAATAAACTAATTGGGACAAAAAAAAAAAAAACAACTCTGCTAGTTAAGAGTGGTTGCAAGATATTTAGGCTGACCTAATTCTTTCAACAGAAGACAGCAGAGGCAAGTTCATCAGATGTTTACGAAGTTTATCTTACAAAATTATACTACGGAGTGACGTTTTTTTCCCCCAATGCACTAAAGACACAAATACTAAACATAAGCACCAAGTATAATCAATATTAACACTCTGAAATTACACATAATCATCAGTGGAACTGGTGGAAAATTCATCTTTTCTTACAGAATGAGGTTCTTGAGGTCTGAAGAGTAATTGATGGACACCAGCTCCATGGCCTTCTGCAGGTTCTCCCTTTGAATGCCAGCCAGGGAGTTACACGCCAACGCCAGCACCACCTTGCCCAGTGATACTAGGTCCGCTTGCTACACAACAGGGCACACACACACACACACAAAATAAAAAAAAGGGCTAAGCTCAGTGGGTTTTTGAAAAGTCAAGCCAAAGCTGTTGAGCTGTTGTATTATGAAATATATGTCAAACACTAAATCACATGAAGTACCTGGTACTGTGGCATTAGGGCAAGGTGATTTGTCTGACTGTTGTCAAAGGTTAAGACATCAAACACCCCAACACAGTTCACCCGTAACCTGTGGAGAGACCATGGGCGTTAACGTGAGTGGAAGAAGGAAGCTTCTCCTAAAGTAGTTTCCTTTTTCAGTGAATCGACAGTCATATCTTTACTTTCTAAAAGGAAACACATGATAACCTGTAACCACTATTACTCATTAGTGCATGGTAATGACAACACTTCTGCTGAGGCGTCTCTGTATGTGTACCTGGTCTTGCCAGTGATAAGAATCTTGCTGGGGTCCATGACACGGCAGGCCAGGCCGGCAGTGTGGATGGTGCGCAGGGCGGAGCTCAGCTGGACGATGTAGGCCCAGATCAGAGACTCTGGGAGCAGGCCCGCATGCTGCCGTGGAGGAGGAGGCTCATGTTGTCCTGTGCGCATAGAGATTATGAATTACACGGATGCAGACTGAAAGGTTAAAGTTAACTTTTGATCTGAACCTCAAACTGTCACTGAATGCCTTATGAAAATGTTGCTCACAGCACAACAAGTCGTTTTTAGGCAGCTTGACCCAATTTGATCAACTGGTTTTCACAATAAGAAGATCAATTCTTTGGTCGTAATCATCGGCCTCCAACACTGTTTAATCATTTCAGTGTGTAGTTTTGATCAGGTCCCATAAGAGCAATACAAAACAAAGTACTCATCTCACTGTTCTCAGAAACTCTATTTACATTACACTTGCAATTTTCTGCAGCACCAACCAACATGAGGGTTGGGCTCATTGAAGTAGCAGTGTTAGGGTGTGAACAGCACAAAGAAACCCACAAATTTCACGCCTAGAATGCTTGGCTCGACTGTTTTTATTTCTATATGTAGCTGAAATACATTCAGCTACTTTCACACCGTGTGACCCAGTGGTTTTAGATATTTTTTTACACATCTTTGTGAGTGAAATTGTGTTTATTCTTGAAAAATGGCATTTGAAAAGTTTGTCACAAACTGAACAAAGCCCATGGAGAGAGTGGTTTTGCTTCCTCTGTCTGCATCCCTGTATGGGAGCCCTGCAGCACCTGTTCTAGGATCAGTTTCAGCCACAGCTCTCCACCCCCAAGGTCTCCACATCTCATGTACACACACGCAGAATAACTGTCAAAGTGGGACGGTTTCCTAACACTTCTACTTCGAGAGGCATATGTGGACATTACTACACACATTGAAAATAGACCTAGGCCCATGACCTCATTAACACACAAACAAACTCACTAAGTGTGAAGCAGAAAGGCGCAGAGGTGATGCTGGGTTTATTTTAGAGTAGAGAAGGAAGGGAGGGTATACAACCTACCCCATTTCCTCTTGGTGAAGTACGAGTCCGCTGCTGGATCATTAAAGTGTCTGCTGAACATGGTTTCTGCACCCGCATGAAAATCATAAGAGAACACCAACGCTGGGGGGGAATAGATGGAGAGAAAAGATTTCAATTTACGACAAAACGAACAATCAGCAACAACACAAAGCAACATTTTCAAGCAGCACATTGTTCAGTCTGGAGTTGGTACATGGTTTTCACAGTAGCTATATCTGCCACATATAGGCAAGGTCTTTGCTGTGCATCTGTGCACTGCAGCGTCAACAAACATGTTTCTATCTTCACATGTGTAGGGTGTCTTTGTGTTTTTCAGATCTTCAGTTTTCAGATTCCACTATAGACCACCCACACTAGAGAGAGGAAGGGGTGGTTCAGGCAGGGATGATTATCTCGCATCAATTGGCGGTCTGCTTTGTTTTGACCAAAGTTTAGTATCAGTGGCTTAGATGACTCGATATCCTTTGTTCTTGTTTTGGTATAGTGATACCAAAACGAGAAGCAGATACTATTCACAATAACTGCAGATGGGAGTCGAACAAAAACTGTTCCAATATAGCTGAGAGGAATCACATCATGCATCTAGACCAGGGTTGCATATTAATACAATCAACTTTTTTGTACACAACACACACTTACAGTGGTCTCCAAAGGCCTTTGTGGTGAAGACCTCCCTCAGTGTTACGGAGTTTGAATGCTGAATCTTCTTCCACATGTCCACCAGCATCATGCACTTGGTGTTGACAAGGCGGAAACCTGCACAAATTTGCCAGACACACAAGAAACATTGGAAATTATTACACACACGTTTGATGCTATCACAACAGCCTGTGTCGCCCTTGAACACAACACGTGTTTCATGGTTACTGACAAGAGTGACAGATGTTAAATCTGGTTTTGCTCATCAAACAAAATCAAATTAACCTTCAAAACTCTTATCCAGCATCACATCATTTTTCTAATAACAGGGAATCCGTCTTTAAGTTCTTTCAAACAACAAAATACTTCAATTATCCTATTTGTGTCGAAATAAAGTGGCACTTTTTGTTCATTTACTTGGACTTTTTTTAGTTGTTCAAGCTTCGTCAGCTGGAATTACACACTAACTTGGTTGAAAGACGGTAAAAACAATGCATACACTATATTACTGTCAAAAACTGTTGCCTTTTTGAGTCATAATCTCCAACATTATCTACTTTGGTTGTGTAGCTTTTCTGTAGTGTGTCTTTGAGAGGCAGTTCCACATCTCCACATTTCTCACCGTGTATCCTCCTCAGGCAGTACGGCAGGTCATCTTTGCTGTTGACTGCTTTGTAGCAGGAGGTGATGTAGCTGAAGTTGCTCGTCTTCTGCATGCGGTTCGGAGGGGGAAGGGGCTCAAGGGGGAACAGGCTGTGGTAGCTGTCCACCTCTGATGGTACATCTGCCGGACACAGGTAGTTTTAGGAGTGGGCAGATGAGAAAATGTACAATGTGAGTCAAACATAAATGGTCAAAAAACTAGTCGAACAACTTTCAGTCATAACCTGCATAAACAATGACTTGTTTTTACCAATACTGTATCAGTCCTAGACTATGGACTTTATTATTGTACCCTATAGTGCATTTTGACTCTAACTGTCTGACACTTTGTGGCAGAAATGAAAAGGACGCGAGTAACTGTAAGCACAACCAAAGAGACCACAAACATTGTATTTCAACAGCCTTTCCCACTGACATGAGGAAATCATCTCTTGGTTTAACAGAGCAATGGAGGTTTGCTCACGTAAAGAAAACAAAACCACAGTGTCAAACTTGTGTTGTGTCTGATACACAGCCCAGCCCCCATAACTTGGTCAATGTTTTTGCTGCAAGTTATAATAAATTAAATAAATAATAAGAAATATAACATGTCTTTGTTGCAACAACACAAAAGACCCTATACCTGGGTTTTCTGAGTGGTCGATCTGAGCCATGGTGATCAGGTGTCTGTTTATCAACTCCTGGAGGAGAAATTAAGGGCACAAATTCAGAGATTTTTCTCCAGAGATGAATACAAGAAGGATTTTTAGCATTAAAATGGATGGCGAGTAGGACTACCTGTCGTAGCTCATCAGCCATGAAGAAGGATGGGGCGTTCGCTTTCGGCTGCATGTAAGCCACATGGGGAGCAGTGGGGGGATAGATATGGTAGGTAGGAAACACCTGCAATGAAACCAGAAAAACACAGCTTCCCTTTTATTGAGAATTGAAAACCTGTGGCACTAAGCATGGTTTTTTTTTCAAACCTGTTGGGAAGGTTACACAATACACTGACACCCTTTTGTCCCCCCAACAAATTCTTTTTTTTCCTTGTCTGCATTACAAAAGAAACCAAAACTCCTCCATTTAAATAACTACTTCAAACGTAGGAAAACATAAAAGCGGGTTAGTGTGTTGTAGTTTAGGTTGAGTAAAGCTTCATCTTTGCATGTTTGTTACAGGATTTACAGTCTGCTTGTTTATGTACAGCTTGGTCTGCAAATGCATCCTGACTAAAACAAGGAGTGGGTCACAGTGTGCAGCACATACCATCCCAGCCATTGGTGCCGGCGTGTTGTCTGTGTAGAAGTAGGTGGTCCCCCCTACAGTCTCTTTCTGGATAATGTGGGTGTTGGGATCAGACGCAGTGGTGGGAACCATGTAGTTGGCAGGGTTTGGGGTGTGGCTGCGTCGACGGGGGGCAGGTGAGCTGTGTGGTGTGATTTTGGGAGAGTGGAGAGGCGATGATCCCGCAGACAGAGACATGCCTAAAATTGTTGGCAAAAAGAGGAGACACAGATCATTGACAGGGTGTGATCATTTCCTCTGAAAGAGACTTGTTTTTATGTTAACAGAAGCACGTGTTGAAAACGTAAGCCATCCTAGGGATTCCAAAACTAGCTGTACTATAATATTTCAGCACTTCAGATGGAAAACAAAACTTGAACCATGATGGGAAATGATTTCTTAGTTAGTAACCCTCCCTCACCTGGAGCCAGTGCAGCTGCCGTGGAGCTGCTGAGGCCTGGATGTGGAAAGATAGGTGAAGGGAAAGCCTGGACAGTGGACTGAGCCATGGTAGCCATCCTTGGAGCTCCTTTGGGGATGAACTCACTTGCTGCTGGGTTAGGAGTCTGGTGACACAGGCACACAAATAAGTGATTTAAATGAAATCTACCTCTCCTGTCAGATATCTCTTATACATAAGCGTCATCAAGGGTGAATGAGTGCTCACCTTTCTCCTTTGGGAAATGCTGAGAGCACCAAAATCACTGAATAGTGAGGATGTTGGGGAATTCACTGGATCTGCAGAAGATCAAATGGTATAACAAGTTTAATAGTAGTACTTATGGTATATAACAAACATGTGCTGCACCTTGGAGTACTAAAGGAGTCTTACCGTGAGCGCTGTGGCTGAAGTTCTTGGCACCATCGTTTAGGAGACTGGGAGAACTGCTGCTGGTCGTCATCCGCTGTTGTAATCATGTACAACAGACATTTTAACAAACTGTATGAGACATAAATTTCTGCAACATGTTCAGTAATGTAGTGCACATCAGGTTGTCCTTGGACAGCACCAACTGCGATGTGGTCAAATAATACATGTATTACAGAGACAGATTTTTCAGATTCTGGATTTAGCATGCATTACCCCTCAAGTACCTGCATCATTGAGTATTTTGACTCTGCTGGGCTTCCAAACCCATTGACCCCGATAAAGCTGCTGCTGAAGTAAGAGTTGGTAAGACTGGCATCACTCAGGGTTGTGCCCTCCATCCCGGGGACTGCGAGAGACAGACACAAAAGTTTTACTACTGGGAAGTTTAACCACATACAAATTTTAGTGAGAAGATTCAGCACTTGATATATGAAGAGAAAGTATGCATGTGCATGTTTACACCTCTGGGTGCGTGGTTACGGAATCGCAGGTGTCGTTATCAGGCATGTAAACACTACCTAAAGAGCCAAGTGCAGTGCAGTTAAAGTTTCCCACTAAGTTATAAGCATCATAAGCACCACATGAAAAAAGACTTGATTTATTTGTTTGACTTTTCAGTGAGCATACTTATCCTTGAGTTGCACATGAGTTTGTTTACATTGGAGAAAAAGCCCCGTGAACAGTTAACGTAGCTACGCTAATGTTAGCAAACATTAAACTTACGGGCTGACAGCAGCACACCAGCTTAGCACTCAATTTAACAAGAAAATCCAAGATAAGTTCTTTATCTAGAAACGCATCTCTAAAAGTACAGCTCACACATTTTAGTAAGTTAAAGTTTGCAGTTTAATGCTGGTAAAGTTGAGCTAAGGCTACTTGGCTAATAGCTACAGAGGCTAACTGCCGTGAGTCGCGGATTCAGCCCACTCACAGCTGTCACACAAAAACAGCAGGCCTCCCCCGCGTCAGCTGCAACAGCTAAAGTACTTTAATGTGATGTTATTAAGCACAATTAATGCCAACTAAAGGAGACCTGTTCACAGGAAAGCTAACGCCGAAGCTGCATACGCTAGGCTTTGGAAAATATTTGGTAGGTAGCAGTGTCCCACGTTGTTTGGGGTGAAAAGGCCTCACTGAATCCTCGGGCTAAATTTTAACAATGCCCCACAAGGCCCAAAAGTAAAGTCACAGTCAGTCACCCCGTGTGAGGCCTTGATATATTAAATCTGTTACTTACTGGTTAACAGCTGCCCCTCCAGAGACGTGCCTGCAGGCCCCATTGGGTCACTCTTCTTGGACACAGCGGTCCCCCCGCCTGGGCAGGCCGCCGCAGAGCCACCGAGGGAATACCCCGCTGGCGTCCCGCCACCCCCGGCCATGGACAACGGGACGGGGCTACCGCCGCTTCCGTGCAGCGGCAGGCTTGCCATGGACGGATCCTCGTGCAGGAACTGACACTCGTCTCCATAAAAGCAGGTTTTATCTTTCGCGTAGTATCGACAAAATTTCACCTTGACATTGGGTATCCCGGCACCCCCGAGCGGAGCAGCTGAAGCTGGGAGTCCACTGTTCATGGCACCGCTGCTGCCGCCGCCGCTACCGCCGGAAGACACTCAAACATAGAGAGACGCAGATAGCTGGCGAGCTAGCCAGCTAGCCTGCAAACACTTTCCCTATAAAATGTCACTCCAGCTGGTGAGGAACACTAAATAAACTGCAGCATTCACATTATAAGGCTAAGACGCATCTGGTTTACGAAGTTAAGAGTGCACGTGTTGAATCCTGGTCGTCGTTGTTGTCGCTCTCCATGCAGCTGAGTCTTCGTAAAGTAGCCTGTTGTTGTTTTTGCTCGCAGTCTGGTTGCTCTGCTAAGGACCAGCTAGCATAGCTTTGCATTGTGGGTACGGTGTTCGGCAGCGTTAACCTGCTGCACATGCAAGCTGCAGATTGAAGTTACTGCACAGCACGGTAATAATATCGACAATGCATCCGAATAATGTCAGGATGTGTGGAGCCTTAAAAGCACGCTCGCTATGTGACCAATGCGTCTCATTCAGCGTGGAAAAAAATACGATTATAGCACAGACGAATGGACAGATGCAAAATTATAACATTCAAATGTGCAAAAGAGCATCTTACAAGCATAACATGAAAAACCAAGCTTTAAGTTTGGGAAGAACAGTGGAGTCGATGCTGGTAAGTTTAATTTTTATACATTTATTAGAAATAGACAAAAGGCGAGATAAGTCAATTCACTACGTTTGGATTTAGAAACAAAAAACCTGCTCCGTGCCTTCACTTGGTAATCCTACTGATGTTCTTCAATTATATTTTACGAAAAAAAAAGGAAATTAATTAATAAATGAATAAAATATCCTACAGGTACACCTTAACTTGATACTCAGCATATCATATAACCTATATATTGCAGCCAGGCGGGGCCGACAGCGTCATTTCAGAGTCATTTCCCCCATATAAAACTTGAAGCCAACTCATCCGCATGTACAATATCATGGTGTGAATGTCTGACTTAGAGCATGTGAAAGGTTCAGGGCACAGGCAGATCAATATGATTGTTGGTAAGTCGGATTATTTAAAAGTCTCTTCTATGACTATTTGTCATTGCAGCATCAGAACTAATCAAAAGAAAGTATTTAGGAATGATTGTGATTTTCTTTTCTTTTTTATTCTCTATGTTTTATTTTGTCTTTGAGTATTCAGTAGTCTGCCTCAGAAATAAATTCTCCTTTGATTCAGCTGCAGATCAACAGTAAAGTTTAAGGATGGTTATGAAGAAGGTGAACAAGTACTTGAGAAACTTGTGATCAACATATGGAAACAGTCTGATCACAGAGTAACTGAACTAAATGAGTGAAAGTCTTTCAAAGGTTGAAAATTATTGACGACTATATAACACATGTAAAACACAATGTATGTTGCTTGCATTTCACCCAAACCTGTTCAGCTGTTCAAAGACTTATAAGTATGTTAAAAAGAAAAACAAATATGAAAGTCTCATAATAAAGTCACATATTTTACCTTTTTTTAAGCTGTCTTCCTGCTGTGTGCTGTAGAGCTGCACGGCTCTTATGGTTTGGCAGTACAGACTCCAGTCTGTGAACCCAGTGATGAGGTAAAAAAAAGTGTACTGTGTGTGACTGATCAACTAATTATATTCAGGCTACATGTCTTTGTTATTTACCATATTTTTCTGAAAAATCAATGAGTAAAGAGTGTACTTTTTACTTAAGTGTGTTATAAAATGTGCATAGATTAGTTTAACGTCCCCAAAAGTCCTGTTAAGTTCTCTATGCAAAGTAGGTAGTCGCTGTTAATGTCATCCAAACTTAGGACAACATTACAAAGATACACATTTCTGCGTTTAGGAGAAGATACTCTTCAGTGGATACACTTAGAGGCAATAAAACAAAACTGTAAGGAGGATGTAAATCATCCATGAGGGAAAAAGATCACACTTGTTTAAACTCCTGTGTTTTATCTCTAAAGAGATACGGGCAGAGAGCTGTGAAAACAGGAACATGACAAGTTGAAATGTATCACTTTTAATTCAAAGTAGAGGAAGTGCAGGTGTTAAGAGTTCAAGTATTCATGTCTGAATTTCATTGAACTGCTTTAGTTTTGGGGTCCCGGTATTGTGTACTCAGCTTAGCTCATCTGGTGAGGTGATAGTGGTTCTTTTGATGTCTTGTACTAAGTACTTTAAATTTACAATGAACCGAAGTGTGCTACATAAATAATCTTGCCCTGCCTTGAATGTTCATTTTTAACAGTAGTTACACCTGAGCTCTTCCTACAAATAACTTGTCAAGTCAACACTTGTGTAAATCCAAAGTTTGATTTTGAGTTAAAAATTAGAGTCCATTTGATTTGTGGTAGAAAAAGTATTGATGGTTTTTAAAATAAAAAAACAGGAAGTAATAAGTCTTATCAGTGTTTTATACCATAAAATACTAGTTGAAGTGCTTTTTGTGTGTTTGTTCTAAAATTTACTTAAAACCATCAGATTATCTTGAATGCTCTCAACACATGGTGATTCAAGGGTGTCTTTTCTTTTCAAGGTGGCATGTTTTGTCCCAGCTGATTATCTGAATGTGTCCGGTCCCGTCAGCATAGACGTGTTTATTGGCAAGAGTCTTGTCATTTCCCTGGATCACTTCTCAAAATCCTCCATCTGCCACTGGATCAGAAGAGCAGAACCTAAGCTGACTGTGTAAGTGAATGTCCCTTTTTTGGGTGCCTATCTTCTTTTTTTTAACATGTGATGGGTTAAACTCAAAACTTTTTCTGAACCACCAGAAATGGGAGTCAGTTGATGGTCCTTCAGCATCTTTCCGAGGCAGACTCAGGGGAGTACACGCTAAGCTGTGGAGGCAGCCATGAGAGCCGCTCGTCTATAGCTGTGTCTCTTCATGTCGGGTTGAGTGAGTAATGCCTCTCAGCAGATCAGCATTGGACCATGTTGGGCTGTTGAAAAGAGGCAATAAGACTTTGATCACTTTTTTTGTTTTTAAGAACGTCCCTCGAAACCAAAGCTGACACTGGAAAAAGTGGATGTAAAGTTAAATTCCCCTGACTTCTCCTGCATCTCTGATGGCGACCCAAAGCCCACCATACAATGGTCTGGGTAAGTTCTTATGCATTACATTTGAGTGCATATTTACAAATGTGCAACATAATGATAAAAGCTAATTTAAGATGATTACATCATGGTTTGATCCTGTAAATAAAGTCCCTTTTTCTTTTGAACAGAGAAAATGGCAACATGTTTTCTGGAAGCAAAATCTCCAGTGGTGAATATTCTGACAGTGGAGTTATGTGCTGTGCCACTAATGCTGAAGGACAAGAGTGCTCCCAACTGTATGACTATGGTAATAAAATATCTCCTATTGTATTTATTAGGTACTTTTCAGCAGCAAAGATTGTCAAAGTACTTTTCTAAGTTGTGGACTGTGAAAATGTTTGGAGGAGTGAATTGGTCTATTGCCAAGAGAAGGTCATGCAATGGACACTTCTAATAAACGATTTAAGAATATCTTAACATATGTTTTACAGACATGGAGACTGATGGCATGAAAGATTCAGAGGTTTCTAATGTGACTCTGAGCCCTGGTCAACCTTTAGTGCTGCGCTGCAGCGTAAAGAGGTTCACCCGGCCATATTTTGTGTGGGAGATGGGCAACGTAAGAATCGTCAATAGCTCACTGGCATGCTCTTCAAAAGTCAAAAAGGAGGTACAGCGAATTCATGCCAACCTTAACTTTGTATTTTCAGTCAAAATAACCTGAAATTGAAATCACCCTATTCTATATAAGACTAAAAAATGTGTCAAATTGTGTTTCTGCCACAGATCTGCATCAAAAATGATACATTCTATGACAACACAATGACTTACCTGTACATTGAATCAGTTAGTGTGAAGAACACTGGCACTTATACCTGCAGGAGTCCATCAAACAAAACAAAGTCTGTCTATGTTAATGTTCAGGGTAAGTAAACCCAAGTTTACTTTCTCTTTGAATTCAAGAAAGTGTTTTTCTCATTTGTTAATGCATTGATTTCATTTTTGTGTTTCGTCAGCTGAAGGTTTCCTCTCTTCCCAGCTGAATGACAGTAAAATCTTACCTGCAAAGAGTGCTTCAGACTCCTGTCTGCAAGCTAAGGTCTCTTACCACCCTGTGCTCCAGCGCTGTTACTGGGAAACTCCTGATAAAAATGTGACTAAATGCATCAGGGACCAATGGGTGACTCAACACAGGTAGCTGCATGAAGACTTGAGTCATTTCTGCTAGGCATGTTAGAAGTCTGTGAGCATGGATGGACCCCCTTAAAATACAAACATGTGAGATATTTGATAGATGAAGATGTACACTCTGGACATGTCATTCATCCAATACTCTCTCCCCAGCACTGTGAAGCTTTGTGGTCATCTCAAGTCAGGAGATTACAGGTTACACTTAGAGGCTGGAGGACAAAAAGAAACAAAGACTGTGTCAGTGTGTGTTGTAGGTGAGGAAGTATTTTCTGTTTCTCATATCACCTACATACAGTTATATTTTATGTTTTTTAATGTTGTTGTTCTCTGATTTTATTTCAGATCCACCTAAATTCAAATTCAGCTCTGATGAGGTTGATAACACCTACACCTTCATGACTGCCAGTCTTGTGCCTGCAAATTACACCTGGATGTTTTGTTCCTCAGCCAATGACAGGTACTCGTTGATAAATCTGCAGCCCTGATTTGCTCTTAAATGCACATTTTCTTAACTCCTTGTTTCCTTTTTTTAATTGTCTTTCAGCGATTGTGACTCAGACTCTTCCTGGAAAGAGATCTTGTCTGCCTTTGGATCAGACTCTAACGTCTCATGTAGTAAGACAATCAAGAGCTCTGTCAGCCAAGACCTGGTGGGTGGACACAATGTAAGATTTTGCCTGACAAATTTGGTTGGCTCCTGGTGCCAAACCCAACTGATATACCAATCATCATCACCCTCCGCTTCCAGAGGTAGTGAAAACCATGTTATATAGAAAGACAGTGGAATTATCTTGATCAAGGATCTTGTTTTTGATGAGTGTGATGATGGTCTTTATCTGCCTTACTGCTTTTAGGTGATCTAAATGATGAGAACAGCAGTTTGTTGGTGCTGAAGGTTGGCAGTTTGATTCTGTTGCTGGCTTTAGCAGCGGTTAGCATAATGCTAATGTACTTTGTCAAAAAGAAGGTAAATACACATATATAACACATGAACATGGGTTTTGATACAGATAATACCCACTTGATGATATGACTGATTTGCTTTCCTGACAGAAACCTCAGTATCAGCCCCAGCTGCAGATAATCCAGATGGTCGGACCCAATGACAACGACTATATCTACATCAACTTCAAGGACTTTGAGTACAACAAGAAGTGGGAGTTTCCCCGAGAGAACCTGGAACTTGGTACAAACTGCACCAGACATGAGCATAAAAAAAAGAATCATCAAAGCTCATCTGAGGAGTTTTTATCTGGAAATGACACAGACTGAAAACAGGACTGATGTCTCCTTATCACATGCATACACAAACAAGCACAGACTGATATTTCTATGTCATCATTTTATAAAGTTTCCACCGGTCTGAAAGCAGATTTCTGCTCGCAAGAATGTAATTATAATAATTATCATTACATTCACGCAATTATTATTGAGAAATAAGTTATATTTATAAAATAAAAAGTTAAAATGAATCAATAAAAAGCAGATATGATGAGTATGTCCTAATAATGAGACAAAGTCATGATTACAAAATAAAGGCATTGCTCAACATTAACGGACAAAAACAGTTGAAAAGTCATTAATAATTGTGAAAAAAAAGTCAAAATCACATGATAAATTCAACAGATAAGATAAGAATTCATTTTTAGAAGACAACATAAACTTAAAGGGATTTTTTTTTCATCACGGCCAATTGCATTTTTTTTTTATCCTTTTACTGGAGGAAATGGGCATCCATACACAGGAAAAGATGTTTAACTGCACAAAGCTAAACCTTCGGTCATTCAGGCAGTCATAAGTCATAAAATTATTCTTTTTGGACTAGTAAAATACAAATATATGTTATTGTTGGAAGTTTCATCTCTGATTGATTGATCCAACAGCATCGCAGAAGCTATACTGTATATTTGCCTTTAAGATCAATTTGAGCAAAATCTTGAGATGTGGTGACACTCAAGTGTTTTTGTATATTCTTCAGGTAAGGAGCTCGGCTCTGGGGCTTTTGGCATGGTGCGCCAGGCAACAGCTTATGGCATCAACAAGCCTGGAGTCTCGCAGCAAGTGGCTGTCAAGATGCTCAAAGGTCAGTGTCTTTGTGTTTTTATTCTCAAGGGTGACATGCAAAATGTCACTTAGGTCAGCTCTGTGGTTGATGTGGGAATTGATCCTTCAGATAAACACCAGACTGTGGAGAAGGAGGCTCTGATGTCAGAGCTCAAGATGCTGACTCACATCGGTCACCATGCCAACATCGTCAACCTGCTGGGGGCGTGTACTGACACAGGTATGTTTCCTATTGCCTCTGAATCTTTACATCTATTAACATTGAAGAAGTCTTTATGTCCTCTTACTACCCTGGTACTGTATGTTATAGACATTTAAATTAAAGTTCATTGCATGTGGTTAAAGTTAAGTATTGCTTATGATGATTACTGGTATTTCTCACACAGGACCAACATACCTGATCTTCCAATACTGCTGTTATGGAGATTTATTGAACTACCTGAAGAAAAACAGAGAGCACTACCACAAATCTGTGACTGATGCTTTCAACAAGGACCGCTTCAGCAGCCTGTACCACAACCTGCAGTCAAAGACAAGCTCCAGGTCTGGAGGGGACAAAGAGTGCTGAGAATAGCTCGGAGATAATAGAGGGATTAAATTTAAAAAGAAACATGCAATAAAATTGTGGGTTTATTTGTTAACGGCTTTTATTCACAGTGAGGTAGACTCAGGAGTGGGTAATTACATGCCCATGCACCGCGCCACCACCAGAGGGCAGGAGGACATCGCCCTGCTCATGATCAACTCTGCAGAGGTGGACAGCTTTGAAGGTATAAAACATCAGCCGAAGTTTGAACATGCTTGTTTTCAAAATAATATATTCACGCCTGCTTGTTATTTAAGTGGGGTTGATTTTAACTCATTATCTCCAGATCCAGAGGTCTTTGAAAATCCAGATGATCCTGCAGAGGACCTCCAGACCCTGACTTTTGATGATCTGCTCAGCTTTGCCTTCCAGGTGGCCAAAGGCATGGAGTTCCTCTCCTCCAAGAATGTAAGTGACGGGGAGCCAAATAAACTGATTTCTGCCATCCTATTGTTCATTTTTTTATGCAGAAAAAAAAAACAACAGATGCATTTGAGTAAGTTTTAAAATTTTACTCACCTTTTATAGACCAAATTTTCAATCCAGAAAACCCATTTGTCAAGATATTAATGATAAAACAAAAATGTTGCTCCCCAAACTTCTGACTTCAGGTTAAAAATATTGTTAAATATAGGTGTGCTAATTTTCAGATATGTTTTTTTTTTTACATATATACTGTGGGATTCTTATAATTGAAAAAATAAAGCCCCTCCTGTGGCATATGTTAACCTGTTGCATTAGATAACAGTCCAGTTATTAAACAGAAGTACTATATGGCTTAAGGCTGGTACAAATGGATTATGTGAGGTGTGACTGAAGTCCTGATGTGCTCTTTGGTCTATGTGCAGTGTATCCACAGAGATCTGGCAGCTCGGAATGTGTTGGTGACAAAGGGCAGACTGGTGAAAATTGGTGACTTTGGACTGGCCCGAGACATCGAAAATGACTCAAACTACGTTGTGAGAGGAAATGTATGTACATTCATTTTGACAGTCCTTTATTTTAAATTTGTGTTTCTCTTTCAACACATTAAACTTGGCACATCCTTGTCGTCTGTCAGGTGCGTTTGCCAGTGAAGTGGATGGCACCAGAGAGCACCTTTCAGGGCATTTACACCATGAAGAGTGACGTGTGGGCTTACGGCATCCTGCTCTGGGAGATCTTCTCACTCGGTATTCCTTGTTGATGAGCAGTGCCTTTAAAAACAGGCCTATTCTCAATTGTTGCACAATGATAAACACCAGCTCTAACTTCATGGTCTCAGGTGTTACTCCGTACCCAGGCATGAAGGTGGATCACACATTCTACTCGATGATTGAGCGAGGGTTTAAGATGGAGTGTCCTTACTACGCTGACGATGCTGTGTAGGTGTTTTAAGTTTTAATGTTTCTGAGTTTTGAGTCCAGTTTTCGAATCAGCTCTAGGCACTGCTGTAATTTTAATACTTTCATAATTTGCACAATAACAATAATTAAGTAGCAGTATAGAACTAGATCCTATAAACATGTACACTGAAGATACTGCATTATTTGCATTTTACTGAAGTGTTTCTGATAATATTTTCAGTAAGAACTTTTTTCAATACCATACTCAGAATCCCCTTCCTCTGTGACTTTCCTCTGCAGGTACAAGATGATGTGTGAGTGTTGGGCCCTGGATTCCTGCGACCGTCCGTCCTTCTCTAAACTGGTCTCTTTCATGTGTGACCATCTCATGGATAGAGAGGAGAAGGTACTCTATGTCTGAAGAGAAGATCAACATATCATGGGTTTTATCCTTTTCAGCTCTAGAGATGCAAACACAATGACTGGTCTGTATTCTCCTCATTCCTCTTTTAGCTCTACCACAACATGATTGAGCAGACACCCAGTGTCTACCAGAACGCAGCAGATGTTTTGGATCTTTCTGCCTTGGCAATGCAGAGCGAGAAAAACTCCAAACCAACCAACGACTACTGTTCAAATCCACCAACTGAAGGCAGTACTGCAGAACCTTTGGACGTTGTGGCATCTGAGAAGCTGCTTCTGAAGACATCAAACGCAGAGTAATCACCTATCGCTGAATGCATACTAATTCAATGGGTGTAACTATATTTTATCTTATTGTTTGTAGTTAAGTCAATAGTTCTTTATATTCTACTTAAGGTTACAGCAAAGCAAACAAGTTTTACAGAATGTACGAGAATCCATTTCTTATTATGACGATGTATTCTGAGTTTGGATAATATGGTACTTTGTTGTCTTCTGAGTTTTCACAGTGCAGCTTAAAAAGAAAAACATATCACATAGACAGATATCAGTTACTCTCAGGTTAAAACGTCTGTCTTCGTATTGTAGCCACTCAGTATTAAACACAACATTTGATGCAGCTACAAACAATAATGCTTTCAACTAATGTTATGTGATGAAACTTAGATATTTTGTTGTGTTGTCTTTCATGGCTAAGCCTATGTTTATATATTTTTCATTGTTTTTTCTATTTCTTATCAACCTAAAGTTTTTTTTATATATATTTTGTACATGTTTAAGCATGATACATGCAATTAAAGACACTTAAAATTTTCAATCACCTAAGTGTTTTATTCGACCAAATCCCAATAGGCGCTTAGAAAAACTGCTTACCAGTACATCTGGAAAAAGATCCAAAAATAACAGAAATAATGGAAGACTTTATTCTATTATATCTAGTTTCCTATATCTAGTTTATCATCCTTTTCATACATACAGTTGAGGCCAAAATTATTAACTCCCCTATGAAATTTTAACTTTTTCTCCAAAATTTCCTAAGTGCTGTTCAACAGATTAATGATTTTTTTACACAGCTTCTCCAAACATCCTAGTTTTATTTTGGATCCTTACATTATTTTACTTTGCTCACAGAAACAAAATTATTTCCCAAAAACCAAAAACTACCAGGGTTCAAAATATTAGCCCCCCTCAGGCTAATAGTCAATTGTGTGTCCTTTTTGCTGTAGTTTGTAACAAGGCTCTGGTACATCTCCTAAGGAATCCCAGCCCACTCCTCTTTGGCAGATCTTTCAAGCTCCTCCAGATCTGATGGTCTTTTAGCGTGGACCCTGGTCTTCAGTGCAGCCCTTCTTTTTCCAAACATGAGCAATGTCTCTGTGACCAAAGAGCTCTAGTTTGGTCTCATCTGACCAAAGAACACATCTCTAATATGCACAGTCTTTCTTCAGATTGTCCTTAGCATACCTCAGTCTGGCTTGAAGGTGTCTCTTTTGTAGAAGTGGAGTTTTTCTTGGCCTGCATCCTCACAGTCCATTTCTGTTCAGGGCTCTAGAGACTGTCTTGTTTGACACCATAATTCCTGACTTGGCTAAGTCACCAACTTCTGTTTTGGTGGTTGTTCTAGGTTGTTTAGACACATCTCCCACCAGTTTTCTTTCCAGTTTCTGTGGGTTTTTTTTTTGCTTCCAACCTCCCCCTGGACTCGTTCTGTACTGTGTGACTCATCTTGATGATACTTCTCACTCCACTTCTTGACTCTTGGAAACAACATGATAAATTTATATCCTTCTCCTGCTTTGTGAACATCAACAATTCTTTTTCTCAAGTCTAAACTGAATTCTTTTGTATTTGCCATGATGCCTTCTCAAGTGACAGCTCAAACGCATAAGGTTTTTATAGTGTGTAAAGTGTAGGATGACCCTTTGTTTTAACTTGATTGATTGATTGATTGATTGATTGATTGATTGATTGATTGATTGATTGATTGATTGATTGATTGATTGATTGATTGATTGATTACAAACTGTGAGCACTCGAAAGTAAAAGCACATGATTGCACAACAGTGTTCTTTTATTTTGGCTCAATAAAAACGTCAATTCTTAAGGGGGCTAATATTTTTGACCCTGGTAGTTTTTGTGAAATAATTTTGTTTCTGTGTGCAAAATAAAATAATGTAAGGATCCAAACTGAAACTAGGATATTTTGAAAAGCTGTTTTAAAAAAAACATTAATTTGTTGAACAGCACTTAGGAAATTTTGGAGAAAAAAAAGCTTAAAATTATATAGGGGGATTATAAACGTTTCCTCTTTCATACGCGGGCGGGCGCCAGAGAGCAAAGCCAGCATGTCTCAGGACCATAGACAGTATTCTATATACAGAATAATCACAGCGACTCTGCCGCCGAGTGCTTACAATGCTGCTGTGCAAGTTGTGGCACGCGTAATGTTGGTTTCAGGAAATGGAGAAAACATGCGGAATTACCTAGAGCTTTTCGGCTTCAAATCCGCATACGGGCGGAAGGCGAAACCAAGTTGTCCATAGTTTATAGTGTCTATAGTCAGAACCATCCTGTAAAATAGGTCTACCTGGGTATTTTACCATAGACAGTTGTGCTCAGCTGATCTAAAAACAAAATATTAACCACAGCCTGAAGCAGGAGGACTTTCTTTGTGTGTCTGAAAGTGCATTGACCTTTTTTGCAAAGTTTCGTCCGAAGGTCAGTGGGCGCTGCAGGTAAAGTGGGTCCACTCAGGAGTATGGACGTCGCGGCATTAAACGCTCTCCCCTTTGAGGATTTCGTGAATATCTTGGGTAACGTGGTGGAGAAATGCCCTTTAATAACAGCTGCTATATGGTCAGAGCGCCCGTTTGTGAATTTTACAGCTTTGGAGACAGCGATCAGTGATTTCATAGATGCTCTACCAGAATCAGGTGAGACATGGACCAACACATGTCATATTTTTGAAATCGACAGCATTAACCAGTCCACCTTTATGTCCAGGTAAGGAGGGGATCCTGCGGTGTCACCCGGACCTCGCGGGAAGAGACCTCCAGAGCGGCACCCTGACCCGGGAGTCTCGCGAGGAGCAGGCAGGGGCTGGGATGAGTGCCCTGAGCTCCGCGGAGGCCTCACGCATGTCCCGGCTCAATGAAGAGTACAAGCAGCGTTTCGGCTTCCCTTTTGTCATCTGTGCGCGGATGACTGACAAGGCCAACATACTGCGGCAGTTGTCCGAGCGCTGCCTGAACGAGCGCGCAACGGAGAGAGCGCGCGGCATAGAGGAGGTGAAGAAGATCTGCAGCCTGCGTTTACGGGCGCTCGTGCTCCCTGATGCTCCCAACAAGTTATGAATCTGGATGTTTGTTTGTTTTTGTCTTTTCCAACCACCTCTTCATAGGCCTGAACCGCTTCTGAGATATCAGCTTTATTTACAAATCCATATCGTTTTACTCATCAGCTATAAAAGATTATTAAATCTTTGAACAATAAACATCTGTAGTCTTTAATTTATTTTAAATTAAACTTTACATTATATTGGCTTACATACAAGTTTAAGGCCATATTTTCCATATTCATCCATCATAAAGTCTCAGGTGAATAACAACATGTAAAACTTGTACACCATGCAGGAATGTGTGCAACCGTCTGAATGTCACTGTCTCTAAAATGAGAGTGACAGTAGGGGAGAGTGGGGTAAGATGAGCCATCTTTCATATTTCAGATCACTACATCAAGAGAATCATAGTTTTGTCTCTAACTAGTGTATCTGCATATAAATCAAGATGTTGTGCATCCCTGCAAACCAACAGAATGAGTGTAAACATAACTGTCTTGATAATATAGCATGACAAAAAAAAGTGGTCTCCTATGGTCAACTTACCCTGTGTATGGGGTAAGTTGACCATAGGAGCGGGGTAAGTTGAGCCGTATCCCTATTAACCCCCCACTCTCCACCCCAGCCCTCCCTCACCTTCTCTCTCCCTAAATAACAGTCACTTCCTCACATTCATATGTATTTTTATCTATTTTACGCCATTCAGCTGGTACAATAATTATTTTTACTATTATTGCATACAACTGCTAAAAAGCTGTTTTTTAAAAAGCCATTTTAACATGAGAATGTCTTTAAGTAAATCAGAACATTCACATCTGTATTTTTGAAATAAAAAAAAGTAAAACATTTCAACAATCTGAACTGAAACTCTGATCCTCTCATCAGACTCCTTTACTTTCTCAGTTTAGTCCTCTAATCTAAAACGGTGGACATTTATGTTAAGTTTTTGACCTCATGTTGTAGCTCATAGATACCACAATTGATGTATAAAACAAATTTAAATGATCTTTTTTGGTCTGAACATAATCCTATTAAAACTATTACAGACTAAATTCACTTTCAAGAGTAAAAAATTGTTTTTTTTTGTGAATAAATGTCTAACCCCTTTACCCATGTGCTTCTAACTTTCACAGACTCCATGAATTGATGCCCATCTCCTAAATACATAATACATAATCAATTTCTTTTAGAATTTCCAAGCAACAGAGGGTGGCTCAACTTACCCTTTGGCTCAACTTACCCCACTCTCCCCTAACTATGCAGCAATGTGTGCAACTGTCTGTCACTTTCTCTAAAATGGGAATGACAGTCAATGGAGTTTGCCATCTTGGCCTAACAACTCGAAGCATGAATGGTAAGGTGGGCTGAAAAAATGTCCCTTCAGTCTATAAAAATATCGGACTGTGGTGTCCAAAATAGCAGACAAAAATAGCTCTTTAAATTCGAGAGAGTCCTTAAAATGTTTGCGCCATAGTCTCACCCTTGCTTGGGTTTCGCTGCCTCTTGATAATCCTGAACAACCCTGTGAAATGAGGTTTAGTCCCTGTCTCGAGGCCGCCCACTGTAGGTCTATGCAGGCTCTCTGGGTCCTGGAGCAGACAGAGAGTGACGGTTCAGAGGGGAGACAGGGGGTGAGGTGGTGTGAGGCCCGTTAGTGGAGGAGACCCCGCCTGCTGCTGCTGCTGCTTCTCCCTGGTCCCCAGAGGTTATGGAGGAGTCCTGGTCTGGGTCGGCCCCCCTCGCCCTCCTCCGGTCCTCCTCCTTCTTCCACTTCATGCGCCGGTTCTGAAACCAGATCTTGATGTGTCTCTCAGTGAGGCTCAGGGTCAGCGCGAGCTCCACGCGCCGTGGCCTCGAGATGTAGCGATTGAACAAGAACTCCTTTTCGAGCTCGAGGAGCTGCGCGCGCGTGTAAGCTGTCCGGGTGCGTTTGTTTTCCTCAGCCTCAGCCATCACGTACGGTCCTGGGACAGAAACAAAGAACCTTTAGTTTCCTTTCAGATGGAAAAATGATCAACCAGGACAAAAAAATGATATAAAAACTTAAAGTTGTTGTAAAATTTATAAAATATTGATAACTCTATTGATATCCACTTTGAACAAAATCTATTACCAAAATAGCCTTTTCCCCATTGGAGTTAAGGTGCCACGGGTTGTTTTGGCGAAATGAAACGGCATGTTCTGATGTTATTTAAAAACACAAATTCGGTGTAGTGCAATTTTCGGTGGTTGTAACGTTTTAAAGAGACTGAATTTTTCTGCTGAATTCTGGTTATCTATTTTTTGTCGTTTTGCTTTCTCATAAAGATCATCTCCATGCTGTTTGAGGGACTGCTTTAAAAGGTTACATGGTGCGAGTTTTCCTATAGGACACAGTAATGTGAAAAAGACAGAGTGTGTATAGATTCCCTGTTGGAACAAAAATATACATCATATATAAAATCTACACATTTAAAACGAAAGTTAGCAGAGGAGACTATGTGACACTGAACTGTTTGTCTTACTAAAACTGTGATTTAGTAACTATTGATGCAGATTTAAATAAGATATATGTCTGATATAAACACACTTCGGCCATAGCCTATTTTATATCAGTCACAGCCAATCATTTGATCATAGTTATTTTAGATTAAAATAGACTATTTTTCTTCTTATGCATAAAAAGACTTTGATAAAGTGTATCCATGTCCTCCTGTTCTTTCATAAATGTAGGGCCCACTGTTACAAAGCCTGTAAATACACTTAGATAATTATGCAGCCTAATTGAAATGTCTTTTTCTTGTATGTTTTAATGAAAATATCTGCGTGCCCCACAAAGAAGAATGCCCTATTGTTAATTGTTTTCAATCTTTCCAGCGAAACTTTATAAATTGGTCTATTTATCCGTCCACCATTTTGGGAGAAGAGCATTGGACCTATTTCCCAAAGGCAAAATTCACTTAACATGATCTTGATCCAACGCTATCGTCTAAACAATGAGCCCACAAGTGAAAGAGAAAATAAATCATCCAGTGCTATTACTGAAACTGCATTGAAGCGCAAATCTTCAAACTATCAATACAAAAAGACAGTAAGTCCAGATAAGTAAAACTACTGTGCTGGATTTGCGTGCTCCAGCGGCCTACTATTTATTTCATTGCGTAATAACGTCAAAGTTACGATTACCAGGGTGAATCTGTAGGGATCATATCATTAGAGGCCTTCAAGAGGCTGGTGTAAAATAAAATCTCTGTTTTTCAATCGTTTGTTTCCTGTAATAGTCGTAGTATAGCTAAATAATGGCGATCCGGTGTTCTGAGGGGTTACCTGCCCACTGTCCCTTCCAGGTGTGTGAGTGAGATTTGGTGCTTTTCATCCAGGGGAAAGGGAGGTGATATCTGCTCTGCTCCCCCGTGTCTCCATATCCTGCAGCAGGTGAAGGGTGCTGCTGTTGGAGACTGTGAGAATGGTGGAGCTGAGGCACACCTGCTTCATCCCTCATAGGTAGACCGTAAGAAGAAGTGGTGATGTCTGGGAGGTTGGCCGGCTCCAGGGCTCCCATGGCGGACGGAGTGTAGACGGATTGACCCTGCCGGCTCATGTAGAGGCAAGGCGGCGGGCTGTGGCTGTAATCCTCCCCTTGGTGGGTTCGCTGGAAGGCGCAGGAGTCTTTAAAAACCTGGGAGGGGTAAAAATGATCTTCCCGATTCATGGCTTCTTCACAGGATCCGCACATGCACCTCTAGGCTACTTATCCTGCAATGTTACTGCGCGTGGATCTTCTGATCTACCTGTCTGTGGCGCAACTGCAGGGGCCCTCACGGCTCCACGCAGGTGTGTCACTCTGCCACCATGTGACCAAGCAAGTGGTTTCACTGTTTGCTCAAAAGCGCTGTTAGTTTCCAGGATATTCTGCAGCTTGTGGAGTGTTTCACTAAGTTGGACAGAAGGGCCGTGGGCGCGTGAATCAATGCCACTCTGTCATCGTTTACCTGTATTCACCTGTTTGCTCCCAGTGCAGCAAGAGACAACTTTCAAGCAATGGAGCATCGACAATTTATATGGTTATATCTCTCCTGAGCACACGGATAAATCGATAGGCATGGGGGGCAAACATTGGTTGACCTGCGAGATAAGAGACCCGGATGGAGCCGCAGTTGTCTTGGAAACTTATAGTGGAAAGCCAAAACCCTGAACTCCATTTGTCTGCACCTTGCTGACTTTTAAAACGTACCCATTGCACTTGCGTAAATGCGTCATTTAACACCATTTAGCGCGCGTGGGGCCCGTTCGCTGGTCTCCAAACAGAGCAGCCGTGGTCATAGCACTCTCGCTCTGTTTGACAGCCATTAGCCTTCAGCAGGTACTCCTCGCCCCATTTAACACAAGCCCTCGTGGTAAACCAATTATGTTAAAGTGAGCAACAGAACTCAATTAACCAGGGTGCGCGTGGATCGTGAAGCCGCACTCCCACGAGCTCATCTGCGACTTTATGCTGCGTTTCCAACCTGCACCACAGCAAAAGTGATTTAACTACTTTTCTTGTAAACCGTAAAAGAGGAAAGGCTTTTACTTTGATAGTGCATCAATACCCTGTTTGCACTGAGTTCTTCAAAAGCAATTATGGCACTTTCCCTGGTATCTAAATGGGCTCTCAGGGGCGCAATAAAGTTCGAGTAAACCAATTTCATACAAATCACCCCTGCTCTATGGCTTAATGGTGTTTATATTTGATCATTGTTTTAAAGAGGAAGGAAACAGTTAACTGACGCTATGCTGCACGACAGGGAACATGGACAACGTGATTTATGAGGCATGAGGGGCGTTAAACGCGTTTTAGCTGACTTTACAGTTACAACGCTGTCTGTAATGGCTAAAGCGAGGAGAAATGGTTTAACTCAGGTTTAACTCAGCTGTAACAGACCTTATGAGCAAGTACACTGAAGGCGAATGTTGAACAATAAAACACTGTATTTAAAAACCAAGGGGATGAGACAGCTATGAACTGTATTACAAATATTAGACGGTTATGCACAGGTCCGTGTTGAAACCTAATGTAACTCTTGAAAATACAAGTTCAGTCATTATATTTTGCCCACACAGGAGTGTCAAGAAAAAAAGAATTTGTATCTCCTTTAACAAAGATGGTGTTTCTGATATACTTGTCACAAAGTTAGACAGGTGATAAAATATGCTTACCCAGTGACTAATGTAAACATTGAGACCAGTGAACAATGACAGAGCAAAGGTAATGATACTATAAGTAACATTTATAGTATACAAAATGGAACCGTGTGTAAAGATTGAATCATAATCTGTTTAAAAATCCCTTCATTGTTTAAATTTAGAGGTCAATCTGCAAAAAGAGTGTGAAATAGGATGTCATATTCCTCTCTGTTTAACAGGAATTAGCTAAATTCTACCACCTACCACATAATTCAAAATCCCAAATTAAGAGGCATCTTTTCATCCCACTCACTAAGCAGGATTAGGAACTGAAAATAAATGTCTTCTCTGGCTCTTCTTTTCTCTGTATATCCCACCAGGCCACCTGCACAGAGTAGCGCTGAGGGGTGTTTTGGCTGGTCAGATCAGCCCCAAGAGTGTCTGCTGCCTAAAAAAGGTGTGTAATTTATAAAATCAGTGTTGGGGACAGAGCAGAGTTGTTGTTCATGAGGTCTTTCTGCGTCTCTGTTCTGGCCGGTCGTCTCTCTCATGTCCCTGCTTTCTGTTGTCTCTGTGCCTGTTACTCCTCTCTTTGTCCCCCTCTCGCCTCTTATCTTTGTTATTGCAGCTGTCCCTGTGATGCTGTTTATGGTCTGTGTGTCCTCCTTTACTCCTGTGATCTCTGGGAGGTGTTCTGCTGCGGTCTCTGCTTCTGTCTGGGGAGTTATATCTCCTCAGGCGCCCTCTTGTGGAGGACTGTCCAGATCTGGGCTCACGCTGCTTCAGGCCGGTGGAACGCAGAGTGTTCAGGAGGAAGCGCTTGTTGGTGCTCCGCAGGGGACACTTCAACCTGGCAGGAGAGTGAACAGGCACAGCTTTTGACAACTGACATTTGAGACAGAGAGGCTTTGGTCTTTATCAATATGAAATATGAATGATGGAGCTCAGTTACACCTCAGGGAAATTGAACCACAGAGTAGGTGACCATCTTTGTTTATTTTGTTTGTTTTGCATTCATCTGATGTTGTATCCATGTCATTCTTAGGTTTCTTCTATGAAAGAGGTCTTTACTTCAGTTTATTTCTAAACTTGACATAGCATAAATGATCATTTAAAAATAATGGAATCCTTGAAGGAAATGGCAGTATGATTATTATTATTTTTTTAACTATGGAAAGCCCCAAACACCAAATAAAATGTAAGGATGCTTGATCTCTTCACAGGGTATAATAATGTACAAAGGGATCTATAATATGTTATAAGTCTTGTGCTAGTATTATTAGGTCTGGCTGTGGGTATACATAGATTTTGTGAAATTATTATACTGTTAATAAATATATGAAAAGCAGGCCTTAAAAGTTGTGGTTAAGGAGATAGAAGCTAACCACTTGAGAGTATGGGACAGAGTAACTAAACCTCTGACAAAAATAAGCTTATTTTGGTTTCCAGATTTATCATGAACTTTCTGGGGAGAACAGGTTGGACTTTTTTGCAGAAGGGTCACTAAATCTCATGGGATAGTTGAGAAAAAATGAGGCATTTCAAAAATAACATTTTATTTTAGGGTTATTCATCACGCTGTGAAATTGTTTGGGCAAGAACCCTTCAAAATCATCTACACAAAACTGGAAGATGTTTGTTAGATTGGCTATAAATACACACACACACACACATATATATATATATATATATATCAGTGGCGGCTGCTGGTCTTTCAAGGAGGGGAAGCTCATTTTTCTGGCCTACATCATAATTGTATTTGTTTATTAGTATGTAACAGAACAGAGTCGCCAAAAACAACGGCAGTCGTTTTTAACAAAGACAACAGTCGCTGAGGATCGGTAAAGTCTCTGGAGCAGTTAAGAACAACGGAATGAATGACTTGGAAAATGCTCTGGTAGATGTTTTATTCTTCAAGATCGCTGATTCGCTTGTTTAGCTGTCAATCAAAAAAGGATTTCGCCTCAGACAGCTCATCCAATCATGAATGCAGAAGCTTGGAGTCCGGGAGAAAGTCGGGACCGCCCTCTCGCCATAGAACTCCAGTGAAGCTTAGCTTCCATTGGGCGGGACAAAGCCCAGCATTTATCCAATGAGCGTCTAGTTTCGCTGCTGGAACAACCCACTTTAAGCTTCCACATTGAAGTCAGCAGAAGCCCAGCGTCCGACTGTTTGGAGCGCTGAGGCGCTGCGAGGATGAATGAGAACGAAGTTATGCCGGTTACCTGTGATTATCAGCTTCTTATCACAGTGTCTGAACAAAAGTTGAAGGCTTTCTAGTGCGTATTTAGTTAATGAAATGTACACACAGCCGTACGTATTTCACCACTTTTTCTTTTTTTGGGGGGGTGACATTTTAAGGGAAGCCGAGCTTCCCTTGCAGTCTTAGAGCAATCGCCACTGATATATATATATATATATTATTTTTTTAATTTTTTTTTGTTAAAGTAAACTAAAGACCTACCTTTTTAGTCTGGCTTTTACTTGAATTTTGTATTAATCTTTTAATCTGCATTATGTGATTTTACACTATTTTAGTCAGTGAGTAACTATTTTGTGTTGTACCACTTCTTTTTAATTTACTTTCTTTTATTGATTGATTTTAAGACTTTTATTTTATTAACTTTCAAAGCTTTATGACCTTTATTATATTTAATCATGGATTTTATCGTTTGAGTCCTAGATCCGGTGTTTCCTCATCTTTTTTAACTCAAGAAAGCATTTCCTCAGTCATCAGTGGCAAGTCGAAGATTCCTCACCTGGTCTTTTGAGTGTGCATCTGTGTGAGTGAGCGTGTGAGTGCTGTGTGTGTCGAATGGGGGTTGGGGATTGGTATTTGTACTTTTATTTATTTTACATCATTGTGTTTTTAATATCCTGCGCGAATGGACAGCACTTTGTCACTTGATTGATTGATTGATATGCTTGGCTAGAATAGTTTGTTGGTTTTGTGCATTTTAATCTGTCATTTGCTTGTGTGTGTGTGTGTGTGTGTGTGTGTGTGTCAATTACTGAATAAGCAAATAATTAAAATGGGAAATAAAAATACATACGAAAAAAACGTCCCAGAGCAAATAAAACGAGTCTGATAAGTAACAGGGCAGTGTTGAAATATGACTGATATGTGTTGGATGTGAAACACAGTACTCACCATCCTGAAGGGCCCATGGTCTCTGCTCTTACCCGGGCCCTGTCAGTCTCCTTTAGGAGCTCCTCCACTGCACGCCTGAACAGGGATATCAAAGTGAGTCAAGGGAGGAGGAGGAGAAGCCGAGGACAAACAGAGAGGGTACAGAACCTCAAGGGGGAGCCAAGGCAGGAATCATTTAATTAAGTGAGAGAAAACAGAGTGATGCACAGTGTAAAGGAGAAAGTGAATCATTGGTGAGTGAAAAGGGGGGGCAGGAGCAGTGTCCCTGTTTGACCCGAGCTGCTGAGTCAGCAGAGTCTGAGCTGAGGAGACCTACTGATATAGCCGACCTTTAACCACACAGCTAAGGCAGCTAATGGTGACACTAGCAGGATTTCATTACAACCACAACACATTTGTCTTTTCACAGAAATACAACAGCTGTCCACCAAAAATACCCCCTCCCTCCCTCGCGTCCACATAGCAGCTAAACAGCTCTTATTGATCCATTTCTGAGCTCTAACACCAAAAAGGGGTAACTTACTTTTCCAGTTCGTGATCTTTCTCCATCCCGTCTTCAGATATGACATGTAACATCAAAATAAATAGTCCAAAACCAATGTTTAATTGATCATTAGCGCAGCATCTTTTCTTGTTTACTTCTGCTGGAGGTCCTGCAAGCGAGGACCCAACATTAGCTGTCCTTGGCGATGCCTGATCGTTTCGTTTGGCCTAAAACGTTCAAACATTTATCTTTAATCTTTGAGGGAATGACTTTATAAAGGCCTTAAACACTACTTAATTCCGTCGAAGCTGAGTTTGAGTAAAAGTTAAACTGCATTTTAAGCACGCCGTAGTTGGAAAGGCACCTATGCCATGCCAAACTTCAGTAAATTGAGATTTACAGAAAAGGGAAGAATTCAATCCACGGGCGAAAGTCAAAAAATTATAAAAGTTAAGTTTGTTCCAAGTCATAGCTCAAAATCATGAAACTAAATGAGTTCATAAGCCTTCTGTTTCACCACCATACATTGGATAATGAACCGTATACTTTGGTTTATGTTTGCATCTCTATCTTTGTTGCTGTTTATGGAACCAGTGGGTTAATTATTGATGATTACATTAATCATTTATTAGCATTTGTATCTGAAGACTTGAAGTCTAACAGGTAATATTTGCATCCATTAACAAAAGCTTTTAAAGACTCACTTGCAAAAGAGAACACTTAAATTTTTTTAGTGGAGGCATTAGGTTTAGATTTATGATTTTTTTTAAAACTGCTCTTTAAATTAACACCAAAAGTTTAATAAGCTCTTAATTAAGCTACAACATACATCTCCAATAATCTTCATAAGGAATGCCTCAATAACAAAGCAGTTTCTATTGGCACCATATAAATTTTCATAGCTTTCATGCAAACCGTTAAAACACTGCAATAGTACACCAAGTTCATATCACAGACTGTATATACTATGGACAACTTGGCTCCGCCTCCCGCCTGTATATCGTTTTGAAGTCAAAAAGCCCCCATATTTCTGGGATTCTTCTTCATTTCCTGAAACCAGCACTGCGCAGTAGCGTTGTGCGCATTTGGCGGGAGAGCCGCCAGGGGTCGCAGAGAGTCGCTTGGCTCAAACAGCATATCCCGTGGTGAGCTGCACAATCCCTAAACGCCAATAGGCTGTATAAGGTGTCAATCGTAGAAAACATGAACCCCCTAATAACTTTTTAAATGGACCTGCCCAGAAAAAAAGAGGACTTGAGCACAAACCAGTCTTACTGTAACTACATGTAAACGTCGCAACCAGGGGGGATAAAAATTTAGATTTTGTGTAATAAACTTCTAAATTTTGTCCACAACTCCTAGGGATTGCTGGAGGAGGCGGGGTTTATGACCTATGAGGGTCAACAAAAATGCTACTTTGCAAGAGGTTATCATTTTATTATAATTCAATTATTTATTACAATTTTTGCATTCGTTAGAACTCACATTTTACCTCAAAGTACAAAAGAAAATGTGAATGATGGACCAAAACCTCCAATGTTGTGATTGTTTTTCTTTTTCTTTTGGTTTTTTTTTTTTTGAGCAGGCCGTTTAGGAGTCCACGCTGTTTCTGCTTTAGATTGACAGCCCTTGGCCCCGCCCAGGACCGCTGACGGACAGTAATGGGCGGGGCCAGCGCCGCCAAAGGCACGGGGGCGTTTTCGTGCGGGTTTGCGGACTGGGCCGTTGCGGTGAATGCGTGATTGAGGTCCCACAGCTAATCATCATCCCCCCTTTTTGGGGCCGGAGTGCACGGCGCGGAGGAGCAGCCGGAGCAGGTAACATCCCATATACTGCCTCTAATCTGTGCCTGTGTGAACGGTGTCAGTGTGTGGCTGGCTGTGCATTGATATTGCCATTGTCGCTTCATCTGTCCTGGCTTTTTTCCGCTCGTGGAGGGCGGGATGGAGTCAGACAGATGGGGGCAATGATTAAAAAAATGCTCTTGTCTAATCAAATGTGTTCAACGCCTGCGGGTAGCTCACAGATCATGACATCTCATTTGATGCGTTGCCAAGGTAATTTGGGACAATGACCGTGGAAAAATGAGAGGAAATTTCAGTCAAACCATTGTCAGTTTTTGTTGTTATCATTGTATGTCCGCCTTTGTGAAAGAAAAATAACAGCCTTTCGAAACAGAGCCAGCTGAACAGCAGTAGGCCTGTTCCTACAAAGAAAAACAGCCTTTCAGGATTTTTAAGATAAGATAGGATGAGATGGGGTTTATCAAATGTAGGCTAAGCCGACAGGACCTGAGATTTTAAATCTGTGGTCTAAAACATCATTTGATCATCTTTGAAAATGTCATTCCTGCTGGCAAGGTTGTTCACAGCTTGCTCTGAGTTATAAGAGTAGATTTTTGTCTTTGTAGAGACAAGTGCAGGGCCAAGACTGTCATGTATCCATGAAGAAAGCAATGACAATAACAGCATGGCCCTCCAATACAGACACAAACACATGCACACTCGCATTCAGTGGGATTAAAAGAGAGATTTTCACAAGCATTTGCCAGTCTTCATCTGACTTGTGAGAAGGAATCTGTTGCTACAGAGTTCAGCTGTGTTTAAAATAGATTTAAGTGCTTTTCATGGCAGGGACTCTAAACTGCAGCCACGGTAAAAACCTGAACACTTTATTTATTGATAAAGACTATTTGCAGGATCTAGTACCTAAAAAGCCTCAGTGCACGATGTGTGAGTGTGTTTTTAGCTTGTGTATTCTGCAGCTTGCACATCTACAAGTCAGTGCGTGTGTTTTTGAGTGTGTGTGTGTGTGATGTGGTGATGTCACAGCTTTGTTATAGGAACAGAGAAGCCTTGTGTCCTCATGATTAATTCATGTCCAGCTGCGGGATAGAGACACAAGCAGCCAGTCACACACACGACAGACAGGAGCACGTACTTTAAGGAGGATGAAATAAGTAACTACCGGTCTGGAAGCCAAGGAGACAGGAGAGACAGGTTGCCACGGAAATGGGTAGCCAAGGAGACAAGACAAAAAAGCAAAAGGAAAAAAAAAAACAACGAAAAAGAAGGAGGTTCTCATCTTTATCTGCGGTGTGTGACAAGCTTTCAGGCTGTAGCTGGGAGGAGCAGAGCATCCTGCTGAGAGGAGTGCATCTGTTTCTGTGGTTCCTCTGCATCCTTCTCCGGCTACACTCTGAATGTCAAGCCCCACTGAACAGAACAGGCTCCAGGTCGTCATGGAGACAGGAGCAGACCCCCAGCTGGAAACAGAGGCAGGTAGTCAGTGTGGCTTGGCCGGCCCTCTGTGTGCTGAGGCACGCCCTCTGCTGTCCGCCGGCAGCATCAGGCAGGCCCAGAGGGGGGGCTCGGCTGATGGAGCGTCTGAAGGTCTGAATGGCTTTGGATGTGAAACACTGTGGAAATGATAGGCGAGTACAGTGCATTAGCTCTATCCTCTGTGGAGTGCTTTATTTCAAGACTTTGCTTTAGGCATGTTCTCCTTCTGTTGCAGAGGAGACTGAGTGCATCTGTAAACTGCCTGAGCCAGAAATATCAAGTTCACTGCTGGGTTTTATCTAGAGAACGCCCACCGTTTCTCCTCCTTTTCTTATACCCATCCCTTCGTCAATCACAGTGTCCATTTCTTTGCTTTTAGATTTACGCGCCATATTCATCTCTGTTCGTCTTTCTAGTCTTTTTCTCGTCTCTCTCCCCCTTTTCTACCTCTTGCTGATTCTCTTCTTCACTCTCTTTTGCTTTCCCAATCCAACTTCCCCTGATCTGTGTCCTCTCTCTGCCTCAATCCCAGATAATTCCCTCTCTGTGGAATTGGAAGATTGCAGCAGGCGAGAGCAAAAGAGAGATTATACTGCCAGATTAGTGGACAGGAGCAGCAATACATAATCTCAGCTCACACACACACACACACACACACACATATATCCACAGTGCCACTCTCTCGATCGCATGCAGACTCGTGAGTACACGTGCACAAAGCGTTTGCCACATGAATAAATGCACGGGCACATAATCAGACACTTGTTGTTTGTCTGAAACAGCTGTTTAACCCTCCTGCTTTGCCCTCTGACCTGCAGGGTGATGTGCCATCAGCCACTGGGGGGCATCTGTCCTCTCTGCAACTTGTTCATCCTGTGAAGCTTATGGGATAGGAGTGTGTGTGCCCCTTCCCAACACTGCTGCCCCACTGGAGTCATTTGTGCCAAAGCTGAGCTGCGAGGAAGGAGCAGAGATGGGTAGCCCGGGCTGCGAGGTGGCTGTAGCCGGGCCGGTGGAGCCAGCGTTAGAGGCTCTGTGTCCTGAGTGCGGCCAGATCCACCGCAGCTGGGAGAACCACCTCTATAACTACCGTTTGGAGGTGGACGACGACCTGGTGTGCCACATCTGTTTGCAGCCGCTGGTGCAGCCACTGGACACACCCTGCGGACACACTTTCTGCGCCCGCTGCCTGCGAAGCTTCCTTCAGGAGAGGGACTTCTGCCCACTGGACCGGACGAGACTGCAGCTGCAGGCATGCCGCAGGTCCAGCATCCTGGTGCACAAGCTCCTGGACAAGCTGTCTGTATCGTGCCCTTTGACCCCAGTTTGCTCCCTCAGTATGCCAAGATGTGACCTGGAGGCACACCTGAAACACAGGTAAGAAAAACAGTGTATATATAGGAGAGATGAACGTCTCAGGAATGCAAACACCCACACACACAATTAGGACAAACCAAACCTTTAGTAGATTAAAGACACCAGATTATATGTTGGAGCTGCAACAGAAAATAAGATGATTACTCTCAGACATTAAATTTTTCAAGCAAAATTCCTCACACTGCTTTGGTGCCACCGTTTTCAAAGGGAAATCTGCTCTTTTCTGAAGTCTTTTATGATAGTTAAATTCAGAGTTTAGCAATTTGAATGGTTAGTTTGACAAAAAGGCTGCACTAACTGATTTTTGACCCAGGCACATGATTGAAAGCTTTCTGACTGTATTGATAATGACAATAAGTGTTCAGCTGAAGAAATCTGGATATGTCTTATGTCGCATCTGAAGCCAGTCCATTCTCCTTATTGGCTCGGATCTTATAGAAACTTCTTACAGTCCTCAGTCCAAATCGCTTGACTTACCCACCATCCTTAACCTCCAGAGTCTCAGTCCATCCTCACGTCTTGGCTTTTGGCCCGTTTGGACCAGGTGCTGTGAAACCCTGAGGGGATTATTGGGTTGTAGGTCATGTGATGGGGATTAGTGGTTCCCTACCGCAGTCATGGGTTGGCTGACCAGGAGCTTCATGTTCTCAGTCTGCAGTCATGCTGAGCAACTTCAACACTAGGGACCTTTTTAACCATTTCTTCTGTGAGACAGCCAAAGGCAACCCGGGTCTGTGGTGAGTCAAAAACGGCAAGATGTGAGGATAACGCGGCCAGTGGTGTCTCAATTGTGTGTCTATCACTGGTGTCTTTGGGCTTTTGTTTGGCAGCGTCTTGACTCTTGCTCTGTATTTTTTCTGTTGTGTGGTCTTGCACTGAGAAGCAGGCAGTGTTTATTTATCTAACTTTCCAGTCCTCATAAGGCTGCCAGGTCTGGTTTTGTTGCATGGGTTGAAGTACAGTAGAGTGAATAATGCAGATGAGAGATCAGGGCAGGTACTTGGATCAGTTACGGCGCAGACCCTGATTTAATTATGTGTTTAAAAATCCTTTATCTTTATATGTGTACAAACTTGGCTATTTTAATGATAATACTCAGCGTTATTGATTTTAGAAGCAAACTTTCACTCTGTCTGCAGCTAAGCAGCCATCCATCGCTTATTGACTGGATATCCTGTCTCCATCTAACACCTCGGCTCAGTCAAGCAGATTTTCCGTAACAAGCTCACACTAACAAGATCGCTAACATGCTGTTAAAAGCTTTTGTGAGTCAGCTGTTTATACAGGAGACCCCCGCCACAGACAGAAGATATTATGTCTATGAAGCAGCTGAAGGGAACTTTTTCAACCTGATGGGTGCTCTGGATGCGAGGGATGATTGTGGGATGAATAATAATCCACAGAGTGACAGTGGTGCTTGTGGAGATGGGTCAAAATAACACCAAATTGCCCTTTAGAGAAAGTCATTAAGAATGATATCAGTCTAAATTGAGGTAGCATTATCTAAGCTAACATTAGCCACCTTAAGCTGTAAAGCTGTAGCAGCTTAACTCCTGAGTGTATTAAAGTGAGTAAGGGTTTGTTGCTTTGACTTTTCGTTTGTGGGAGGAGAAGGTTTTATTTTATCTTTTAAAGTCACATTTAAGTGCAAAATGAAAAGGTAAGACATTTCCTAAATCTGTACACTGCAAAAGAGCCAATCTTTAGTGAGTGTTTTGTCTTAATTCCTTGTTGAAATATGGCATTACACTAAATCACAACCACATTCACGTGACAAGTCCAGATATAAATTCTTATTGCAGCTTGGTACAAGCAAAAATAAGCTGAAATTGCTTATTTGTTTAATGAGTAGAAATAGCTGCCAGTGCAGCAGATTACATTTACATTTTGAGTTTCTTAAATGAGATGCTTCTTCAAGAAAATTTACAAAAATAAAGTCAAACTTGAAAATAGCTTCAAGTGGTTTTAAACTTTATTTCACAAGGAAACCTGGCTATCCTAAGGCTATCTGGCCTGTCCTGTTCAGTAAGATTTTTATCAAAATTTAGAAAAAAACACTTGGTAGAATTATAATAGTTATTATTTTTGCATTGAGGGACTTTTGTGAAGGTTCAGGATGTCTTTGCTTCAGTCTTTAATTACAGTTTTCTTATTCAGGCCTGTTAATCATAACATCAACAGATGGCTACATCTGAGTGAAGGCTGCACACATCATGCTGTGTGCAGAAGACAAGGGAAGATGGTTTAAGATGGATCAAACAAGGTCACTGTGCGGACCTACGTGACATTCTTTGGTAAAGATTAAACCTCTGTTAACCACGTGCAACCACTGCTCCCCTAACGTGAAGACTTAAGTTGAAGATAGCAACAGGAGCCAAGAGGCTGTTGTTGCTATGCGACTTGGACAGTCAGCATTGTTTATGTTGACGATTAAGGATCACTGGGCATTAGATTACAAGCAGAGAGTGCCAGGCCGCAGTGCTGCACAGTGGTCAAGGTGGGCCGGTCAATCTCTTTACTGAAGGTGTGTGTGCGTGCGTGCGTGTGTGTGTGAGCTGATTGCAGTGTTTCTAAGTCAAAGTAGTCCAATTAGAGTCTTTATATGAGCATTACCTGTGAAATGTTCATACAACTTCAACTGAAATGTATGTTTTTATCTCACAATTGTGTGCAGTGGAAAATACTTTAGGGTAAATAGATATAAAAAGAGAATTAAATCAGAAAGAAAGTAGAAAATGATTAGACCAAACAACAACACAAATGGTGTTCGTTGACTGTTTCTATTCTGCAGGAGTAAAGGGTCATGGGACAGCAATATTTCTTTTGTCTTGGGAGGATAAACAGAGGCTTTTCATTACATCAGCTAGCTCATAGTGTAGCTGCTTCTGAGAGTAACTACTTCAGTCAATTAGGGGCTGGACCGCACTGGTCCTTTGAGTCTGTCTGTCTGTCTCAGTTTATTTTTAATCATTTTCCTGTGAGGAGTTTCTATTTGTGGGACAGAAGCGATGCATCCGCTTTCAGCTGATTTGAGTGTATTTTTGGGGAGAGAACTCAGAATTGCTAGACTATTTTTGGGTATAACCTATATGTTATGATCCAGTGATTTATTATCAGTGATTTTAGCTTCTCTTTTGCATTTTTCTGTTTTATTTAACAGCAAATTCAACAGCTATAGTACTTTGTACAGGATGTTTAGAATTGTTTAAGAATAAATTTAGAGGTAAGCAGTTATAAAAATATTATTATCAGCCAGTGCATGTGCTTTTTACATTAAAAGCATTCAATTAAATGCATTTCACACAATATACACATGGTTACTTGTGCACATAAAGACCTACATACGTTTAAAAAAAGGCTAAATAGTTCTCTGTGAAAGGGACTCACTAAGTAGTCAAGAACAAAGAAGATGATGTGAGTCCACTGAACACACTTTTATGTATAAAGTGCCAAAAATATGATAAAGGCAGCAACAGAAGTGGTCCCAAATGGTTTGCTTAAGAAATGTCAGGTCTTGTTTAACATCGCAGCAGATGGGCAGTCAGTCAGTGTCCCAAGCAAGAGCCAATGCTTGAGTCGGTTTTGCTTAAAGCTGCGTGCACGAATAGCTAAGCAAGATTGTTTCTTGGAATTTTTGCAGTTATATGGTCATTCACATGAATTCATCTTATCTTGGGAATTTCCCAGTTTTGGATAAGTAAAGTCTGTCTGTCTGTCTGTCTGTCTATCTAAATGTTTATGATACGCAGACAAAGTACTCTAAGGCAGATCACTACAAAATGCCACAAATTGACCAAATTTATCAAATTGGCCACTTTATTATTAAGCTGCACACTCTGAGAAAACACTAGGCCCACATTTAACAGTTGACCCGCTCTTATTTATTAACTCGTATTTCTTTATCATTTGAAACAAATCTAAACATACAAAATAAAACGATGATTCTGAAGAGAGGTGACTAAGATCGACTGTACTGTACTGAGAAGAATAAGTTTGAGTTCAGGCTTTTTAAATTGAGAATCACCTAATTCTACCATTTTTGTGGGCAAAGTTTTATTCAGGAAAAGAAGATTAAATCAAGAAAGAGGGATAAGTATAGCTAATACAAAGTTTCTTGGTTTCTATGCAGTTCAGATCTGATTTTTCTGACCAATCAGTGACAGCTTATTGTTACTCCGCCCACAAAAACTTTGAACCCCTCTCTGCAGCTACACTACTTTTCTCGAAGAAGAGAAAATGAAAAGAGACTTTCCCCGAAGCGTTCAGGAAACTGATGTGATATTTCTTCACACACTGACTGACAGACTAACAAACTGGCTCCTGTTGCTTCTTGTAAAGGTGTCCTGGCACGAGGTGTCAGCAGACCAGTGTGGACGTTCCACGATGTGAAAGTGGTGATGGGGGAGTGACAGGGACCAGCCCCCCCAGGTCACCACACTCCCCACAGACAGACCTGAGGGACCGCACACCCTCTCCACCCTCCGGACCAAACAACACCAGCGGCAATGGGCCCATGTGGACTGACGCCGGCCTCGATAACCCCGCCTTTGAGGAGAGCACAGAAGAAGACAGTGAGTGGATCTACTTTCTCTATCCATACTTAAAGATCTGGATGTGTGTAGATCTGTGCAGTGCATATGAGACACATCTATCCCTCTTTGTCTCAAGGTGTGTTGGGGTTGGAGTGTGTGGTCCCCAGGGTGAAGCGGCCCCTCAGTAATCCATGCATCCACCTCCTCCGCTCTGTCAGCTCCACTTCCTCTGGCTGGGACTGCCCTGAGTCTCCGCCTCTCTCTGCTGAAGAAGGTATGACATCACCCCCTGCTAACACAAGATCTGAGATATGAAACATTACATTTAATCTCTCTTACAGCGTAACCTTAGATGATGGCATAATCATATTATGGCAACGTCATTTTAGGAGGATGTGGAAATTAGATTTTGAAATACAGCTGTGTAATATGATTTGTTTGTCTATTAAGGCTGTGTGAAGCTGCCCTCGCTTCCTGAAGGAGAGATAACTGCCATCGAGGTCCACCGAGCAAACCCATATGTCGAACTTGGCATCAGCGTTGTTGGGGGAAACGAGACGCCGCTCATTAACATCGTGATTCAGGAAGTGTACAGAGACGGGGTCATCGCACGGGATGGGAGGCTGCTGGCCGGAGATCAGATACTGCAGGTGGGAGATCTGTCATTTTGGTTTCAGCGCTTCAGAGAAGACTGAATCATGACTGGATATTCTTCTTCTCTAAGCCATGCTGAATTTCTTGTGCTCTTGCTCCTAAATCCGCCATCTGGTGTTTTTGTACCCTCTCTAAAGGTGAACAATGTGGACATCAGCAACGTCCCCCACAGTTTCGCTCGCTCCACGCTGGCACGCCCCTGCACCACTCTACAGCTGACTGTGCTCCGAGAGCGTCGCTGTGCCTCCAGGGCTCCTCCGTCCTCCTCCTCCTCTTCCTCCACCCCGGCTGTGCCCCACGCCCCCTGCTCCACCCCCGAGGCTGCACCGTCAAGCCCCGCCACATTGAGAATCACTCTGCACAAGCGGGACTCGACAGAGCAGCTCGGCATCAAGTTGGTGCGGCGGACAGATGAGTCAGGAGTGTTTGTGTTGGATCTGTTGGATGGCGGCCTGGCAGCAAAGGACGGAAGACTGCGGAGTAACGACCGAGTGTTAGCAGTCAATGAACAGGACCTACGCCATGGCACCCCGGAGCAGGCTGCACAGATCATACAGGTGAGGTCTTCACCATTTCTGCGAGTGTGAACATGGACATGAAGTCCGTAAATCACTGACTCTGTATTTTTAGGCCAGTGGAGAGCGAGTCCATCTGATGATTGGCCGACCCAGCAAACCCACTCCTCCTCCTCCGCCAAAATCAAGCTCCACCAGAGACCTCTACTGCCTTGACCACTTCCTGCCTAACCACAGCTCCACCCCGAGTCCTGTGCCCCTGCACCTCTCCCGCACCAGCACCCACAGAGTGAGCACAACATGTCTTATTTGTGTCTGTCTGTATGTTACTGTCTTTGAGAACAACAACAGAAAAATGTTGAATCTCTGTTGTTTAAACGGGTAAAACACAGACATGTACGTTTAAAGAGGAAGTAGGTTAGAGACCATTAACTGGAGCTGTGTATGTGTGATCCCAGGACCTTTCCCAGTGTGTGACCTGTAAGGAGAAACACATCACTGTGAAGAAAGAGCCCCATGAGTCTCTGGGCATGACTGTGGCAGGAGGGCGGGGCAGCAAGAGCGGAGAGCTGCCAATCTTTGTGACGAGCGTCCAACCGCACGGCTGCTTGTCAAGGGATGGACGAATCAAACGAGGCGAGCACCTCCTCAGAAACAACAACAGGAATCAGGAGAGTTTCACCTTGATCAAAAACCTCTTACCATTCCTCTTCTCTTCGTCTTTAGGTGACGTCCTGCTGAGCATCAACGGCCAGGACCTGACATATCTGAGCCACGGTGAGGCTGTGGGCACCCTGAAAGCCAGTGCTGCTTCCCCGTCTGTCCAGCTGCGGGTGCTGGAGGTCAGCATGGTGGAGGAGCATGACCACGACGAGCTGCTGCCTCATACACACGACAGTGACTTTGATGCCAACTGGTCCCCATCGTGGGTCATGTGGCTGGGTTTACCCAGGTGAGCACACAGATACAGTAGGGGAGAGTGGGGTAAGTTAGGCCAAAGGGTAAGTTGAGCCACCCCCTGTTGCTTGGAAATGGTTAAAGAAATTGATCATGTGACCAAATATTTAGAAGATGGGCATCAATTCATGGAGTCTGTGAAGGTGAGAAGCACATGGGTGAAAGGGTTAGACATTTATTTCCAATAAACCATTTTTCACTCTTTAAAGTGAATTTAGTCTGTCATAAGTTTGATTAGAATTGTGTTTAGACCAAAAAAGATCATTTTAAACTTGTTTTATACATCAATTGTGGTATCTATGATCTACAACATGAGGTCAAAAACCCAGCATAAAAGTCCACCCTTTTAGCTTAGAGGACTAATGAAGTCATAATAGTAGTTCTGGGGTAAGTTGAGCCATTTGGCCGGGGGTAAGTTCCACTCATTCTGTTGGTTTGCAGGGATGCACAACATCTTGAAATATTTGCAGATACACTAGTTAGTGACAAAACTATGATTGTCGTGATGTAATGATCTGAAATGTGAAAAATGGCTCATCTTACCTCACTCTCCCCTACAGCTCTTCTGCAGTGTGAGTTTTAATAGGATTGTATATATATATATATGTGTGTGTGTGTGTGTGTGTGTGTGTGTGTGTGTGTGTGTGTGTGTGTGTGTGTGTGTGTACTTGTGCTGAAAATTTTCTAAAAATCTACTTAAATATTGTGAGATTTTTTTTTTTTTTTTTAGATTTTTTGGGATTCTTTTCTCATTTCAGTCATTCGGGATTCTGGCCATTTGAAGAAAATTTCAACTAGAGAAAATTTAGCCAAATCTAAGATTTAAGATGTCAGGACTGCTCTTGTTTCCCTCTGAAGATCCCTGGAAGAATAAAATATGTCATTAAAAGCAAATTTGACTATTTGAATTTGCAAGACATAAGAAGTGAATTTATTTAGATGTCTTCAAACGGTGGATTTCAGTAGAAGTTGTTGTTTTGCACAATCTTTATTTGTTTTATACAAGCATAAATGTTCCTCTGCTAGTACAGACTTAATAGGTTTAAGATTCATCCTGCACATTTGTTTTACTGAAGCAGTCTTTGCCTCCTTGAAGATGCTGTCTGCTCTTATAATCTGATCAGCCCACCCTCATGCAGCTCTCCTCTCTTTTCCCGCAGCTATCTGCACAGTAGTCATGAGATTGTTCTGCGTAGGAGCCACCCAGGCAGCTGGGGCTTTAGCATCGTCGGGGGATACGAGGAGAGCCACGGCAACCAGGCGTTCTTCATCAAGACCATCGTACTTGGCACACCTGCTTACTACGATGGCCGCCTCAAGTGAGTGATCAGCTGTTATCTGTGGTTTATTTTAGCTGTGACCCTCTGGTGCAATAGCAGGTAGATAGTGTGACCTACAGGAGAAGATTGATAAGAGTGGCGTGATTGTGGCCACGCCTACAAAGCACATCAGAGGAACAGTACAGAACATTTTTGATTTACTTTATTTTCTTTCTGCCTCAAATTCTAACAGTTACAACTTTGTTTTGTAGATTTATTTTTTTATATTAAAAATAAAACTTGAGAAAGGGCAGGGTAGACTTACTTTTGGTTTAATGGCCCTCTGAGAGCTTCTTAACAGCTCTACATTATTTAGTTGAACAGACTCTGAACATATTTTAGGCTGCCGTCTATGAAAAACCTTATTTCAGCCTCTGTCTGAGAGTTTTTGTTTAAGACGACCCCGAATGACAAATTTGCCCTTTTAAGGAGACTCACTGTCTGCTGATGTCACGATTTGGTCAAATCTCATATTGATCTCACCTTGTAGTCCATCTGGGGATTGCTTTAACACACATTAACCTTGCAATCTTAAACTTTGCTCGTGTAAAGTGCTGACCCCCAACATTTTAACTTGACATTTGTATTCAAAATATGAAACAAGCATTATAGCACCTCTTTAAAATCCAGACTGAAGTCACGTGTGCTTGTGCATTCTGCTCTGTCAGTGGTATCCTGGTATTGGCATCAATTTTTACCATCCCCACACCTCTGTACTCACATTGCATCCTTCCATCACATCAAAGTGGTGTTCCTGTGTGTGATTTTACAACTTCTAAACACACAGCAGGGCACCACATGAACACACACTCAGGCATGCATGCACACAGAGGCAGTGTTTCGCCCTAACGCTCCCCAAGCCACCATCTTCCTCCTCGTACTGCCTCTGCTAAAATCTTCAGGGGAGGACCAGAGGCAAAAAACCTCCCTCCATCATCACGCTTCTGTACCCTACACACCGCAGGGGAGATGTGACAAGTTGTTAGTACCCAGTATGTAAGAGTCAAATGTGTAAAGTAAATAAGTAAATCACACTGAGGGATTCACTGATTAATCTCATAGTTTGAGAACATGTCCTAAAGATACCAGGGAGTGCACTAAATTAGTTCCTGGATTTTCTCCTCTGATCGTCAATTTTCTGTATCCTCTCTGACTTAAGGGGAAAAAAATACCACACAGGCTGTTATATCGTAGAGGATTAAAAAAGATATCTATCAACCTCCTAAGTCCAAAAAATAAAAAATTAAAATGACTTACAAAAATGATCCTGTTGAACATATTGTCTGTATAGTTAGTGCTTGATAAGCAAAATTTTCAGCATCGTAGACTTGTTTTTGTTAGTTTCAGCACCTCGGATAGAAATTTTTACTCGTCCTAGTGCGTTTATTATTTTTTTTAACTAACTGTGACAGATATTTGGTTTACTAGCACAGAAGGTGTGGGCAGCTAGCAAATATTCCTGTATGAAGAGCTGGAACCAACACATTTTCATATTTTCAAAACAGAGTGTACTCAAAAATGACTAAAAAACAGTTTTCAATCCTTTTACAGTCAATAAAATTATCAATCTCAGCCCAGTGTGTAACCCATGGCAGCTTTTGCTCATAAAAACTAACTTTGCTTCCCTCCTGTCTTTCCAAACTCTTCAAATCTTTGTATGATGTTCTTGAATAGAAAGGTTCTGATGTCCTGACGGTTATCCATTCTGACTCCTCTCTCTAGATGTGGTGACATGATTGTGGCAGTAAACGGCCTGTCGACAGCGGGAATGAGCCACTCTGCGCTGGTACCCATGCTGAAGGAGCAGCGCAGCCGGGTGGCGCTGACTGTGGTCTCCTGGCCTGGCAGCCTGGTGTAACTGGGCCAGATCCTTATCATGCTGAGTCCACCCAGAATGTTCTATATCGGGAACAACCATGGCCAAAGTGAACTGGTACACGCCACTGTACATCGCTCCATACCGGGCTTAATCTAGGACCAAAAGCATCCAGAACTGTAGTAGACCCAGCAGGACCGAGCCTGTCCTGACCAGGTGGGACCTGATCCAGATCGTGCCACGTCACTCGACAGACTGCACTCACACTCACTGCTGAGTTCATATGGTCATGTTGTCTTCACTCCAGCAGGGAGGAATGGTACTGCAACTGTTAACAGGCTGTGATCTGTGCTGTATTCACCTCACCAGGCAGTTGTAGAATCCAGGGCTGTATTCAGGTGGATGCATCGTTGCAGGTAGAGATAGAATTTAAGAAGTAGCCTGTGATCCTTCGTCATCTAGGATAATGACCTGTAATCTCTCTAATCAAGATTGTCTGCAACACCAGCGCTGTATCCAGCTGAATAAGCCTCAGGCCTTATTAGAAAACCTGCCGCACCCTTGGGGCTCACCTGCCCTTAGGCCTCATCACCATGACAACCGGCTGTCCAATCAGCTGGAATTTTATACATGTGTGTGAATGTGTGTTCTGTTTGTTAAATAAACATTTCCGTCAGAGGAAAACGGTGCTGTAGAGTATTTTTCTGATGGTTGAAGATTCAGGTGAGCAGGTTCATGAGTGGATTTGATCATAGAGACAGGCAGCTTGTTTAGTGCTGCAGTATTGAGGCTTTATTTCATATTAGCAGAGAAAATGTAACAGAAATTACCGGATTTATTCCACTAAACAAACACGAAGCAAAGATTTATGTGCAGCAGCCTCAAGGTTTATCATTCTTTAAAGTTGTTTTGCGTAGCTTTGCAGCCAGCTTGTTGGTCTCGTCTTGCATGGCCACAGCGGCACGTCTGAGCCGCTCTGCAACACGCCAAGGCTGGTTCTTTCTTGGATGCAGTTTCTGGAGGGGGAAAGGGAAAAAAAATGGCGACTTACAAAAGGACAAATAGAGTTAAGTAAAGTCACATTCCCGGAGTAAATGGTTTGCAAGGACACATTACCTTCAGCTTTTTCTTTGCTGGGTCATGCACCACTCCATGTCGCCACAGGCTTTCCTGATTAAACAATGAGACCAGTGACCAAGGAGACCAAATACCGTGTTTCAGCAGTTTTATGGTACAGGTTAGCCCAAAATTCACACAAAGAAACCTCTATTTTATATCCAAATAGAATAAAGTCCTCCGCTTAATGCAGATAAACACACTTGATGATTTCTAATTAAAAAAAAAAAAAAAAACGTTCAAGCTTTTGTAAATCTGAATAATCATCTCTTAATGTTCCTTTGTGGAAAACAGAATAGAAACTGATCAGATACAGAAGTTTGCTTTTCCAAAGTAATTAAAGCTTTTAGTGATAATAAAATCAACTGCATGATCAGTTTTTACAGGGTATTATTGTAGTGATTGTGTTTGTGTGCTGACCTTCATGGCAAAGCTCTTCCCACAGCCTTTGAACGCACAGCTGAACGGCTTCTTGCCCTCATGGTCTCCCAGAACGTGGCTCTCCAGGTTAAAGCGATGAGTGAACTTCTTGTCACAGCCTTTTCTGGGGCACGACAGCTTCTTCTTCTCCCCGGAGTGGACATGGAGCTCATGCTGGCGCAAGAACCAGGCGTTGTTGAACAGCTTTTTACACTCTCCACACTGAACCTTGACTGAAGAAAGAGGTCACCTCAACACAGTGACCGGGTATACAATGCAATCTCTTAATTTTCCAACATTTAGTTCAAACCTTTGTGCTCATTTCTGTGCTTTAGATACTCGGTCCATGTTTTTCCATGAAATGAGCAATCTTCACAAGGGTAACCTGCAGCAGAAAAGACAAAGGGTTCATATTTTTTATTTGAGAGTAACAAACAGAAAAGACATTATTTACCAACCTGCATGCACTCCCTCATGATGCTTCAGTTTTCCATGAGTGGGAAATTCTCTCGTACAGCCGCTGAAAGAACAACTATTTCAAAAGTTAAATGAAAAGTCTGTTTTTGAAGCTTTAAAATCACCTCAAAATATTTTTTAAAAATCATGCTTTGGTATGTCGACACTCACTGAAAAGGTAGGATGTGTTGGTGATCACCCTTATGAGCTTTCAGCTGGTTCCTTTTGTTGAAGTCTTTTTCACAGCCCTTATGGTCACACTGAAAACAAAAAACAAAACAAAGGCAAAGCGGTTACAGCTAAAGAAAGACGCACAACAAAAGAAAATTACCTTGTTATTTTACTTGATAGCGTTTCTCCTGGCGCTGGTGGATTCGGGCCATGTGGTTCTTCATGCTGGTATTTGTCACAAAGGCCTCAGTGCACCCATCAGCCAGACACCTGAGAAGAGAAAAAAAGCAGCTTGGGACATGACAAGAAAAATCGATCATTACCATCAGTGTTTATTTAAAAATGTGCCTCACTTGTGGGGTTTCTCTCCACTGTGATTGAGCTCATGTCTGGTGAGCTGATAGCGAGTGCAGAAGCTCTTGTCACAGCTCTCACAAGAGAATGGTTTCTAAGTTCAGGGAAAAATTTGACATGAAATCCAGGGTTGGTTAAACTTCATATTTCCACAGGACCTCCAGCAGTCCAAACCACTTACCAGTCCTGTGTGTTTGCAAAGATGAGCCTCGAGCTTCCATGACTTACTGAATTCAGCTTTACAATCAAAAAACGAACAAACAAATTTTTTTTGGCTTTGCAACCTCTCCCCCATCTTTAATAAGAAATGCCAGATGTGGTGTTGTGGTTACACACTAAACTAGTTATAGTAGTTGTAAAGGAGCAGGACTCTAAGTGGTCTGCAACCACCTGCTCAGCTGTGATTGATTTATGAAATTGGAATGTACCATTCAGAGTGAGAAAAGGGGTGATCTGCCTCCTACTGACTGAAAAACAGACCCACTACTTTTACCCATAAATGTATAGATATGTTTAAACCTTTAAAAACATACATTCACAGCTCTGCGCTGGTGTTACCAATGAGTGATCCAACATTTACGCTGCTGATACTGAAACTCAAACATTACAAAGGCCCTGGAGTCTTTTGCCCACATTGATTGATTCCGGCTTTAAAAATGTCAACCAGGCTCCTTGCAGTATGTTTCCCTATCTGCTGGACTGATCTGTGTGTGTGTAGTGCAAGCAAGGAGACAGGCGACTTTCTGTCTCCATCAATCTCAAACACAGAGTATTTACAGCTCTAATCTTAATCTTATCATCTGTCCCGTACTGTTTTCTGATAGCAGATAATTTATTGATGTCAAAAATTAGTCTCCAGAAAAATCCTTTGTAGCCTACAAACTGGAAATGAGTCAGGCTGTTTCCGTTTTCAGTTGTTGTTAATCATAAAAAAAAATCACATTCTTCCTGTACAAATAAAATTTAATTCACCTGCAGTAAAAGGCCCCAAACTCCCCCCAAGATGTTAGTGAGGTTTATCTGCTTTGACCTCAGGACTGTACCAGTAAGTTTGGCTATTGCTAACATCAGTAATCCTCAGTTAATGTAACATCACACATACTTACAGTCTGCATGCCGACTTTACGACCATTTGCTATCTTCGTTGAACGCTACACAGTAGATTTTTTTTTCTTTTAAACATTTATTGTAATTGGCTGCTGTTTATTTAAGGTTAAATGGTCATGTGATGTGATGAAATTAAATATAAATCAGCTAAAGCTTCAGGCACAAGTGAAAATTTCGTCCAGGAGTGAAATTAACTTGCGAAATACAATAAGCTACAGAATAAAAGACATAAATCACTATCCAAAGTGACTATCAAATGGACAAACTTAACTGTGTTGGATATTTTTTCTTGAAATTGTCAATAAGACCCTCTAGGGACAAACATTTCAAAGCTTGAAAACAAACACACACACAAACAGAGTGACCATCTAATAACTCTATCTGCTTATCCAAACATTTGCGCTCACCCTGTACACCCATGTTCTGCTCTCATGTGAAACCTTTGACTCACTTTTGTGAATAAGGCCTATTGAGAGCCTGTTGGGCGTTACCTCGCTGCCCTCCCACGCTTCAGGTGAGCATGCCAGGGTCAGTTGACACTGTTATCAGCCTCCTCCTCTTCTCATCCGGTCCCCTCCACCTCTGCTGTCAGGGCCAGGATCAATACAGCTGGCCCAATATTCACATGTATGGCCATGCCTCCCCCTCTGTCTCTGATAACCACACAGACTATCACCTATCACACACACACACTCACACTCACACAGATAGAGTGTTTGGCCTGCTCTGGGATTTCCTTGTGTCTTTGTTAAACCTTCATACCAGTATTAACACAAACACACACATATATTGTGTGCACATACACTGTCACACCCACAGTCAACTGCATCACTCTCAAGTACAATGAAAAACCTTACAAGTATTTGAGAGTTTGAAGGATGGTGAGGCCTCAGACAGGAAGGGGATGACAAAACTGTTTTTTGGGGGATTTTACATCACTCTTGTTAGTTCTTTGGTCAGCCTGTGTTACGTTTATATATTAATCTGATTGACATAGATTGTGTGCTTTTCCTTATTTTAGCCCTTTAATACCTGAAACCACAAATTATAGCTGGAAATTTCAATTTTTTTGGAGCTAAAATGTTTATTTCACTTACTGAAAACCAAAAAAATCTAAATATCTTTAAAATTAAACAAAAATATAAATATAACTATATATGTATATATATATATTTTTTTAAATCAATTAATTAATTAATTTATTTTGGAAACTGATGAACCTGAAGCAGAGCACCTGAAGAGGATTTTTTTTTTTTTTTTGGTAATTTGTTGATCATATTAATTTGATGGAAGTATCATAAAAGTATGTATCAAATATAATACAAAAGCCACTAAAGGGTTAAATGGAAATCTACTTTTTTAATGGGCCCACAAAACAACAGAAGACTCTTCCAGTGCAGCTAAATGTACTGGTGCAGAATAGTTTGTTGTTTGCTAACACAACAACTTCAGTTAGGATCACAGTGGGAAGATCCATGATTTTATTGAAAAATAATAAAGTTTTATTTCCGTAAATTTCCATATAAACCTGAATAACCTTAATAAGAATGATCAGACATGAAAAACAGATGAAATAAACTCATTTCCTTTTTATCTATTTCTGTGCTGATTAATCCCTCACATTTTCTGCAAGAGCTTATAGAAATATTTTCCTTCCCATTTTTGCCATTACCCCTAAAGAGCATATTTCAGACATAGTCAATGGGGAAGTTTTTATTGTAGAAAAAGGCTCCAAACCACAAAAGCTCAGCTGTAATTACACAAAATACACTGCAAATGATCAACACTTAGGAGCCTACAAAGAAAATACCCAATCATTTGTATTTTGGCCCAAAAGCCTGGAACAGATACATAAAAACTTGACATTTGGGTGAATTTGTCCTTTAAATTAGGCACATGTGGTACTATTGATACTTAATATTGTGAAACATGATCGGTAAAACATTTCTACACACAACTCATCTTGCACTGTTAAAGCCCGTGCATGTGTGTGTGTGTGCAGTTAATATGTAACATCCTGGGTCGATACGGCTGCTCTGAGCTGCAGGCTGAGCTGACACACTCAATCTGTGTGTGTCAAATGTGTGTGATTAAGGAGTTCATAGTGTTCCACAGCTTTTATCCACAGGCCTTGTCTCTCTGCTCTCCCCCTCTTTTTTTCTCTCTCTCCTTCTTTGTTTACTTTTTGTTCCTTTAATCAGTTACTCCCATGAGTCAGTGCCACACATAACACACTCACAAGGACTTACTGTAGAAAAATAGAGCAGATCAGTAATATATAACACTTTAAGGAAAGAGTATTTGAATACCAAAACAGGAAAAAAAATGACATTTCTAGTTATAAAGCATCTATATAGAAATATTTATCTAAATCCAAGACACAAAATCTAATCTTTTGTGATCAATACCAAGAGCTCTGGCTGCCAAAACGCTCATTGATTGATTGCATTTTGTGTTTTCATAAGTATTTTCACGTCAGGTTGTTGGATACTTATTACTGGGTCCTGATAACACCTGGGTTTGAATTCCCTGACCTTAGGCCTGCAGGGTTAGGAGGGTGACAAAACACAACCTCTGCAGGTTTATCTCAACACTGTTGTACACAAAGAGGATTTCAACACACGTTATAGGTGCAGGTCTAAAATCAGGGCTCCAAATATGTGGGTCAAGAAATTTCAATTAATGCACAAAGACAATCCTGCAATTGATAGATTCATTCATAAGATGCCTTTTCGCTCCTGATCTTTTCTCTATCTCACACACAGACACACTCACCTCCTCCTGTCAGCTGCTGGCCCTATCTCTGTAAACTGCTGCTAATTCGTGTAAATATTGGGTAAAGTACTGAGGTGCGATGAGATAACCTATTTGTCACATAACCAGCCAGCCATTCACCACTGATTAAACAGCAAACATTAAGTGGTCCACCGACACATTTACACACAGCACTGCAACACCAGACAGGCACGCACGCACACACACACACAGGGTGGACTGATAACACACATTTCTTAAGACTTAAAAAAAAGTCCAATCATTTACCCTAAAGTTTAAGAGTTTCACCATCATTTTGACCTGAACGCAAGCTAACAAAGTTTATATCAATAAAATACAAAGACAATGCATCCAAAAAAGTGCCTGAAATTTAAGTTAGTTTCTGTTGTTTTGACAAAATAACTATCATTATTGAAAGTGACAATCAACACTGCAGACATAAAACCCTAACTTAAAATTGTACATCTTCAAATAGATTATGAATGACCTGTAAATTTACATTTCAGTTGTTCTTTTATTTGTTTATAGTGTATCTACTTTTGTGCATTGTTTTAAGTGTGCATTGAAAATAATGTGACTTTTGTTTCTAATGGCCCATAACGATAAAGGAATGGATTATATCCCAGGAGAGGATTATAAAACACATTTTAAGGTTTTAAAGAGTCACTGGATAACTTATATATGGAGAGAAAATGTTTTATTAAAACGTAGTTAATAAAAACAAATGAAATTGCATTTTTTAAAGCAGGAAATTTGAGTCTTGAACATAGTCGCTTCAGCTCATCAGGTTTCTCTTGGTGCACACTGCCACCTACTGCACTACACCGGAAATACAACTCGGGCATTCCTTGCAGGAATGGCATTTAACTACTGGTATACATTGTCATATTTAAAATACGGTTTGATTTCTCTTTTGAGTAAAACTCTTCACTCTTATTTAAAGTGACGCTTTAATGTTTATTGTTAAAACTCTGATTCTCATGAGAGGTTTAATAGCTGCACCCCAGTAATAATCTGACTAATGCGGCATCTCTGACACAGTGAGAATGTTTTGCATAAAGCCAGGACTGCAACAATATGTATTACATGTACTGCAGTATTTAGTATGAGTGAAAGATTCACTGAACCTGTATTGTCATAAGTCTAGTGGGAAATATAAACATTTGGTGCCCCTTTATTTTCAGGGGAAAAATAACTGTGGGAGAATTAGTCACTGAATCTGCACAACTGTTTAAGTTTTTATTAGACACTCTCTTTAAAGCACAAGTGTAAATGGCCTTAAAAATGTGCTTACCTGTTTGAGTCATTGTGAGTCAGAGACCCAATATCTCCAGAACTTAACCTATAAATCAGCTGAAACAGCTCGTTCAGTGCTCTTAGATGCTGCGTTTCCGAACAACGTTCAGTAAATGGTTGAACTCTTTGTATCAGTCTTTGCAGGTTATAAGTTGGTAACTGTAAATTCATTTAAAATCTATAGACCTGTTAAGGGAGGGTGTGTGAATGGGAAATGCTTGTGCTGGACACTCTCAGATCGCCGGTGAAATGACAAGTGCAGTTGATTTCATCTTGAGAAATCAAAGGAGGAGAATCATCACTGAGTGCCAGCACAGCATGAGAAATACTATCATCTTCAGTGTGAACAGAGGAAGACATGACCAGTAGTGTGTGTACAAAGATCTTTTATTTTGTGAGCTCTTTATGCCATGAACTCGTAGGGGATGGGCTCCAGCAGCTGTGGGGCGTTTTTCTTGGTGCTGACAAAGTGAGCATCACGTGGGGGAGCGGGCTGTGGAAACATGAAGGTTCTTGTAAGTGGTTGAAAGACAACAAACGCTCTGCTTCATTTTCTTTTATTTCAAGAGAAACATTTTTTAAGTCACCTACAATAAAAGGAAAAAAAAAAGCTTTATGTTACATACCTGACGTTTCAGTTCCACCCAGCTGCCCTTCTGCTTGGCCTCCATCTTCTTGGCCTCGTTCTCTTTGACACGCTGCAGGAAACTGTCCCTGCTCTTTGAGTGCTTCACGTGCTCAATACGCACGTTAATCCTCTTGGCCAGGATCCTCCCCCTGTGACAGCCAAAAGAATCAAATGTCATCACAGACGGATCCTTAATAATGATAAACGTCATGCTGTTTAAAAATCTTCACTCCGCCGCTGTATCCTCAATACAACCCCAGATCAAACAGGAGTTAGACTGGTGTTCTCAAGGATGGGATACTTTCCCCCACGTGAATGACCACTCAGCACATCAACAGTCCTGGTGGCAAAGTGAAGATGGGGTAACATCCTGAACCTTGTATTCACAATCCCAGATGAAGAAGTCTAACATGACAATGCTGATACACTTAGAAGGTGTGGTGACCAAAACAACCTTTCAGGTTCAGGATGCGCACACCCCGCTGGTATCAGGATCTGATACCTGGGTTTAACTGATCACGGAATTTAACTGTGATCCTACAGAGTTCACTTGAACAATCACAAATGCATCCTGATTCAAATATAAACATCACATCCTACTTACTTGACCTGCTTGTTGACAATGATGCCAACAGCATGCTGGGTTACATTGTAGACGCGTCCTGTTTTGCCATGGTAACACTTATGGGGCATTCCCTTCTGAATGGTACCTGTGCCCTAAAGAGAAACCACCCATGCCAGAACGTTAAATGTATTATTTATGCACTGTATTTATTACTCATTACATCTAGCAGAGAAATGACTCAAGAGATTTCGAAAATCTTTTTTACAAGATGATGAACCTCAGCATAGAATAAACAAACAGGAGCCTATGTTCATGGATGGCAGAGAACTTTTTACAGCTCAACCAGGACAAAACTCAGGTTTTAGTCATTGAGACAGGGTACAAGAGAGAGAAACTGGTCAGCATACTCAAAGCATTATCCTATAATCCTAGTCAACAAGCTAAAAGTTTAGGTGCTTTATTTGATTCAGAATTGAGCTTTGCCTGTTTTTAAGTCTTTAAGAAAACCATGACCTGGATGAATGAGAATCTACATGGACATATTATTTGTTTCTTTTGTACCTTTTTCTGTGTAAAGCACTTTGTTTATATAGCACTTTTCATACACAGCATATAGCACAAAGACTGATCGGTTGATTGATTGACTATGTAAGTTATTTTGTGTGTATGTCTCTTATTGGTCAGTTTTTTCATGGAGGTCTAGATCCACCTGATCATCCAAACAAAGAAATACTCTTGAATAAACGCAGTCTCTTACCTTGATGTCAACAATGTCACCCTTCTTGTAGATGCGCATGTATGTGGACAGGGGAATTGGGCCTGTGGAGCAAATGCAGACAATTTATGTCATTTTGCAAAACATTGATAGTAATTGTAACTGTACAGAATAAAATTTAAATAATGTTAAAATTGGAAATACATCACATAAGTGGTTTCACAGTCTGCATTGAAATACTCACCATGTTTGCGGAACTGCCTGCTGAACATGTACCTCGTCCCCCTCCTCTTGCCTCTGGTGTTCGTCATGATGCCTGATTACTGAGGAGAAATAAAAAACAAACTTGTGTTAGTTTGGATAAAGTCTAACACATCACATGCTGCCAAAAGAGGACATTTGGGAAAACAAAAAAATCAATAAAGGACGTATCTCCGTTTCAGACACACTGATTTTTCCTACTGTGATTTATCATACACACAAAAAAAGTGTTTCGTGCTTAAAAACATCAACATTCAAGAGGAAAACACGCTTTGGTAATCTAATAACACGTTCTCAGGGTCAACACCTGGCTGTCAACCAAGCAGTAACTTCATTCACTTTATATCAACATCTTAACCAAATGAATGACAACCTTACTTATAAACACAAACGTGCAGAATCGACGGCAGGGGTAGCTCTGCGGTTCACGGTTGTTATAAAAGTGAAGACAAATGCTGCAATATTACAATAACTGCATACTAATTGCTAATGCTAAGCAACTACTAGGGCTGTATATACGCAACTACTTGACCCAGAGAATCAGTCCACGTCGTAATAATTGAGTTTCCATAGAATAAAACACAATTTCCATGAAAGTATCATTTTTAACATGTATTTTAAGTATACAGCCTGAGAGGAAACCATCGCCTTTAGTAAAGGCTTGTCAGCAGGGCCCACATGGAGAGCCACGCTGTGAGTCCGGCTCACATTCAACCAAAACTATCAGCCACATAGACGATTTAACTACGAAATTCACTCACTGAGATAAGAGGAAAGATCTTCAGGATGGATATATATGCAACTGTGTTTGTTAACTGCGACAATCAAACTCAAAATTGCGTTAATAACGGAGAGGATCTTACCCCCGGTCTCGACAAGATGGCGGGTACGGCGAAAAGAGAGATTGAAGGCCCCAAAACTCCGCCTTGTGAAATACAACAGAGGTAGACCACAATACCGCCTGTACAGAAATAATACAACACCTACGCTGAACAAGAATTAACCCTAATGTAATTGTGTTTGATAGACGAGAGTAAGCGGAAATAAATGCTTGCTCAGTGTTCTTATTTTAAAATCGTGTATTTGCTTGTTAGAACGACGCATACCCATCAGTAACGTAGGTATCATGATACGCATGCGCAAAACTCAGAGAAGGCTAACCCTTTAATTTTGATGACAGAGTTTGTCGCTTGGAGAAGATTTTTGTTAAAAGTAAATTAAGATTTAAAAGAGCTCTACTTTAATGCCTTGGAGATTCCTAATGCGCGAAACTTGTGACATAAAGGCAGTCGTCTTTCCTCTACGGCTACAACAGGTCAAAGACGGAAGTTATCGGGAGTGAACGCTCTCGTTTTCGGAGGCTGTTGGACTTTCGTTCGCGAGCTCAGCAGAATCGCCTGCCTGCGCTCACGAGGGGAGCCAGCCCAGTCTTGTCAGCGCGCGGCTGTGTGGTGGAAGATGGCGCTAGCCGAATGGAAATCCTAATGACAGTCTCCAAATTTGCCTCCTTTTGTACCATGGTGAGTGCACTGCGGTCTCATACTCGCGCCAACCAGACTTTGAGTTGATAGAAGACATTAGGCTTTTGCTGCGTTTTGCTCACGAGCCGCGGACTAGCCGATATAAGCAGTTAATTCTGGTGTCAGTGCTAGCCAAGCAGTTTTCCCGACCAGGGCAAAACAGGCAGCCTCCCACTGCCTTTTCTGCTCTGCTGGCTTGGATTACAGCAGTAGATGGGCCCTCTAAAGACACGGGTCCGTCTCATTAGAGAGTTTGAGGACTTATTTGGCTAATATTGAGAACAGTTTGTAAGATCACAGCCACAGTGCACCTGCTGCAGCTGGGATTGTGGGCTAACTTGCTAACGTGAAGCTAAAGCAGTGCTGCAGATTGCAAACAACTGGAGCACAGCTGGAAAATGGAAGACTTTAGAGTGAGGGGTGATGAATCCAAAGGGATGTGTGGGTGAATACCGCTTAGTATCGCACGCTGGCTCATGACAATCCAACAGATCCCACAAACGCAGCCAATGACGACATTGTTTAACATTAGCTGCGCAGTTGTGGACCCGATCCAGGTGCTGATCCACTCTGCACACTTTGTTTCTTCATCGGTCTCTGCTCGCCCCCTCGGAATATCTCCCCCTAAGAAGCCCACTGCTCCCTGTACATGCTATTTTCTGCATTACTCTTTTATAACAAACATTCTTGCATTGAAACCCTTTAAAAATCAGTGTAAGCAGCAGCAGTCAGGGGCAGCTCTATAAAAGTGATGCATGCTTTTAGGTCTAATGGCATTAAGGGGCAGAGTGGAGGTGGCAGCCATTAGTGTTTTGTTTTATCTCAGCAGCATATAACCTTGAAACGCAAAGCTGTTGCCATCCTCTTTGGCAGCCAATTGCTGACTTACTCTTTTGTATAATGTAGGAAATAAAAGCTGAACTGACCAGATTTCTGTTTGTTTGTGTGTATGTGTATGTGTGTGTGTGTGTGTGTGTGTGTGTGTGTGTTTACAGGGCGCCAATGCCTCTGCTCTGGAGAAAGAGATTGGATCTGAGCAGTTTCCGGTCAATGAGCACTACTTTGGCCTGGTCAATGTAAGTGAGCCAAACACTCACCTCGAGTGTGTCTGTTTTTGTTTACATCTCCATCTGACTCCATTCTGCCGTGTTTGTTTTCAGTTTGGGAACACCTGCTACTGCAACTCGGTGCTGCAGGCTCTTTACTTCTGCCGGCCGTTTCGGGAGAAGATCTTGGCGTACCGCAGTCAGCCTCGGAGAAAAGAGAACCTGCTCACCTGTCTGGCTGACCTGTTCCACAGCATCGCCAACCAAAAGAGGAAAGTGGGTGTCATACCGCCGAAAAAATTCATCACTCGGCTGCGCAAGGAGAATGGTGAGTGTCTCAGGATTATTGTGACAACTGCTTTAAAAATATTTGTCCCTCTTAGTCAGCTGAGATCTTGCTGGGATTGATCCAGAATACCCTGAAGTTCCTGTTCAACATGTTGAATAGTGGATATCTGAATTATATGTCCCCCCTCTTTTTGTTCTTTGATCCTCAGAGCTCTTTGACAACTACATGCAGCAGGATGCCCATGAGTTCCTAAACTACCTGCTCAACACCATTGCAGATCTGCTTCAGGAGGAGAGGAAGCAGGAGAAGACCAATGGCCGCCTTGCCAACGGCACACTGGACTCTCAGAACAACAACAGCAACGCAACACCCGCTCCCACATGGGTCCATGAGATCTTCCAAGGCACTTTGACCAATGAGACACGCTGCCTTACATGTGAAACGGTAGGACAACCTACTGCTCGGGGGTGCAATACAAGCAGTGTAAGGTGTTTGTACATTAGTTTCTGCTGGTGTAAGTCCAAACATTGTTTTAGGCATGTAGTAGGATTGTTATTGGCAGCCTGAACCCTCATAGACTCTCATAGATAAGCAGTAAAATATTACAAGGATGATTCAAGCAGATAGGACTAATTTCTGTTGTGTTATGGTTTAAAGGAAGTGCTGTGTTAGGTGTACACTACAAGTATAAGATACCAGTCTAGGCTCCTCTGACCAACAGCAGCAAAGGCCTGATGGAATTGGTGATTCTTTCCTGTCGTGTGAGGTCTGTTTGAGTGATTCCACCCCCTCAATCTGCTTGAGGCCGCCCTGATTAAAGATTGTATATATTTAATATGTTTAATACTTACAATCAGAATTCCTGTTGTGTGGGGGTAACCCCGAAAACTCTGTGGCAGGTCATGTGAGTGATACAGGAGCAAACTAGGGAGCAACCTGACTGAAGAAGGAAGCACAAGAAATGCATCCCTGACTACAGTGGTTAATACGAGCTGTAAATATGAATGGACGTGGGAAATGGAGGATCAAACTGTTTAATTGTGGCGACAGTTAAATTATTTGTACAGTGTGTCCTGTCATGAGTTTCCAATCTAAGGTCTGAATCAGAGGGCTTTGGAGGGGGTCACGACTCACGAGGTTGTCAAAACATCATCTGCACACACTTGCTGGACAGTTTGTATAATTTTGCTGATGGATAAAACTGAAACATACCAAAGCATACCTGTGATAATGACTAGGCGAACAGTTGAACAGTAATAGCTCCTGCAGTAAATGTACCAGCTTGACAACCGTCTCCTTCTCCCACATGTTTGATTACTCGGAAGTCCTGTTGAGAGTCAGCGCTCCAGTTGCTGGTGAATGAAATCTGTTAGTGTGTGATGTGCACATCGTTCACCTGCTGCACAAACGGACGAAATCTTGAAAACAAAAACTACGAAATTGAATAATCTTCTTAGTATTGCTCGGCTTTATTTTGGCATCCCTTTTCTCCACAGATAAGCAGCAAAGATGAGGACTTTCTGGACCTGTCTGTGGATGTTGAACAGAATACCTCCATCACACACTGCCTCAGGTACGTTCACTGCATACAGACGTGGAGCTGCTTCAGCGATAGGAGGAGACAGGATTAGTGGTTGATTGACAAAGAATTAATCCTCCGCTGAAGGGAAAGTTGTTTTTTTGGCAGAAAGTAAAACTTGTGGTGGTTCATGCTTCTTGAAAATAAGGAGAGACTTTCCTTCCTGTCTTTTCTTTCATGTTGTAAACTGAGATTGAGTCACTTTGAGGCTGTCATTTATAAGTGATTGGAAGATTTTTGATCTATCAGTCATAAAGACAGTTGTCACCTGATTCACTTTTTGTTATTCTGAGCAGGTAACTTCTGAAGGCTGCTGTATCCTTGTTAGACTATTCTTTTTGAAGAGGTTTGCAGGGATGTTTGTGTCTGTTGAGATTTCAGGGATCAGTCTTGAGTAAGAAAAAATATTTTCGCTCAACTTTTTAAGAAGTCTGCAATGAAAAACACTGAGAGGTGTCCTTCACAAACTCAAGGAGACTGCAGTAGTTTGTTGTTAAAAGATTTATTTGCAAACCTTATAATTGTGTTTTTTTTTGTGGCTCCTCTCAGAGGTTTCAGTAACACAGAGACACTGTGCAGTGAGTACAAATACTACTGTGAAGAATGTAGAAGCAAGCAGGAGGCACACAAGAGGTCAGTATACAGCCGTATCCTCACCATGCACTTTTCAGCCTCGTGTTAATGCAGTTCTCTGTGTGTTCAGCGCTATTCGGAGACGTCTGACACTGTGTTTGTGTCGTAGGATGCGTGTGAAGAAGCTGCCGATGATCTTGGCTCTGCACCTGAAGCGCTTTAAGTACATGGAACAGCTGCAGCGCTACACCAAGCTGTCCTATCGCGTCGTCTTCCCCCTGGAGCTCCGCCTCTTCAACACCTCAGGGGACGCCACCAATCCCGAGAGGCTCTACGACCTGGTCGCTGTGGTGGTTCATTGTGGGAGGTGTGTAGGTGCAGACACGGAATACAACACCTTCATGACCGTCTCCTCAGCAACGGGAGACAAGCAGAAAAATGTTCTATTTATAAGAACATTTTTTAAATCTACTGGCATGAGGGAAAAAAGGTACATTAGGATTTATATGGAGCAGGAGATAACACAGACTCTCGTCCATCATAGTTCAACACATTTCCTCGGTGTGTGGGAGTTTGTCTGTCTGTGTTTATACACGGTGCTCCCTCCAACACTGCATGACTCTGCTTGAGGATAATTTATTAAAAAAGTGTATTTAAAGGTCAGACTCAGCTGGAGTTAAGCAGGTGAGTCGTACAGATGTAAACGATCCGTCTTGAGTATTCTCCAAAGTGTCTGAGCTTAGCTCCCGTTTTCAGCTCCAAGGTTGTTTTCAGAGCGGGGAGATGTATTAGGAAATTTATGTCATGATTTCAGGCAATGTAACGACTGGGATTTCAGCGGAATTATGTCAGGGTAGTGCTTAAAGCTAAAAGAGATAACATTAGAGAAACCAGCAGGGGAAAACAAGAGCTTGGAAGTATTTAACTGACAAGACTCCCTAAAACAGTCAAATAGTACCGTCTGACTGCTGAAATCCAGAGAAAGTCAGGTTTAATATTGGCAACAAATAGGAGAAGTGCTGCTGGGTCTTCTTTGTGTCAAACACATACAGGTACTCTTTTGATACTTCAGACCTGTTGTAGTCCTAACGTCTGAAGTACTAAAAGAACTTCATCTAAATAAATAACTGCAACTGTCCCTCAAAAGACTCACCTTTCAGAAGAACACTTATCTGAACCGGATGGATTTTAAAGCAGTTTTTGCGCCCATGCCGGTGCGTGTTCGCATCCTTGTTACAGTAAGAAGACTGCTAACGGGACCACAGAGTGCTGGCTTTCAGTTTCTGCACCTGCAGCACTCGTACAGAAAAAGACACTGGGTCTACTCCAAATTAAAAGTCACTATCACTGGGCTGGTGATGCAGATAAAACTGTCTCAGAAAACATCTGATCTGAGATGATTATGTGTAAGTCGGCTGAGTTTATTAGTGAAGTTTGTCATGTAGTAAGGAACACATAACACAGATGAAGTATCCTCTCCATGCAGGTGTGAGAGTTGCTGCCCTCTGTCATTCTACTGTGTTGTGTTTGAGGTGTTGATTTTATCTGCTCACTAAGAGCATACTAACAACACAGATTATTTTGTCAGTGTAGGATGTCTCCAAAGTAACATCTACTGACAAACAAATAAACATATGAAAGGTGCAACTTCTCACTGTCCACGCCTACACAGTCTTGCAGTCTCTGCGTAGTGGAAAGAGTAAAAAGGCCTGTGTGGGTGCTCCACGGGGGTGTGTGAGATCTCCAAAGTCAGACTACTATGTTCATAGAGGTTAAAAATGACTCTGTAAAGCTAATACAGTCTGTTTTTTTTTCAGTGGTCCAAACAGGGGTCACTATATCGCCATAGTAAAAAGCCACGACTTCTGGTTGTTGTTTGATGATGACATTGTGGAGGTGAGTGAGTTCATCAGCATTTGACATTTGATTCAGCGCTCACGTTGAACAGTTTTTCCTCACGCCGCGACTGTTTCATTTTTCTGCTCTTGTAGAAAATCGATGCACAGGCCATAGAGGAATTCTACGGTCTCACTTCTGAAATCTCCAAGAACTCTGAGTCAGGCTACATCCTCTTTTACCAGTCCAGAGACTAAAGGTGGCGCCACGTGTTCCACCACGGAAACTGGAAGAGAAATGCTCTGTTCCCTCTTTGTGAGCAGCATCGGACCATTTAACGCACCACAGCAGCCCTCATGGTGTCACACCTGATCGTGCAGCTGTAGCTCATACTCGTGCTATATGCACTCAGCTCAGCCTTGGAAGCATACCCTCTTTACCCTCCCTTCATCCCCTCCCCTCCTCTTTGCAGCCGGACGCTGCTGCTGCCGCCTGGACTTTGAGACGATAATGAATGAAAACTGTGTTTAGATTGTTTTTAAAAAAAGACAGTGAATGAGGGTTGTACAGATGTTGGTTGGTCGTACGAGTGCCGTATTAGTTTTTGCCTTGGGTGTGGGGTCGAATGGGTATTTAATAATTCATAAGATGTAATATTGGCCTGGTGTATGCACCCCCCCACATTGTTATTCTGCACCGGGAGTAACTAAGGGTGGATCATGTTTTTGATCATGGATGTAAAGGTGGATGGGTGTGATGGGGCAAACTGGGTTGTATATTTCTACAGTGTACAGGATGGTATTTGTATAAATATTACAAGAAGATAATATTATCATTGGAAAATGTTAGACCTTGAGAAGATGTATTAACACTATGGTGCACTTTTGATACCGTTTTGTAGGTGTTGGCAAGTTTAACGTAAGGGTTTGCTTAAAAAGGCCTGTTGTGAAGCGATCATTTTCTGTTTTAAAGAAAAAGAAATAAAGCGAGTAAGATTGAGGCAGGGTGTGCTGTGCCTTCTGTCTCCCACAGGTGCGCACTGATGACTCATACAGCTCAACGTCGCCCCCTGGCGGTGCTGCGATGTAGCGTTTCTCTCCCACTGCAACAGGAGCTATTTTTAATCCATTCAAATCCTACAGGAAGAGAAAAACTGAAAAAAAAAAAGAAAAACAGTCCAGGCAAGACTTGATCAGCTCACTGGTCACATCAACAAGTCACCCACCGGTCTGAGGTGTCTGTGAGGAGGCAAGAGCTGCAATGATGGAGAGGTGAGGCAGAGAAGATGGAGGACAGATGAGGGGAGGGGAGGTTGGTGGTGACACACATCAGGGATGCTGTTAATAGCACAGACAGGACCAGAATAGCAGGACATTGTAGGAGGGGAGCGAGTCTTTGCAACATGTATCTTTACACCTGAAACTCAAAAGTCCCATCAGTTTACTCAAGTGTCTTTTCACTGAAGAACAGGGGGGGTGTTGCAACATGTGGAAAAGCAGGGTTGGGAAATGTTGATAACTGAACACACTCAGACTCAAACACCTGTCTTTGTCCTTGAGAGCAGACATCCACTTCTTTCACAGACTTCAACTGGTCTCTAGAGGTCTGGCCCATTTGGGACTCCTCCTTTACCACCAAACCCCCCTCCTTCCCCTCACACACCTCCCCCTCCCCTCCTCCTCCTCCGTCGCCGCTGCTCCGCTCGCTGCTCCCCGCACAGCCGCAGTCCACGGCGATGCGCCGCTAACGGCTGAGCCGCCTCGCGCTCTTTTCTTCTTCTCCTTCCTCCATCACTCCGCTTCCAGGCAGAGAGGACCAGCTCCCCCACCCCCCCTGTCATCCTCCCTCTCCCCGGGTTTGTGCGTGTCCGCCCGGCGCCGCTGCACCAACCTTATCAATAACATGGCAACACAAAGCTGTCGTTCTTCCATCTAGACGTGGAGCGTCACCTCACTGAGTCAAGGTAGGCTGGGCGGCGGCGGATTGGGGTTATTGGGCATCCTTGACATGCATGGAAAAATGCTCCCTGCCTTTTTCCCCCCTCTAGCATCCCTGTGCTGACGTGGAGCTGCTGTGATGCAAGGTGCAGAGAGGGTAAAGCTGCACCATATGGCCACCAGTGGAAGGTGCATACATGGCGGCAGAGAGGGTTTATTTCTATGTCGGGTGCGGTATCTGCTTTGCAAGGTGTCTGACAGCCGCGTGAATTATTACCGATGCCGGTAGAGGATTATCGACATCTTCTGTATGGAAATGTGGCCTGAAATTTGCGGCAAAGCCTGTTTTGGTTTTCCGTAATTCTCGGTTATTTTACATGTTCTCAAACAGAGCTGCTCCACATGTGCAGCGCGACCTACAACAAAAATCTAAACAGTATTGATCCATAAATATAAAACATGACCTGTTAACTGTCTACGGCTTAATTATTCATGTGCTTGGTTATTCACTGGTATTAAGATGTAGATTTAACCAGTGTGAAAGAGTCTGCTGCTGTGAGGGGATCTCATGTCTGTGCTCCTGCAAAACGTGCATCAACAGGCCTGCTTAAATCTGTGATACATCTGTTTATGTTGTGAAATGCAGGTGTCTGAAAAACGGCAACAGTCCAGAGGCGTGCACAGAGGTGGGATGGGTGCTTTTTTAAATCAGTCCCCACTTTTAGGAAGATGCACAAAAATTAAACTGTGTTTATTTCTTATTTTTTATTATTTATCGTTCTCTTTGTCTCTGTTGAATGACAGCCCTTTGTATTCTGTATTCACCATTTTGTAAAGATAGAACTCATAACCCTGTTCTTCCATTTCAGACGGGGGGCACAATGAGTGAAGAGCCACCGGTCACCCCCAGCTGGCTGACCCCTGACCCCACAGCCTGGGCTAGCGGAGGCGGGGGCCCGACAGACAACAGCACCAGCCTGGGGACATTCCCACCAGACCCCCTGACACCCAGCCAGCTCCCCCTGCTGGTCAACCCCTGGGATATCGTCCTGTGCTCGTCTGGGACTCTGATCGCCTGTGAGAATGCCCTGGTGGTGCTGGTGATCTGGCAGAACCCAGCGCTCAGAGCTCCCATGTTCCTGCTGATCGGCAGCCTGGCGCTGGCTGACTTGCTGGCTGGTTTGGGCCTGGTGCTGCACTTCACCTGTGCCTACCTGGTGCGCTCGGACTCTGCCCAGCTGCTGACGGTGGGCCTGGTGGTGGCTTCCTTCTCAGCTTCTGTCTTCAGCCTGCTGGCCATCACGATTGATCGCTACCTGTCTTTGTACTACGCCCTCACCTACAATTCAGAGCGGACAGCTGCGTTCACCTACACCATGCTGGTGCTGCTGTGGGGCCTGTCCCTGTGTCTGGGCCTGCTGCCTGTCACCGGGGTCAACTGCCTGGCAGAGGAGGAGACTTGCAGCGTGGTGCGGCCACTCACGAAAAACAACATCGCGGTGCTGTCCGTCTCTTTCCTGCTCCTCTTTGGCCTCATGCTGCAACTCTACGTCCAGATCTGCAAGATAGTGATGCGTCACGCTCACCAGATTGCACTCCAGCACCATTTCCTGGCTGCCACGCCTCACTACGTCACAACACGGAAGGGCGTGTCCACCTTGGCCATCATCCTGGGTACCTTTGCTGCTTGTTGGATGCCTTTCACTGTCTACTCCCTCATTGCTGATTACACCTACCCACCGCTCTACACTTACGCCACGCTTGTGCCTGCCACCTACAACTCTGTCATCAACCCGGTCATCTACGCCTTCAGGAACCAGGAGATCCAGAAGGCGCTGTGGCTGGTGTGCTGTGGCTGTGTGCCTGCAAGTGTGGCCCACCGTGCAAGGACCCCTAGTGACGTGTGAGCGAGCAGACCCAGGTGGGAAGAGAGAGGCGCCCTGGGTCAGCTCTGCTCCTCACTGGATGTGTCTGGTGTCAAAATGAGCAGCAGCAGGGGAGGTCAGGGGCGGTGGCAGGGGGCTGTGGCTTCACCTCAGGCTGGAGATGTTTCTGGAAGACGAGGTATGGTCGGAAATCCACAGCCCTACGTGATGGATGGCGTTAATTTCCTTTGTTCAATCACCATAGGGCACAGCATCTCACTGTCTTCCCCGGCAAAGGCGGCCACTGCGCGGAGCAGCATCCCGCCCCCTCCCATTCAACTCGTGCCACGCCCTTCCTCTGTTCTGCAGAGAGCGCTGAGTGCGTCACGTGTTTCAGGCAGCAGCTGTATATAGAATGTGCATTTGGTTAACAGCACGGGAGCTTTGGTTGACACGTGCTTGTTTTTCCCTCAAATAGGGAGGGGATTATTAGTTCGCTCTGCTGTGCGTTCTTGCGCAAAAGCGCGCGGCAGATTAACAAAACAGTGTGTGCGGAGAAGAGGTGAGGAGAGGAGCGGAGAGAAGAGGAGAGTGTGACCACGGCTGAATACGCAGGTTTTTTCCACATAAAGCCTGTCTGGAGCAGCATCCCGGCGCTCTGCTGCTGCACTCTGAACGTGCGTCGAAAGCTAAACAGCCGCGGAGAGCTAAAAATAGACCCGGCGCTCTCTGATCCGCGCCCTGCGTCCTCTCCACAGACGCCGAGAGAGAAATCAAGACGTTTCTTCGTCCCTCTCTTTGCCTTCCTGAATTTCTGTCTTCATTTCTTTATGGACTGTGCGTGGATGTGTTTTCATCGAGCTCGTGTCTTTGAGGCTCAATTAAAGCCCCAGGAAACCCCGTTTACCCTCTCCTCCATATTTTTATGATTAACAGAGGCACCACACAGAATAGAAGTCTATAGGATTGTGTGACCACAGTGTTTTCGTCCTCTTTCACTTTTCAATGCGATTGCTTATGACTCTTTTAATATATAGAAATTATTTTGTATCTTTAAAAATAATTTCGTGTTGGAAAAAAACCTGCAAGATTGGATGGCAGTGTCTTTTAGAGGATATCACAATATTTAGGGAGATAAACATGATAATTTGTGTGGAAATCAACAATATTTGAATGTAATTCTACTTATTTGACCCTTAAACAAGCCTCTCACCAACCATAATATCTGATCTGCATGCTAGACTTCCTTGTAATTTGCATGCTACAAGCACAGACCTTCTTTCCCCCATCTGAGTTCAGTGTTATCTTACATGACGGTTCCCTGAAGTCATTTTGCCCCTGTAATAACTTAATTTATGTACCACTGTAAACCTCATATTTAACACATTCAATGAGCTACAATCACTACTGGATGTCCTCCAGTTGCACTCTTTTTTAAAGATGTTTAATTTGTAAAAGGACTTGTGTCTGTCTTGAAGGTTTGAGGTGTTTTTGACTGCTTCACTTTGATCATGTTTTCAATTCAAATGACTTTCACACCTTTCAGCTGCTCTGAGTACAGTTACCCATCATGTTTTGGACTCATACTTAGTTTGCAGACCCAGCTTAAGTCCTACTTTGTTCCCCCATATCATGTCAGCAATAACTCACCTATGAATGGAATTGTGTCAATGTGCAGCAATACTCAGACAGCAATAACATCCACGTCGCACCATTACTCCTTCCTGCTGAGTGAAGAACCATAATGGCCGCCTTACATGTCAGAGTAAACAGGCTATAAGTGAAGCTTCGGTGAAACATCTAGAGTTGGCTGCAAGAGACTCATTTGTCACTGCGACCCCACTTTTATTTTGCCTCTGCCTTCGTTTGTTGAGTGTATGACTTGTCCTGTAGCCTCAAGTGTCTGTGTGTGATTTGGGGACTGTGTTGTTTTGTGCATACGGTTTGAGTTGCATGGCCTCTGAGTGTGTGCATGTGTGTATGTTTGTCTCTAGTCCAGCAGCTCAGCAGACCCTAGTCTGTCTCCTTGTGTCGGGGGCACAAAAACAGGCCTGTGTGGAGTATAAATTCCTGTTGACCCACTGACCTTTGAGGATAATGCTGCCAGTCTTCCTGTCAATTCTGCAAGAAGTGGCCTCGTTATGTATTTGTCCGGCTTTTTTATGGGGAGTGAGAGATGGAACTAGGGGTGTAGGGAAGCTCCAGCACTTCAAGCCAAAGTGAGAAAGGACTCTGAATGAACTGGGATCCTAGTCCTGCTGTGTTTTCTGTCTCCTCTATTTCACTCGTAGTCTATGAACCAATCCAGTCTGGTTGAAGAAGGCGTCCGCTAAGTGACCTCTGAATGATTCTATGAGCTAAAAAAAAAGGCTGCGTCCAAATGCTCGAACAGTGCTCCTTCTTCTTTTTCCCCGCTTCGCTCCTCTGTAAGTGTGACTGAGGTGCTTTTGGAGGCCTCAGATCAGGTAAAAGTGTAATAAAGCAGGGCGGAGGAGTGGGAAAGGCAGAGGGGTAGTATTCACTTTGCATTAGGATGCAGCCTGTCTATGTGAACTTGTGCACAGTGTCAGACTGAACCCTGTAGTTACTGAAGGAGCACCAACAGGTCAGGCTGGCACATTGAATAACCATCACAAACTATATTCCTTTACCTTTGGAGAAGAGTCTATTTTGTTATATTCATTGAGAAGTTCTATTTTTTTCCACTTCAGTCTGGCCTGAATTCTTTCAGATTCTGATGTTGTACGGTATAACGGCGCTGTAAAGCTTTTTTCTGAATGTAGTAATAATCAAATTGTTTATGGAGACCCCCCTCCTCTTGTTTGTTTTTGTAAATACAGCATGCTGAAGGGGAGGGACTTTACACCACCGTGCATGGTGCTACCAAAGCCAGGCAAATTTCAAGGATGAATTGGGTTGCACCATTTTTTTTTCAAATGACATTTCTCCACTAATGCGGTCGATGTAGAAAAACTTTTGTTAGGGTTCATTGCTTCAATATGCACCAATACACAAAGGGATGGTGGAGTGGATTTATATATGGCTACACAAGCTGAAGAAAATTGGTTCACAACTTCCTCTGATTGGTGAATGTTTCCCTGGCAGTAGTGTTAAGATATTCATGTTTGACCAGGTGTGAACAAGGGCTTTGTATCCAAGAATAGTATTGAGACTGTGATGTTGGATGTAATACTTCTCTGTACAAACACACCTGTTAATCTTTACAGTGTAATTGTAGGCTAAAAGTGTGCACAAAGCAGTCACTTTAAAAAAAAATGTGTAGCCAACCAGGAGGTGTATGTGACATATACTAATCTAGAGCTAAATATCAAACCACTCAAGGGCAAGTGAGTTTGTTCGTGTGTGTGTGTGTGTGTGTGTGTGTATGTATGTATGTGGGGGGGTTGGTTGAGGATGGGAGGACACCACAGTTAACAGCATCTTGTGTAGACGTATGCATAGTTTTAAATGTGAAATGCACTTTATTTTTTTGGATGAAAATGGCACAACAAATTAAGTATCTGCAAAATGAAACGTATAAATGATAATCAACATGCACTAACTGAGATATTGTAAAAAAAAAAAAAAAAAAGGAAAAAAACCTTTGTGTGAACGTGGTGTCTATTTTTCCAAAGTGTTAGTTGTACTTTTTATTGCTTTGGTTAGTTCACTCAATTGAGAAATCTTGTTAATTTTGTATTAAAAACAAACATGTGCTGTGCATACAACTCCTGCTCTGACTAATTTGTTCAGCCTCCCTCCCTTTTCACACTCCTCTGTTTCCCTGGTAACCCCCTTCTTAGCTGTACTGTTACTATGGAAACTAAAGTCTTGGAGCCAGGTATGTGTTGTCTCTATGACGACAGCAGAGCAGCAAAAAGTCATGTTAGCCTCACGATGATCCTTCATTCATTTTATTTTTCACTGGGTCAAAGGTTACACAGCTCACACTAGCATATACATCACCCGCCCTCCCTCCTCCCCCCTCCCTTTCCCTCCCATACAGTAGTGATTGATTGCAGACGCAGTTGGCTCAATCAATTATCATATTTATAACCGACTGTATAAAAAGATGCATGTATTTAAAGCTGGCTTAATGAGGATCCAAAAAACTGGAGCTTGCTTTCCTGGCTGGCAGCAATTTAAGTGAATTCCTCCTCCATGTTAACAAGTGGGACATGGGTCAAGCTTTAAAATCAAAACAAACCAGGTTCTTACGTTGAAGTTAAAAGGATTTTTCTCAGATCAGGTTTTGGTCATAATAGTCTCTTTCTTTCTCGTTGAGTTATGCCCTGGATTTAACTTTTGGGAGCATTATGGCTTCGATTTTTTACAACTGTAGAGGGACAAGATGCACCATCCATCTTTGTATACAGTCAGTGGTTTATAATCAATAAGACTTTTTACATGTCACCCTCCCCTTTCTCTCCCACAGTGGCCTGACCCCACTCTCACTTACAGTTATTGTCATGTTAAAAACTTGCAGCATGATCTATGGCATACAAGTGTTCCAGTAAAAACATTAAAAAAAGACAAGTACATTGGTTAGCTCAAGAGGAAAGTTTCTATTAGCACTAGCACTCTCAAGCTTGGACTATACATAAAGTAAGCACCTTCACGGGGTGTCTATAGTGTTATAACAGGTAGAGAAACATCCACTGGGGTGTATTCACAATGCTTTGCAATACATATATATATAACTGGTTGTTAATGTTTCAGAGTGGTCAGCGTTACAGCAGATTATTAGTGTCTTTACAGTGTTTGTGCATCTTGAATACACCCCCAGATTTCCAGTTTTGGACCATTCAGCTTATATCAACCAACAGCATGTGATTGTGTGTAGGTGTAGTGTGTGTGTTTCCAGCAACGAAATGTGCGACGACCCGAGTGTGTTAAAGTGGGCACTCCTTCAAGTGAATGTGTGTTGAGAGATCGTCTGATTGTGTGTCAGTGGTTTTTCTTTTCTTCTCTAATCCGACCAATCATTGTCCTCCAGCTCAGAGTCGTCCTCAGAGTCGGAGTACTCGACAGCGATGCGCCGCGACAGGATGGTGGCCACGTCGTTTCCGACTGGCTCCCGTTTCGCCTGCTGCTCTTGCTGCTCCTGTACCTTCTTCAGCTGAATGCCTGTAGGAAAGCACAGGGCATACATCTTTAACAGAGACAAAGTAGCTCCTAAATACAAAGAAGCTGAATCTATAAAGCATTACTTTTATCATGGAGTTATCTTTTGATTGGTTAACACTTTTTTTATATAAATGAGTATCAAAAAAAAAAAAGAATTAAGAGCCGATCAAAATCTAACAAAACAGCGTATTCTAGTCAGTCAGAGAAAATATCATGTTTAGCAGGACCAAGAAAGCATAAAATTGCACATCAAACTTCTTGTTTTATAACTACATAAAAAGAAAGGCAGTAAATATTAATGATAGGGTCTATAAGTATTATAAATAGTGGTTGGTTGAAGCCATGTGTTTATAATAAATGACCCACACACATCTCTTACCCATGCGTATAGCAGCCAGCAGGTCGCTGCGGGCATCGCTGACCACTGCGGTCTCAGCAGGAGCGGAGGAAGACATCTTGTGGGTTGTGGAATGAGAGGCACCAGCTGGAAGGGGAGGCGGTGGAGGACCAGGAGGAGGCGGAGCAGCATGGGCCCCAGAAAGAGGTGGTGGAGGCGGAGCGTAGCCGCCAGCACCTGGCATTGGCCCCGGAGACATCGGACCTCCAGGGGGTGAGGCGAAGGCAGTTTGGGCAGAGGGGATGAGAGGGGCTGGAGGAGGGGGAGGAGGACCGGTGTTTGCATAACCATCCAAGCTGCAAGAAAGAAGATATGAACAAAAAGTGAGTCGTTTGGATTGATGATTTTCTATCTGGAGTCCTAACCTGTGAGAGGAAGAAAGCCTAGCATAACAATACTTAACCACCAGGGGGCAGCATTGACTTAAAGTTGAGTGGAGTGGATTTGATAAGCGCCTTTCGTGGCTTGAGAAACTGGACATAAAACTATTTAGAGAAGATTGTATTAAAGTGTTACAGACAGTGATGTAACTCTGGTATGTTGGGAACCAGTCTCTCCTTTGCACTGGTGAGACCTGATTTAGCCAAACAACATTATTGGATTATTACAGGATTAATTTGTTGCCCTAATTTTGCTTTTAATTTTAGACGCTCACTTTAATGGTGCTTAAATTAACAACCCGGCCAAGACAGAAAAACAGCAAACACTCAACTGCGCAACAGCTGAATTACTGGCAGTAAAATCTGAAAACTCTAGACTTTAAAAATAGTCATAAAAATAAGGATAATGGCCTCTTTTGTTCAGTAAATATACCTGTAGTCCATTGGTAGGAGGGACATGGAACCACCATTCATAGCCTCAGTGGGTGGAGGAGGGAGCGGAACGTGTTGCTGATGGTGATGGTGAGAGCGTCCCAGTGTCCCACCCTGATAGGCCATCACAGTTCTTCCTCGGTTATCATGTTCTGTTCCTCCTCGAGGACCGTGACCGGCTGCCATCTGGGCTGCCAGAACACTGGGCGGGGGGCCGGAATAGGTGTGGGCGTGGCCAGCATGGTTCATGGAGTTGGGGTAGTGGAGTTGGTCGGGACCATGACCCCTGAGAGGGAGACAGGAAGATGGAGATTGACATAGGAAAAAAAAACTAAATGTAAAGATATTATTTTCAAAGTGAGGGTTTTATTTCAGGGCAACAAACAGACGGATAGAAAGACGTTAAAACATTTAAACAGGGGGAGATATTCAGATACAAAGTCAAGACAACAAAACTACTAGAAAAACCAGGACTTTGCAGTGTCCTACCTGTTCTCTGGAGACATCGAGCCCTCTGAGGAAGCTCCTCTGTCTCGGTGTATGGTGTGTCGATGATCGGGCCTCAGCTCTTTATCCAGAGCCATCATGTTCCACTCCTGACGGCGGTTTCGTGCTTTTCGGACCTTCTTTACCTCCCTCTGTAATGTGCCGTCCACACAACGCCTCTGCTCCTGGGAGGAAAAGGAACGGATTTAGGCCGTTTGATCCAATATTAAAAGTAACTTAAGAAATAAATAACAAAGGGAAGATTCGCACCTTCTGCTTCCTTTTCTCTTTCCTCTTATCCTCTGTGTCCTGCAGCATCTTCTCCTTCCACAGGTCGAAAAAGTAGGAGGGATCGGTGTAGAACTTCAGAGCTTCTTTGCAGTCATCCCTACAGAAACAGAACAAAGGTTTCAAGGTGAGAAGCTGTCTTTGTATAGAAACTTTATTAAATGGACTCAATAAATTGTATAAAGATATTTTTGACTGTGTGTCTGAGAGTAGAGGTTTAGGTTTGAAATATGGGAGGCTTTGACTTTTGCAAAGACGAGGGTGACAGGGCTGTGAAATCATGATGAAGAACTGAGAATAACAGGAGGGGAGAGTGAAAAAGCAGCGAGACAGAGACGCTGCAGACAAGAGAGAGAAAAGTGTTCAGTAGTCTGGGTTAGTGTTTGATTCCCTCTGGAGCCAGTCGAGCTAAATATGTAATGCACCTGGAAAGCACGCTGGATAAAAGCAGCAAGAGACTTGCAGCAGAAAATGTGCTGTTTCACTGTAAATGTAGGTCAGAGACGAGACGAACTCAACCAAGAGGGGTGGACAGACTGAAGTATTGTTAATGCATTTAAACTTGAAATTTGAGCTTTAACACATCAGGTTACAATCTGTTCATATATCTGTTCATATTTTGTTTGTTTCCCCCTGCTTAAGTTATGAAAAACACAAAAGTTCAGCACTGAAAAGCTCATGTTGGTGAGAAGACAAAGACCACGGCTGATGTAATAGTCAAAACGGCTGCTGAGAGTTTATGTGTCTGCAGCGCTGACCTGTAGGTTGAGAGGATGTTGAGCGGAGGAGGCTTGTCACTCAGGTTGTACATCTCCCGGACAGGGTTGGGCACACTGCTCTTGGACACCACCTGCTGGTCCTGAGTGGTGGAGCTCTTGAAGGCTTTTCTCATGTTGATGTCTTGCAGAGAAACTATAGAGCAGACGGGAAGAAATGTCGGGATAGGATTACAAGATTTAAAATGGCAAAGGTAGTAGAGGCAGAAAACACGAGAGTGACGCCACTTGTACGCTGAATCACGACTACTTTTCCCTCAGACACTCAGACATCTGACCCACCCTCTTCCACAGTCGAGTCCAGCTGCGTGACCTTGACAGCCAGCCGATCGATGCGGTCCTGGAGAGAGTTGGCACGCAAGTAAAAAGTGTTGGCCTCATTAAACAGCTCTCCGAATATGTCCTCTGCATGTTTACCTGGACGGGGACAGCAATAAAGGAGAAAGGCAGGGAATGGGAAAGAGAGAGAGGGAGACTTTTATTATCTGCTGGAGCCAAATAAATCCCAGAGCCTGAAGACCGATCAATACAGAAGTAATGTGACACAAGGGGAAACTGGAGTCTTGAGAGTCTGTGCAGGAAATGGCATCTTATACCACTCTATAAAGCAACATTTCTCATTAATACTTAAATATGTGCTGACTTCAGAAATCCTACTACAGGCACTGTATTGATTGCTGATGTTATTAAAGGCTGTTTTTGTAAGAGAGTCTTGAACTCAAAGCTACAGTTTCAGAGCCAGAAACCATGGATCAAAATCTAACAAGAGCTAATGACGCCGACTCTGACCCAACATGATCGTCTGCTGTTTATTTTCCATTAAAAAAGGCTCATATTTCCATTATCCCAGCATTGATGGGTGGTGGATTCATTAAATGTGGTGAATTACACACTCCTCAACCTGTGTTAGCAAGAGGAATAAAGAAAGGGGTAAACTTGACCATAACTGACCCATGTTGACACTCCAGGTACTCACAATAACCTCTTTAAACTTGCAGTTATATTGTAAGATAAGATAAGAAGAACTTTATTTATCCTCGAGGGGAAAAGATATAATTCCATGTATGGTATAATTAGGGGTCGATTCATATAAGTATTACAGTTTTCTGTTTTACAATTTTTAAATCCACACCAATTTTTATGTTCAAAAATCTATCTTTTTTTTTTTTTTTTTCAAATTTGAGTATAAATCTTAAAAACTGACTTGCATGTGAGGTGTCTTTTTTGGGGAAATATGGTTCCTGGAATAGTCAGAAGACAATCCTAATCATTCAGCTGTTGCACTGGTGTTAAAAATGCAGACTGAAAATTGAGAAATTGACAATATCGTAGAATTGCAATTTAAATCGAATCAGCATCCAAAAAAATTTAGAGGATTTAAATCGGGAGAGAAGCATATCGACCCAGCCCTAAGTATAATATTGCATTGCACACACCTGATTCAAATGATTAGCTCATTATTAAGCCATTACAGAGCTTGATAACGAGCTGATCATTTGAATCAGGTGTGTTGGAGCAGGGAAACATCCAAATCATGCAGGACAGTGGGGGGGGCTCGAGGACTGGACTTGAGAACCTCTGCTATAAAGAGACCGAACACACTGAATGAAAAAGTTGCTGAGTATGTCTCAAAAAACAATTCTTTAATGCTGAATAAGAGGTTGGAACCAGCCAAACGATTCAGTAAAGCAGAAGATTTTTTATGATCAAATAATTTGTAGTTCATGAACTTCACCAAAGTTCTTTTCTCAAAAACCAACGCAGAAAGTTTATTTTGTGGACTCCTTTTCATTATCCTTTTATTTTTGATTTTGCTGTAACTTATGGTCTTGATAGATAGATACCTTTTGGGAAGGTTACCTCATGGAAATTAAAAGCATGCCTTATTTTCCCCCTGAATTAAGCCCCTGAATATCACTTGACCCAAACATTTGTAATTCAAGTCATCTCTGTTGTTTAGAATGACAGTTTTCAAGAGTGATGTAATCATATTCTATCGTATCATACTGTATCATTTCATAACATACTGCATTGTACTGCATCATATGGCATTGAATCATGTGCTATCTTATCGTGTCATATTATATTATATCAGACCGTGACATATTTCCTCACTTTTAAAATAGTAACTGTAAATTTGTAAGTTGAAAACTAAAGTTACAGCCATGTGTCTGATTAAAAAGTATTCAATCAACAGACTTAGTGGTAATAATATTCATAGTTAAATCCGTTTATCATCACCTTAATATAGAGACTGTTTTTGTTTGCCTGTTTCTACACACTGCACCTTTGACACGATCATCACCACTTACTACAGGGATCAGTTAGTCAGAGTTTATTTAGACCCTAAATCCGGGAATGATGAAAGCAACCTGGGGCCTGAATATGTGCTGATGTCGGTGTGGGTCCCGGTCCTGACACTGTTATATGTAAACAAGTTCTTCCAGTTTTCTTTCTTGGCAGATGGTGAAGACGGTTGGATTTTGGTTGAAGATTTACAACAAAGAGCAGGGCTGAAGTTGAACATCCTTCTAATGGATCACAGCCCCTTTAGAGGTGTTATTGTTTTACAGTGTTTTAACCCTAAAAGATGATCCTGGTTAGTAACCTATAAACTCTACACGGGTCTGTTGTCAAAGCAACAGGAACTTTTTTACAAGATTTCTCAACTTGGCCGTACATAATCTGAAAATCTAGACAAAAATTATTCATTTTTGGATTCCAGCAGGTCAAAACAAATCCGAAAATGGTCTCCATGTTGCTCTGGTATTGATGCTTGGTTATAGAGCGGTGTGCGTTAAAAAGCAGTATGGCGAACCCACACAAACACACGCTCAGGGCTATTTGTGTCCCTCCTGCTGACAGGATGGGCTGCAGGAAAAATATTTAGAGGAAGGAAGAATTACGGATCTGGCATGCTGGGCCGAGTCAACTCTGACCCCTCTTGAGGAGCCTTTCAGTCCGCTTGCACACACATAAACATACACACACATGCACGGAGTATGTAGTCTGTAGATTTTCCCCTCGAGGGCCTGCGTGCGCATTTATATATAGCCCCCACAGCTGCTGTTGAAAGGCCCACTCCCAACGCAGGAACTTGACACAATAAGAGGCAGACGGAGAATGGGTCCGACCAGGCCAAATCGTAGAGCAGCAAAATAGCCGGGCTTCAATTCTCTCTCGATTTGAGAAAAGAAAAATGTGGCTGAGAATGTTTGGAAAAAGAATTACTGACAGGGGGACAAACAAACTGTTGACGGGTTATTAAATGGGGACATACAAGCGGAAGATAGATGCTGTAACTCCATCAGTGCATTTACAGAGAGCCTGACAATCGATACAGAATAGCCCTGCACACAAATACAGTTACCACACATGGGTTCAGACATTAACACACATACACGGGTACAAACACACACACACGAATACAGGCCATCTGCAAACAGCTGTCAAGATAAGTTCATTTTTGCCCAGCTATCTAAAAGGATTACATTTCAACTCTGCGTGTTCCCAACGCGAGGCCACTGTAAGTCTGCTTCTATCCCAGTGACCCCAGGCCCTGTAACCATGACAACCCCAAATCAATCACAGCTTTAGGATTACAGATGAAAGCATGTGATCTTGTCCTGCTACAAAGAGGCTACACAAACAGAGGAGACAGTCTTCATACTGAAGCTCTTGGGGTTATAAGTGGAAGTTGCTCTCATTTCAGTGTGTGTGTTCATGTTCAGACAAAAGCTTCATTTGTGTCCGCTTCTTCAAACTTCAGGCTTTTAACTTTTAATCGTCCTCTCGGAGACTACAGTGTGTGTTCGTTGTGTGTCTTACTCAGGCTGCTGAGCTGACGGATAATGGCGGAGAGCGTGTTGTTCATCACGCACTCCAGCTCGCTGCCGATCCCGTCGGGGAGCTCCCCTCGGCAGAGGTAGCGGGGCTCGATGTTCCTCTTCACCAGCGGCATGGTGAGGCGTCACACCGACAAACTGCAAACAAGCACATGCAATTTTAGAGATTGTTCATCTGGTTTAAGAGACCTGTCAGTGATGGGGAAACTCTAAGCCCAGATACTGGACTCACATCTGGTCTGTTGAGCATGAGGTTGGACACAAAGAGCTGAGAGAGCTGGGGGAGACGTACATTTGTGGCATTATACAGACAGAGATTACAGACTGTTTGTTTGGTTGAGATCAAATTTTTATGGTGGTATTAAAAGTAAATCTCTATCTATCAATCCTTTCACTGTATGTTTGTCCGCTTGACCTAATCTTAAAGCCTCACATTGAGTTTAACAATCACAGTTCGTAAAGTAACTTCAGACAAACAGATTTTTTTTTTTTATTCCAATGCAGCTAAAAAATTACAAAACGGTTGTTGTTTTGGACCGTTTTCAATCATGTGCTGTGAGGCGTTTCTATCTTTCAGCACACCCTATTTTTAAACAGCATGTTGTTAAAATGAAATAAGATTTGGCAAACTGTCGGCCAGAAAACTGACAGCGTTGACCAACCGCGTCCAAAAGCCAGAAGACTGGTGGCGACCAGCAGAGAGATTAAAGCATTAGAGATAGGAAGATACAGCATGCCAGCTAATCCCAGGCTGGTCTGTCAGTGGCCCAGCTGGAATCCTGACACAAACATGGATATGGTCGCACAAACATCAAAATACTCAGAAAACACCGAAGCACACTTGAAGTCAAACTGGAATTTGAATGCACAAAAAAAAGGCAAATACTTAAAGCCTCACAACTTGAACTCTGAACGCTCCCTGACCTCCCAATCTAAATTAAACCCTCATTAGCTTTGATCGACTTTGCTGGATCAAAAGCTGTACAGACAATCATTCAAAGCAGGAGAAATCCCAGGTTGCATCAGGGCAGCCATCTTATCTGGGCTTCTTCCTGCTTCCTGTTTTTTTGCGCTCTCAGCCTGGCCTCTGTTTCCCGGTCCTCCCTGTGTCTCATCTCACCTTCCTGTCCAAAACACTTGGATAGAACAATACAGCTTGAGAAGCAGGCATTAGCAGGACAGGGAGACAGATGGGAACTCGCGTGCGTCCTCTTTCAACTAAAACCTTCTCGTACTATTGTTTTAGATTCCACAACAAAGAAAAGGTTCACTCTTAATGACAGTTCCAGACTTTTTACCGTGCATCCATGCCAAAAAAAGAAAACCACTTCAGAAGTGAGCAGGCTGAATGGACACGGGAGCTCTGGCTGCGTGACAGAGGGCTAATAATAGCTGACAGGTACAAGAAATACAACTTAGACATTTTATTTGGTGGAACAACGACTTTTGAAAATCCTTGTTTACCCTCCCTCCTCAAAAAAAAGATTAACCAAACAGAAATGTAGAGCCCCTTTCCTGGGTTAACATCTTGACTGAGCAAGTCAAGCACTGCTGTGCTATCAGAGTCTCAGCAGGACACTACTGTAATTACAGATGGTGTCATTACAGCTGTCAAAGACAGAAAAGAGACACTTCTGTTCACAGAGGCCAAATCCCACCAGCCGAGTCCTTATCTGGCCCTGCTCTCTTTCCAAGCGACCCCCTGCAAATCCAAAACACTCATGCCAATAGGAGAAAACAAAAGGGTAAAATTTCACCATCATGTAAAGCCACAAAAGGTGCTGCGAACAATCAGTTCAATTAAGTCTTGGTTGGAGCAGATGAGGTTCTTGGATTTAGAGGCCCATGTAAACATTTATGTAACACTTCCCGTAGCAGAGGATTGGAAGGAGGCGGTGATGCAAATGAGAAGATTGCATGTTTTTGCTTTAACTGTCTGACTGGGATGACAATCACATCAATGAGGCGAAATAATGAGGCGAGCAGGAGGAGGAGGAGGAGGAGGAGGAGGGACAGGCCTCGTCTGCTTGTGAGAAATGAGGGGAAAGTAGAGGCAGAGAGGGGTGCAGGCATGAGAGAGACACCACGTGGGATAAGTGACAGAATAAAGACAGTGAATGAGGCAGAGTGTGCGTGAACCAGAGGAAAAGGTTGTGGGTAACATTAAGAGGTGAACAAAGTGTGTGTGTTTGTGAGGAAGAAAGAGTGTATGGGGTGGGGGAAGGGGTACAAACAGGGACCTCGGGGAAGCCACTGAAAGGTTCCTGGGACAATAGAGCTCCGTTCACACGGCAACAGCGCTAGCTCTCCCATGCATCCTCCCCCGCCTCCTCCTCCTCTTCGACCTTCTTTAAGGCCCCCTGTACTCTTGCAATGAAAGCGCATCGAGCAAGCACTCCTCCGTCATCCTCCTCTCACTTTGGGAAGACAGGGGCTAGAAAGGAAGAGTGAAGTCAACACACTGGCCTGACTAACCCACAACACTACATCACGGAGGAACGCATTAGTTCATGCTTCAAACAGATTCTCACTCCAGTGCCTCATTTGGTCATGTGTTTAATTTGCTGCGAACCAACAAGTACACTTGGGCTTTCAAGCCCACAACACACCAGGTAGCCACTCCAATATCCCATTAGCAGCATGTTTACAGTCCCATCAGTAGCAGCAAAAATGTCTTTGATCCTCAAAGGGGTGACATTCAGGCTGCGTTCAGGGTAAAATAAACTTCCCTGGTGACTCCTGCATGATGCCCACATCTCCACACCCACACACAAACAGAAATACACACACACACACACACACTAGCACACAGATGGAAGAAGCCTTCTTCACTGCTGAAGTGAGAACTCCATTAAGATTTGAAAGGAGAGTCATTACAAATTTATAAACCAAGTACAGCTTCTTGTGTTGTAGGCTGTTTTGCTTGTCTTCATGTTCTGAATTATGCAGTGTGGATTACGTCAGGTCACACTGCCCTAAATATGACGTAAAAATATTCCTGCTGTGACACGGTGCCTGTCAAGGAACCTCTCCTCATCCGGTTTGCTACAGCGGGGCACCCATCGTGAAAATTTCATGATGCTGTGCCTGTTAGGGTAGAGGTACTGAGTAGTGAATCTTTTATTGGTACCTCAGAGGCCAGGGAGCTTGGACATGACTTGAACCTTTTTTCATAACATGAATTTATGCTTTCAAAGATAGTGATCCTGAGCTTAAGGGTAACAACATCCTCCAAACAAGCAGATTTACACAAGTTATTGATCTTCAGGATACTGCTTTCTTAAAACTGTAGTGCAAACGTGACTGAAAGTGCCATGATGATACCTGTGGTAAAGCAAGTCAGTCTACATTTGTTCTTTATTTATGTATTACATATCTAGATTTTTTTTTGGTTGCTAATACATACACCTTATGAAATATAAGAATTTCTTATTTAAAGATTATCTTTTATATGTTTTAATACTATGAGTCAGTTTTCTCACTTACCTATAAATCTGGATAGCCTCCGATTTAAAGGTTTATAAGTAGGGCCTCGGTGAGTCGATTAAACCGGCCCGTTTGAGACTAATCGGTAATTGGCCAACAGTCGCTGATTTTCGCCGGTATTCTCAGAAATAAAATGCGAAGAAAAAGATTCGGTTTCACTTGGAAAATGCTCCGCCATTTGAAAAGTTCCCCAACTTATCCTGTAGATGGCGCAGTGACCCCATGACAATCTTGATCCATTAACTACCTCACAGAACAGTAGGGTGGCGGATCTAAGGCAGGCAGTTGCCAGGACGCACGGAGGAGAGTGGTCCGCCTCAATGGTAAATTTGTGAAATACACAATAAGTCAACAAGTTGTGCACTTGAGATTTGTTTTTAAATGTAAAGTGCGTTACAAATAAAATCTATTATTATTATTATTATTATTAACAAGTTTCAGTTCAACCCACTTCACAATGTTCCCCGCTGTGCTGGTCTCGGTCACGCTGAGTTAACGGTGAAGCACCATGTAATAAGCAAGCTAAAGTTAGAGTTAGCCACCTGCTATTAGCCTTGCTGCACTGTTAGCCGTGCCAGTAATCGCAGAATAAACAACTACACATTATGTGATCGAGCTACTTCTCTTACTGAGGCAGCTGCATGTCTCCAGATGAGACCGGACCGGAAATGAGTAACGTGAGTTAAGACGCTGAGGCACCGATATATATACGTGTTATAACTTCATAAAAAAATTTAAAAAATCGGGATTAATCGGTAATGGAATTCCCCCCCCTAATAATCGGTATCGGCATCGGCCCCAAAAACTCCATATCGGTCGGACCTTTTAATAAGTTGCTATGATTGCACCAACACTATAATTACTATCAACAAAATGACTCTTACTAGTATACCAGCATCATGATAAGACATCTGTTATTCATATTTCATAATTCAACACTTCATTTGGATTCAGGTTTGAGTGGATTTCATAACTATTACATGCAAGTAATGCCTTAGTTAATACAATTGCCCAATTTTCAGGATCGTGCCTCCCAATTTCGGCACTCACACTCCCTGTCTCTTTCCACACACACACGCGCGCGCACACACACACACACACACACACACACACACACACACACACACACACACACACACACACACACACACACAAACAGGCGTGAACTAATGGCAACCGCGATCAATCACTGTTCCGCACCGTCGCTTCCCGTTACTGACGGACTGACCCACATCTGTTCATCAACCTCGGTTCCCATGAATATCAGCCGATTTATCTCAAAGTAAACCAGCCGTATTTTGTCAATCTTACTACCAAATTGGCTGACGCGCCGGTATGCAACTATCATCAATTATCTCGTCAAAGTTACCTAGGTTTGAGGAAAATACCCACATTTTCAAGCATGTTTCGGTCACGGAGAGTTCGTCTATTATCCCCAACTAGGGTCCGCTCCAACTGACCACTTGGTTAGCTAGCTAGTGTCCAGTGGTCGAGTTTTTAGTTAGGAAAATTGAGAATAGTCATCATAATTATCCACGCAAATTACCCACTTTGATAAAATGTGTCCTCAGCCGTTATAAAAAGTAACACAAGGCCCTCACCAGTGAATGAAATATTAGAAGAAATCAGCCCGTCCGCATGTCCCGTTAGATACTCCTATTAGCTCTTCCATCCTGTGTCCCCCCAGCCCGTCTGGCCACTCCGGGGAAAAATCCTTTGAGGACGTGGACACGCCTATCTGGCTCATTAACCAATCAAATCTCTGAGTATGGGTTTTACTACATGACTGGCATTCATATGAGCCAATGGAGTTACGCATTGGAATGAGTGACAGGAGGATTCCCCATCTCCGGAGCAGCGCTGCTAATAGAGAGGCCGGGGCAATGGTTGGGCGTTGCTGGAGAGCTTAACAGGGTTTTTTAGCGTATCTGGGTCCTGGTCCTTATTAAAATTATTCAGGCTTTAAAATGAACTTGAGGCCCTTGGGGATTTTTCGGGACATGAATCCCCTCTCTAAAATAAAGAGTAGCAGAAAAAATTGGGAGAGAGGGAGGTTTTTGGGACTTAGCCACATGCTTGAGGCAGTGATGCTGAGAGTCAGAGCAGTGATAGTATTGTATAACAGACTGAAATAGCAGAACCAGCATCCTGCAGGAAGAGGTTCAATGAGAGGACTTGCTATACTTAGATCAGAGCTTTATTCTCTTAGGTTTGTTTATTGACAGTCTGAGTGAGATGACAGTCATCAAAGCAGGGACTGGGAACAGAGAGTAGACTGGGATTAATTCCCTGAAAAAAGGAAAGGGAGTTTTGTAAGTGGATATCCATGATCTATTCCAAGAACAGCGTTGAAAGCCACAACCTGTATTTGCTTTACAGCTGTCAGTTCAACATTCAATGTTAAACCACATATGTATTTAGCTTTAAAATATAGGGGAGCTAAAAAAGAAAAGGACTTGTCTGGCATACTACTTCGCAGCAGATATTTGACTTTTAGAGAAATACTGTTGTGCCATACATATTTGTGATTAAACCACAGCTGATCAATGGAGTGACTCAGCGATGTGTTCTGATTTGCAGCTGTTATATTTGATATGAACCAGTTTTGTTGGTTTTTGATAAAACTTCTTCTGACAGGACTTTTTTCTACATTTTTTTTATAGACATACGAGTGAAATTGTGAAATAATTGCCTTCTGTTGTTTTGTCAGTGTGTTTCTCTGGGTACATTTTTCATATAACATGTTATCTGATTCCCCATAATGCCTTTTCCCATAGTATTTATCAAATTAAAGGCAAAAAGATGCCCTAAAATCTGAAACCTTACCTTACAGCAAGATTTCAGCAACCCTGAGCGTTACTGAATTTGCAAAGGTGATTTTTATTTCTGGATTTTATTTACAAAGTGAATGCCCTGGGAGTTTGCCTGAATTCCTAAGAAACTGTAAGCAGCTTAACTTTGTGAAGCAGAAATGGTGAAAGGAAATAACAACAGCCTGATTAAAAGGTGAAAAAGGTGAAAAGCTGCTTGAGTGGTTGCACATACACGCTACAAATATATCAACGGTATCAACGTTTCCACCTTTATTGTCAGGATACTTGCTTCATGTAAAATATTTCAATACAATACAGTACAATGCATGTTCCATCTGCCATCCTCCATGCGATTGGTTGGTTTTGTCGTCATGTTTGTAAGGCTTGCTCACAGTGGCTGAGCACTCAGCCGGCACAGGCTGCTCCGCCTGTCTTGCCATGAAACAAAAAAAACATGAAAACGGATTAAATTATAAACTACTAAAATCTTTTTTTTTTTAACTCATCTTTTTTTTTTTTGTCCTTTATTAAAACCCTCAATACCACAGCTGCGGGGGCTCCACATCCTCCCAGCATGCTTCACAGCAGCTTAGTTCAGTCCTCAGCTGAGGCCCTCACAGGGCCACACACACTCACGCACAGACACACAAAATAAACAGACAGACAAACAGGAGGACAGTCGGACAAGGAATCTGTCAATGCTGGCAGTCACATAGCAGCTTTCAGTCTCTTCCAAGCTTTGACGGTAGGAGGGCTAGGGTGTAGGTGTGGGTGTGTAGACAAGTGACGAAGAAGAGGAGAGGGGATGACACGACAAACTGGCGTGTCCCCTCAAAACCAAGCCATCTTCTTTTGACTGGTTTGTTAAACAGACACAAGCTGGACTCAATATCTGGATCCATTCTTCTCATCCTCACTCCTGTCAGATTTTGCTCTGTAGCTGTGTTTTCTAATACTGGGGTAAGGGTGTGTTTATTGAAGTGTCATTACTCAGGCCTTATAGACTGCTGCAGAGAAGGTGCCCTCTGTTGGGTGGGGTTGGGTGGGGTTTGTAGCCTTTGACATCCCCACATCCCTCAGTACATTCGTTCAGGTGGGCATGGTGAGGGCTGTGTATGTGTGTATTTGTATGTGTGTGTTCAAATGTATGTATATGTGAGAGGGGTTTCTCAGTAGCGGTGGGTCTGGTGGGAGTACTGGGGTGGCTGTTGGGAGGTAGAGGAGTATCCCATGCTGCTTTGGGGCAGTGATGTGCTTGGTCCAGGGTTCTGGTAGGCAGCATGTGGATTGGAGCGCTGCAAAGAGGAAGAAAACAGGATATCTATTACACTTCGATGTTTAAGGTTAGGGTTGACAAGTTGACTGAAGGTTGTAACACCAAACATGCCAAGAAACATAAAGGACAGTAGAGTCATGCAACTGTCAATCAAACATTTGGAGAGGTGTAAGAAGAGACAGATCTACCTGGTAGTCTGAGGTCATGATGAGGCCACCTGAGGTAGTGGTGGGCGGGACAACTCGCACTTTCTTCAGAGGCGGACCCTGAGCATGGCTGTTGTCAGGGTTACCAGTGTGCCCCGCCCCATTTGTGTGGTTGTTTCCCTGTTGCTGTTGCTGGTTTTTCTAATGGTACACAACATAAAAAAGGCCTCCTTGAAATGTGAACATTTCACTGTGTGTGTGTGTGTGTAGTTTTACCAATGATGCTGCGCTTTACCTTTCTGTCTACCCAATCAGCCATGACACTACGACCACAAGGGAACATTTTGTCTTACAAATCAATATCCTAAATTAGGATGGGAACTGCTGCCACCAAACTGCTGCTTTAGCTGTATTTTTTTCAGCCTTCAGTGGTTCTTCTCAGTAAACTGGTGACTCAGCAGCATAGTCATAGCCTGACTAGTCAGGCCAGCATAGTCATAGGTGGCTGAGGTTCTTCAAATAGTGTCAAGAGTGAAGGCTGGGCAACAGGAGAATATTGGAGCTGAAATTTCTCTAAGAGTCAGTGCTGTTTCTGAGAGGAAGGTGTCAGAACACTCAGTGCACCACAGACTTTGCACATGGGGCTGTGTAGCTGCAGACCAGTCAGGGTGCCAAAGTGGACCCTACACTGTTGAAAGAGCCTTCAAAACAGGCATTCAAGCATCAGAAATGGACCACAGAGCAATGGAAAAAGGCAGCCTTTGTGGGATTTGCTGAACATCCAAGTCTGATTTACTAAGGCCTCACTTAACAGTTTACAGAACTTTAAAGATCTGCTGGTAATGTCTTCCAGATACACCAGCACACCTTCAGTGGACTAGCGTGGTATGTATCTTAACAGGTCAAGACTGTTGGGGGAGGCAACAGGACACAATATCAGGCAGATGATCTTTAGTTAATGGCTGATTGGTGGAGACAGATGGTATAAATGATCTATTGACTGCAGTGAGTCACACTGTTTTCATACTTTATCTGCCTTGTCCTCTGGTTCCTCCTCTGTTAAGAACTCCCTCTTTGGATAGGGAATCTGGCAGCCTGCAAACACACTGGAAAAAAAAGAAACATGCAAAGAGACTTGTCAACAAATTGATTCATGTGGCTTAAAGCTAAACAGTTACGGCAAGTATAATATGCTGGGTTAATGTCATGTTCTCATTATCTTAGCAATAGAACAACATGGACAAACTAGATTCAGGGCTTTGCGTGTTTGTGACGTGACCTACTCAGAGGTGGGCAGGGGCTCCTCCAAAAAGTAGGGGTCCTGCATGGCCTGCTCAGATGTGATTCTACGAATGGGGTCCATGGTGAGCAGCTTCTGCAGCTTTGATTCATATCACAAAAGGTTATTGGAAAAGGAGCGTGTTTTTCACAGGTTCACAATCTACCAGTGCTCCAATGTTTGTGAAAGAGTCGTATTATTTGCAAACAAACTTACCAAGTGGAATGCTTTGCTGTCTGGTTTGACTTTATGTTTTTCCATATATTTTATAAGGCTGCAGTTTGTGTATCTGTGATAGAGAGGAAGTAAATCATAATGATCTCATGCCTTCAGCTAATACACAGACAAGTATGAGTTGTTACGACACTCAAACATGTATTTTTTGCCAGCAGACAGCATTTTGCCTCCTGACTTTCTGATCTCGGAGAAAAACTGGGACACTGGTGCTCTGCAAACTCACGTGTTCCTTCTGAAGTCTTTCATCAGCGTGGAGTGTTCTGGCATCTTTTTGATGTCCTCCCAGTCTTTATCTGTCGAACGAGGAAAAGGCAGGATTACAAACACGTTACACCCTCCCTCCCTTCAAGAACAGATTATTTTGGTTGTTGGGTCTGGATTAGGATCTTTTTAAGCACCGATGCTCATGATTTTCCAGACAACAGCCTCTTGTCACAACAACAGCACATGGAGTTTTTGTTTTGACATCTGTTTCTTTATTGAAAAGCTAAAAAGACTTACCTGTTGGTGTGTTTAAAAAAATCAATCACGCGCAAGCCTTTTTATAAAAACACCATAACTTGAATTGCCAAACCCTGCAAAGGGATTTTAATGACTGTAAGGCTCAGTTCTCGAGGCAGAATCAAACTAAAATCCATCAGACAGGCTGGGGAATTACACAACCACAGCAGCAGAGAGGGTGGAAGGGGAGAAAACAATTCAGAAGCAGCTTAAGTGAACTGGAAAATATAGGCCCAAATGTAACACTGCACTGGAAAAGTTTCTGTTTGTGACTTGGCTTTGTCTATCGCGTCAGTGGATTGATGTCCTTAGACAACAAAACTGCACCGAAGAAAAGAGGAAGAGAATAAGCGGGAAATAATCAACCTTTTTTGGAAAACTCTTTTGATAGCATTTTCCACTCACAAGGCAACAGTGAGATATAATATTTTTTGCGTAAGTGCACTGTTTGAAAACTCTGTTTGCACAAAACACATCCTCTACTTATGCTGTGATTATGATTCACAGATTACTGCATTTAAGCTTCACATCAGTAACCCTCACCAGCAGGGAAGCCCATAACGTTAAAGATGCGATCCAATTGGTCGTGATGGTAAGGGTTACTGGTCTTGATATCTTCCTGGCGACAGTGGAATATTGGCTCAGATGTCAGCAGCTCTGCAAAGATGCAGCCAATCGCCCAAATGTCTGAAAGAAAAGTGGAAAAGCACATACCATTAAACTCAATTCGCATTAGTGGGTACAACCGTGTTTATGTTTTCAGGAATGAGAAGCTGCATTGACGGACAGCAGGTCTTACCGATGGCTTTGGTGTAGTGCCGAGCCCCAAGCAGTAGTTCAGGTGCTCTGTACCAGAAGGTGACCACCACAGGGTCGAGATCGGCTAAAGGCTTCAGCGGTGAATTGAAGAGTCGGGCAAAACCCATGTCAGCTGCAAAACAGACACTGTACTCAATACAATACCTTAAAACCTGAACAACTTCATTATGAAACATCCAGAAAAGAAGACATCATACGTACCAATCTTTACTCTACCCCTCTCCGGCCCTTCCCCCATCACTAAAATATTTGCTGGTTTCTGGGAATAAAAAAAGAGAAAACCTCAAATTGTAAACATTTACATATACATATATAATCCATAATATTTTACAAAAAAAGCAATAAATAAACAGATTTTATTGGTCAAGCTTAAAAGCTGAGGTCCTGCATACAGTGTAGGATCAAAATTCGTTCTTACCACCCTCTAGTGGCCAAATTACTCCACTACAAACCAGAGTGAGAAAGCCTACCATTTGAAATGCATGCTGACTGTGACTCAATTAATTTAGTGTTTCTATTGGAGAACTAAAATCTGTGAACAAACATCTCATTTTTTAAGTTCTCAGACTTATTTACATCACTAGAAAGTTTCCTGACTTCACGTTAACTACAAAGGATCTTTAACTGAAATTTAACTTTATAATAAGCTGTTACCAAAACAACTCTCACATTATTTTTTCTTGGAACAAGATGACAATGTAGACCTAAATTTACTTATAATAAAAATATAAATATGTGAAAGCGGGTACGAAAGAGCCACCTCTGAACACAAGCGGAGTGGCACAGCTTCACATGCCTTTCCCTGATTCTCTGCCCAGTAACAATCTTCCGATCTCTCATCAACTGCCGCCTTGTTTTCCCTTCTACCTAAATATTTTCTCCCTCCGGCTCCCTCCCTCTTGTCCTCTCCTCCCCTTTCCCTTCCCAATCCTCTTACAAGGTCTCTGTGGAGGACCCAGTTGGCGTGGAGGTAATGGATGCCATCCAGGATCTGGTAGAGCAGAGACTTGACCATTCCTCTGGGCAGCTGAAGTGGCTTCTTGTTGGCCTTGGAGGCTCTGTGGAACTTAATAATGTGCTACAGAGAGACAACATAATAGTAATTTTGGTTAGCATGGACAGTTTTGCCAAAATCCACCATTTTGTCCCTTTTTGGCATTTCTGTGGTAAAAAGAAAACCCAAAACACTAATACTACTATCAGAATGTGTAAGGTTGATGTTTGTAGCAGGTGTTTTCACTTCCTTGGTAGGGGAGTGTGACTTTTGCAGCTTTGGGGCAGGAATGGCATTTTTAACTCAGTTCTGATTACTTGCTAAAAGTAGTAAAATAAAGTTTTTAAAGTTAAATGATGAGTAAAACTGTGCATCTGTTTGTTTTAATGAGTATAATCAGCTCCATTTTCTGTATCTTTCCTTACAACTGGCAAGTTATGAAAGAGTGAATATGCATCAGCAGTGAGTAATTCTACTATCGTAAAGATCTGTGGTTCAGTCGCTTTAATTAAAAAAGTACATTACTTTAGTGCAGTGGTTCTCAAGTCCAGTCCTCGAGGCCCACTGTCCTGCATGTTTTGGATGTTTCCCTGCTCCAACACACCTGATTCAAATGATCAGCTCGTTATCAAGCTCTGTAATGGTTTAATAACGAGCCGATCATTTGAATCAGGTGTGTTGGAGCACTGGACTTGAGAACCACTGCTTTAGTGTACAAAAACAGCAAGAGCCTACAGAATATACAGTATTGTGTCATTTGTAGACTATGAGTATTAAGGAAATGAGTAAGAAAGTGAGGATTGGGAGTATGTATTTATATCTGCAGTTTTTAAATGTGTTGCTTGAAAAAAAAAAAAAGTCAAAAATTAATTCCATAAAGACAATATGGATCCTGGCTTATCCTGCCACAATATTGTAATGTGTTTTGATACATTGAGCTATATAGTTCCAGTGTCGGATGTATGTGTGTGTGTGTGTGTTTGTGTGTGCATTTTTTTACCCAGAGATCGTGCTCTGCGTAGTCAAATAGCAGCCATACTTTACGGTCTGCGTGTGACAGGAAAACCTTCTGCAGGGAGATAACGTTGGGGTGCTTCAGCTCCCGCAGCAGCTGCAAAATGCAAAACCCATTCTATGACAAAAATCTTGAATCGCAGTTTAAATACAAACAATCTCTGAAATGCTAAATGTACGACTGCAGATAAAGTCTTGATGAACACAAATAACAGATGTTTTTTTGTCTCCTTTGCTCTTGTGTTTTACACCTGGGGTTCACCTCACAAAAGCTACTTTGTACAGGCGATTCATCTATTACATAAACCACCAAGGAACGGCATGAGGGCTTTTAACAGACCAAACAAAAGGTGAAAGTAAGCCAAGCACTTCTTACTGCAATCTCTCTGCAGGCTGACATGGAGATGCCAGTGCCTTCAATCTGCTTGAGTGCGTAGTCCTTATCATCCTTCCTACAAACAGAAAGAGGCAGAGCAACATCAACACCAGAGCAGACTGTGAGCCCCCTGAGAGCCGTCTGCACCGGATCATAAAGGGGGGGGGCACTTGGCAGCTGGCACAGGGAGTCTGAGAAGAGGCCGAGTTGCATTACCTCCAGATTTGTGTAATCAAGCTCACCTCTGAGGCTCAAAACAATAGAAGAGGAAAGGAAACAGGCCCTGTCTGGCAGCTGGCGAGGGACAAACACAGTACAGAGACTGGCTCTCACTTGAATGAATCTGAAATAACCCCTACCACCCTTCCCCCTGGCCTACATCATCTCATAAACCCATGCTTTGTGCCTCCTCAGGCCTCATCCAACTGCTGCAGCACAAATTAGCCCAGAGTCTCATAAACAGCACCCTCTTAAAGTGAACAAAAACATCTTTAAACACTTTAGGGCTTCTTTGTGTGGATCCGGCTGCCAGTATGTCCCGGCTGTCATAATGGGCCTTGCATGGGCATGCTAGTCCAGAGTGGCTTTAGCTGATCTCAGCTCCCGTCCAGACTGTGGCATGGATCACATTGGAAAACAAAGGAAAAGGGGATCTAATGTGGGCGGCACCTTGGTGTACCACAGTGTCTATAATTGAGCTCCAGCTAGGGCACTTTGATGCAATCTTCCAATCTTGTCACTATTAATCAAAAGCGAGCCTACAAAATAATATTTTAAATTCAGAGTAGGGGAATAAGAGGAGACAGATTAGATAGAAAAATCTAAGTTTGACCACATGATGGTGGTTTTAAAAATCAGTCTAGCTATATATTACTTTCTTAAAACTCTGGAAGCATTTAAATATCTTTCAGTGTGCTAAAACTGTGCACAACATTGACAGTTTTACACATGAACTTCAAGACTTCAAATGTGAGATGGTGCAGAGACATTTACCTTGAGCATCATAAAGGTAACCCCCATCCCCTAATTGTGAGATGCTTGCCCATGCACCTGCAGCATCCTGTAATTCCCTTTAAATGCGTTATGGTTCCCTCAATATCTAAAAGTCATCTCCTGGACAACAAAACAAGGAGGAGTTATTTTTGTAATTATTTCTAACAAGCAAAACCAGGACGGTGAGCTGCAGCTATATTGGTAAGCTGTATGTCAAAGTCTGGGCTATTTCTACACATTACTCTGTTATTTCTCTGCATACACACGATTAATTCAGCCTTGGTATGGGGGGAAAAAAGCAATGCAGAAATTGAGATGTATGCAGAGGAGGGAGGGGGTTGGTGAAGGGTTCACAGGCTGGAGGCCTTGGTCATTTTCTACTCACCCATCTTTTCTCTTCGCCTTGTATACATGGCCGTAGGTGCCTCTACCCACTTTGCATCCTTCGTACTCAAACAGGTCCTCGACACGCTCTCTTTCGCCGGTCAGCTTCACTTTGAAATCATAGTCCATTTTCACCTCTGTTTGGCCCAGATGTATCCGCTCCTTCCTTTTTTAAAGCGTCGCTTGGGAGGCAACCAGGCTTACCCCAACGAGCTCGGTTTGGCGATTCAAGCTAGTTGCCTTCCCCCAGCGTGACCCTTTTCTCCCTTCAGCCCAGTTTCCACATCGAGTTTCGGGTCAAATTGTTTGTACCGGGGGAGGTGCGCGGCGCTCGGATACGGTCCAGCTGGAAAACGAGCCCGTAAATGATCCCTTTCTCTTGTTGCTGCGTTTCTCTCAGCCGGTATCTGCTCCAAAGAGACGCACTTCACTCGGTAACGACGACGTATTCGCGCACGGCATTGTCGTAAAACGTCGTGAAGACATACCCGCAGCAGAGAAAGAGCTAAAGAAAATGGATAGACAGATTACACCACGTGGATTTAGCCGAACAACAACTAGTCGGTGAAAAATATTATTACAGCAATAATGAAAGAGGAATTATCGCGTATTGTCGCGTATTCCTATTAAACAGCGTTTATGCAAAAGGGAATCTCTAAAAAATCGCACATATTGCCCATAAATCGACCATAATCACACATTTACCTATTAATGTTATCACCAGAATGTTAAGATATTGTTTTATAATGCATTATAAAAAGTTTTTTATTATTATTTATTGTATTTATTTACATATTCAACAATTTACAAAACTCTAAATGGGAGACAAGTGCACTTCAGATGTACATCTTACTACACAATTTACAGCAAGGCCTGCCTTTGGAATTCATACAAACAGCAAATGTAAATATTAGATAATTAATAATACATTGAGTTACAACAGTACATATTCAGAGACATCATCACATAGGTTTTCTAGCTCTAGACTAGAGTCTTTAATCAGTGACAAGGAAGCAAAATAAGTTTAAAGTTCTGTTTTAAACAATGCAACAATGGATTTTTATTTTGCCATTTACTTTTGTGGATGTGTTATTTACCCATAATTTTCATTATATTGCAAATTTTAAAAAATTAGTTTGGCATGTTGTCATTTCCATACATCACTTGTTCCAATTTCAAGTGTGCAACTTTATCCATTTTAATTTTCAACCAGTTTACTAAATCATGCCAAAAGTTCTTAATTATGCTGCATGAGAAAAAAGATGTTCAATTGTTTCCTCTTCTTGCGAGCAGAAAACACATGGCTCCACCTCGAAACCAAACCTCTTTTTTAGGGTTGTTGCTGAAGGATAGTAACCATTGATTATTTTAAACTGCATTTCCTTGATTTTAGGGGAAATTGGCAATTTCATAAATTTTACCCATTTATTGGTTATTTTTTCATCACTATTATACATTTTTACATTTCTATCAAAGTTATGAAATAGTTGATCTTTGAATAATTTATTATTCAAACCTATTTAGCAATAGGTATTGCTTTGCAAACCTTTTGGTACTCTCTCTTTGAACTTTTAATGTTATATTTGGTTTTGAACTCAGGGAAGCTAAGAATCTGGCCGTGACCATTTAGTATGTCTGTGATAAAAACGATATCTTTTTCATACCAACTTTGAATGAATAAAACATTTTAAAAAGTTGGGTAGTAGCAAGTGACAGTCATGAGAGACGTTTCAATTTCCTATGGGGCAAAACAAAAGCTGAATATTAAAATTTACCAAATATCAAATAAAAGATAATTATACTGAATAAGTTTTTATAAGGAATCCAGGTTTTTAATTTAATTTTTTTAATGCGTATAATGCACCTTTTTTGTTCAGTTTCTCTGTGTTTTCTTTGCAAACCTCTAAATCGACCTTGTCTCAGCTATGTCGATATGTTGGAAAAGTACAGTTATTTTTTTATGGAGTAGTATTCAATGATATAGTGCTATATTTAAAAAAAAGTGTAATAAAGCTCTCTACCAGCCATGCAAAGATATATTAGGTAGAATAGGTCAGGAAAAAGATAAGACAGCCAGTTGGATACTAACAAAGATGCCAAGACAACTACACATATATTCTCATCTTTTCCCCTTTTTTTGGCATGAGCTGCACTTCCTAATTGTTTACTACTACTTGTCACTACTTTCTTTATGAGGTGTACACAAAGGCTATTAATGCATAGGTTTCAGACATGAGTCCATCATATTGGGTTGGTAAAGACCTGAAATTATATTGTTTGGGAAAAGTAACAATACCTTCCAGCATAACTGCTATAAGAGTATATTCACTTTTTTTTATCATTTTTATTTTATATTTATTGAATTATAAACAAACAAACAAGGCACTTATTTATCATAAAATAAAATTATAAAATATCTGCCTTAGATTGAGCATGAATAACATCAAAAGAGAGGAAAAAAACACAATTTCAATGTTAGAGGCCATTCTATATCAATTCGAACATTTCTAGTAAAGAAAATAGGCGTAGGGCTTTCTTGTCTGTAACAAGTTTTAAGGATTTACAAAAAAGTGGCTGCTCATTCTTCCAGCGAGGTCGGCTTGGTCTTGTTTAAAAATATCAACACTCTGAATGAAGAACTTCCCCGAAAGCAACAAAGCACTTAGAACAAAATCCAAGATCCTGTCTTCATTAAAAACACCAAACAAAATAGTTTCTGCTGACAAAGGGAGGAGTATATTCACTTTTATGAGAACACTCTTGGCACTTGTGTGCACACGTTCAACATAATTTGTGTATCATAGGAACTACTGCAACGAGAGACTTTGTTTTCACACGGACGATGTGATGTAACACTGTTGGTCCCATCTTGGTTTGAGAGTGAAGGGAGAGCGGAGCAAACGTCCATATTAGCGCTGCTTTGTCAGGTACTACATTTCTTTTGTCACTGTCATCTCTTGTAGAAATATGTTGGGATTGCATCTTGTGTTGCGTATACTTTGTCTGCTTTCTTAAACTGTAAATCGTGTTGTAATCTGTAGAGTTATTCAGCCTTACGGGTCGTGGGTGATTCAGCTAAGCGAGCTAACTCCACTGTCGACGGACTCGCTAACGTTACAGTTTGCTAGTCCTCGGTGTTGCGCATACAGCCGGCCCTTTTTTATCCTTGAAAGGTCTGTGAACCTCATTTTTTGCTGGAACAGCCAAGCAAAGGATCTCTGCCGCCAAATCAACTCTCAAATCTGTAATTACAGTTTGTCTCAAAGCTAAAGATTCTTTGTCTTTCGTTCTTCGCCCTGCGTTTACATGGAGTAGACCTCCGTTTAGCCTATCGTGGCCCGCCTTTGTTGTGCAGTGATTGGATACTTGGTGCGTCCGTCATACAAAGTAGGCCCGTGATTGGTTGTCAACCGGGATGACAACGCCAGTTTTGTTGCCTTATATCCCTGCCTTCAACATGGCCTTCCTTAGCTCCTCTAGTATCTTGGCTAACATTATTTAGCACATTAAGATGTCTGCTGGTTGTTCATCACTATGAAGACTGCGAGCATGTATTGGGGTTCAAATACGCTAAAAGTCTCCGGGCTAAACGGTAGCTGTAACGCTAGCTCTTTCAGTCTCTTGCTGGTTCAGTCTTTGGATAGAAAATGGACGGCCCAGTCTTTACTGCCGTCCTTGGCTGCAGGGTAGAAATTACATGCGTGTAGTTATTAACATATCTACCTGACACTTATTATTTTTTTAACGGAGGTTCCTCCATAAATCAGTAAGTGTAAGTATGCAGATCAGCCAAACATCTTCCAAAGGAGACCACAATAATGAGACTATTTTGTTTTGGACATCATTTTTTGGTGGGGTACAGCATTATGAGAGACCTTATTTACCTATTTCTGAATTGTTAAAGTAAAGCTGATTGTAGGTATCTTCATCTAATGTTTTACCTCTAAATTACACCATTACACATCTATTTGCCAGCACTTTTTATGGTGATGGACCCTCCTGGTGGGGGAGATGAGCGGCGGAGACAGGCAGAACGTCTTCGAAGGGAGGAGGCATATTATCACTTCATTAATGAACTGAGTGAGGAAGAGTATCGCTTAATGAGAGACGGCAACCTGCTCGGCACTCCCGGTAAGAGGGCAAATCTCTTCAGTCTCATACACATTGTAGATTTACACAGTCTGTTGTCTGTGTAGGAGCGGCATTAATTCTTTTTCACTGCTGGTGCTCCATGTTTCACAGGGGAGGTGACTGCTGAAGAGCTCAGGCAGCGTCTAGATGGCGCAAAGGAGCGCATGTCATCTCAGCCCCGCACTGAGCAGCGTTCACAGACAGCTGATTCCGGAGAACAGCAGGGCAGCAGTGCTGAGGGAGAGGAAAGAGGGAATGGAGGAAGACGAGTGGCAGGTAGGAGGGAGGGAAAGGGACTTTGTTCTGAGGATCCTTTTCTGATCTTTGTAAGTTTGGTTTGTGATATAGTCTTTAGTCTCCTCATTTACTGTTCAGAGAGGATGGATTGAAACGTACCACTTACTGTACAATGTAAAGGTTTTTCATATATAGCTCCTTAAGGGACACAATGCTCCGCCCGAAGTGTGTGACGGAGAGATATCGCAAGTCACTCCTTCCTGCAGCTGTCAGACTACACAACAGAAACCTCAGTGTGCGATAAATCATATTTATTTGTACACATGTATATCATAAATAAGACTCACATCTTTTGTAACTCAAAGTTATCTTGTCCTTTAATTTCTCTTTTTGTACTTGTATTTATGCTGCTGTAATTTTGAATTTCCCCCTGTGGGACTAATGAAGGAATATATTATCTTATGTTATCAAAGGTATCCATTAGCCAAAAGCTAAAACTTTTGGTACTGTAAAGGGCTTGCTCCTTGTGGGGATTTCACTGTACAGGAGAAGTCAAAGAAAATATAAATGTTAGCTAACGTCGTTCTAAATTATTTTTTTCCATAGGGGGCACAGAGCCTGGAGCAGAAACTTCAAATGGTGATTCATTACTGGAGTGGCTTAACACTTTCAGACGTACGGGTAATGCGACTCGCAGTGGACAGAGCGGAAACCAGACATGGCGTGCTGTTAGCAGGACCAACCCCAACAGTGGAGAATTCCGCTTCAGCCTGGAGATCAACATCAACCATGATCAGCCAGAACCAGGGGAACATAACGACCCTGCGGACACTGCAGAGCTTCTGGTGCCTGGCCAAACCACGTCCTCACCTTCAACACGCACAGCCTCCTCTTTCTCCACTCCTCGTCCTTCGACTACACCGAGACCAGCCCCATACCCAACCCCACGGCCAGCCCTCAATAGGAGGATGCAGACACGGCGCACACGCAGCAGCACTACCACTCTTTCCATGAATCCTCCTTCACTTCCTGTACCAGTTGCCCCTGCTGCTGCTCAGAGGAGAGGTGGGACTTTGCACTCTTTGGCAGCACCTCTTACTGTTACCAATCCCACTCTTGATCAAGCTACAGCGGTGCACCATCAAGCTCAGAATATAGAAGTAGGGCAGGGTCATGATGATACATCTGCCTCTATAGACTGTCCTCGTGTGTCCCCTCAGTCTGCGTCTCAGGCGGTGGAACACGAACAACGTGCTAGTAGGACTCGATCACGTGGGCGTGCACGCAGGGCTGCAACAGGGGCTGGGGTTTCACCTCGCCTATCAAGGCGAAGCCGTTCCCCATTGCACAGAATACCCCTTACCAGTACTGCTCCACCGTCAAGCAGTAGTACCAGTGGCTCTAGCATGAACACTGTTGAGCCAGGTAGTGGCACAGGCTCCGTTTCTGTGGAAACTGGAGAGGCTATAGCAGAACCCGCAGCTCAAACCGAGCCAGTTGCAGAGACAGGAGAACGTGAGAGTGAATCACACGGAGTAGGAGCGGGAAGTTCAGGTGTGCGCCGGCACCCAACCATTATGCTGGACCTGCAGGTTAGAAGGATTCGGCCTGGTGAAAATCGCGATAGGGACAGCATTGCCAGCAGAACACGCTCTCGTGCGCGTGTTGCTGAGAATACTGTCACATTTGAAAGTGACAGTGGTGGATTTAGACGCACCATCTCCCGCTCTGAGCGAGCAGGGATCCGCACCTACGTGAGCACTATTCGGATTCCACTAAGGCGCATCAGTGAGACAGGCCTGGGGGAGCCCAACTCCACTGCCCTGCGTTCTATCTTACGCCAGATCATGACTGGATTTGGGGAGCTGAGCTCTCTAATGGAGACTGAAGCTGACTCTGAGACTGTCGCTCCTAGCCACACAGATGTTGATGGAATAAATAGTAACACCAACCCAGCCAGTCGCCTGCATACAAGTGAGAATGCAGCTAGCCAGGTTGGTACCGGGGGGCCAGACCAGGAGAGGTCCCGAGGGGTGGGAAATGAGGGGGACCAGAGTGGGCAGGCTAGACTCGGAGGTGGGATAGTGAGCACAACTGAGGGCCGGGCCACCAGCAGAGACACCAACAACTTGGTAGAGAATGGTACTCTACCCATCCTGCGGCTCGCACACTTCTTCTTGCTCAATGATGAGGAGGATGATGAGCACCCCAGGGGCCTGACCAAAGAGCAGATTGACAATCTATCCACTCGTACCTATGGTCAGGCCAGCCTAGAGGGGGAGATGGGTCGTGCATGCAGTGTCTGTATCAATGAGTATGCCCAAGGCAACAAGCTGCGCCGCCTGCCCTGCTCTCATGAGTTTCACATCCACTGCATCGATCGCTGGCTCTCTGAAAACAACACTTGCCCCATCTGCAGGCAGCCAATACTGGCTGTGCATCAAGACTGACCTGTTTGCTCCAAAACACATCTAACATGTTCCTGGCTGGCTGAACTGAGCAGACCCATGTGGGATTTGCATGTACATAGCGCTTTCATAGTTAAATTTCTTTTAAAATATCTGTAGTGTTGAAGTTAAGGAAGACTGAACCAAAAGTGTGGAAAAATGAAACTATAAATGCAGAGAATTAACAAAACTTTATTTTTTTAGACTCTTTGTTTTCAGCAAGTTAATGTTTTATTTCCTCTTCCTGAAACCTATTTCACTGGTCTCCGTCACGAAGCCTCAAAGGCGCTTGACAAAAGATGGCATAAATGCTTGAGGAGCTCCTGTAGTCGCTGCTGACTTGTCTCATGCTTTGACGTCCGTTACCTGTGATTTCTCTTTGTCACAACTGGACAACACACATCCCTTGTAGACTTGATTTACTATGCCTAAGCTGTAAATAACTCTTCACTGCTTGTAATTTAGGATTTTGAACCAAGACGCTCCTCAGATGCAATTTGCCTAGGATGGAAGCAGAACACTTTCATTTCTTTTATTCCCTATTTTAAAGCTTTGACATCCATTTAAAAGTGTCCCTTAAAATTTGCTATGAAAGATTTGATTTATTGGGATGTTTATGAGCTACATGTTTAATTTTGGAATCCAAGTTTTTTTCTCTACATGTATCACCGTTTGTTTATCGAGCCCACATCGTACACTTGTCATATATGTTTGCAAAACAGAATTTATAGGTGAGACCCATCAATTAAAACCAGTCACTTTAAGTAATTTACCATATTCGTGTCACTATTCAGAAGAAATGCTGAAGGCATGTGAAAGTCAGGAATTCAGAGTTGTAATTTAGTCAGAGTTGTGCAATACAGAGAGAAGAAACAGTATTGTTTGTTTTACTGTTCATTGTTGTTTACATTGTAATGCCTGATTATCATCTCCACTTAAAAAACAAAGCATTGTTTACCCTGAAATCCACTTTGTTCTTGTCACTTTTTCTTATCCATACTAGCCAGACGCTCTGGGACGTGTTGCACAAAGTTGCATTGTTTAGTTAGCCTGTTATATCTGCCCGGCAAAGACCTGGAACTAGGGATGAAATATGTTTTCTGGTTTTGTGGGTGTCAGCCAACTCTGAGTTCTGTCATCAGAGAGGTGCTGCAGCCATTTCTTCTTTCATCGAGAACCTCTCTTTTTAATTCAGTCTGTCAGTGCTATGGTTGCGGTGTGTTTCAGTTCCAGTACCGGTCCTGAATGAGACAGTGTTAGTAGTATTACAGTCCTGTTTGCGCTGTCTGGTTGTTTTTACATAACATGCACAGATATTGGTATTTATAGCGTAGCATAGGTTGACCATCGAGCTCAACCACTGTCCGTGTGTTCCCACAAGGGTCACTTAGTGCATCAACAGCAGTGCACAGGAGCCACATTTTTGCAGATAACATGTCACAAATGCAACTGCAGGAATAATGCAGTATATGTCAGAATGTGTGAGATTGGACTAAACCTTTTTTTGGGGGGTTGGGGGTGTATTTGTGTGTGCATGTGAGATCGCGAGGGTGCTAGAGGAATGGCCAAGCCTCCCAGAACCTGGTCTTCAAACAGCTTGTGTTTTGCTGATGTCCGCCTTTGACACCTGAAGAGGGTTGTGGCCACTCAGTTCAGAGGTGAATATTTATTCTGTTCCTATTTAATAAGATGGAAATCAACTTTTGAAATATGACTATGTAAAATGTTACAATGTGATGAGTAAATGAAACCGTTAAGATAAATATGTTACTATGTAATAAAATGAAGATATGGGTTTTCCTCTCTGCTCCTTAACAATGGAATAAAACGCAGCTTTGTTATGCCTGGAACTTTTGTATTTATGGTTACATAACAGACTATGCAGTCAATGATGTATAACACTACAGTGTGCGCAAGCTCCATCGCCCGGATCCTCATGAAAGGAACAGCACCAATGACGACAAGCAAGTGTCCTAATAAACCATAATCAAATTAAGTTTCTTATTCAAACAACCCCATTATGAAAAATGTAGAAATAGATGAATTATTCCGTATAATTATACTATTCTGTCACTACCTGTGAATAAGGAAAATGCTTTAATTCTTTCCATAAAGTAACTGAATGAATTTGGATATGTTACTGCCTCCCCTCATCACATGGCTCCTTTTTAAACAGTTAATCCCCATTTGAATTTTAATAAACATTTTCATTAATAAATTGTAATTTTGTTATTTCGATGGATACTGTTTTGATAACGAAAAGTCACTGTCTCAGTGTTAGATGTTAAGAAAAACTACTGCACAATAATTTAAATCTTGGATCTCGAAATCTTATGCGTCAAAAGAGTGGCACGAGCACGCAATTTACAGCACCAACTAATGCGCGCTCCCGTAACCCAACTGAGCGAGCCTCGGACTGCGTGAAGTCAAAATGGACAGAAGCAGAATATTGACAGTTCCCCTTCAAAATAAAGTTCCTGGAAAAACATTTTAGAGAAACTAGTTCCATACCTGATGAATAATTACACTGTATCTCATATTTGAGCGTAAAAGAATTTCCTGAATATCTATATTAAAATATTCTAATAAGTTGATAATATTGACTATATGAAATCGATAAGAATACCTACATTGTCACTATTTGTGTTGTGTTGTTATAGTGTAAATATTGTATATTATCTCTATATTCTTACTTTTTTTAAAACTTATTTTATCTATTTATCTGGTCGTTCCAAAGTCGAGGCTCAAAACTAAAGGTGATAGAGCTTTCTCCATCAGAGCTCCTCGACTTTGGAACGACCTGCCAGAGGAGATAAGGTGTGCAGAGACAATCACTCTACAGACTCGCTTTTATGTGATGCCATCTTTTCCCGTTTTTTTTTTTTTTCATTTTTTCCTTTATCTTTTATCCCTTTTACATCTTTTTTATTTTGACTTACTATCCTTTTAGCCTTCATTTTACTTATAATCTTTTCTTATTTTACCTTTTAGGCCATTTATTGATTTTATTGTTTTTTCCTGCTCATTTTTATCATTCCATTTATCATTAATATTACCATGATTATTATTTTATTATGATTTTATTATCATTATTAATATCATCTTTTCAAATTTACTATCCTGTTTCCTGCTTCCTTTCCCCCTTTTTCTATTTCATTTCTTCTTCTTACCTATTTTATATTTTTATTTTGGTCTCATGGTCTCATTTTGTGTTGTAGGGTTCTTGTATTGTCTGGGTTTCTTATGTCAAATGAAACTGGCCTTCAATTCGGAGGCCTTGTTTTGAACTGAGCTTTTGTTTTTCATTTGTTTTTATTTCCATGTGCTGATGTTCTGTGCTTTGCAGCTGTTTGTCAAAGCACTTTGTAAACTTCTGATTGTCCACCTCAGGCCCTGAGCTCCTTCTTCTCTTGGATTCTTCTGGACTGTATTATTATTATTATTATTATTATTAGTAGTAGTAGTAGTAGTATTATTATTGTTGTTGTTGTTATTGTTGTTGTTATGGTTCTTCTTCTTATTATTTTCATTATTGTTTTATTATTGTTATTATTGTTGTAGTTTTTATAATAATAATAATAATAATAATAACAATAATATTATTATTAATAATAATAATAATAATAATAATAATAATAATTATTATTATTATATCTATTATTTATCTCCTATTTTACTGTATTTGAACTGGAGTACTGTAACAAAAGCAATTTCCCCCTGAGGATTATTTAAGTATTTCTCATTCTGAATGACCAAACAGACCCACTTTATTTTGAAATCCGACCGGAAGCCGTCCGATGTTATCTCGGTAAATTCGAAGCTGACAGCCTCTTTGCTCCTCTACATTACCAAAACGGTCCGGCCAAAGAAAAATGAACCCCGAGCCGCAGCAGCAGGAGCAGGAGCAGCAGCCGAATCCGTGGCCGCAGTCTGGTCCCGGAGCAGCATTCCCCCGCTCTGTCGGTGAGCGATGAGCATGCCACCGCTCCAGCCTCGTCGTCCCAGCCTCACCGACGCTCGTTCGCCACCAGCAAGATGTATTTTAACCGGAGAGCCAAGAAGATACACAGCGAGGGAGGTTAGCCTTTTCAGACACTCTTATTTAATCGTTTCTCAATCGCTGATTTATTCATGACCTGTCACTGAAAAATCGTGTTTATCCATGTGTTCATCAAGGCCGCTTTATCCCCCCCATGGAGACTGTAGCGGCCTGTGTATGATAGTGCGTATTTGATATGTGCTTGGCATAATAACGGGGATCCGTATTGTCACTGCGGCATGCATGTGGGGTGACTTGACGTGCCGGTGTTTATCCCCTAGCCTCGCTCGTTTTTTGGCACCGGTAGGGTATGCAAGGACAAGCAGACTGCAGGTGCCAGTTGGAGGCAGCGCCGCCTGTCCTCTGTTTGTGTACACATGAACATCAAGTTAAAATGACATATTGATTCATGATAGGACAAATGTTGTGACTCTGAATGGAGTGGACTGTGTATCATTCGGTATTGTATAATATTGATATATATATAATATATATATATATAATATTTAAAACCTTCTTGAAGGATGACATGTGAGCAACTCTACATATATGTAGTTTCATCTCTAAGTTTTGTAAGTTATTTGTTATTGTAAATATCTGACCCAAGCCCCCATATATCGGTCGAGAAACGGAACAGCCTATTACCTGGACGACTTAAAAACCACGTGACCGTCTACAGCTTCACTACACTTAATTATGAGCCTGTCAAGAAAAGTATATTCTTAAGTCCCATCTGTATCTAGAGTCTGTAATTCCATCTAAGCATTATTTCTTAACCTATATTTGTTAAGTCTTTAAATTCAATAAACTCTCATATAGTGAGAGCATGAATGCCATTTAGGGAGCTGGAGAGAGGATGAGGGCGTTACAACATGATGCTGCATTGGATGATTTCACCCTGACATGACATAGGAGTAGATTGTACCGGAAGAGAGTAGCATGTGTTTGGCCCATCTAGTGGTATTTGATAGTGACTGCCACATACTGTTGAGCTGCTTTGCTGTTGTGTGTGAATGTTTGTGGTTGCGCGCCTCATGCAGCTTCCAGAAATAGAAAGCAGGGCAAACTGTGAGCAGAGATGAGCGCCAACTGGGCTGCGTTGTCTTTAGGCTTGTGCTTCCCGGCTATTTGTTTGTTGTTAAAGTAATTCTGATGTAGAATTTTCAACTCTGAGGCAGCACATTTATCCCTGAACATTTAAAAGTTGAAGGGGTTTAACTATGATTTAAGAATGTAGAATAAATACAAAGAAGTGCATAGCTCTATCATGTATCCATGTCTTTTGTTGAGACACTACTCTTGAGACACTGACTTAGCCATGTGGCAAAGCTTCAATTATGAGCTTCAGTAGTTATCCTCTTGTGGGGCTTGCTGGAACTTTAGTGGACACTTTGGTGCTTCATGGGGTTTAAAAGTTATAACAGTGTTTGCTATTGTTGTATTTAAAGCATATAGGGGTTGTGAAGCTGTACTATAGTGTGGGAGTCCGTCAGTGTGTACATGTGTGTTCCCGTCGGGCTTCTTCATGTTGCCTTTGCTGTAATCTCTTGGAGCTTGACCTCTTGATTCTTTGCTCCAATTAGTGGGCTGCAACATCCCTGGATGACGTCTGCAGCTGACAATCTGTCACATTCACTCACATACTCCCAGACACATTCATGCACACAATTATTAGTTTCTTATTTTTGATGTCAAGTACGGAGTGATTCAGACTCTTACAAACATTCACGTCCTTTTCAGGTTTCTTAATGCAACTTCTTACACTTGAAAGCACAGATAGGATGAGAAAAATATCCTTAGGGCTCAAGCGAAGACATAAGTGAGTTGGAAGGTTGTCTTGAATTTCACACAAGGTTTACATTTTAGTATGTGGACACTTCTTATTTGAGGAGTTCAGTGTGTCTGCTGTCATATAGCTGAATGTCAAGAATACATCTGTTTTTGGGAGATAATGACCGCTCCTCATGGCTGCCTAGCGACTAAAGATGCTTTTATGGAGATAGCAAGAGGCCTGATAAATAGCAGCAACAAAGCACTTACATAGGCTGAACATAGGGGGGCGCTCCGGGGCAAGCAACAAACTCCATCTCTGTGTGCAGCTCTCTGGGTGTACATTTTCATTTGTAGGCATGACTGTCAACTCACTGATGATGTTTCCAGTTTCAGGCACATTCAAACACATTTACAGTTCAAATTATTGACACATAGATGTGTTGTGTGCCGTATGTGTTTATTGACTTGTTGTCTTGTGTGTGTTGTTTTCTCTTGCCCGGCCCCTCTGGTGCCCACAGAGCAGTTAGTGTTGACCACCATTAGGCAGGAGGCTTCTGAACTGCAGGACCCAGGCCAGGGCGCCAGCGCTACCATGCGTGCCTGCCTCACAGACAGGTTTGACAAAAGTGAGTTTGCTCGAATTAGACTGGATTGACGCCCCATTTGTGTACAGAGTCCTGAGGTGCATGTGGCCATGCGCAGCAGCTAGAAGCAGGTGTCTCCCAACCCCTGGCCCTCAAGAGCTACAATGTTTAGTTTCTTACAAGAGAGAGTCTCTGGTTCTTGTCAGAAAAAGGTGAAGACATGATCTCCCTGCTGTGGACCCTGAAAAATGTCACCTGTAGCTCCTTGGGGCCTGGAGTCGTGAATGCTAAACAGGATTTAACCCTCTCACTGCATGTGCTTGTAGAAAGCAGGATGATGACCTGTGTAAGACCATGCTGAAGAAGGCAGACAGATAATGCATCAGGGTCAGATTTTCAATATGTAAACATTTGCATGCTTCAGAACACACCACATGCATGTTTGGACATGGCATGCTTTACAAAGCATGCACATGGTCACTTCTGCATGCATGTATGAGACATAAGTGGTGAGCTGGATTTACATAAGGAGGGTTTGAACATACATGGCATCTGTTTTATTCTCTGACACTCAAATGCCAATGTGATACCTGTTGTACTGCTGTATTCCAGATTGCGAGTTGTATAAACATAGTGAACCTGGCAAACTGTTTAGGTTTCACCACCTGATAAAGGACACTGAAAATCCAAAGGGACACTCTGCCACATTTCAAGTTAGAATTGCATATTTGTTCGTTACCGCCAGCAACAGCTCACTTAAAATTCAACCACCCCCTACTGGCTACTAGAGTCATATTCTGCCATACGATAAAAAGGAAAGTCCTAAAGTCCAGGTAATGATACTCTTAGCTAAGAGTTTCTGCTTTTCCTGTTTTCTGATGTTTTAATGATGTTCCAAATTGTTAGCTTAACCTATCTAGTTTGAAAGCTACCAACCTTACACTATGATGGCTAATAGGAATGGTAGCTTGGAAGTTTTCTACTGAATTATGTAAGAGACTTGAAAATTGGCCTCCAGTCTCTTCATATTTACCCACTGATCGTGGCAATAGCTGATGATTAATCTGGAAGCAGTATGACGAGTAGTTCTTTTTTTTTCTACACTGACGCAAGTTGCAACCTGGAAAGGCAGGAAAAGATGAGGTTGTTTGCTCCCCCATCCCAAGCATGATGTCTGAGGAAAGTAGCTGCCATGGGAAAAAGGCTAAAAGGAGTAGCTGCATGTTGGGGCCTTGCATCTTTTCAAACATCAAGGATTATAGTCATGTGTGAGAGAGAGCGTCCATAATGCATTGTCAATGTGTATGAGTGATCAAGCAGATAGAGTTATTAGATGGTCAATGTGTCTGTATGTGTGTGTGGCCGCCTGTGTAATACATACATGAGTTATGTGCGTTTGTGCGTCCATTGCAGTCTCACCTGTAGGATTACCCGGTTATGGATTAGAGCAGGTGAAGTTGCAGAGCAGACACAGAGGGGATTATCATGCTTGCTCTCTCGGCTCGTAAGAGGCTTTCTAGCCTTCCTTCGTTCTGTGTTACAGTGGCACATGGGCCAATTTGGAGCACATGAGACTCGGTCTAAGACCTGAGAATAGGGCCTGCGGGTCACCAAGGAGACCGGTACAGCCATGGGACGCAGGGGTCAACCAAGCAGAAGGCACTCTGTTGGTAATGCTTTCGTAAGAATCTGCAAGATTGTTAGCTTGTTGTTGTTTTTTTTAAATTGAATTCAAAGTTAGTGAGGCTGTGTTTCAGAGACGTGTTTGGGTCAAGAACATCCTGACAGGGCCTGTGGCTGTTAGAAGAAATGAAATCTTGGGACCTTGCTGATCTAAGGCTTTGACTTTAACTTTGCGGCCATGTTGCTGTGAGAGGAAGACAAACTGTGCTGGAATGAAATATGCTGAGTTTATGCATATTATACTAGGATGTGTCATGCACATTTGGGGGCTCAAGTGGAATTGCATCTAAATGTTTTGACAGTTTTTCAGAAAATAAAAATATTGAAACAGCCAGAGTAGATGTCCTCAGTGTAACTTGTGGGGGCGGGATTGCTTCGACAGCTGGGGATAATTGTAGCTATTCTACTTTAACGGCTGGTATGATTAGTTGCTATTTCCATACTAGATAATGTCATCTCTGGGCTTTGTGTTTTGAAGCTGTATCTATTTTAAACGTGATTTCAATTAAACCTGTAAGCAACTAAGGCTGAGACATCTGAGCCATTTAACACACAATACTGACAGCTGTACTAATAGACACAGTCACTGAGGGAGACAGCATGACAGCGGCTGATATGTGAGTGGGTTCTTGATTGAGGCGGCACTGAAGCATGATGTCTGGTGAAGTATGTTTTGCCATACTGGAAAATGTAGATGAATTATGCAGCCTGGTGCTAATCCATTATTCAGTAGCCTGGCTTGCTTTTTATCAGTGAAAGTTTGGCTCCAGGCCAGGGCAGTTTGGGCTCAATCCCAAAAGCAAAGGTAATACTCCATATTGAGATGTTATGAAGCTCAGATGACTGACATCCTCATCGAATATCAACCATTACGGATTTAAGTGCCTGCATTGATGTGCTAACTAGAACAGGTGGTTTTATCTAAAACAGTTTGACTTTACGAGCTTCTAACATCAAAATTTATAGAGATGGATAGTACAAGTACAAGGTGACATGTCTTGTTCAAGCCTAATGTTTGTAGCAGAGTATTCAGAGTGTTTTCTGGGATGCGTCAGTGCAGCCTTACCTTGTCTGGCTGCAGATTTCATGCACGGTGTGTACCTGTTTGGCCTAGGTGCTTCATGTGTAATTGACCTGGCTGTGCTCTGTTGGGGTTTGCTGCTGACTCATCGGTGGTGCATCAGTAATGAGCTACGGAGGTGACTGCGCCTGTACTCCATCAGAGATGAGTAACTGAGGCATTGATCTCTCTAGAAATGAATCAGAGCTGAAGTGGGCTGCTGAGAAAGCCGTTATTGATCTGCTTTGGAAAAGGTAGAGTGTGGAGAGGTTGAAAGGTTGAGGTAAAAGGGTGAAGAAATAAGCAACAAGGGAGAAAGAAAGGCTTACAGAAAGGGTTCAAGATGACATTAGCGGTAATAATGTACTTTGGCCTCCTCTACCTTTAACCTTGTATCATCCTTAATCATATCCTAACAATCTCAGGTTATCTGGACTGACCCCAGGGCTGTTTGCACTGCTGAGCTTTGAATTTGACTTACAGCCCTGGTAGGTCCGGGGGTAATAGCCTGGTCACTGATATAGAGATGAGAGATAGGCTGCTTATTATCATTCTGCTTGGACAGACTTTGACCTGAGCTCCCAGCCTTGAGCAGAGACTCTGGTGCTGGTGTGGAATAGCAGTGAACTGAGCCCTTAAAATTTCAAGGAAATTGCCTTTTCAAAAGTAGACTGGCGGTGACGTTTATTGCCTTAACTAAAGAATTGCCTCCCCACCAAGTTACCCTCAGTTGCACTCCTAAAACGATGCAAACACACAGTTTAGTATTTCTTTTAAAGGAAAACAGAAGAAACAGATGTGTAGATATCGGGTGGATAAGTGTGTCTGGCTTATGTCTGGGTCATTTTACAATTCCTTGCCTATTTTAGCCCAACAGCTTTAGTGGAATATAATGATGTTTTAATAAGTTTGGTCATTGATGAGGGGAGAGGACTGTCCATCCACTGTAGGAATGTGGTGCTTCAGAAATAGACTCTCAGGAGTGAGGAAATTCAATCTGCCAATGCCTGGCAGTGCTTTTTCTTTCCTAAATTATTCATGTAATTAGGCTGTTGTTGTTTTCGCCTACAGGCGAACCTACGGACAGTCACCACAAACTTATTTTAGAATTAATATACACTAACATTACAATTAAGACGGTTTAATTGTGTACTGTTGGACAAATTAAAGAATGTTTTGGGCACAACACACCCGTGTTAACATCTTAAATAGTTTAATAATGGATTTTAGGAGTAGGTTAGTTTACCTGGTGTGTAACAGAATGAACTATCCTGCACAGCTGGGGTTTCAGAGACTCATGGACATAGCGGTGTGCAAACTAACGAGAAAGACGTGAAGTGCAGAAACTTGAAGCCGGTGGTCATTACTGTTGCACTGACATCACAGACGAGAGGAAGTGACATGGAGTGATCTCCTGATGGATGGTTGCCCCAGGCTTGTCATTCGACCCATCTGAGTCCAGCACAACCTCAAGGCGATATGAGGCGTCTGGCCCTTTAAAAGCGGAGCCCCGGCTTTGCCCCTCCGCGGCACTGAAGGAGCTCCATATGGCTTCCTCCTCTTGTTGTCTGGACTGGCAGCAGCAGCGTGTGTCGCTCAGCATCAAGCTGGAGGGGGGAGATCTTCCAAACCGAGCCAGATAAAAAAAAGGCTTCCCGGGGCGGCAGGTGGCCAGATGACACTACAGTGGAGCTTGGCGGTCCAGTATCTTTTACCGGAACCGGGAGTTTCCTCTTCAGCAAGGCCGAAGAAGGGGAGAGGAGGCACGGGCGCGCTGCTGCATCTGTCCTCGCCCAGGTTTGCCGTTGTTACACCAGCTGAGTAAACTGTGGCGTCCAGCCCTGTTTGCACTGCTCTCACTTCCCCACAGTGCCCTTGCAGAACCACACATATGATCCAGTTATTAGACGCACTCGAGGGTGTAGAGAGCCCTTCTCCTGGCGCTCATGCGGGGGTGAATGAGCGGAGATCACGACGCGTAGAAATGGTTGAAGATGACAAAGAGAGAGCCTGCAGAAGACGCGTGTTGCGTCCTCTTCTCTCACTTCTTCTCTCTCTCTTTTTTAACCCGGGGTTAGTTTGTTCCTGTAGCAGTGTGCAGCGGCTCTTCTCTGTGTTACATGTGCAGAAGTTGACGTGCTGATGATAAAACAGACGATCCCGGTGTGTTTGTTCGCCATTGTGCATCCCTCAGCACATCCATTATACGCGGGGGGTCCCGTGGGCGTCGCGAAACGCGCGTGTGTGCATTGACGGTACCTGCATAATAATACTGACAGACAAGGGGGCTGTTTATACCGGGAAACGTCATTGAATCGACCTCGCCGGCTTCAGCATACATCAGCATACAGTAGTCTCTAGTACTAATTGGTCGCCTTCGCTTTTGAACTGTAAACCACGTCTCCCGTCTATGTTTCTGTTCCACTCCCTCCCTCCCCTCTCTCTCTTTCTCTTTCTCTCTCTCTCACTCTATCTCTGTCTCGCTGTCTCTCACTCACATTCACTCAGCCTCGCCTCTCTCCCATCAATCCAACGGTGCAGGACCTGCTTGCTCGTCCGCCGGTTACCGCAAGGCAGATGATGAGATGTCCGGGACCACTTCCCAGGCGGATCCCATAGACGCCTCGGCGCGGACGGTGCTACTCAACCGGCCACAGGTGACCAAGTTCTGCGACAACCACGTCAGGTAGGCGCTCACCTGGGCTTTTACTCTTTGCATGTTGGTTTTATGTTTTCTGGCTTGTGTGTGCACGTTTTTTGTTAAACCACTGGGTAAGTTAAATATTAGCCTACATGATTAACAAGCAGCAGAAAGATAGTAGGTTAAAGTGCAACAGATCTACTTTAATGACAGAGAGATAAGACTTCTGAAACCCTGCACCACTTTATCCGATACTTTTTGATTATTTGAAGTTGATTATGAAGTTGTAAAGCTCACCCTGACTTCTTCCCTGAAATCTTTTCACTGAGGGTCAGAGTTCGGGGTGGGATTGTTGGTATTTAATGCCTGACAGAGAGGTATGTGAATGTTTGCTGAAAGAAGCTCTTTACTCATGTCTTTGGAGTGAAGGACGTTACAGCCTGTTGTGTAGACTTTGGACCACTGAGATTTACTTAATACTCCCGGTTTGAGAGTGTGTGTTTTCAGTCTATAATCACATCAGTTCTGTGGTGAGATTATTAATGAACCTCTTCAACATCTCACCTATTGTGTGATTATTTACAACGCTGACATTAGTCCCAGCCTGAGGTCCACATTAAGATGTGAGTGGAAAAGTGCTTGGCTTAACAGCTTTACATGACAGTGTGGCTTAATCAATATGTCCTCATGAATATTTAAGGCTGCCAATGAAAGTAAAGTAACTACACGTACATTTGTTTACATAAATCAGAGAAAGCGCACCAGCCGTGTCGATCCGGTCAAAGGTGTGTTTTGTGTTGGAGGATCTGAGAGGGGTCATGGTGGAGAAGATGACACCGTGATTGACAGATGATTGGATTTCTCTGTGGGATTGTCTTTATTGTGTCTCTCAATGGTCCGAGCTCGAAATCTATTATTATTTTACACACTGTGCAGACGTGTCTCGTTAGTGTCCAACAGTGACTACCTGAGGGAATTAATCTTTCCTTCACTGTCACAGGCAGGGTAACAGGCACAGCCAACCCTCACTTACTGTTGTAGATGAGTCCCTGTTATCAACATAATCCCAGACGCTATCAGCATATCTGATAGTCCAACATCAAGTTGATTCATGTGAACAGAATTGGAGTTTCGGTCAATACACGGACAATTTAATCTTTGTGTTTACGATGTTATTCTTATTCACAAACTAAACTTGGCGCCATTGGTTACATTAGGGTCATGTTGCTGTGAGTTAAATGTCAGCTGACATTTACGAGAGTGCCATTATTTTCAGGAGATTTGATTTCACTCTTAAACAGCCTATTTCAGCCCTGTAAATATCATTAAGGTGAGGCGGCTGCTCCCTGTCTCACCTGATTGGATAGTGTGCGGCGTTTTTCGCCTCTGCTGCATGCTGATTGGCGACTCAGGAGCACTTTGGCTCCTGAGGCATGCCCTTTGATGTCCCTGTGTTCCTGTAACGCTTTAGTTTATGCTTTAAAGGTTCAATAGCCTTATTGATTTTTCTGAGATTAAAGCCTTGTAGCTTTTATCTGCACTCTCGACTCACCTCCTCTCCATTCGATGAGTCTTTCACTTCCATATTTCACCGTATGCAGTTTTGTGAGTACAAACTGAGCATTATTGCTGCTCTCCAAGGCACAATTCAACAAAGTAACCTGCTTTATTATTCTTAAAGAAAGACGGACATAAAATAAAAGTTTCTTTCACAAACACCTGCTTTTTCCACAAGTCTTCCTGACTGTGCTGCTCTGTTCAGTTTACTACAGCCAACTTTTTTCTTCTGGTTAATAATGCATGGAGAACGCTGACCTTTTTTTCAAGATAAAAAAACACGACAAAGGCACGAATCAGCGTGAGAGCAACACCCCTGCAGCTAACAGCTGTTAACAACAGCAGCAAGTTGGACATCCATTTGAAAAATAACACAGACAGATGTTTTTGCATGATTTTTTTTCTGGTTTCGTGTTCATGCATGTGTGTATTTGAGTGTGATTGTGGAGTCTGGTGTCACACGTCTTTGATTAGATTGAGGTGGCTTTATCTGTTAGATCACGGTTGTAGTATCAAGTTGTCCTCAGGAGTCAAGGGGATCAGGGTCAGGGCATTAATCGTGTAAGTGTTTGTGTGAGTGTGTGTGTGTGTGTGTCTGCCTGTAAGCATGGGATAGACAAACAGCTGTTGCTTCTCTGTTTTGTGTGTAAAGTCCCTCCTTTTAAATAATAAAAAAAATGTTATATATAGGTGCCTTTCAGGACACTTAAGGTCACCATAACAGATCAGTGAAAAACAAAATCAAAAAAACTTTAAAATATAGACTTTTGCAGTTTTGTGTCTATAAGAGTAAAACAGAAGGGAAATAGAAGGGATGAGTTCATCTCAGAGGAGAATTTGAGCAGAGATCGAGTGGTGGGTTGCACTTACCTGATGCACTCATACACAAACACACACTATCCATTAAACAAAAGCCATGGTGAAAGCACTCACTTTTCACTCAGGCCATACTGGAATAAAACAAGGAAGGGCTTGAACTGAAGGTTGACTTTTTTTATTTTTAGCCACTGTAAAAGCTCTTACGGTAGCTCCTGATTGTAGCAAGGCTAATCAATACAGGAGTCTGATCAGTTGATTGACAGACATGTCGGGGCTGCCAAGGTTTCTTGCACCTTTTTTTGTGGGTGCTAGGTCTAAATTTAGATTACTGGATTTAAATCATTGCTTTATTTTTAGGTGTGATGTGTGTGCAGGTCATAATGTCTGTGCTCGCTCTTTCTGAGCACAATTGAGTTTTTCTAATAGATTTTTAAGTGCTGCAATATTGACCTGCAATAAAAAAGGCTGTAGCTATTCAGCCTTTAAGGTAATGCTGCTGAAGTGTGTCAGGTTAAAAAATCATTAGCACACAATTTATGCGCCAAACCTTTGCTAATGCACCACCTGGCTCAGCCGCTGTCTGTCTGAATATCAGCAAAACTTAAACTTTGCTCTCTCCTTTTTCTGCAGCACCACCAAGTATGGAGTCCTCACCTTTTTGCCCCGTTTCCTGTACGAGCAGATCAGGCGGGCGGCAAACGCCTTCTTCCTGTTCATCGCACTCATGCAGGTAAGCATTATGTACAGAAAAATAAAATAAAACAGAAATACCAAAGGACTAAAAATGAGAAAATGTTTGACAAATGATTTAGAATACGAGGATTAGAAGTTTTTTCTTTTTAAGCCCTCGACCTGCATTTGAAACAGAGGGATAATCTTATGTGGATTGTCGAAAGCCAGTGTCCTCTCAGAACAGTAGACTGCACCACTTTTTAGTTTAGCAAGTAAACTCCTCCTGACCAAAGCCAGCTTTTACTCAAAACCTCTGCAGCAAGGGCAACGAAAGATGGAAAGACATAGTGATCTTCAAAGTAAAAAATGTCTTAAAAGTACGCCAATTTAATCAGCAAATAAATCAGAGTTATGTTGTTGATTTTAAGATGTTATTGGAGGAATCTTAAGAGATTGACAGGAGAGTGTGAGACTGTTACTGAACTGTTTTCTTTTTATGTATACTTATATTGTCTCTATCTCTGGTTGGGCTGGTTGATGATTAGTTTATGCTCTATTTATGACAATTTGTATATGTTTTGACCTTTCCCTCATACTCATTGTATATCTATAACCTGTCTCTGTCCTTATTACTTTGTTATTTGCACCCTATGCCCTCACTGCCCTGACGGGAGTGGAACTCTGTATAAGCCTATCAGCTTCGTTCCCTCCTTGCACTGTTTTAATCTGTGGTAAATAGATAAATAGAAATGGAAATAGAAACGGATCAATGGCTTTCGTTAATAGTGCCATTATCCAGCTAAAAGCTTTGCAGATCACCATGGCGTTCGTTTTTAAATGGAGATAAATTACCTAATATCTAATAAACTACATTTGTCAGTTTGTCAGTTTCATCACTCGCTTGAATGGTGTTAAACCCCCTTTTTCATCTGTGCTAATACAGCATCTCTCTTGTGTCTTAAAAGTATTTTGACATAATGTTGGTGGTCCATCATGGATGCTTAAAGCTATGAACACTGACCATCAAAAGTAATTTCTGAGTGCCACTGCTCTTGACTCCCTGCAGCAAATCCCTGATGTATCACCGACCGGTCGCTACACCACACTGGTCCCGCTCATCTTCATCCTCACTGTGGCTGGGATCAAAGAGATCATAGAGGACTATGTGAGTATTACATCGACATCAGCTGTGCGGACGGAAAACGAAACTGTCAAAATGAGGAAGGATGCGTTTGTATGTCTTTAAGGCTGATGCTTAATTTATCTGTTCGTTACAGAAAAGACACAAAGCAGACAACACTGTCAACAAGAAGAAGACAACAGGTATGATCTGTGTGTGTGTGCGGTCATCAACTGTCTGTGCATTTTTCCATGAGTGTGCTTATGTCTGTTTGCATGGGTTTTGTTTTCCTTTCATGGCTGACTGAATAGCTGTTGTCTGTCACTCACTATAGTGCCAACCCCAGACAAAAGTTTGAGGCTATGAATACTGTATGAGCGCTGTCTATAGGCTGACTGATGGCTGTGTTGTCCTTGTCTCTCAGTGCTGCGAAACGGAGCCTGGCAGACGGTCATCTGGAAACAGGTATCATAGACTTCATCTCACTCCTCACTCCTCCTGTGTGTCATCTTTTTCTTTCCCCTCCCCAAGTTTTATAATTGAGTTATAAACTTTTAAAAGGCACGAACGAGGTAATATAACACTGAATGGAGCAACATAGATGTGCGAGCTGAAAGGATACATTTCTCAGCGAACAAAACCAAATCAATAACGTAAATATAAGGTAATGCACTTAGCCAGGATTTACAGCCAGAGCAGGGAGGGTTATAAAAATGACATACTGGGTGATAATAATAGAATAGGGTCATTAAAAGTCACACATTTGCAGCCAAACATGCGGCTAATTTATTGTTCTTTCGTTAAGTAGAATTTGGGATTAATGTAACTCATTTGTTTGCTTTAATTTTTAATAACCAGTGTTTTCTTTGTCCCTGTGGAGCTGTTTTTTCAGTCTGGCTCTCACCTGTTGTGTGTGTTTATCCCTGTTTTGCTTTGCATTCCTTTTGTTCTGTGTATTTGTAGTCACTCGTTCCATGTTCGGTCCAGCTCCGTCTGTGCTTTGGATCCCTGACAGGAAAAAGATACTCTTCCACTTAGTATTGATGTTTCATGGCTGGATTACAACTAACTTTGTTTGTTGTTTTCACTGGTGCAATTTGTCCAATTTTCCACATAGACAGACCCCGCTAGTGGAATAATTAGGTTTTCTTTGTTGCTCTGCATTCGAAACAGGGATGCTTGAGACCCGCTGACCCCAAAGCCGCCTTCTTCCTGTGGTAACCTGAGTATAATGAACCATAGCGCAGTGCCTCCTTACTGTATGTTTCTACAGAAAAAGTCTGGACCAGTGTTCTTGTCACCAGGTGGTCTCCTCAAATGTACTCATTAACTCTGGAGTCGGGCTGTGTACAGTCATGGCTCCGCAGGTTTAAATGAAATCATACTTGAGCTCTGGTTATTCGGGTGACAACAGTGTGGAGCAGGAATTTAGCCCCCGTCGTCACTCAAAGACAGCACAGGTGAAGGGCTTTACTCATATTAAAGAGAAGTGTTGATGCTTCGTTTCCCTGACACACCACTTCTTCTTAATAAGAGAACTCTTTGTTGCAGACTTGTATTCTGCCTTTGTTACATAATTTGACTAAAATAAGAAAAATCTCCCCTTGTGATTAATTACATGCTATAAGATCAGTGAAGTAGCGCTTTGGTAGAAAGCCAGTTCGCCCCAAAGGAGGGTCCCACAAGAGAGTTGTGTCAAGGCATCAGTAAACAGTCCTCAGATCACAGCCCATGATATGTGTTGGTGTCCAGATTGTATTTTGTCTATAGCTCTGGGAAAACAAGGCTCCAGATTTAGAGGGTTTGAAGAACGAGTTTCAGTCGTTTTAATGGCATACCGGCTGTGTCTGAACTTGTTTACTTCTCTGATAATATCAATTCCTCATACAAAAACCTCACATTTTCATGTTATCTCAGTTCTCTCATTGTCAAGATGACTTTCAGACCTACTATTTCTCTGTTTTTACTTCTCTTTTTTTATTGTCTGTGTTTTTTTAGGTGGGTTTTTATAAAAGTAGAATTCATGAACTGTGAACTCTTCTCTTTGTCCTCATTTGCGTTTGTGTTTTTTTTCCTCCCCATCTTTTTTATACTTAAAATCTTTGTGTCTTATCTGGTCTTCCTCTGTTGCAGCAGCCTCATAAGAACAGTTAAAGCTTTGCACTGCTGTGCTTGCTGTCACTTTGTCTCAAATCATTCTCTCTCTCTCTCTCTCCCTCTCTCTCTCTTTCTCTCTCTCTGGCTGGCTCTTAGTTGTTCTCCAATTAACATGCTTCTTGTTTCCTCTCCTTACCCCTCACTCTATGCCTTAATTCCCCCCTTTTCCTCCCCTCTCACGCTGCACTGCTGCTTCCTGTCCACAAGGTGGCAGTAGGAGACATTGTGAAGGTGACCAATGGCCAACACCTTCCAGCTGACATGGTTATTGTGTCCTCCAGGTCAGACTCCATGTGTATGAGTGTGCATATGTGTGTTTATGTGTAGGCCTTCATTTATGTGTTTGAATCATTTTTGTTTGTTATGCAACCTTTGAAGGCTGTTGCTGATCATTTTCTGATTAATAAATCATTGACTGATATTGTTGATTGATAGTTTTGTCTCAATGATGGAGACATAGCTCAACTCATAGGGACTTAAAAGCTTCAGGGAGTTTGATTTCAAGGTGATCTCTATATTTAAATGTTATAATGAGTAAATGTTTGTTCTCACTCCTTTTACAAATCTTGGTTTTACAAGTCCTGCTGATTGATTAATTGAATGATTCGTGATCGTGATGCATCTCTGCTTCTCCTCCGCAGTGAACCTCAAGCCATGTGTTACATCGAGACCTCCAACCTGGATGGGGAGACCAACTTGAAGATCAGACAGGTACGATAAATCTATCTCATGGTTAGTGCCTCCCTTTCAAACTTGGGATAAAATGTAGTTTAGGATTTGCCAAAAACACGATCTAGTTCTTGTCACTGATCAAACAGCAAATGTAGTGTATATCATATCAAAACCTCCCTTTTTTCACCGCGCCCACATTTGGATAGCAATCGCACACTAAATCATATTCTGTTTCTTACACTCCCAAGTTTCTGTCTGCCTCCTTTTTTTCCATTCATGTTCGACCTGTTTCTGAATGAATCCATCTTTCTCTATCACTCACTCTATCACTCACTAGTATCTTGTTTCCTTGATCAGATTTCCTTGACTCTCCCTGTCATGACCAATTTCTCTCATCCAGGGTCTGCCGCTCACAGCAGCAGCACAGACGCTGGAGGATTTGATGGCGATGTCTGGCCGTTTGGAGTGTGAAGGCCCTAACAGACACCTGTATGATTTTACCGGCACTCTGCGGCTGGAGAACCAGAAGTAAGACACAAATATATGTGGTTTTGTGGTTAAAATTAAAAGTTTATTTGTCACTTGTTCACAGTGAAAAAGTTTGCAAACACTAAAGCTTGATGAGAGTCTTGAAGAGGAATCTCCTCAAGTGTGGCCAGCATTCTCCTCCAGGAATACAAGTCTTTTTATCAGGTTTCATTGTCTATCATCTCTCTTGTTTTCTTTAGTCCAGCTCCCCTGGGTCCAGACCAGGTGTTGCTGCGTGGCGCTCAGCTCAGAAACACTCAGTGGGTTGCAGGAATTGTAGTCTACACTGGCCACGACTCCAAACTGATGCAGGTAATTTTGATGTCTGAGAAATCCCAACTCAAGAAGAATTTGGGCGTTAAATTTGACATTTTTTTTCTACTCTGACATAAATTACTTTTGGATCGACCTCGCCATTTCTTTGAGGGTGTAATTAACCATTCAACAAATCTATAACCAGGAGTGCATCCAAGCTGAGAGAGACTTAAAATCCTCCATCCCTGTATTTGAACTGCCGACGCGCTCTCCTGCCAAAACTAATCAGAAACATTAGAATGATAATTTTATGCTTAAATAACAAATTCAATTAAAGCAGAAAAGTGTGTAAAGGTTGTCTTATTAAGTGTGTTATCGTGTTTTACCTCCTCTCAGAACTCTACCAAAGCTCCCCTGAAGCGCTCTAATGTGGAGCGGGTGACCAACATGCAGATCCTGGTCTTGTTTGGCATCCTGCTGGTCATGGCCCTGGTCAGCTCTGTGGGGGCTGCCATCTGGAACAGGGAACACACTGAAGACGCATGCTGGTACCTGTCCCGGGCAGGTGAGAACACAAAACAAACTAACAACGCTCACGACGTGTAAAAAGATAAAAATCCCGATAATGAAGAAAAAGGAAACATGAGACTTTCTGGTGTTTGTGCAGGCGACATCTCTACAAACTTTGCGTACAACCTGCTGACCTTCATCATCCTGTATAACAACCTGATCCCCATCAGCCTGCTTGTCACTCTGGAGGTGGTCAAATTCACACAAGCACTCTTCATCAACTGGGTATGTGTGTTTTGGCATTTCCATTCTCAAATATATCGATGTTTAAATAGTCAAATACTCCTTATCACTCTGTTTGTTATGTTCTTCGACCAGGACATGGAGATGTACTACTCAGAAACAGACACCCCAGCCATGGCTCGAACATCCAATCTGAATGAGGAGCTGGGGCAGGTTAGTTTCTCCTCCTCGTCATCATCGATGGCAGTGGGACTGAAGCAGCTAAAATCACACACTCGATCAAACACGTCTGTCAGCGTTTGTCTTCTTCTGTTTTTGTATTTCCAGGTGAAATACCTTTTTTCTGACAAGACGGGGACTCTGACCTGTAACGTCATGCACTTTAAGAAGTGTACTATTGCAGGAATCACATACGGGTAAGTCTCATCTTTCTTGGTTCATTCATTCTTTACTCTCCACTCACTAAACGAATTCAGCCTTAAAACAACACCTTTCCACTGAGTTTCCTTTTTAATCTCAAACTGCCAAATTAATTAATGACTAACTTGTTGTGAAGAAAGGTTTCTCATTAACTAGTTGATTAAACTTCTGCACGCTTGATCAAATCACCTAATCGACTCACCACCTGATTCCTTTTGCAACCCCATCTGACGCTGCAGCCACTTCCCTGATCTTGACTGTGACCGGTCAATGGAGGATTTCAGGTAAATGACTTTCTCCTCCGACGCCTCCATACTTCTTCTCATTTCTGATTTTCTCCTCTCTGTTTGAGAATCTGCATCTACCCATGATCAGAAATGGATCCATCGATCAATTTTTTTGGTCAAAGCAACAAAAAACGATGTTGTTTGAGCTCTTTTTTTCTGCTTTATGACTGAAATATCTATTTTCCCATCTCACAGCAATCTGCCATCCAACAGCAATAACTCCACAGAGTTTGATGACCCAACGCTCAATCAAAACATAGAGAACCATGTAAGAATCTGTGGAGGATGTCTCATATTTCTTTATAGATATTGTTAAAAAGCATGCTCACTATGTTTTGTATGTTTGCGTGTCAGCCTACATCACCTCAGATCTGTGAGTTCCTCACAATGATGGCAGTGTGCCACACAGTGGTACCAGAAAGAGAGGAAAACCAGATCATCTTCCAGGCCTCTTCACCAGATGAAGGAGCGCTGGTCAAAGGGGCGAAAGGCCTCGGGTTCGTCTTCACAGCAAGAACACCGGACTCAGTCATAATCGAAGCTGTAAGTGTTCATCATATCTGAGTTTTCCTGCCGCAGGAGCTACTTCTGTGGGAAAGTTATGAGCTGACATGTCGTTGTGTGTTTCAGAGGGGGAAGGAGATGAGCTATGAGCTACTAAATGTTCTAGAGTTTTCCAGGTAAATACTCCCATAAAAGTCCCTCTCAGTCAGTAAATAACTCTGTAATTTAAGACTAGTGTGTTTTAAAACTAAGCCCACTGCTTCCTTCACAGTAACCGCAAACGCATGTCTGTGGTGGTCAGGACCCCCACCGGGCAGCTTCGCCTGTACTGCAAAGGAGCGGTATGTTTATCTCATTAAAACTCTGAACAGAACTAGAAGAGTTTGAGACATTTTTTATTTATGACTGAGCTTTTCTAATTTCTTATATTTTGGCAGGATAATGTCATTTTTGAACGGCTGACCGAGTCATCGCAATACAAAGATTTAACTGTCGCACATCTGGAACAATTTGCTACTGAAGGTAAGAAGGCAAAATGAGAACAGGACTTGAAGCTATCATTGTATTTGTCTTTTTTTTTTTTTTTACACTCATTATTGCAAAAATTTTTACAGGCGGTGTAATTCTTCTCGACTATAGTAGAAATATTGAATTTCCCCTTCAAGGATTAATAAAGTTCTTCTTATCTTATCTTATCTTCAATAACTCCTGACTCCTTCGGACTTGAAGCGTGACCTGAGCTAATTTTTACCCAACAATACTTTTATTAGTTTTATACAGATTAATTCAGTTCAATAAGCTCTTGAAAGAGCACAAGATCCAAAAGAAACATTAATCACAAACACCCCCTTTCCCTCAAGACCCTGTCTACTGCCGGATATTCCTATTACTGTGCTTAAATAACAAATTCTGGAGCCAAAAAAAAAAACAGTTGCTGGAATTCTGGTTTTATAGACCCTGAAATATAAGACGTTGAGAAATAAAAAGTAAAAAGAAAATAAGTTAAATGAACTACTGTACGTTAAGAGAAATACAAAGGTAGACAAAAAGTCCATAAAAGAGATGAGAATTTGATTTGATTGATTATAAAACATCACAGATATATATATAAGAAAAAAAAGAACTAGAAGAGGAGAGTGCTGATTCAAAATGATGAGAGTTTCTGCGACCGAGTAACGAATCCTCTCGAAGTCTAAACAAGACGTAAGATCTGACCCGAGCTCATTTGATTACAGATCTGAACATTGGGTCATGGTCTCTGGTTCTTTTCTTTCTCATGGAAAATACAGGATTACTCTCTAACCCATTGAATAATACTAATCCACTCCTGCTCTGTGATCACACTGGTTCATCATCGCCTTCTCTCTTCCATACAGGTCTGAGGACTCTGTGCTTTGCCTATGTGGACCTGGAAGAGGGCGCCTACCAAGACTGGCTGAAGGAGTACAACCTTGCTAGCACTGTGCTCAAAGACCGCGCTCAGAAACTTGAAGAGTGCTATGAACTTTTAGAAAAGGTAATCACAAAAACCGCCTTGTAATGGACTTTATTTCAAAAGTAAAAAATATTAGAGGTGTTGACAAACTTTAAATCATGGCAGAGACCCAAAGGAAAAAGCAGTTATTCCTCACACACTTGTAAATACACACGATATAATTGCCAGCAGGGGGCATAGTGGATCTATTACTGCTCGCTTGGGGCTCCTTCACTTCATTACTCACAGTCGGTTTCCCCTTCAAGGTGTGTCTTTTTCTGAGAAAGATGCTAAGAGGCAAATCTTGGAACAGCACTAAATGGTTTGGGCAGTGACTCGGTAGAATCACTTCATCAGCTGAGAGGTATTCATAGAAGTGAGTTGAACCGATGGGTGGAAAACTCAAGGACTGGGCTCAGTGACCGGAGGTGAGAAAAGTAAGTGAAGAGGAAAAAAAAAAAGAGGAAGCAAAAGGAGGAGGAGGAAGAGGAGGAGGGGGTTCAGACTGGGAGACCACAGGGGTAATTACCTGCACCAGCCTGCCAAAAGCCCCATAAAACTGGAGTCAACACCACTGTAGTGTTAACTTTGTGTGTCTGCGTGAGTGTTTGTGTGTGCCGCTGAGTGTGTCTAATGAGGCTACACATGCATCTAAATGCTGAACAAATTAAAGCAAGGGGGGGGGGGGGGGGGGGTAATGGGTTACCTCTTGGCACGAACACACAGAGCTGGTACAGAGGTCCAAAAAATGAGCGGTGTTGGTAAACTGGCTGGCACCGTTCTTATCCCTAAATTAGATATGGATGATGTTCCCGGGGGGATAAAGAGCCCTCACATTTAGGCTGCTGATGTTTGGTGGGAACTTTGACATGCGTGGACATGAGTTAACCCTTTAATTCTCCTTTCTTTCCCCTCTTTGTTCACATCTAATCAGTCTCTGTATTTGTTAATCTCCTCTGTTCCACGGACAGAATCTGCTGCTGCTGGGCGCCACAGCCATAGAGGACCGTCTCCAGGCTGGCGTGCCCGAGACCATTGCCACTCTGATGAGGGCCGACATCAAGATCTGGGTCCTCACGGGGGACAAGCAGGAGACAGCCATCAACATAGGTGAGAGCACTGAAACAAAAACAGCTTGACATGCGTCGTTCATGTCAGAAACTGATTGAAAGTGAGGGCCGCTGATGAGACAGTGATGGTCTGGGAAGCCCCCTCGTCGCTCGTGTTCAGCAGAGCAAGAAACCCTGTGTGCTACGGACATTATCAAATTATGCCTAGAAGAAGAGCAGGCATTATGCTGGCTGAGAATTTCCAGACATGTCTCCAATTTTCAAGTGAGTAGCAGAGTGCTCAAGATAGTCAGCGCTCTAAATTGCGCTGTAATGGCGCTGGTGTGTTTAGGTTTTCTTGGCTGGTCTGGGTAAATCTGGAGGCAGAAATCTGTGAAAAAACAAGACTGAAAAAGCAAGTAGACATGTCTTTATCTGACTCTATTCTCCAAGACTGCATTTAACAAATCATCTTTTCTTTTTTTATACACCTCTATGTATTTAGAATAATTGTGGGGTAGCGCTTTTGTAGATGAATTTTGCACAACAAGCTAAAATAGATATAAAGAAGACTGGAGTCAGGGAGCCTTGTATAAGAATGGAGCGGGATTTAGCAAATCCACTCTTACATGAGAGCAGTTTTTCACCTGTGTTTTGGGTTCGAGTAAATCTAATCCCTCGCCCATCCCCCCACTCTCCTCCTTTCTCTGTCCCTGTCTGTTTCTCAGGTTACTCCTGTCGTCTGGTGACCCACGGCATGTCTCTCATCATCGTCAACGAGGACTCTCTGGATGTGAGTGGGCTCTTTTTTTTTTCTTCTTTGTGCTCTCATTTTGTACAGTACCGGGACTTTTTTGTGTTTGTTTATGTGTGTGCCTAAAGGAGGAAGTCGGGTGTGTGAAGAGGCTTTAAGCAGGTTACCGTGGGAACTAGGGTGTGGTCCACAGTGGGATTGGTGGGTGGGGCTCTTTGTGTGCTCACAGGTGCAGGTAATTAAAGTCTCTGGTGTCTCTTTGGAGAAAGGGATGAAAAGAGAAAAGTCCTGGACTATCACTGTTTCCCCCCCCTTCTTTGACATGTACTTACAGTAGCAGGCCTCCTCCAGCGTTTCCTGCGTCTGTTTGTAACATGTGTCGCTGAAAACCAACAGCGTGTTCATGCTTTTAGCTCAGAGCGAGATCTGAAACATTCTTCACCTCCAGATTTGATTTTCTACCCCAGTTATGTCTTCTTTACGTCCAGGCCTCATGTGTGACTGCTTAACTTAAGTGGTTTGATTACTGTCATGTGTCCGTCTCCCTTTCACACGTTCACACACACTAGCTGCTGTGTTTACACTTAAACATGTACACATACACACAATCGCAGTGTGTTCACTTTTACAGAGGTTGTTTATACGTGAGACTGGGAAGATTATGCCTCATAAATTTTAAGCATAGGAACTGCGTTTATGTGTGTGTGTGTGTTTGTGTGTATTTGTTTATGGATTTGTGTGTGAAGGAAGCATTTGTAGGCCCAAAGAGAGCGTTAAACCTGGAGGAGAGGCATGCATTTTTACATTTAGTTCTTGCTTCATGTGAGTGTCTGTGCAGATGGTGGGCGTTTTTAAGCTTTCCGAGGGATTTTATGTGTCTGTATCATAATCCACATGCAGTTACAGACCTCTGTGCGGTTAGCGTTGCATCCAATTGGCATCCTGTGTGAAAGGATTTTAATGTTTGTCATACTCTAAAATGTTATTGAACAACTTCTCACCTATAATTAGTTTGCCCTCCCGTAATTATGCCAAGTCCGAGTAAAAGAAAAACTTTGTGTTCACATCCGTCTCACTTGTGTCTGGAAGCGTCCAGACTTTGGGAACAGCTGGTCAGAAGCCAGACAGCGTGCAAGGCCACTTAGACGCTGTGTAAATTGAGTTGGACAGGGTGAACATTTAATGTCAGGGTTACATAGGTACTTGCCTGAGAATTGCCGGTGCAATTAGGGCAAGAGGGTGGAAACCAAGACAGTGAGCGCTGTGAGTGGGTCAATTTTTAATACAGTTCAGAGGATTTTGATAGTTGATTGCTTTGCACTGTTTCATAGACAGTTTTAAGTCTGATTACTGTCTGGTAGGAGTGGGAGAAAAAATTGATTCACATAAGTATCCTAATTTTTTTGTTTTACAATTTTTAAATCGATCAAATAGTTTGTTAAAAAATCTTTTTTTTTTCTTTCAAATTACATTTGATGTGTATTTTTTGGGGAAATATGGTTCCTGGAATAATCAGTAGACAATCATAATCATTCAACAGTTTCTCTGGTGTTGAAAATACAGACTAAAAATCAAGAAAATGGACAATATCGTAGAATCTTGATTTAAATCAAATCAGCATCCGAAAAATCGTAGAAAAATTGAATCAGGAGAAAATGATATTGTCCCAGCCCTACTGTCTGGTTGGAAAAGTCTCTGTCAGAGGGTGAAACAAACTGACACCAAGTATTGATCCAAAGATGATTTTAGCAATATGAATATTATCAATTTAATGATGGCCACTCAGTTTTCATGGTTTTGGTTGCACTTTCATGGCGTTATAAACTTTTTAATTCAACTTACAATTAAGTTTAAACATTGTCTTCTTCCTGCATTCTTAACAGATGCAGAAAATAACAGAAGCATCCGTGTGACTTTCCTCGATGCACACAGTAGACGTGGATTGATTTGATTTGTAACGTGTGGGATCAAGTTGTTCCTAGAGTCTGTTCAGAGTGGATTACAGTCACAGTGGGGTTTAGACCAATCATAATCAAGTGTTTAACACAGCTGGGTGAGAACGCACAATGAAGTTGTTGAGTAATGTTTTGTTTGATATCAGGCATGAAAGTCAAGCCTGTCCTCCTTGAAAATATGCTCACTTGTTGTAGCATAAGCTTTGTTTTCTTAAGGTTTGAACACAATTTGCACCAACATGCCAGAAAAAACTTTCAACCCCTTTCGTTACCGACGCTTTCTGACAGAGAAGAAGCCCCTCCTGTGGTTGAATGACTCGTGATGAGGCAGGATTTGAGGGATTTACACCGTCGCTGAAAGGTTCTGTCTAAAGGTGAAACCTTCCGTGTAAACATCACCGAGTCTGATGATGAGATTGTGAAAAGTTTGCAGAATCACGCTCTTTGAACACACTTCTATCAGCTTTAAGGAGATTCACAGATGCACGAAAATTAACCTTACTCTTACTATCACTTTTTTGATGCTGAAAGACTTTCTTTGTTAAAAAATGCTGACAGAGACTTTCCATTCAGTGTGTCTTGTGAATTGGCCTGAAAAAAAAAAATCTTGGAACTCACCTCATGAAAACTCTGGCTACGAAACACGGTCATGGCAAACTTCTCCATTTGTCCTTGAGCAAGTTTTCGATTGTGCGCCAAATCCAAGAACGCTGTTTTCACTGTTGGAGAGGTTTTGGATAAAATGTTTTGAGCTGTTTAAAAAATACTCATTTTTTTAAGTTACAGGAACGCTTTTCTGCACAGCATTGAGAGATGGAAAAGCTGAAAGAGTCATCTGCTGTGGATCTCTAGTGAAGTTTTAGTCATTCTAAATGTGGTACATTCAGAGAAAGTCAGAGATAGAGATATTTCAGACTCAGTATTAAAGGGATATTCCAGCGTAAAATTAATTTAGGGTCAAACAGATTGTAACACAGACACCCCCTCGAGAGATTAATGTTGCAGACTGCTTGTTTCTCTAGTTATACCAACTTTAGTAACGACCGCACGATAGTGATTCACAGCAGTCTGAGGAGCCATAAACAAACCTCAACCAAAACGCCACTCTATAGCCGCAAATAACGCTCAGAACAGCACCTTTATGCCAAAATATACCTTTAATACAGAGTAAATGCTCCACAACAATGAGGTAATATAATCCACAACATAATAAATAACTGCATCAAACCCAGACAAAAAAAGGGAGTAATAAATGCAGATTCATATCACCTTTGACTCTAAAAACAGTATACTTTCGAATACTTTCAGATATTTCACTCTCCCTCCATTAGTGCTAATGCTTCAAATACTTAGTGCTTGAATATAGTTTTCATTTGAATATATGGAGATGAGAGAAGATACCTTTATTGATATACAGTATATATACATGACTGCCTGAACAGCTTCATAGGTTTTTGACTGTGATGGTGGTTTTGTCACTGATGAAGGCGACACTATCTCACACTTAAAATATTTCCCTCTGGCTCACCTTCTTTGAGCAGGATAGCCTCTTTGAAAGTGTAACGTGTACATGAGCGAAAACAGAAGCCGCTTATCAAAATCCCACCTTCCAGCTGACCTCATAACCCCATCTGAAAAAACGTGTTACCGGCCTTCGCACTCTGTATTTGTCTTTTTATCAGTGTGACGGCCAGCCTGTGAGTCAGATCCTATTGATGCCGGTCTTGGCGGCAGATGCGACCCCCTCCCTCTTTCTCCCCAGCTCGTTCTCCTTCACACCACTACCTCCACCTCTGTCAGCACCCTCTCTTTGCCCAGGAAGCAGCTACACATCCACTGCTGTATGTGTGCCAGAGGGAGAGCAGGACCAAGTCATGAAATATGTGTGTTTATGTTGGTGGATGCTCAGGAGGTTTGTTTGCGAGTAGAAGAGGGGGAGTGTTTATTGTTCCTCATGTATGAGATAGACAATCTGGAAGGAGAAAGAAGAAGGGGGGAGAGTCATGTGGGGGAGACTAGACTGAGCCATGTGAGGGCGTTGAGTGAGTGGTAACGCGATCTCCTTTTGGTGCTCCTCCTCATCAAAACAAACCCTGTGAGCAATGCCTCCTGGGTAAACGGTTTGTGACCACTGAAGCTGCGACAAGCGCCATCTGTCACCTTCAGCTCACATGCCACACACAGACTGACACAGATCTTTGCCCTGTCCACCTCTGCAGGACACACCATGTAAACTTCAGCCTTCACACTCGTACACACTCTGTTTAATCACCCTCATCAGCTTGATAGTTCTCAATATACATTACATCTAACTTTCCCACAATCCCTCTCTCCCGGTCACGCTGCCCGCAGTACAACCCTTAAACAAACAACATCTTTCCTCTGCTCATTAATCATCTTTATGCACACACACTCACTCACACACACACACAGACACACACACACTCATATACACACACATGCGGACACATTTATAGCGCCTGAAACTTTCATGCTCTATTGTTCTGGCATTTTTCAATTCATCAAACTGTTAAACTCCACATGTGCGTCTCTTTTTTTTAATGGTTTAGGAGGCTGTGTGTGCGTACATGTTTGTGTGCGTGTGTGTGTGTGTGTGTGTGTGTGTGTGTGTGTGTGTGTGTGTGTGTGTGTGTGTGTTTCTGGCTTCGGCAGCAGAGGATGTGGGTGTTTGCACAGATGCACAGTCTGATAATTAAACGGTATATTAAATCTCATGGTGACAGATTCTGCACTTCAGCGTGCAGCGTGTCCGTCCTCCGCGTTCTCTTCACTCAGCAGCTCTCTCTTTCTTTTCCACAGGTCGAGCTTTCGCGCTCTTCTTTGTCTTTTGTCAGCGTTTTTTCTTCGTAGCCTCTCCCGTTTATCTCTCCTAATGCATTTTTGTATACACTAAACTTAGCATATGTACATTAGTGCGAAGGGCCCAAGCTCTCTTTGAAAGGAGAGGGCCTGGAACAAATCAACATTCGGTTCACTGTGGTCCTTTTTTATAAATATACACTGATATTCATGTAGATATCAGTGTTTATTTGTGTGTTTTTGGGCGTGCATGTTTGTTCTTCTGGTGCATTTTTTAGTGAAGTATGCACTGACAGAAGGTGACCTGTGATATCTCAGACTGCCCGCTCACTGAGATCCAAATATAAATCTGATAAAGCCTGGTGAACAGGGTTTACAAAGTGTGTTTGTGTGTTGGAGTATTTCCGTTCTCTTCGAGCTCAGATGCACATGAAAAGTAAACATTTAGTTTGGACCTGAAAAATGCTCGCTAATGAGATTCGTCAAATTGTGCAATCAAAGAAAAAGGCATTTTTTCCTTCTCGGGTCTCCAAAAATAGGAGGTAATTTAGCGTGGGAAAGTGGAAAGTTGCATAGTAATAGATTTTTTCTTAAGTCTTGTGTTTGTTCTCTGTGGAATTTAATGTTAAAAATCTTAATGGACCTTTTAAGGGAGCTGTTTTATGTCACACTTAGCCGGTGTGATTTGCTCCAAAAATAAAGTTATGTCTGCACTTTAGTGAGAGGCTGCCAGCTTGACAGCTAACCAGTTTCTGCACTAAAGTTGCCTCCTCTGCAGCACCCACAAACATAGCCTGTTTGTTAGGTAATCTTAGCTTTGACTCTACCTGCAGTCATGATGAGTAGTGTGCTATCACCTTTACCCTACTCGAAGGAATAAGCTGTGATTTCATGTAGTAAAAGCACTCCAATGCATAGGTTGAATGTGTAGCCTTCAGTAAAGCAGAAGTTTACTCAGATGTGTGCAGGTTCAGGCCCTGACAGTTGTGCAAGGCTTAATGTATCAACGCCCATACCCTCACATGTCTCCTGGAGTGTATATTAATGCAATCATCCCTCATGTAAGTGCTGTTGACTTTGTGTAATGCTGAAGCTTTTGTGTCCATTTCTCTGTGATGACGTGATGACAAGCCGGCATAATAAAAAAAAAAGCTGTGATTCTTGTTTTTACACACATACTTCATCCACACATAGACACAATCCCTGTGCACTTGCACATGCACACACATGTTTAACTCTTCTACCCAAACATATGTGCATCACACACTCGTAGACACTTTGACTTTCAGAACTCTGACAACCTGTAATCCCCTCTAATCCCTTCATTATGTTTTTGTTTTCCTTTCCCTGTTTGGGGAAAAAAAGGTGAATGCAAACAGGAATTCCGGCGTACAAAGAAAAACACACAGCCTCAGGCTGAGAAAACAAGAGCGGGAAACTTTTGGGAAGAGGAGGAATACATGTGTGCATCGCAGTTTGCATGGAAGAAGAGAGGTTGCATTGTTCGTCTGATTTTGTTGCATACATGTCCATGTGATTGTGAGCTTGCTGCACACGCCGGTCAGTGGACAGGAGATCATTTCTCTGTAGGTCACTGAACGCTCTCTGAGCTCTGATAGCTGCCAATCACCCACTGAAGGAGACTGTGCAGATTGTAAAAGGTGCCAAATTTTCAAATGTTTGTGCACTTTTGCATCTAGAGTTTGGTCTTGTGTAGTAATCGGTATGTGTTTAGTTGCACTGCCCCTGTTTCCACAAACAAATTCGACCGCAGGGCATGTCAGTCTGCGTCATTTCTTGTTTATTATTTGTATAAGCTGAATCCCAAATGTACATCTTACCAAGCTGTCCTCAGATAGACAGTTTTAGAGTAGTTTTCTACTCTTTTTGACAGTACGCACCATGTCTAAAATCCTTGTTGTCGTATTCTTTTGGGACTAGCTGTTAGCTGTTGGGTCAGTACAAGACTTTTAACTGTCTTATAGTGTTTTTAAGAGTCTCAAAAGATGATACGGAAATGACGATTTCTTTCAAATATTTTGTTTATTTTCAGTAGATAATAAACAGATTCGCTAAGAAGGCAAACACACTGAGACGTGCTATCATGTTATCAGACCATTTTAGTGCTCTGATAGAGGGATCTCACTGAAATCAATCTCCAGTTATCGGAAATGAGGATTTCAGGTGTGTGTGTGTGTTTACACAATTACATGCCTTTGTGTGTGTGTGTGTGTGTGTGTGTGGGTCTGAGCATGTAGCGTGCCTGCTCCTCCACATGGGATTCATTACAACCCAGTAGGATGTTTATTTTCTCTATTAATCCTTGTTCCTCTACTATCAAGAGCTCCATCAAAACTGCCCCAAAATGCTGCCCTGCAGGCAAGCTGGCATTCACAGACCAACACACAAACGTAAACACACGTTTTGCTGTTAAAAAAGAATGAAACATTTCACCCTGAAACCACATAAATAAAGCTCATTCATCTTTTCCCCCTTTTACCTCTGTGAGTGTGTATTTGTGTGTGTGTGTGTGTGTGTGTGTGTGTGTGTGCTGCAGAGTTTTAGCCACTCTGCTGCGTAGTAACCCAATGAAGTAAAGATTTGGGATTCAGCATGCCTCCAGGACAGTGTAGCATCAGCGACTAGAACAACAGCAAACTTTATATTGGCTTTCTTAATTGTTTGGTGTACACAGAGGCAAATTCTTCCCGGAGATGAAAGCAGACCCTGCAACCAGGAGCACATGTCTTCCATTTACCGCCAGCGGTTTTGACCTTTCAACAAATTGGTTTAAGTGTTTTGATGTGTGTGTGATTTGTATTCTCACCACGCTGTAAAGCCACAGTACCTCCAAAAAACATCAAACCTGAATTCGCGCTATTCTCAGAGAGCTGCTGTTAGATGATGTAAAAAGAGTTGTCAGGGTTAGATTTAGATGTCTGGTTGGTTGGGATGTTGATTATGAATTTAGACTGCTTGCAAACAGTGTCAAGGTTGATGTGTTTGTGTTTGTGTGGCTGACTAAAACCAGCTGTGAAGGGGATGTTGCAGATTAAACTCTGACTTTGACAACTGTCTCATGATTCTCTGAAGCCAAGGTTCAGGTAAAATCTTTTCTCCTAACTCTGTGGACAGACTTCGAAAAACCAAATCCTCTCCTCCTCTGTTTGTATTAGAAATGAGGGAAACCTCAGCGTCCTTTCAAGAATAAATAAAGGTTTGAATTGAATTTGTGTGTCCTTGCAGGCTACTCGGGCCACGCTGACAGCTCACTGTGCATCCATGGGTGACTCTCTGAGGAAGGAAAACGAGCTGGCGCTGATCATCGACGGTCAGACCCTGAAATATGCACTGTCCTTCGAGCTTCGTCAGGCCTTCCTCGACTTGGCGTTGTCATGCAAGGCTGTCATCTGCTGCCGGTAGGGAAGATTAGTCATTGTACACAGACACACAAATACACACATGCACATGCCCTCAAATCCAAAATGAAGCCAAACACAAACAGCATCTTTAAGTAATAAGGGCCAAACATTAACTGTAGGTAGAAACAATAAAGGAGGTCAGTGAAATCTGTTCTCACTTAAATAAATTCATAGCTTATTATGTGCATGGTGAAGAATACATATCAAGTTTGTGTGAATGCACACACACACACACACAGCTCTACATACCTATGTGTGCGTGCGTGTGTTTGCAAAGGTTGTCTGTTGCCCACGGTCAGCGAATGAACAATAATGATGAAAGCCTGTCCCACTTCACAGCAGGAGGAGTACAATACACTACACTGCTTGGAAATGTCAGAGCCATGACTCATTTACTGCTTGTGCCTCTGGAATGGGCACACACACACACACACACACACACACACACACACACACACACACACACACACACACACACACACACACACAATCACCTATCCATTCAAACAGGCTCTGTTCATCAAATGTTTACTGCATGAACCTTTTTTGGTCCTGTTTAACTTGACACCAGCTGTTATGTTTCACTAAGTGTTTCCACTCGCCTTTTGTCCGTGCATGTGTGTGTCTGTGTGTGTGTGTGCGTGTGTGTGTGTGTGTAATGAGGAGGAAAGTAATTGACTCTTCATTGCATATCCAGCCCATATCCGGGACCGGGTCTCTTAGGTCTTGCAAACAGCCTCTAGCTTTCTTTCTTTTATGCTTTACTCCATCTTTTTTTTTTTGCCCCTGTGCACCTCTCTCCCTCCTCTCCTCCGCTCCACATCTCAGTCTCAGAAAGTACAGTTTTATCACTCATCTGTTTCACTGAAAGTTGTTGATTTTAAATCTAAAATCGTGCATTTTAAGCCAGAACAAGTGGAGCTTTTTTGACAAGGATTTCTCTTTATTTTTTTTTTCCATGTGGCCTATTTGACACGACTTTTCAAAGATGCTGCTCCTCTGGGGCTTTGTTTCTGGAGATCCGTGTTTGAAGCTCTTGAACCTTTTGTACTTCAGAAACATCATCAGAAGTTTCTCAAGTTTTTCTACCACACTTTTCTAAAAGTTAGTTCTGAAACAGCTTATTTTGTTTGGAAAGAAATTTAAAAAGGCGTCGCAAGTCACATGTTTAAAACATGAATGAGCATGAATCTATCACTCCAGACTGTTAATATGATACTCTGTGAAAATTAGCCACAGGTTTAAAATGCGACAGCGGGGTGTCTGGAAGACTTTGATTCTATCAAACATGAAAACTAAACGCTGAGTTGTGCTTTTAAAGCGTACCAAAGTATCTCACGTTTTGACAGCCTTCGTTTGACGTACTGTACCAAATGTGTGTGAAGGTTCACATTTAAGGAATTTGTGTGTGTGTGTGTTTCTCAGGGGCAGCAGAGTCAGGGTGTGCTCGTACGCATGGCTTCCTTACTTCACTGCGCGTTTGTTTATCGGAGGACTTAGTGGCAGCTCATTTTCTGCTCAGCTCCACCGTGAAGAGCACTGAGAGCCTTTCATCTCTCCCAACGCCACTTTAAACACTGCTAACAGTGTTTGGGGGTTGTATAGAGGAAAGGTAGAGTTAGACAGAGAGAGGGAGATAAAGAGAGATTTGTGGTGGGAGGCCGAGAGACTCGTAAGCAGACAGACTCGCACACACTTCAGACGCTGAAACAGGAGAAACAAAGAGCAGAGTTTGATCTCATCCTTCAGCAAAGACAGCACAGGCCAAGACTCTCTACAAGATTTCCCCCTGGAAATAGACATAGGCGAGGGGGCTGGGGGGAGTGTTTGTGCATGTGTGTAAATTGTGTGTATTTAGACACACCTCTGTATGAATACTAAGCAGACCACCCAGCTCTGTGGTTCCAGTTTGACCGGGACATGTTCCTTCCTACATATTCATAGAAGATAGAGCATCTCTCTGACCTGTGGGCTGCAGCCGTGTGTTTGTGTGTGTGTGAGAGAGAGAGAGAGAGAGAGAGAGAGAGAGAGAGAAGGGTCATACATCTGCTCATAATTTAATTTTGTCATATCTTTATCAAAGCATCATATTGTACTCTCTGTGTGCATGTGATAGCTCATGCAGCTGCACATAATTTAATTTTTCTAACATCATTATCAGGGCACTGAGAAACATGGTGAGGATTTAGCAAAAGGCCCGTACTTCACCCACGCACAGAGAGACGTCACTGACAAACCTGAGAGTTTTTGAATGCTCTAACAACACTGTTGTACTGTACAGTGTTAACACTCAAATTTCTATCAACTTATAAACCACTGAGACTCAGTTAATGACCACAATCAAGGAAATACTCATCGAAAATATTTAATAACGTACTCTCAGTACGCCATAGTGGACTACTTTACTATCCACTGAAGTTTCAGGCACTGTGTTGCAAAACTATAACTGGTTTGGTTTAATTTAATCCAAGTCCCTGTATCAGTTTTCCCCATGTCTCCTCCTTCTCCGTCAGCCTCTCCTCTTCATAAAGGTTGCAGGTAGTAAGAGCACTACTTAAACTGTGCAGTGTGATATTAACAGGCAGAGGGAACGCCTCCTCATACAAAGCATGTTTCGAAAGAAGAGATGAAAACAAATTGAATCCTGGTCATCGGGTTCAGAATGCAGCTTCTGAAAACACAAACACACTCAGCGGGGTTGAATTTTTCTCACACAAACACCACATGAGATCCCGAGCGGTCAGTCAGACCCATTCAGTGATTCAGCTCTCTGAAGAAGAACTATTATGCAGAAGTGAGGTTTGAACTGCACAAATGAAAGTCATGGATTTGAAATTAAACTTGGAAACCTTTCTTTTCTCATGAATGAAAAATGATAGTAGAGAAGTGTTATAAATGTTTAATTTAAACCTTGTATTACTAGACGATTAAACAAGAGGAGACATCTTTATTATTTTAGGCCTGTAAAGCTTCTAGCTCGCCTTCAACTTGAATGTAATGCTACGAGGTCCTTCTGTCCAAGTTGGCAGAGAGCATCTTTAAGTGTGTCCATTAAGGGTGAGAGAAAAAAATCGATACAGCAGAGTATTGTGATATTTTGTCTGGTGATTTATCGTATCGTCTCATTTACCAAGTATCGGTTTTTCAAATTAACTGCTAATATGAAGTCAAATCTATGATAATGGAAAAATAAAATCAACTGTTTGTCCAGTGAGGTTGGCAGAGGTGACGTCATAGAGCAGAAGAAAGTTAGTGCAACAAATATATATATAAGTTTTGCAAGATGTGGTACATGAAAACAAAATACAGTGTAAATAAGACAAATATAAAGGACAGACAAATGCAAAAGTAGCTAAACAGTTTTAAAAAATTGTATAAATCGCAATATATGGTTTGTAATACTAAAAATTGCAATAATATCGTATCATGGGGCCACTCGTGTGGAGATGAAGTTATATGTAGGCCGTTCATACATCAGGAAAGCTTTTTTTCTTCTTTGTTTCATAGTCTTCGGTTAAAGGGTGAACCCTGAAACCCTTAAGCCTTAAATAAACAGTGATATCAAGTAGGTTTTATTCAGCATTAGATCACACTGAGTAAAAGAGACGGCCCAATCAGGTTGTGTGAAGTTCAAGGCATTTATCAATGAGAAACAGTGACTCAGATATGGTCTACAAACGATTAAGCAGGGAGCTAGATGGTTAAAACAATATGAATCATTTTCTAAGGTGTAATAAATCAAGTGTTCTGTTCAGTGTGAACCTGTGATACAGTCAAAAGCTTCAGAGTAGCTGCTAAATAGTCCTTATGGTGTGATAACCACCAATGTACCTCAAAGCTCAAAAATAAATCACATTTTCACTCTGAGAAGAGTTAAAAAAAAGTCAAAGTAAAAAGCTCCCCCAAGAAGCAAAAGACGGTTTTATGTGTTTGATTTTCAGGCATTTTTGTCCACTTCACTGAAATCCAGTTTTCCAGCTCAGATGGTGTAAGAAAAAGAAAAAGTTAGGAAAATAAATCTTCCTCAACCTCTTTACTGGAGCCAAACGTAAGACCAATCCAACATACAGAATAGGGCGGAGCTGATTTGACATATGGCCCGTAACAAGAACCAAAAAATACCCCAACAGTACTTGAGCAAATGTAGCACACCACCTCACTGTTGTCTCTCCGTCTTCCCGCGGGGAGAGGGTGTAATCGAGCCGCCATGGGTCCTCTATTGTTAGCGAAGAGACAGAACCGGTTATGAACAGGGGGATCAGTGATACAGGTCAAGAGGGTGGAGTACCACTGGAAGCTCCCTGAACACACACACCCACACCGGTGCGAGCGCACACACACTCTTAAATGAACACATCAAATGTTAGCTACCCAGAGTCTTATTAGCAGAACAGTGAATCATTGTTTCCTAATATCCAGTGAGGAGCTGTAAACACAGCCCTGCGAGTGTGTGTACATGTGTATGTGTGTGTGTGTGTGTCTTTTTTTCCCTGTTTGAACCGTTTCCCACTCTTAAGTTTTCAGCCTTTTTTTTTTTCCAAATAGCTTGCCTCTTTTTTTTTTTTGTTCCTCTAGTTTTCTTGTTTTCCCTCCAACCTTTGCACCCCTCATTTCCTGTGGAGTACACGCTTCTTGTTACAAATCAACCATCTCTTATCTCTCTTTTTTCATTTCTTTACTGCAGAGTCTCTCCACTGCAGAAGTCAGAAATTGTGGACATGGTGAAAAAACACGTCAAAGCCATCACTCTGGCAATAGGGGACGGAGCCAACGATGTGGGTATGATCCAGACGGCTCACGTCGGAGTGGGGATCAGTGGCAACGAGGGAATGCAGGCCACTAACTCCTCTGACTACTCCATAGCACAGGTGGGGATGCAGGCGTATGACGGAGTTTTGTTTTAGGACATGTCATTTGTAATGGTCTGCAGCTCTGTGCAGTTTGCTTTTGTTTTGCATCGCATTGTTGAAATGAGCTGTAAGCATTTCCATCACATCCTGATCATACTTATAAAAGTATTGTCAAAGTAATTTTAACAGATTGAATGAATAAGCAGTTTTTAGGTCATCTGGAAGGTTTTAGCGTGTCAACCCTTGCATTTCAGTACCTGTTTAGCTTAAATCTGATCTTTGACCTCCCTGCAGGGACTTGATTGACAAGACACTATACTCACAAGAGTCCCTGAAGCATCATGTATCAACCCCTTTTCTTACTGCTGGGTTGTATTGAATTGAAGAACTTAAACATGTATCTCTATCAGTTAAAAAAAGGTGCTGTTATCGATTTTTGGTTTGGTTTGTTGATAAAGAAAGAATTAATTGACAATTCTGGTCTTAGCTGTTAACACCTGAGGGATTTGTGTTTTTTATGTTAGTGAATAAAATATTTTTTTGGGGTTTGGACTTGTCATGGAAACACAATGGAGAAGTGAAGCGGTTAAAAAAATGGCCTGAGGATTCCTCCCATCACTGAGGAGTCAAACGCAGTCCGTCACTTTCACTGTCTGAGCTGTTTATCTCCTGGCCTTTGGGCGTTTTATCAGTGTATCTCCTCTTGTCTCAGCTTTCTCGTTCCTAAGTCACATTCTTGCTTCACTCTCTATTCCCTGTCTGACATTTTCATTCCAAATCTTCATTTTCATCTAATGACATAAATAAATCTCTTCTTCACCTCTCTCTTCTTCTCTGTTTGGTAGTTCTCCTACCTTGAGAAGCTGCTATTGGTCCACGGGGCGTGGAGCTACAACCGTGTCACCAAGTGCATCCTGTACTGTTTCTATAAGAATGTGGTCCTCTACATCATCGAGGTAAGAGCCTCACCACACAGACACACACAGAGTAACATTAACAGAGACGTTTTGCAGCTGTTTGTCGACATGGCTGACAGTGATAGACGAGGTGCCCTTCTGGTGTCTGCTTTCTGTCTCTTTTGCACACACACACACACACACACACACACATGTACAGAAAAAGGCGTATGTTTAGATCAGCAGTGACGAGACCTTGGCTCCAAGGGTCGACAGCTTTTCTGTGCGTGTGTGTGTGTTTCTCATGGAGGGGCACCCTCCCGCTCTGGCCTGCCTGTTATGATGGGTATTTGTCAGCTGTGCTCCACCCTCCCTCATCTCCGTCTGACATTAAGGATGCCAGCAGGTGCAGTGGCTCATGGGAGCCGCTGCCGTAGACCGCTGTCCCTCTCACACTACCACTCTGCGTGTGTGTTTCCATGATTATCTCACATGATTGGCTCCCTGCAGAGCCCCTCCAGGCCAAAGGTTGGAGACTGTCTCTGTCCACTGGCTGGAGACAGAATAAGGGGGATGGGTGTGTGTGGGTATGTGTGTGTTTTTGTGTATCTGACCTCACCCCTAGGCTATATACTCCACTGTATACCCAGGAATGCCACAGCTCCCACCAGCGGCCCCAAACATTTCTTTATCTGCCCTCAGATCGGCCTCCGTCTACTGTGTGTGTGTTAGTGTGTGTGTGTGTGTGTGTGTGAAGGTGTTAATGAAGGTTCCCCTGGGCCAGAGTCACATTTAGACATTGTGTTTCGGTAGATTAACTTCTGTGAAGTCAGAAAAAGGTTTCTGAGCCAGCCACAACCTGTAAGAGGAATGCATGTAAAGCTCTTTTCCAGATGATGTAATAGAACCAAAGTAGTGCCACTGTATTACTTGCAGATATTATTTCTAAAGTCAGTGTAAAAGTGCCAGATAAAAGCCATCACACTGACCCAAATGTAACTGTTTTAATTCTTAAAGGGATATTCCGGCGTAAAATTAATTTAGGGTCAAACACACCTTAACACCGAGTTAGACACCCCCTCAAGAGATGAATGTTGCCGACTGCTTGCTTCTCTAGTGTTACCAACTTTAGTAATGACCACACAATAGCAATACCAAAATGCCACTCTATAGCCACAAATAATGCTAAGAACAGCACCTAACTTCATCTACAGTACATATAGGGTCCCAGCCACAGCACTAGCCACCAAACATCTTTTTAACTTTACCTAATGTCTTTAGCAAAGAGACTAAACACAACTCACCTACTCTCTTCCAGCAGCTGCTTGTTTGTACGGAGACCTCAGGCCAGTCCATTACGGACTACTGCGGGGTGACGCAGCTCAAGGAAGAATAGTTATGATTATTTCTTCATGGAAATGCAATCAGACTGAGACGCTAAAGCAGAAGAACTATCGCGTCTGCAGTGCAAAATGATTATTATGATGATTAGTACTTCAAGGAAATGACAAAGAAATGATCATAAATGTTCTTTCTTGAGCTGCGTCACCCCGCAGCAGTCGATGGACTCGTCTAAGGTCTCGCTACAAACAAGCGGCTGATGGAAGAGAGTAGGTGAGTTGTGTTTAGTCTCTTTGCTAAAAAAAATCAGGCAAAGCTAAAAAGATGTTTGGTGGCTAGTGCTGTGGCTAGGACCCTATATGTACTGTTGATGAAGTTAGGTGCTGTTCTGAGCATTATTTGTGGTTATAGAGTGGCGTTTTGGTTAAGGTTTGTTGATGGCTCCTAAGACTGCTGTGTATTGCTATCCTGCGGTTGTTACTTAGGTTGGTATAAATAGAGAAGCAAGTGGTCGGCAACATTCATCTCTCGAGGGGGTGTCTAACTCTGTGTTACGGTGTGTTTGATCATAACTAAATTAATTTTAGGCCGGAATATCCCTTTAAGATACATCGGGTTCTGTATTTTTAAATGCCAGTACTCATTAACAGGAGTGGACAACCCCCGCTTATTTGTAAAATTGATGACTTTAGTAAGATGTCACTCAATCCCTGAGCCAGGTGGATGAAAAAGAGAGAGAGTGATTTTTAAGAATCAAGTTATCAGTTATCAAAGTTATTGAATACAGATATGTGATGGTGATGGTTATCAATGCAAACGACCCCCCTGAAGCAGCTTTCCCCTTTGCTATCGTTGATCTCATCCCTTCTCTTCTTTGTGTCCCTAGCTTTGGTTCGCCTTTGTGAACGGGTTCTCTGGTCAGATCCTCTTTGAGCGCTGGTGTATAGGCCTCTACAATGTGGTGAGTGTCAACCCTCACACCTTCTTCAATTTTGCTGTTGTTTTCTTTTGGCTCCCTTTCTTGTGTCCCTCTGTCCCTGTTGACGTTCATGTGTGGTCTCTCACCTCTCCACCCATCTACTAATCAGTCTCACTCCACTTTGTCTTCTTCCTGATCCTTTCTCTGTGTTTTTCTGCTTGTTTTGGAGACTGCTGTGACTCATATGTAGATTCCTCCCTTATGCCCATTGTTAATTGATGCTGCTCTTATACAGATATTTACTGCACTGCCTCCTTTCACTCTGGGGATATTTGACCGGCCGTGCAGCCAGCAGAACATGCTCCGATTCCCCCAGCTCTACCGAATTACCCAGAATGCAGAGGGCTTCAACACCAGGGTACATGCACACACATTCACAGTCCGAGAGCAAACACAGAAACCGCGTGCTGAATCTTGCATCAAATCTGTCAGGTCTGCGGCTCGCCTTTGAGATTGTCGAGTAATGCCAGCTGTTTGTTTGGGACGCCAGCAAGTAAATAAGAGTGGCAAGGAGACCAGGGTGTCTCCATGGCAACCCATAATGAGATTCAGTGGGCCAGAATAAGGAAGTCTTTCATTTTAGAGGGCACACGGGCAACCTGAGCTACTGTATGTGTGGGAGTTTGTTTGTGTACAGTGCAGGAGGGCACTTTTGATGGCAAGAACACGGTGAAAGTTGTATGTACCAATTTTTAAAAGTTGTTTTTTAGGTTTTTATGTGTGTGGCAGTTTGCGTGTCCATGTGTGTGATTAGTTTGCACTGACTTTTGTTCATCTCTGGACTGTTTTTCAGGTGTTCTGGGGACACTGTATCAATGCACTGATTCATTCAATTATCCTCTTCTGGTTTCCACTCAAAATGTTAGAGCATGGTAGGTGACATCTTATTCTTTTACATCTTTAAAACACTCCGCCTTGTTACTCTTTGTCATGAAGCATCTGTGTGCGTTTGTTCCTCACAGATTCTCCCTTTAACAACGGTCAGGGAAACGACTACCTGTTTGTTGGAAACATGGTCTACACAGTAAGTGTTTCCTCGTGTTTTGTCTTTTTTTACATTCTCCTTGCATGTCTGTCCTTTGGCATGCAGATTGTTGGATTTTTGCACAAACTCAGTACTTGTGTACACACCAGCACTGTGCTTGCCTCCCCCTGAGTCGTTATGAGTCTCCAGTCAATCTGAACTCGTCTAGCCACTCTGTCTCCTCCACACACTCATCTATCTCTCCTCTGTATTCACTTCTCTATCTCACACCCACTCTGTCATTTTAATACCCGTGCTCTAATGCGAATGTCGGTGGTGTTTATTTATCGTGTTGTGAGTGTGTAGACTTACAGGGGGCCGCAGGGGTCTTGAGTATTTTAACAGACATGGCTGAGTTTACTATAAAGCATTAATGTTTATTATCTCCACAGTTGCCAACAAACTAATCCCGACTCTCTGTTTTGTTTTTTTTTATTTGCCCTCCCTCTCCTGTTTGTGTGTGTCTGTGTGTGCAGTATGTGGTAGTTACAGTATGTCTGAAAGCTGGAATGGAGACTACCGCCTGGACCAAGGTACGAACAGTAACACACTCTACTATTTCAAACCACATGTGCTGTGTATTACCCAACCGTTGATAAATAAATAGGAGGAAAAGGTGGAGGAAGGAGAGGGGGCTCACTGTGAGGATTTCAGCGGGAGGTTTTTTCACATCACCAGACTTAAATTCATCTCAGTTAGATCACAGATAGACATTGGGGAAAAAAAATTGTGGTTCACCTTGATCTTGTAGTGGAGGGTTTGGGTTTTGCTGCAGTTGGTTTGCACAGTAACTCAGAGAAATGTCCAAAGCGTTGTCATTTTTACTCTTAAAAGACAAGAACAGCCAAAGTATTTCAAACATACTAAGCTTGTTTAAAGGGATGGTTTGTCGTTTTATGAAGTGGGGTTGTTAGTGAGTCAATAGTAGAGATTTCCCCTCCCAAAAGGACATTGTATAGGGGACCTGCTGCTTCTCATTTGTCTTGTGGGTTCTTTGTGTTCAGTTCATTTGTTCTTTTGTCAAAATTAATCACTTGATAAACTTTTTGAAGGTATTTTGTTCATTTAATGGGTCGAAAGATGAGGATGGTTGTTAGCCCCATAGGGCTGCCTTTGGGTGGGGCGTAACTATATATATATATCGGACTATATTGGCATGCAACTATAATCTCAGATAAAAGCACTGCGATACAAGCAGTCCATTCCAGACTTGGCCCCAGCACCTCTATCTAGCAGCGCTCGGATCCAGCAGAGTCCATTTAATCACAACAACAGTTTGTACTAAGGCACTAACAAAGTAGGAGTAGGAGTGATGTCGGCCATGTGGCAGTAATTTTTGTTTAGCCTAAAAAAGATGTTGCAGCTGAGTGCAAAACTTGTCATGCACAAGTTTGTATCAATATTGTATCAATATCGGTATCGGCCAATACTGAAGACTACAATATCGGTATCATATCATAAGTAAAGAAGGTTGTATTGGGACACCCATATTCAATAGTAAGTGTATTACCCACAGGAGTTATTGGTCTGCCCGGCTCCTTTATCTAGAAACTGTTTGGAGTATCGGGACAGAAGCTAGGTTACACTCCACATATTTTAGCTAATGTTCAGGTAGTCTGTCCGGCACATGAGTGTTAGTACTGTGTCAGTGTTAGTGTCAGTGTTAGTGTTCCCTTGCATTTGGTCTTTGCTTTGCTGTCAGAAACCGGTTATATTGCAGCTGAACTCACAGTCGTGAAACAGTCGTACTGCAGCTAAGTGGCGTGGTAAAAGTGACCTTCTGCAGCAGTGAGTAGACTGGCCTTCACTCTGGTTCTCTGACCAGGTTCCCAGTAAAAGGGCTGCGATTATTAGATCTCACATTTGTTTTTTCAATCTAGCGTATTTGCTTATATGTAAGTTACCGATTAGTTCCCTTCTCTGCTTTTCTGGCACACTTGAGCGTATCTTGTCATGCCGTTTCCACCATTTAGCTCAGCTGCTCACACATGTTTGAGATTTACAGCAGGTAGAACCACACAGAAAAACAACTCTGCAGCAGTCTACAAACTTGACAGTGAAACTTCACGTGTTGAATTTGCTTTTAGAGCCCAAACTATGACATATGCACGTCAGCGCCTCTGAAACGGAGCACATCTCAGTGAAGGAGAAAAACAGTTTGGGAGAGAACAGATGACCTTTTGTTGGATAAATGGTACATATAGAAACTAAGAGTGCAACAGATTCAATTCCACATAGTTCACCCAATTGCCTGCATTCCTCTCAAAGACTGTTTTATTAAAGTCATGAGAAACAGATTTTTACACTCATCTATATGGTCTCTGTCAAATGTCGAAACTCTATGGTCTGTTGATTTACAGTATTCGCCTGCCCTGCTTCCTGTGACAGCAGTTTTTACAGCATCACACTGTCAACGTAATGACTCATAAAGATTGCAAAATTAACTTACTGATAACAGCAAAATTACTGTTTCAGTGTAAATCTGTATGACACTCATCCTTATGTATGTGGGAGGCTTTTGCACCGCGCTGTGGGAGCTGCGGTCAAATATTTTGTCTGTAACTGTTAAAATCTACTAGAGAAGCTTCAGTGAGGAAGGTCAGATGTTTTGCAACAGTTTCAAAACTCATTATAAATCGTTTGTTTATTAGTAAGGGCAGAGCAAGTTCATGGAAATCAGAAAAAAAAAAAAAAGAAACCTGGATGCAAACCAGTTTTTTTCGTCAACGTCATCGTCAACGAAAACAACACTGCAGAATATATGTTTTGACTGACGAAATGCTCATAAATTTTGCAAATCTGTTCGTCGTCCACCACAAACGTTTTGGTCTAGTCTCGTCTCGTCAGCGTAAACGCACATTCGTCTCGTCACATTTTAGTCTTCTATGACTTATGTTTAGCTCGTCAACGTCGCGTCTTCATCGTGGAAAAAAAGGGGCGTTGACGAAAACAACACTGACCCAAACTTGCTCAAGTTAACAGGAATGTTGATTTCTGTCTGTTGTCACTATGCAGGCTAAACAAACAGGAACTCGATGAATGATAGCATATCGATTCAAATATAGAAGACCACATTCGATTTTTCAAACTGTAAATGAGAGTGAGCTGTTTTTGTTTCTAACACTAGAAGTTATAAATGACCGTGTCACAGACTCTGAGCTTGATTAGAAACAGTAAACAGCTGTGATTTATGATGAAACAAAACTGAGAATGTGTTACAGCGCTCGACTTTTTAATGTCGGACTGCAGTCAGCAGAGATTGATGTAGGATTGGGGACAGTAGTAGCCCGGGGTGTGACAGCAACATGATGGGGCTCCCCTCTGCTATTCGAGAGGGAGAAACAGAGTTTGGCAGGATGCACAGAAGGGCGCTGACACTTTAGCCCGCTCAGCTGTCCACACAACAGCCTGGCAGTAATGAAGCAGGGTCCCACTGGAATTCACACAGTGTCCCCTTACAGCAGATCACAGAGAGCAGGAAGAAGATGGGGGGGAGGAGGGAGAGAAAGGTTGTGTATATTCGGATGAGCTGTATGTAAACTATTTGATCGCATGCTGCCTTGATCTTCATCCTCTGATGCTCTCCTTTTTTCTCTCTCTTCAGTTTTCCCACCTGGCTGTGTGGGGAAGCATGTTGCTCTGGATGGTCTTCTTTGGTGTCTACTCTGCCATCTGGCCCACCATCCCCATCGCCCCTGACATGTTGGGCCAGGCAAGTCTCTTTCCATAAACATGTGTCAGTCATTCCAGTAACAGGGGGTGATGGGGGGTTAAAATAGCCCTTCCCTCTACATCTCTTTGCCGAACCTCCATCACCTGCCGCTCGCTTGCTCTTGATTACAAATACATGGCGCCTATGAGACTCACCTCTTGGGTGTTCCACGTCGGCACTGCTGGAGCCCCGAGGGGAGATTTATGCCCCACCAGCCCCTCTCACCAGGCTTCCTGCACCTGCTGCATGTCACCCGAGCTGGTCTTTTACTGCCCTCTGTGGAGGTGTTGACTCAAGAGGGTGGGCTGCTGCTGCTGCTGCTGTTGCTGCTGCTGCTGGTGATGAGGGTGTGCATGCGGACCCCTTAATTGAGAGACTCATTTTTAAGTTTGAGGATCAGGCAGAGGGAGGTGAGGTGCCCCATTGAGGGAACAAGGCCGTCTAAACTCCCCTCAGCCCATTAATTCGATTTGTGTCAGAAATCAGGAATGCGGTCAAATATCTCTGCAGCTGCTCAGACTAACGGGGGGAATGGTCAGAGACACTCAACCACCCACCCCCCTCTGCTCAACCCTCTGTCGTCCCCCCTAACTGCCCTATTACCTCTCTTATTTCCCCTGCTCCCTCTATCTATATTTCCATCTGTCCAGGGGGGACAGGATGGAAAAGAGTTGTGTATTTCTGCTTTGAATGGCTGTGAGTATGTCTGTGCATATAGGAATCACTGTCCCTTGTGTGTCCAGCTATGTTTGATTTGTTGCCCAACCGTCTCTTTCAATGAACAGAACAAATCACAGCGGACTGTGAGACATGCTTCCGCCCCCAGAGTGTGTAAAAAACATGTGATACTATGCGTGTCCGCCGCTGTAATAAGCGTGTAGGTGTGTGTCACATACAGAAAGACATGGAAGATGAGTTAGTCCAGTTGTGTCTTGGTTGTGATTCCAGCTGCTGCTGCGGATGTTTCCTAATGGTTGCTGGATCATTTTCCCCGTTAGCTCCCCTTCTGGGAACAAATTGTCTCTATATCTCTGCGTCCAAACACAGGACACAGGAAGCACATGATACAGGCAGTAAAGCAGTAGAAGTTGAGGCGCATGGAGTGCTTGTGAGTGTTGACTTAAATACCAGGAGACAAAGACTTAGGCTTATGAAACAAAGCAGAGCTCATAGGAGATAAGAAAAACAGCAGATATTGGGTAATGGGAGGAAAATTGAGAACAAGCATCAAGATACAGCTGCTAATAATGACAGAAAGTTGTGAAAGAGAGTGGAGGAGAAATAGAGAGGTGGGAGTAACAGGCGAGGAGACAGACGGACGGACGAATTGAGACACTGGTTAGATGCGTGATTAATCCTCAGAGACGTACCAAGGAGGGAGGGGTCAAAGGTCAATGAGGCAAGCTGCAAGGGGGAGATCTGTGATTGCTCACCAGCATTTTTATCTCCTAACTCAACAGAAGTATTGTGTTTCCTCTGTGGGGATACTTTGTTAGATGTAGTTTGTGGTGTGGATTGAAGCTGTGAGAAAGCTGTTAAATACGTTTGGCTTACATTAGAGGTATTGAACTTTGGCTAACTCTGACTTTTATACGCTGTGAAAAGCTCTAGATGTGCTGCGTCTCACATTTCTTCCTGCCTTCTCCACATGTGTTTCTCTGTGCCCGTTGGAGAGAAAAATGACTTAATACTCAGTTTGAATTAATATACGAGCAAAATAAATGGAGCCTGTGTGTTTGTCATCGCAGGCTGGCAAGGTGATGCAGTGCTGGCACTTCTGGCTGGGCCTGGTCCTGGTGCCCACTGCGTGTTTGCTCAAAGACTTCGCTTGGACTGCGTAAGTAGAACACATTCAATATAAATACGTGGGAAATCCATACTGAGACTATTTAGCTTAACCGGCGCGTTTACATAACCGAAATTGAGTCTGTGTCAACACTTAAGCACTCTTCATGAATCACATGTGTCTGTGAACACTCAAACTTTCCTTCATGAGTCTGATGAGCTCGCTCTCTTCTGCAGCACACGGCGCACTGTGAGGAAGTCTCTTTTGGAGGAGGTGCAGGAGTTGGAGGCTCGGGCCGTTGACCCAGGGGCAGCTGTACTGAGGGATGCCAGTGGTCGAAGGTATGAACAGTATGCTGCAAATCATCGCCTTCATCTCTGTCCTGTTTTAATCCTCTCATCATTCATGTCTTCATTTTTATTTCCGTATTATCTCAAGGTCATTTGATCCTATAAAAACTCATCACTACATCGGGGTTAGTTTGTCTTAGCAGTAATAGCTCCTGCTTCAAATACAGATTCTATAGCTGTCATTGCAGCAGTCACTGGTTTGACTCCCAGCTTCATGTCAGCTCCTGCTCTTTCTCTCTCACCAGCGGTTCCATCCAGTTAAAGGGGAAAAGCCCTCCTGAGGAAACCTTGAAAAATTAGACAGCACTCAGGCAGAATACTGTATCTAAACTACGTCCTTTTCACACATGAAGCCCCAAAGATTCCCAGAAAATGTCAGGACAGCCTCCCCCTGATGTTTTCCTAAGATGTTACTCACACGTCCATCACAGCTAGATGTTTTCACCACCAGACAGTCGGGGGTCATGTTGTTAAATGGATGCTTGGGTAGTCACTGAAGAAAAGTCTGATAGTGTGTTTAGTTGGGGGCGTGGTTTGAATATATCTATAATTACAGTTTTTTTCAGTCGCTAACAAGCGTTTGTCAAACCAGTTGTCACATTTTCAAAAGTGTAAACACAGGTAGCCCAGCATCGGTCTTTTGTAGCTATACCATTCACACATTTCATGTTCTTTCCGCACAATATGCAGTTAGTGAACACATTTCCACAGTGCTTACATTTTATTAACAGACAAGCTGCACCTCCCAACAAAATTACGGATTATGTTTGTATTATTTACGAATATTAACACACAACATCCCACAATTGCAAAAACAATATTCCAAACCTTAAATACAGTAAAAACCTTTTCTTCTGCAATGATATCAGTTCAAAAACAATATATCTCAGCTGATTATAAACAATTTAATGATTGATACACAGCTGATGTATGTTGGGTAAATAGATGCCAAACCACAGCTGATTCCAGTCTGGCTAAGACTCAGTGGCAGGGGTTAAAAGGAGGACTTTGAGGAGTGATCATTTTGGAAATAGACAAAGACAAATACTGTAATGTCTGGATGAGGAAGAGTAAGAGCAAGGGACCCAGGGAGAAGAGCAGGCCCAGTGAGAGATGCAATGAGAGGAGCAGGTGATGGATATTTTGTTCTTTGTAAGCAATACTGTAAAACAGTAAAACAGTATTTCTACTGTACCTCTTGTAGAAAACAGTAAAGGGGTAAAAAAAAAACTGATTTGCTTTTCACTGGAATGCTTTTGAATTTGAACATTACATGTGGACATACAGTTCCCAACCAAGAAATTTAGTGTAAAAAAACGGTAGATTGCATGTTTTGCCTGCAACAAACGGACACTACAAACACAAAAGTCTATGAAGTTTTTGTAATGTCAGCAATAGCCAGTATCCTGAAACCTGGTGTACTTTGATTGACTGCATGTACTTTGTGAAGTGAAAACAAGCGTTATTTTTTGACGGAATAATTTCATTTTGAGTCAGATTTCCAGAGAAAGATGTGTTTTATTTTGAAATAAGAGTTTGTATATATTTCAAAAAATGTGTTTTTGAGAAGAAAATTATCCATTTGGCCAACTGCGTTTTGTAGGTGTGAGTCTGTGTTAAGAGTTTAGCGCTTGTTAGAAATTGAAAAAACAAAGTAATACATTTTCGTCCTGGATGCATCACTCTGTAAAGCGGCCCCTAAACCGGGGTCGTATTAGCACATGTTTCTGTATGTGTGAGATTGTACAGCATCTAACTCCGCCCATGCTGCCCTCCACAGGGCCGAAGCAAAGGCTGAGGTCCCGTAGCTGCAGAGCTGTCACACGCTAACAGAGGTAGTTCCTGGGTTTGCACTGTCCCACTGTGTGAACTTTAACCTCACATGACCTGTGTGCCTCACTGCGAGCTGCTCTGGAGTGACCCTTGATTGTTTTGAGTTCACATCTCCACCTCTACAGTTTTGATCATGTTTTCCTCTTTTTCCTCTGCATCATTTATTCATCTTTGTACCTTTCCTTTTGTGTTTTTCTAACCGCTTTCTCATCTCTGGGTTGCTCCATAGGTGGCTCAATTTGAACTGCTGCACAGACCTGGTGTGTCTAATGGTTTTGTGTGTAGTTCAGTGTACAGTGTCACTAGAGCTGTGTTAGAGCTGTGTACTGTGCAGTTATGGGTAAAAGTTGTAGACACAGTTTGTTCCTAATATTGCAGAGGTTTCTTAACTGGCTAGCTCTGATGTAAAGTCATAGAAAACACTTTTTGTGAAACTGTTGCTGCTATTAGAGAGTCATCTGTTTACTCTGATCAGCGCTGGAGAACTGAGAGGGAGTTTTTCAGGTTAAGGAGAGAAGGGCAGGGAACTGCTCTGCTGCTCCTGACCCCCCCACAAGAGGCCTCGTCCTGGACTGACCCCATCAAAGTGAGACTGAAACCTGGGGCCCTCTCCATGTAGCATTTGAGAGGCAGTGTAGCTAAAGGCAGATCAGCAAAATGGAAAAAGAGCACATCTGTGTTTGTAGTTCCTGAAGTGGTCCTGGGGTAGGCATGGGAAGGAGCTGGAAAGGTAGAGCACAGGAGCGTCTCCGGGGAAGAGTTCAAGCGGGACACATCCTTGGGCTTTTTGAATCAGGAGGTTGCCAGAAAAAACTCTGCAGGCAGAAAAAGGACAATTTGGGCTGCACTGATGCGTGGGCCTTTCATTTTTTTTCTTTTATCATTCACTCAGCGCAGTCATGTATCTAACAGACATCTTTTTTTTTCGGCTTAAGACTTATCAGTCTTCAAAGCCCCTAACTCTGTGCCTCTTTTTAGACTAAAACTCTCGGCCAGATTCCCACCTGTCATATACAGTATTGAGAATCTCCAAATTTTAACCTTGGGAAATCTGGCTCTGGACCATAACAACCCCGATGATGATCTTAAGATATGAGAAAACCTCCTCAAGAGACTTTAATGCTCCATTTGGAAAATTAATGTCGTAAATGTGTTCTCTTCGATAAAACTGGCAAAAAAAGTGACTTTTTGAAACATTCAGGGATACAAGTTTCCTCAAATTTACATGCAGCCTTTCTGCTAATGACTGAAATTGCTGTCATGATGGTTATAGGACTTTATGTGTACGGGTGTGCGTGCTCGCGTATGCTCGCAATATCTGGAAAGGACTCAGTTATTTTTGGTCACGGGAGGAGAGGAGCCGTGACGGCGTGTGGTCTGTGAACAGAGGATCCAGTCTTCTACTTGGAAGGGGGGGAACGAAGAGGAGAGGATAGAGGAGTGGAGGGAGGGAAAGTTTTCTGTGGATGCCCTGTTACCCTGAAGCAGTTCATGACTTACTGTTGGCTTAATATTAGATATAAGATGCAGTCAGTTTTGAATCCACCTTCTTCCAGCTCTCTACTCTAAAATCCTCTCTTTGTTCGTTGATCTGTGTGAAGCACTGAGAGATATGCGCACAAATGATTATCCCAATCCTTAGTGATAGCATTGTGTAGCAGTGTGAGTAGTTGAGACTCTCTTTTAAGTTCCCAAAAGGTACTGTAGCTTAACTGTGTAACCGACGTCTGTCTTTTCCCTGCAGTCTAAACGAACGGGCCCATCTGCTGACAAGAGTCTTTAGGAAAACGCCTTCAAGCGTAGGACGCTCCAACTCGGTGCAGCAGACTGTGTCACGTGAGTGTCTGTTTCTTAACACACACCGTAATGATATTTCCTATCTAAAGGGATATTATGGCGTAAAATAAAACGTAACACTGAGTTAGACACCCCCTCGAGAGATGAATGTTGCCGACCGCTTGTTTCTCTAGTTATACCAACTTTAGTAACGACCGCAGGATAGCAATACACAGCAGTCTGAGGAGCCACACACAAACCTCAACCAAAACACCACTCTATAGCCACAAATAATGCTCAGAACAGCAACTAACTTCACCAACAGTACATATAGGGTCACAGCCATAGTTCTAGCCACCAAACATCTTTTTAACTTTGCCTAATTTATTTAGCAAACACTACTCTACTCACCTACTCTCTTCCAGCAGCCGCTTGTTTATAACGAGACCTCAGGCCAGTCCATTACAGACTGCAGCAGGGTGACGCAGCTCAAGGAAGAACATTTATGATCATTTCTTCATGGAAATGCAATCAGACAGAGACGCTAAGGCAGAAGAACTACCACGTCTGCAGTGCAAAATGATTAATATGAGGATTATTACTTCAAGGAAATGATAAAGTAATGATCATACATGTTCCTCCTTGAGCTGCGTCACCCCGCAGCAGGTCTCGCTACAAACAAGAGGCTGCTGGAAGAGAGTAGGTGAGTTGTGTTTAGTCTCTTTGCTATAGAAATCAGGCAAAGCTTAAAAGATGTTTGGTAGCTAGTGCTGTGGCTGGGACCCTATATGTCCTGTTGATGAAGTTAGGTGCTGTTCTGAGCATTATTTGTGGCTATAGAGTGGCGTTTTGGTTGAGGTTTGTTTATGGCTCCTCAGACCGCTGTGTATTGCTATCCTGCGGTCGTTACTAAAGTTGGTATAACTAGAGAAGCAAGCGGTCGGCAACATTCATCTCTCGAGGGGGTGTCTAACTCGGTGTTACGGTGTGTTTGACCCTAAATTAATTTTACGCCATAATATCCCTTTAATGTAGACTTCCAACTGAAATTCAAGTCCAGATATTGTTAATCAAGGTCACCTGCATGTTGAAAAGATTTAATTTGTCCTCCCCACTAAACTAAAAACTGAAAATTCCAACCATGCGAACTCCACACCTCTTCTTCTTCCTTCATCTCTGCAGATGGCTACGCCTTCTCTCAGGAGGAGCACGGCGTGGTCTCCCAATCGCAGGTTGTGCGCTCATACGACACCACTCGCCAGCGCCCCAGCCTCTAGCGCCACCCCTGACCAAGGCTTCGGCTCACTCTACCAACGGTTGTCAAGGCGACAGCGGAGACAGACTTATGAGAAACCCTCTCGCCGGGTGATCAACCCCTGCTGTGGCCTTACTTGGAACTATGACCTAAACCCTCAAGGGTGGGGGGGTCACGGTCAGGCGTGGAGGCGGTCGCTGGTGCACGGAGGACTGACTTGAGAGAAGGGACCAGATCGACTTGAAGGAATACACGTTCTTTAAACTCACACGAGCTGCACAAGCATGAGCAATCATATCCACGCACAGACATGACAAGTCAAACTCCGAGACTGCCCCTCATACCTGTATACCCTCCAGACTGGGTTTGCTTCATGCCACTGTGTGTTTATGTGTGCGTGCGTGTGCGTGTGTGCATTCCAGTGCGTCTGTATCTGCCTGTGCATGTATGTCCGCACGCATCAGCGCTCCTGTGTTTGTGTGCATGTGTGTCTGCCCCTGCGTGTGTTTGCTCCCACGGTTCCCTCTCATCTCCGACGTGAGGTGGGTCTCGCTAATCAGTCATCACACGCCTGCACGGGAAGGGGAGGGGATGTCAAAATAAACATGCTCACACGTACACATGAGCTGATGAATTTCTTTAAATCGGGACGGAGAGGGGCAGAGACAGAGGGCTTCCCGAGCCCCGCACTTAACCTCCTACAGCCCCCCATCTCCGTGTCCCATCAGAGCACCGAGCCTCACTGCCAAACACCTCTGAGATGCCACTGAGGCAGAACGCTAACACCAAACTGGACCCCCACTCTGCTGTAACCCCTCTAACCCCACTGGGACTTCCTCTGGCTTCCTCTCTGACCCTCACTGCAGCCTCTGTCTCTCCACCACATCCCCTCGTTCTGGCCAGATTTTCCTGTTTTAATCCACTTTGTTTTTTCGTTGTCTCTGACCCAACTGTGATTCCTGTCTTGCATCTTCAGCTGGTGTTGAAGAGACAAGCCTGGCATTTGAGCTTCCTCCTTCAGTTGTTGGATTTCTTTATAGCAGGTTCTTACTTTTTTTTTTTATTAAAGTGAACATTAATTGTGTATGTTTTTATTATTTTTTTCCTCTTTTCATCAATGCCTGTTTTTGTACTCATATGTGAAGACATGTCATAGAGGAAATATTTTACTTGAATTAGTGCTAATAGGCATCTGAAACAGAAGGGATCTGACAGAGACACTCGCCTGGATTGTGTGTTTTTTGGCTCTGGAAATTGTCTGAATGTAGAGTCCATCGTCTGTGTGCTCTGTTGGGGACACTCCAGTTCAAGAATGCAAGACTGAAAGGGTGGAAGAAGGGGGTTGTCCATCTCAGTCCTAATCATTAAATCTAATCAATCCAAGGTCTGACTACATGTCTCTGTGTCTTGACTTGAAATGTGTGGATATGGTGTAGCAGCAGGTAGGATTTGGTCTTAAGTTGATGCTTGAAAACTATCAAAAAAAGGCTTAATTTAACAGGTATTATTCCATCTGTAACCAGAGTCAAACCTCTCCCACGCTCCTTCTTTAACCTCTGGGGAGACCGATTGGACAGATCGTTAGCCGATTAATGCACCCCCCTGTCTCTGAACAGCCAACTGGAGATCCCCTTTCCCACCCACCTTCCTGGATGCAGCCCAGCCCAAAGCGACTACAGCTGCTTCAGTATGGAGAATCCATTGGGCCGAGCAGGAGCCAGCAAGCCGGTTATGCTTTTCAACTCCTCCCCTGTGACTCTCCAGCGGCCAGCTCCGCTTTCCACATTACTGATGTTTCTGTAAAGGCTTGCCAAAACTACACCTCCTGATCTTTGTCATAGTTTCAAACCATTCGTTGTTGTTTTTTGTTGCTCCTCCTCTCTGTGATCTGCTGATGTGACAGGTACTCTGTGGGTGGCAGAGCTCTCTGAATGGGTGTAATTATTGTTTCTGAAAGCTTAAGTGCAAGAGTGTTTGTTTGCATTTCATGGAGATGAAGAACCTCAGATCGTTTGTGTGCAAAACCCTTCACACATTAGACTTTTTTAAACTGAGTGTGTTTGCAGATATTACTCATCCAGAGGGGTAACTAAGACATTTGGTTGTAGTTGCATGGCAGTAGTAAAAAAGTTATAAATCACTGAGCGCTCTCAACACATTTTTTGTTCAAAAGCCGTTTATTTTTAGTATTCATATGAAAAATGTCACTTTTGCATCAACATCTGACACATTTTCATCCATCATTTTGTAGATACTCTTGTTTTATCACTCACAAGCTGCCCGCTGTGTCTTACAGACACTGTGCTGGGAGTGCCGATGCAAATGTACCTATTGTTAGTACTTTGGGACATCTCATGCTGCATGCTCAGTGGAGCAGCACGTTCCTCAGGTTGAATTTTACTGAGCTGCACTGCACTTCACTGTGAGGCTCAAAACGCAACTTTTCATCTTTTTTCTTTCAAATTAATAGCCAATGACTGTAATTCTGTGCCTTTTTCAGAGTGGGAAATAGTGACTCAAAGCTGCCTTGGAGCTGCTTGTGCCCTCTGCACTGACCTGTGGAAGTGTTAAATACACACATACATACATACACACACACTTCTAACATTGAAGAAATGAAGGGGGCAGTTGGCAGAGTTTTGGCTGTATAATTAACTGTAATCTTCAGAGAGCTGACTCCCTCCCCCTCTGTCTCACACTCACACTTGTCAGGTACATTAACTGTTAGCCTGGTGTGATTATTTTCTGTTCAGTCAGTGTCTTGCCGTGCAGGGCGGTTGGGAATTTCTTGTGTTTTTTTCTTTTTGGGTGGCAGAAGTAGGGGCCTTTGGGGGGGAGAGCGGGTTGCATTGTAGGGTGGAGCGTCACAGTCTATGTCCTGTGTTCACTCCATTAGAGTTTAAATGGTCTACAGGGAGATTGCGACTGCCTTTCACATCACACCACCTGCATTTCCCATTACACACAGCTCACTCACAGTTACTCACACAACCCTGGCCCTCCACACTTCACACACATACAGTACAAACATATCCTCTCAAGCTTTCTCTCCTTATACTCTCAACATAAACAAATACATACTGTGTGCGAGTGCAGATGTGCACATTGCATAAACACAGCATGTGGTCTTTTTTTTGCCTGAATATCCACTTTTCATACCACTCACTGCTATAAATCATCTAGTCACCACTCAAACCAGCACATATAAGCCAACAAATCTTTTTCTCACTTTCACATACATGCAAACACACACATGCATAGTAATCTCTGAGCTGCAGGAAGCTGTGCATGATGGCCCACTCGGCCTATAAAACCATCCAAATTGCAGTTTTGACTTTATCAAGACAGAAAATTGTTTGTGCATCCATCTTAACCCATCATAGGCTGAGCTTAGCTCATTCCAACTTACCAAGGGTCACATTACTCACAAAACAGACACACATCACACAACAGTAAGACAGACCCTGCTGCCTCATAAGTCCTTCATGTGAGCCTGACTTTCTGCTTTTCTTTTCCACTCGAGCAGTGTCCCTTTTTGAGGTCTCTGGCGTGCCCCTCACAGGTTTAAACTTCAACAGAGTGGTCTGCAGGTCGGCCACTCATCACACAGTCACTGGAGGGAATTTCTGATCACTGTTGACGCTGGACCCAGCAGTGGGAGGGGGGCACGGGGACTGAAGGGGTCTGTACCCTCCCTGACTGGGGTCCAGGAAGGCTGGGGTGGCAGCCACAGGGTGGGCATAGCCAATGTACTGTGGGTGCAGAAACTGCCCCTGGTGAGGCATGATTTGTGTGGCCTGCTGGCAATTGAGCACAGAGAAGTTAGTGGGCATGTTGACAAAGACGCTGGCGTCAGGGGGCAGGCAGCAGGAGGCCTGAGCCCGCATAAGAGGTGGGGGAGCAGGACGGGGGGCAGCAGGAGGGGCAGAGGAACTAGATGAGGTGGCCGTGCTGGACTGGCGGGATGACGAGCCTCTGGAGGTTCCTGAGCTGGACATCATAGGGATGGTCTCCAAGAGGCGCCCGCCACTGGACCCGCCTGCAGTAGCACCTCCTGATGAAAGCTCCTGTTTGGGCCGGAGGCAACGGCAGCAGCACACAGCAACCACAGAGCCCACCAGGATGAAAGCTACGAAGACAGAGCCCACGATCAAGAAGGGCACATAGATGGGCACTGCAGAGAGAGAAAAGAAACACACTGAGTGAACATGTCTCTTTTAACTCGTATTCTGGGTTTAAGCGCAAAGGCAAAATCAAATAAGAATGAAGGCAAAGTGAAACATAGAAACAAAATCTTCTGGAGTGTTTGGACTTGGGTAAAAGAATGAGTGTGCATTGGGATCAGGTCCCCAGGGGGTCCCAGGCTCTCATTAGCAGTTATTAACTTTGTTTTGATCTGTTTTAATCCCCTGCACCCTACTGTGTCCCCAACCTCTTCAACCCCGCAGACCTGTGTGTGTCGGTGTCTGTGAGTGTGAATGTGACATTCTTAAGGCCAGCTGCCAGCAGATATTTGTAACCCCTCTTTTTTACTCAAACTATTTATGACCAAGCCTTTGAAAAAAAGTTACTCACGTTGAGCTACATTTTTTGGCTCCAGCTTCAACAAAGGTATTAAAGTTTGACTGATTTAATGTAGCAGAGCAGGAGGTTATTCAGCCCTTTAAATCAAGGAGTAAGCCAATTCCTTCTTACTGACCTTTTATTTCTTTTTATTTAAAACAGTAAGTCAAACCTGGGGAGAAAGAAGTGCTTGTGAATCTGACAGTCTCCCTGGTCACTGTGTGATCGGCTGGGTTAGATAGCAGAAGCATATTTAAGAGTCAGCACTAGTTAGTCAGCAGAAGCTCCAAAGGCAACTTTGCAACACTATCAGCAACTTACTCTTATGAATGATATCAGAGTTATTTAAACTGCTCTGTTTGACCATAAAGTAACGATAGAGTGAATTATTTTTGGCTGGAACAAGGTGTCAGATGAAGGTGTGTTCCTCCAGAATCACTCACTAAAACACCTTACAAACACAATGACGAGCGTGTTGCATTAGTAGTGATTACTTGTGCTTTATTGTTCCCACAGGATGTAGTTATTTTCTGGGTTGAATGTGCCCATGTGTTATGAGGAGTAACTGTGTGCCAAAGAGAGAGAGGTAGCAACTGGCTCCAGTTTCCTTTTGTCTCTGAACTCTTTGAAATGCATCCATACAGCCTTGAGAAACTTTTTCAGAAGCAGTGGGTATTAAAACGGATTACTGAGTGAAACCTGTTAAGAGCTGGAGGACATACTTTGACCACAGCAGTGAGTCCAGGTGACAAAAGACATAAACCAGCTGCAGTAGAGGCCAGGACACTGTGACATGAAACAAACAAGGACCTTGACCCATTTCCCTTTGACAAGGAGCGGTGTCAACTTCACAGACCAACACAGCTCACAGCTAACACCTTCCAGTAAACAGACTTTAAAAGGGACTCTGCAATGGCAGCACGTATATAAGTTACATGAACAGAAATGTCCCAGGGAGGCTTTGACTGCCCTCCTTTCCCGTGCTTTTATGGTCTCCACCTCAGCATCTCCACTACTTTTTACTGCATGAACAAGGTTAAGTATGATAGCAAAACCTCTCATCTTTTGTTTTCTTATCCCTGCTTTATCTGCAGAGCTCCTTTCCAAAACCCTTAATTGTAAATCCCAGATGGAGGAAAAAATAAATAAATAAAAATCTGATTGGCGAATACAGTAGGGATAAGAGTGCTCAGACAGTTAAGTGTGTTAGAAAAAATGCAACCAATCCAACTCAAGTGATGCAAATCAGTGCTGATTTAAAAAAAAAAAAAACAATTCAAGCATTATGAGCACAGTTATCGGATATTCTTTGCTAGTTATCGTAATCTAAGCAATATGTGTTTGTCTGCAGTGTTAAACTGACATGCTCGGGTAAGATGTTTGTGTTGTGGTATTTCTTGGATGGCAGATTTTTTCTTGGTGTGTGGAGAGGTACTGCCTCAATATCTGTAGCATTTTCTTTTCAAGGATGTAAAAGTCCAATCCTTTTTTTTTTTATATAGCAAAAGTTTCTTATAAAGGAGAATACGTATTACCAAAGTTGAGCGAAAAGGGAAAATATAAGAGAAAATGTCAAGATTAGCTTTTAATCACAATGTGGGCCTTCTTGGATTGTTTGTATACTCGTGCAAGGTTTTCTGTTTCTAACTCTGGACTTTTCTAATCTTACACATTTAAGTAAAATACCATGCTTCTATGAGTTCTATGATTTTAATTCACTACAGAGAGTCCAAAGATAAATCTGTCTTTGTACCCTGAGAAATAACCAAAAAAAGATGGTCTACAGGGTCTGCTCTGTAAGCCTGCTAGCTAAAATTGCTTTCGTCGAATGGCTTATGCTAACATGTGCTAGGTACAACATATGCTAGTCTAATAAAAACATTAAGTTTGAGCATTAAACTAAGTGTTGGATGAACTTAAGCTTATCTTAAATTATAATGATGACACTGAATTTAAAGGTTTAGTAGATTTTAAAAACATTAAATCAATGCGACAAAGATTTCTTTTTTAAACAGCTACAACAAAACGCAGAGCCGGCCCAAGGCATAAGCGAATTAAGCGCCTGCTTAGAGCCCCACGGCCAGTAGGGGGCCCCCCCAAAAGCAATAAAAAAAATAAAATATATTTTATTTTTTGCATTTATGAGTGATGCTCTCTGAATGATCAAATATATGTTACTGTAAAAATAAAATAAAGGAAAAACATTTTAGTGCTGATGTCGGCCTATGATTCTTACTGCCGATATATCAAAGCCCCCCTACCATTTTGTGCCTCTTGAATGTGTTACAATTTAAGATTAAAAACCATATGTGGCACCCTGAACATGTGTGAATGATCAACAATCAATATTATTGGCAGAAATAGAGGGCCCTAAAATAAAATTTTGCTTAGGGCCACATTGAGGCTTGGGCCAGCTCTGACAAAACGTCTGACAGCACAGCTGGTAGATAACAAGACAAGAGAGTCTTTATAAGTCTTTATAATTCATCCTTAGGGAACCCTGAATGTCTGTGCAACATGTCATGGAAACACGTCTTACATTTCTTGAGATAGTTAGACATTTTCACTGACTAATTTTACCATTTAAAGACAAAAGCCTTGCATGGCTTCATTTTGCTGGAAATTTTTTTATAGAGAAATTTTAAAACTTTACTTAAAAAAAAAAAGTAATGGATAATGTTTCTTTCATGACCCTAAAGTTGTTGTTTCATGGTGTTCATCTCTAAAGAAAGAAAGAAAGAGTCTGCCTTACAGAGCAGGATCCAAAAGTGAAACAGGCCGGGAACCACTGGTTTGTAATTAAACCCTTATTCCTCGAGGTTTCAATACAATTATGTGTCTAGTTGCTACCATTTTTCAGTTGCCATTTTCCATCTGAAGTAATGCACTAAAAAGCAGCCTAAAGAATGATACAAAGTGCAAGTGCCAAAAACTGTTCTTTGGCATTTTCTTAAAAGTACACAGTTACTTCTCACCACTGATGTTGTAATCAGGGAATCACATCTACCAAACTAGTTCAGGGACTTAACTGTCTGCTGCATGTTTTGTGAATGTTTTAATCCCTCACTTCTTGTACTGTGTGACCTTCTCATCCTGTGCACATGGTGGCTGCACCCTCCTATTGTTCCCTGTCACTCTTCCACACCTGTTGCCTGAGTTGAGCTGTGGCAGCCATGCCTGAGTAACAGCAGCCCCCCTCTCTTAAGCCCTTGTTTTGGGCACAATCTTTTTGTGGCTGCGCCGGCTGGACTAGCCGTCGTCTCCCTGGCTCTCCCACGGGCGTTCTCCTGTTCCTAAATACCATATGTTCCCTCATGTTGAGCGCATTAATAATTTCCTGTCTGCTATCCATTGACATTACAGTGTGTATCTTTCCTTGATGATTTATATGCTGCAAGTGAGTGAAAAATGTGCAAAAGTGTGCAAACTGAACCAAGCCTTTAAAAACACACACACACACACACACACACACACACACACACACACACACACACACACACACTTCCTCTTTTCCTTGTGAGGAAAAAACGCGCTTTTCTTAAAGTTATGTTGGCTGGAGGCCACTGAATGAAATGTATATACCTCTTCCTGAAGTGATAAGGCATGGTAGCCCTAGCAAATGACAGATTGTCACAGGAGGTCCAAGAGAGGGCTGAGTATTCTCCAGGGAAACATGAAGGAAGGCAGTGTTGCCTCTTTTTCTGTGGTGTCCAATATTTGCTGTATACTGCTAAAGAGCTGTTTAATGCTTGTTTGCTTATTAAAATAAAAAAACAGGACTGCCTCATATCAGGGAGATGCATTAAAATGTGTTTATAAATGTGGCTTTTTGGAGGCTGCCCGAATCCCTTGAAAGTCCACAGACACCAGTGAGACTAGACTATAGAGTGGGGGATATTTGGAGTTGAAAAAATGGGAAAACACCTCGAGAAATGATCATGTGTGCACAAGGCTGAAAATGCCTCAAATTGAACCGATATCCTATACGTGGTCAAGTCCAAACTCGATCCCTTGGGACAGCATGATCTGAACCCTTACTTTGCTCTGTTAAAAGGCCAGAACCTACGGGACTCTTTCTAAGTGCAGCTTGGCGCAGTGTGCCATTTGTGAGTGCATTGAACAGTTTTTAGCCGTCTTTTACACAGCTGTCGTTGTCAACAGGAGCAAGCAGCAAGTGAGGCTCTAAACTGGAAAATACTGTTGGACAGATGAGTTTAATAGAGGAAACCAAACTCGAAGAAATCCAGATATACGATACTGATCATGGCGTCATCACATCCCTTTTCATTTAATTTGTATTTCATTTTCAGTAAAATCCACTTATAATAAGGTTTGGGAATTCTTGTGTGGCTTTGTTTAAGAAACTATGTGAGTTACTGGCTTTTACCTGCACCAGAGTCCTTGTCCTCCTTGGTCTCTGTCCCGGGCTCCGGAGCCTGCCGGTCGTTGTCGCAGCTCCCCTGATCCAGCCGTGCGTCCGTGCTGGAGCAGCAGTAGCGCAGCTCGCATTTCCCGCAGCAGATGATCGCGTCCTCCCCGTCGATCTTTTCTGGGCACTGGAAACCCTCTTTCCACACACCCTGGGAGTCGTGCCAGCCATGGCAGTATTCTCCACTTGCCTTCACGTCGATGATGACCAAAAGAGTCACGATCACAGTGACATACATTGGAAAACCTCCTCCCCACATCTTCGGGGAAGAAACAGAGAAACTTTTACTCCCCGTTGTTACCTCACTTGATGAGGGGAGAGCTGCCGTGGATGGATGCGATAAAGGAAGCAGAGGGGGTGAATTGAAGGCGCAAAAAAGCCTTTAAAAGTTGTCATTTGTTAGAGGAATCCCGTGCGTAATTAAAATTTCCAAAAGTGGCTCCACATTGGAGGTGATTATCCAAGAGCTGTCCAAGGCAAAACACCAATAAAATGCTACTTAAAGACTAAAATATTTTAGAAATCTTTATGTCAAAGTTTCATTCATAATCCATTCGAAAACCCTCAGAGTCAAATCCAGAAGGGAAAGACAAATGATCCTCTCTGGCACTGCAGCGCGGTCCTCAGAGCCTTCAGCGGACTTTCTTAAAGATGCGGAAAACCAAAACTTGAAGCCTAAACCATTCCGGAGGTTTCCCGAGATCCCTCAAGATTTACCCGTGCGTAAAGCTAACTTGTCAAACTTTTCCGGCTTGGTCTGCATCTGTTCTGCGCCAGGAGACAGTGAGCCAGGTCTGGGTTCGCTCCAGACTGATTGAAAGCGCACAGCCTGTGTTGCCTTGCGTCAAAGCTAGAGGCGCAACAAGTCATATGGACCCCCCAACAAAAACGTGTAATGAGCAGCCTGAACTACGAGTGTCAGGTTGCACAGGAGCAATATTTTACTTCCGGTCTACACCTTTTAAAGTTCGCTTAAGGTGCGCGCATTGGAATTTGAAGAGAAGCTTACTTTCCAAATTTGAAAAATAAACTGGGTTGGAGAAAAACTTTTCTGTAGGCGACTTGGCAACCGAAAAAAAAAACTACTCACGCTTTTATTTTCAATGCAAATACATGTACTTCCGGCTGTGGGCTCTATCCCTGCACCTCACGAATATCCTCCGACCCTTTTTTAAGCGTTTTACTGATAACTTTACTCCGTTCAACTCTTTCTGGCAGAGTTTCGTCCTGACGAAAACTCAATTTCCTTCCAAAGAAAAAAAAAAGTCTGACTGGTGCTGTGCCTGTACGCCTCTTAACATTAAGGACATTTTTATGTCGACTATGCCCTCTGGTGGGGATAGCGGGTGGTTGCAAAGATCTGTCAGCCAAAGCAATACTTGAGCTGAGCTGACCTCTAAAAACATTTATTAATCGTGTGATGGTGAAGGAAACTTGTGTCTATCCAGAAGCTATCAAACGCACTGAAGTCTGAATTGCAGAGATGGGAAAATGTGGAGTCACCAAGTCATCTCCATGCCATGTATTTGTTCTGCTCAGTTACTGAACCAGGTGCCTTCACTAATGAGCTCACCTTCCTGGCTGCTCATTGGAAGCAGCTGGTTCAGTGACAGAGCAGAAGAAATACATGGAGATGACTTGGTGACTCCACGATTCCCATCTCTGCTGAATTGTTAAAAAATAGGGACACAAGCTCAGTCACGAAAACAATAAAGGCTCTTTTATTTGCCCTTTTTTTTTTTTTTTACTAAAATGCAACCATGGAAAAAAATGTAGGCTATGGTGCATTCAACTAACAGTTGAAAGTTTGTCTCCCAAGGATTAAGAGTCTCCCAAGGATTGAAACAGCTCTTAAACAGGGTGGGGTTAGATTTTGTGATCGAATATGTAACAACAAAGCTTTCAGAAATATGTTGGTAAACGAATATTACGCTAGCCAAATTAAAAGGATGTATATAATTCAATAAAAGAATGAGCTACACAGTGTTTCAACTGGTAAATATTTCCAGGGCTCTCAAGTTTTGAACTAAGCTAAGAGTGAGATTTCCTTGGGGTATGAGGGCCACATTAAGAAAAAAAAACGTTTTTAATAAACTTTTAATAAAGTTATTATTGAGGAGAATAAAGTCATTAATATATAAGAATAAAGTCGTAAAGTTACCTGTTGTGCAGGAGAGTTGTTAAAATCAGCACTGTGAAGCATTTAGATGAATTGTACTTTAGTATAGGTTTCACAAACATGGAAATACTTCATCCTTTGGTACATGAGCATTACACTGTCATCATGACAGTCCACACTGTGGACTGCATGATCACCATCTGGTGTGAAAGGCAGTTTACTATGGTCATTCTTTGAGTTGTAGGAGGAAATCAGTCCAGAGCAGCACCAGGTGTGTTAGTACCTGATTGGCTTAAGTGAAGTCAGGTTTGGGAAGTAAAGGTGATACAAGTCCTTGAGCTCCAGTGCAGAGTGCTGAATCATTGTCTTATTCTCTGTTTTAGTGACAGATTCTCTCTGTGCTCCTCAGAGTTCCGACCACAGACTGTATATACTATGGACAACTTGGTTCTGCCTTCTGCCAGTATACAGATTTAAAGCTGAAAAGCTCTCAGTAATTGTGCGTTTTTCTCCACGTCCTGAAACCAACATTGCACAGTAGTGTTGTACGCATTCTGTGGGATAGTCACCGTGAGTCGCTGTGATGATGCTCAACTCAAACAGCACATCCCCCGGGTGAGCTATGCAATCTCCGTACGCCCACAGGCTGTATCAAGTGTCAATCATAGGAAACATGAACCCCCTAATAACTTTTAAAAATAGAGCTGTACAGAAAAAAGAGGACTTGAGCACAAAACAGTCTTACAGTAACTAAATGTCAACATCGCAAGCAAGGGGAAAAAATCTGTTCTGTGTGATTAATTTCTAAGATTTGTCCTCAGCCTCTTAAGGATGGCTGACAGGGATTTATGACCTATACTGCAGCCCGTCACCAGAGGGTGCTGTTCTCAGAGTGCCTTCACCCAGCGAGAAGACGGACACTTTCTGTTTTGATTTCCACTCCCCGTCGGGGAATCAAACCCCGGTCTCCCGCCTAACAGGCGGGGATACTCACCACTATACTAACGAGGAGAATGTTATTGTTATAAAATGCTATTGCTATTAACAGCTGTATTGATGAATTTAGCCTCTGTACAGCCATTTCCAGCCATTTTCCCCTCCACAAAAGCAGCATTTCTCATATATTCATTTTAAAGTTCTGATACTCATGACAGTGTAACGCTCATGTACCAAAGGATTAAGTATCTCCATATTTGTGAAACCTATACTAAAGTACAATTCATCTCAATGCTCCACAGTGCTGATTTTAACAACTCTCCTCCACAACAGGTAACTTTACGACTTTATTCTTATAAATTAATGACTTTATTCTCCTAAATAATAATTTTATTCTCTAAGATTTAAAAATGTTTTTTTTTCTTTATGTGGCCCTCACACTCTATTGTATTTAAGAGATTATTATACTAATAATTATCATCAATCACTCTTCACCCCCCCCCCCAAGAAATCTAACTCTAAGCTTAGTTCAAAACTTGAGAGCCCTGCAATAGCATAGGGCTTTAGTTTATTATATGACATTATATGCCATGAGGTGTTGAGGTCTATGCATGTGTAGGTTACTGACTTACTGTAATCATCGGGTCTATCTCGTCCTTATAAAAACCTGCTCTATTTCTACCCGGATACAGACATGCTGCTTTTTGATTGGCTGTTCAGTAGATATACTTTATTTGATTGGCTTGCGCCTGGGACGCAGCTTCTGAACTCTCGGAGAAACTCAGTTGATTTCTACCTGTTCCATTGTTAAAGAGGTGCAACGTGGTGGACATCACCATGTTCATTTAAATGCGTGAGAAATACAATGTGTGGAGTGTGAACGTGTGAACAGGTGGGAATGCATGTGTCACACGCTGAATGCGTGAGACTTGAGAGCCCTGTATTTCTTCCACTTGTAATAAATTTCAACACCAGGCAGTAAAGTAGTAGTAGCCTCCGTTTAAGCAGCTTTTTCTTGAAAATTAAAATCCAGTGTCCACTAACATCAGCGGCTACAAAGTATAAATGCTTTCAAAATATTGGATTCAACTAATGGCTGCCATGAAATGACCTCGGTTGGTCTATGGTAGAACTGATTTGCCGACGACTGCCCCTCCTTTCTCGGCTGCACTTCATTTCCCATCATCCTTCATTGAGAAGCGGTGTCCGTAGCAACAGCGCAGGAAGTGGCGCGCTACAGTTGAAAATCTGACACAGCCAAACCGAAGAGGATGTATTTTTTCTTCTTCGATGAATTCAACTTCAACGACCGCTCACATTTGCTCATGAAGTGTTATGCAGCCCGGGAGACATTTCTTAAACACACGACTGTTAATTCGGAACCAAAAAACGCCAGCGCCGTTTTAATTCAATGACTTATTAGCGAAGTCCAAACAAAGCTGAACTAAGCAGAGCCCGAAGCTACCAGCTAACATTTTTGCTGCGCAGTTAGGTACAACTTATTCGAGATTTAAAGCACCCAGGTGCTAACTAAGTGGTTCAAAACAACTTCTGTGGAAAGATGTCGTTTGTTAGAGTGGGACGTCCACAACAACAGACCAAAGGTAAACGACCTGTTCGTGCAAAGAAGGCAGCAGCCACCAAAAAAGATTGGGTGGTGAGTACTGAACACTGCTGGACCTGTTTAAAAGAGACAACATATGAAGAAAGCTTGCTCTTGTAAACTTAAATGGCGACACCATGATCTTTTATTTGCCCAATAACTGTTGAACAACTAATAACAGATTATCCAAGTGAAGTTGGAAGTATCAAGCAGCCATATTGCTTATTCCCTTGTGAAACACCACATAGACGCTGGTAATTAGTAATTACAGCCGTTTTTGATGTTTTTCAGAGCACTGTAAGTGACCTGTCTGTGCACAAGCTGTCACCTGCAGAGCTGGTAAGCTGTTATACTTTGTTTGTTCAATGGTGCTATTCTAGGTCAGACGCAGACAGAGCCGTCACACCATGCAATCAAGTTGCATTTCAGTAAACTCAACTCAGAGTTTCCACAAGGGGGAGTCTGAGCTCACATAAAGTAGTGTGAAATCATAGCTGTGAGGTCAACTTGCATTACCAACAACAACCCTTATCTTGGTAACAAACCATGCCTTTCAGTTGAAAAAGTATAATTTATGTTGACAAGATTGAACAGGTTGAAAATTATCTAATGACATAGGCTGTAAGAACAGGAACTGGTTGTTAACAAGGAACCTTGCCCTCTGACTTGTGTTATTTGTTGACTTTATGTGTGTACGTGAGTCTCACACACACACACAAAACACACAAATTTACACACATTGTGTGAGTATTTGAGTGACAGAGAGTGTTTATGACCACAAAATGAGCAATTTACTTTATTGTAATGTTCAAAATGCATACTTTTCCTTTGGTTTATTTATCTCCACCCCATCACAAGCTTTTTTAGACCACCCCCTTATAGTTCACATTATAACTGAAACCCAGGCTCAGGTGGTGGAACTGAAATAATCTCAAGGTTATAAGGTCAATTTGGAGATTATAGCTGCTTGTATGTGTGTTTGCCTCTACTGAAGAGCCATCGACATGAGATCCACAAGTCCCACAACAAGGCTGCAGCTCAGTGGGAGCTACGAGAGAAAGCCCTGAAGCGCCGGCTCAGACTTCCTGGCAGCCCTGCACCTCTAGACCATGCCAGCCTCAGCATCATCAGGGAGGTATGTGTGATGAATTTCCTGTTTGTATAGTAGTCTACTTTGATCCCTTTTTGTACCAAAGTACTCTTGATAAAATGAAATCTCCTCGCTGCTGCTGTGTTTGACCGCTGCAGGTGTTTTCTGACCAGCTGCTGCTGCAGGATGTGCTGGCTCGCTCTGACCGAGCCATGGCTGTTGTCAAAGACTTATTTGGAGATGCTCCTCGCAGACAGACAGGTTGAAAGTTACTCACTGAGTCTGTCTCTGCTATAGGTTATTAGAACCCAATACAAATGCAATGATAAATCTACAAAACCCAATTCCAATGAAGTTGGGAAGATGTGTAAATCGTAAATAAAAAGGGAACACAAGAATTTGCAAATCCTTTTCAACCCAGCAGCATTAATGCTGAAAGGTACATACAGGTTTTGGAGCGACATATGCTGCCATCCATGTAACGTCTTTTTCATGGACGCCCCTGCTTATTTCAGCAAGACAATTCCAAGCCACATTCTGCACGTGTTGCAACAGCGTGGCTTCATAGTAAAAGAGTGCGGGTACTCGACTGGCCTGCCTGCAGTCCAGACTTGTCTCCCATTGAAAATGTGTGGCGCATTATGAAGCATAAAATATGACAACGGAGACCCCGGACTGTTGAACAACTGAAGCTGTACATCAAGCAAGAATGGGAAAGAATTCCACCTTCAAAGCTTCAACAATCAGTCTCCTCAGTTCCCAAACATTTATTGAGTGTTGTTTAAAAGAAAGGTGATGTAACACAGTGGTAAACATGCCCCTGTCCCAACTTCTTTGGCACGTGTTGCAGCCATGAAATTCTGAGTTAATGATGTGCAAAAAAAATAAAGTTTATGAGTTTGAACATTAAATATCTTGTCTTTGTAGTATATTCAATTGAATATAGGTTGAAAAGGATTTGCAAACCATTGTTTTCTGTTTTTATTTACGTTTATCACAATTTCCCAACTTCAGTGGAATTGGGTTTCGTATAAGACATGAAAAAGTATTGCCATTTAGGCTCCTGGGTTGTCTTATTTTATGAGACTTGAGTTTTTTTGCTGGAAACTAACAGTGTTAATGCTTTTCTGCAGGGAACCCCAGTGTGACAGTGGCCCCCAACTGTGATCCTGACTCAGCACTGCCTGTGCTTCAGAGACCAGATCGCCCGACTCAGCTTTCACTGCTCAGCCAGTCGATGATGGATCAACAGGTGTGTTTGTGTGTATGTTTGTTTAACCAGCTTCAATTTCTCTGTATTTTTCCTCCATCAATTCCCTGTGTGGCTGGGCGTACACTGTGAATTTTGTTAATGCTTTTACATTTTCAAACAAAAATTAAGACAAGCGCAATCAGCAGAATAGCTGTTGCGTCACTATGTTGTCATTATTGTACGGTTCTCTCAGGCTCTTAATGAAGTAGAAGCTCCAGAAGACTGCAGAGATGAAGACGACTGTCCTGATGGCGGTTCAGACTATGAAATCAGAAGGTAACAGCACTCTACAAACAGATCCAAGAGGAAAAAAAAGGCTCTTGTCCTTAATTTCTATCAGATTCTCCTCACTCTTAGTGTAACTAAATTTCTTGCTGTGTTTTCTTTGCAGGGCCAATGTACAAAAAATGAAGGCACTGCCTCATGTTGCAGCAGTACAGAAAGTCCCTCATTCGAACTCAGAAGAGGCACTCAGCGATCATGTTTCTGTGACCCCCTGTGCATCAAACAGACCACCAGATGAAAGAGGTATGGTGAAAAGCTGAAACCCACCAAGAAGAGGAGGAGTAGAAGGACAGTGTTTATCATCCAGTCATCACATCTAGAGACATACACTTTGGTAATATGGTTCATTTGTATTTCAGCTCTCAATGCCACAGTGGCCGTTCAGCGTGTTCGGTCTAGACAAAACCAGCCACAAGAAGAAAACGAAAGACCCCCAGCTCTGGTTTCTCAGGTTCTCAACCCTCAGCTGCCTCTCAACCAGTCAGGTAACATGAAGAATTTCTTACATAATTGGTGTGTTAAATTGAAACTGCTCAGCATTGCAACAAACAGAATAAATAATGATCTCTTGTTTGTTATAACATTTGTAGGCAGGAACAGTAGACATAACAGAAAGTCCAGGATGTGTGTGTCCCAAAGTTTTGAGCTGGATGGATCCTCTTTTGCCTCTGTAAGTGGGGACCAGTCCAGCTTGAGCCTGCTGCAGGCCATGTTAGGTCAGGTGGAGGCAGACTTGGATACTCTGAGTCGCACCCCTGAAGAGGCTTCACCACAGAATCAGAACCAGTGCCGAACACAAGGTCTCACAGGATTCTCTGTTGCACTGGTATCTACCCTGGGACGTCTGGTGCACCTCTTCAAACAGGTGTTGTATTTCTATGATAAATCTTAATAATTATATAGACAAATTTATACAGACAGCATGCCCAGACATATTACATGAAGGTGATTGATCTTGTTTACCAGAGGTTCATTCTATAAGTGGAATTATAATGTGATGTAACATTTGTTGAGACAACTGCAGTTAAAGGACACTTGTAGGACGCTTTCATCTCACTAAAGATTTTTTAGTTACTTTATGAATGAGTAGTAATGCTTTTTTTTTTACCAATGCAGCAATAACATATGAGGAATGTCCTTAAGTCAGAAATCTGAAAACAACATCACATGCCTAGGAAAAAGCATGATAATTGCTAAGAACATGAATTTCATATCCTCTTCTAATAACACTATTTATAGAGGGAAGTAGAGGCTCAATTAGAGGTTCATGAGAGGAGAAGACTAGAGGAGAAGTTGAGAGAACAGCATGGGCTAATTGATGCTCTCACTACTGAGACGATGACTCTGAGAGAAGAGGTTGCAGCCCTGCAGGTGAAATTAAATTACCAAATGACCAGAAACTACTATGTTGCCCAAATTCTACCTGTACTTAAAACCTGTTTCCGTTGGGTTCCTCTCAGGCTGGATCGCTGCAGCAGACAGCAGAATTGGAGCAGAAGCTGGACACAGTGGTGCTGGCAATGGGGGGACCTGGACAACAGGAGCTTTACATTAACCCGCCCCCAAGCTTCCCTGTTGAAGCTACAGGTTTATGCTGCTCACATGTGTTTGTCTGTGCATCCATAGTTTTTCGAGTAAATGGTCCATAATTGGTTTTCAATGTCTAACACAGCTCTTCAGTCTGCACCAAATGCTGAACAACCCATTGAGCGATTACAACCTTCTGTTTCTCCTGCTGTGTTGCTCTCCCCTCCTCGACAGAGAGACCACTTGGAACAAAGTTCTGGTAACAGCTGGGTTCCTTTTTAAATTTCTGCATTAAGTCACACGGCCTCATACTCTCAGTCAACAAGTTGCTGATTTTGCCACTTGTCTTCTTCAGAAACTCTTTTGCTGCAGCTGCACAAGGAACTTCCACCTGTAGATACTCTGCACTCCTGTGAGGCCCCCAGTGCAGCCTCCAGCCTCTCACAGCTCTCTCCAGATGCAATACTTGCTGAGATTGCACAACTGAATGAGCAGAACAACCTGATGAGGGCCCATCTCAGCCAGGCTGGTTCAGGGATCGTGGGATCATCTGACAGCATCCACAGGATGAAACGTTTAAGCTCTGGTAACACAGGAAGAGTCACTCCCACATTTGTTGGAGAGAGAGGAATGACAGTCTCCAGCAGATCAGGGAGAAGAAGCCAGCAGGTCCGGGCTGCTGAAGGAGAGCAGTTGATTTCTCAGGTATAGTAAAACTTGCAATGTGATGCAATGACTTGAATAAAGTCGTAATTTAATTTCAAAAGACCCTTATTTCCACCTCAGTTCTTAAAGGTTTTCCTCACTTTTTCTTGTTTAGGCAACATCACTTATCTCCCCCAGTGTGAGCAGCATGGAGCAGCGCCTCCTGGAGCTGAACAGACAAAGTGCAGCAGCAAGGGGTCGTCTGCTGGAGCTCATCGAGCAACAGAAACCAAGTGTTTCATCCAAAGTTTCACCCTCTGGTTCTCCCATCCCTCTTTCTGCCGTTAGTCCTCCATCTGTAGGTATGTCAGCTCAGTCAGACATGTATCTCTCTGTTTGTCTGATTCTTTCACTCTGTAATAAGACCAGAATATCTGTGTTTCATACTCTTCTCAGCTGAAAGAAGAAGTCCAGAGATGTCTTCACAGTCATCTGTAACAGAAGTCCTATCACAAACCAGCGCTGAGTGGAGGCAGTAAGTGGCGTCTGCAAATGGACAGGGGTGTTTTTTGACAAGGCACTTTGAGGACATTCTCCATTTTTGCAATTACCTACAAATACAGCAAGGACAAAGTCTCATTGCAGATTGTTGTTGATAGATTTACTGAGTCTGACCCGCCACCATACAGCCATAGAGGAGAAACAAAGGATAGAGGAGTAGAAGTAAGCAGACACACAACTAAAGATTATATGGAAGTGTAAAGGTTTTACTAAACTGTTGACACTTTTTCACATCTAACACAACCTTTTTTTCTCATAACAGATGGAACAGAGAGAACGGGAGGGCTGGTTTGCCTTATCCACTCATGTGAGATGACACTGATAATGATATTTTAAACCTTTCCCTTTTGAAGATTACCAGTGCCATTTATATTACTGAAATAAATGTTTTTTTTTTTAATTTTCATAGTGGTAACATTTGTTTTTGTCCTGCCTTTTTTTTTTTTTTTAAAGTTCACAGACCCACTTCAAATGTAAGTGTCTGTGTGGCTATATGCTATACAGCCACCACTATGGGATTACCAAACAATGTTAACTTCAGCTGAAGGCTCTAATCAAACATCTGTGGAGTGTGTACAGTTACCATGACAACAGAAAAATTATTCTGTTTTTTGATGCTGCCTCTCATACAAAACTCCAGTCAAATGTATTCCACTGATCCACTAGTGTTGTGTTTGTGTGTTTTTGTGTGACCACCAGAGTATTGTGGTCCACTGTCAAAAGCTGCAGTTAGATCCAACAGAACAAGAATAACATAATCACCAGAGTCATTTGCCTGGAGGATGTCATTTCAGACTCTTAATAAAGCAGACTCTGTGCTGTGAAGAGTTTTAAAACCAGACTGGAAGACCTCCAAGACACCATGCTCAACCAGAGAAGACTTAAGCTGAATGTGAAAAACTTTCTCTAAAATTTTTGAAATAAAGGGAAGCTTGGAGATGGGCCTAAAATTGGCCAGCATACCGCAATCAAGGCCTGGTTTGTGGAGTACAGCTGAAAACCTAATTGGAGATAGTCTTCTATTGCACCTCTAGTAGTAAGACATTGTTTTTAGTAACCTTCTTTTTACCTTGTTATCAAAATGTGAAAAGGAAAAAACCCACACAGCTGACACAAGATTTTGCAGTTGCGTACATCAACCTTCACACAAACTGATTCACTTTAAACCAAGTTAACCTTGTAAAAACACACTCTTGATGAAATGATATGTATTTGTTATTTTTTTATTTAGTTACTGAGTTCTGCCATTTTGGGGCTGTGGGAGGAAACCATAGCACCTGGTGGAAACCTACAGTGTTATGGGGAGAAAATGCACAATTCGAATACGGAGACCTTTATCCTGAAGGTGACAGTGATGACATTCCATGTCCCTAGAACTAGCCTCTGCAGCCGAGGATCAGACCGCCAAGGTCCCAGTGACCCACGTCCAGGCGAGGGAAACTTGGCGCCAAATATTTTGTCCATCATAATGGGTCTGTTTGAGCTACTCTTAGTCTGGTCCCCCCCCCCCAGGAGCAAACAGGTCCTGGGGGATCACTGGGACACACAAACCCCTCCACTACGGTAAGGTGGTAGCTCGAGGAGGGGGAATTTTTTTTTTTAAGATACTAAATATCTTGTGGGAGGAAACCAGAGCACCTGGAGTAAACCCCTGTGTGACGTGTTTGCATTAATTAAACTGTATTGGGGAAAAGAAGTGTTGGTCCTGTTTAAAAGGGGTGTTCTGTGTTGTCAATAGTCAATAATTCCAACAGGTGGGAGAAAGGATCACATGGGCCGTATGGATTGTTTGAATCACAATGAGCAATCAATCCACTGGACAGCATACCCACTGCAACAAGTGCACATGCAGAGGACACACCAATGAACTTGCCTACTCTCAGTGCACCTCTGCAAGAGCGCTTCCACAGGCTTTCACTCTGAGCCTCAGCAGCAGGAGTTTCCAGCTGCTGAGGTTCAGGTGATATCTCGAGGTCAGGTGATATCTCGTCTGTCTGCACCCCAGTGGAGTTAAGATGTCTTTCACTTGACGCTAGTATCTCTTCCTCCTGCTTTGCCTTGAGCTCTTCTCTGAGCTTGCTGATTGTTTCCTCTGAATGTGTGTAGTGGGTGTGCAGATCTTCTGTGATTTCTTGCAGATTGGCAATTTCCCTCTTCAGCTTTCTTATCGTTCTATTCTTTTCACCAAGTTCTAGATCAGATCCAAACAATTCAGTCTGAAGATTATGGATTTTCGACTTCATGTTTTCAATTCTTTCTGCACGCCCCTCTGCCAGAGATTTTTGTTCATCCAGCTTATCTGCAAATTGCTCATCACGATCATTTAGCAACTCCTGATGTTCCTGAAGATCTTTTAAGGCTGCCTTGAGCTCTTCTCTGAGCTTGCTGATTGTTTCCTCTGAATGCTGGTTCAGGGTCCTTTCGTTGTCCTGAGCTTGTTCCAAGGCTGTTGTGAGGTGAAACACTTTCTCTTGATAATGCTTTTCTTGACTCCAATTCCTTTCCTTCAAATTGTCAATTTTTGCCACCAAATTTTCATTTTCATTTTCTTTTTCATCCAGTCTTGTTTCAAGACTCGCCACCTTCTCAGTCAAGAGGCTCCTGTTCCTTTCATTTGTGATGCTCTCATCCTGCAGCTGTTTAGCCTCGTCTTGTGTTTTATTAAATGATGTTTGGAGAGAGGTCACTTGCTGGTTCAGGGCCCTTTCGTTGTCCTGAGCTTGTTCCAAGGCTGTTGTGAGGTGAAACACTTCCTCTTGATAATGCTTTTTTTGACTCCAATTCCTTTCCTTCAAATCGTCAATTTCTGCCACCAAATTTTCATTTTCATTTTCTTTTTCATCCAGTCTTGTTTCAAGACTCGCCACCTTCTCAGTCAAGAGGCTCCTGTTCCTTTCATTTGTGATGCTCTCATCCTGCAGCTGTTTAGCCTCGTCTTGTGTTTTATTAAATGATGTTTGAAGAGAGGTCACTTGCTGGTTCAGGGTCCTTTCTCTGTCATGAGCTTGCTGCAAGTCTCTTATTAGGTGAAGCACTCTCTCTCGATACTCCTTTAGTCTCCGAGTCGAAGTGTCACCCAACACCGGAAGTCTGGCAATCTCAGCATCTTTTTTTTGCAACTCCAGCCGAAGCATCTTTATTTGTGACTGGAGTAATGTTTCTTGCCTTACATCTATAACCCTTCTTCGAACTACAGGAGCCTGGTCCACTTGTGTGTTTTGCTGTGCTTTGTGGTGGCTCTCAATGGCCCTCCTATCTACTGTCTCTTCTTGCAAATAGGAGTGCCCCCTTCTTGATTGATGGGACCCCTTCGGTGCTACCATTGAGTGTGAGTAAAACTTCTTTTCACTCCTTTTAGGCTGGTAAGATTGGAGCATTTCTGTGTCCACCTCTATTCTCCTGATCACCTCACATTCCTCTTCAGGATGGTTCTGGAGCTCAGGCACACTGAGGCAGCGTGGGTCGGCAGCAATTTGTGTATATCTCTCAGACATGGTTACTAGTGAAGTTGTCTGTAAAAGAATTACTAAAACAAAAAGTTAAACAGTAAAGGTGGTAAAATAACCAACGTACCAGGAATCGAAAAACTTTCTGTTAACTATGTTATAAGAAGCATCAAGAACCCTTTGTCCTGCTCTGATGTCACGCTTTAATGTTATGACGTCACCGTCACGGACTTTGATGTTATGACGTCACGCGGGGGCAGTGGAACGCAGCTTGCGCATGCTCTGTGCGAGATGTCCAGGCGTCCGCCACATTAGAGAGGGCAAGTCCGCCTTTTCTATATTCAGATGAGAGAGAAATCCACCCGGATGCTTCGTTTCAAATCTGCGGCTCGGCTCATTACTTTTCAAATTAAACTGGGTTGGAGAAAAACGTTTCTGTAGGCGACTTGGCAACCGAAAAAAAAAAAAACTACTCACGCTTTTATTTTCAATGCAAATACATGTACTTCCGGCTGTGGGCTCTATCCCTGCACCTCACGAATATCCTCCGACCCTTTTTTGAGCGTTTTACCGATAACTTTACTCCGTTCAACTCTTTCTGGCAGAGTTTCGTCCTGACGAAAACTACATTTCTTTTTAAAGAAAAAAAAAGTCAGTGCATCTGACTGGTGCTGTGCCTGTACGCCTCTCAACATTAAGGAAATTTTTATGTCGACTATGCCCTCTGGTGGGGATAGCGGATGGTTGCAAAGATCTGTCAGCCAAAGCAATACTTGAGCTGACCCCTAAAAACATTTATTAATCGTGTGATGGTGAAGGAAACTTGTGTCTATCCAGAAGCTATCAAACGCACTGAAGTCTGAATTGCAGAGATGGGAAAACGTGGAGTCACCAAGTCATCTCCATGCCTCTCATCTCCATTCGTTTCAAATCTGCGGCTCGGCTTACTGGTGCTTGAAAGTGGACCATCGGAATTAGTCGGCAGTAAGTAGGAGGGAAATGTTGAGAGGACCCTTCGACAAAGGCTTTCGACTCACGAAGGCATATTGTTCTGGAGAGTCCCGAGTATCTTTGGTCCCCGAGACTAAAACACCGTGCAGTTTAACTATAGTTGCATATTTAACTATTGAAATGGCATCAATATATGACTGTACAGGCATGCTTCCGTAAACAAAACAGACAACACGGCGTTTTTTTTTACACTTACTGTGTTTTTTGGGGAATTTTGGCTGTATTTAAGAGGCTTTAATTTCTATAGAAAGACATGTAGGCTAATGTGAAGATGTCATATCAAAAATGTAATCATGTTTAATGATCATGCTATCAGTCAGAATAGTCATGTACTGTTCTGTGTTTGCATTTGTTTAGCAGAGACTTAGTAAGTATAATAAATCTTTAAAACAATCAATCAGTTTCTTTTGTTGTCCCGAGAGTCACAGGGGACTGTGAAGTCCCGTTTGTATTTCATTTGAGCTTATTATTTTTGGTTTGAATCCCCATGGCACGAAATTTGCAGAGGTGTGGATTTTCTTTCCACTTTTGATATTTATACCTCATCTGCTACACACCCCTTAGTGTAGTAGTGTTGTGTTGTTCGCGCAGATTCATTCAAAAGAAACAAATCTTATAAGTGACCATACTGAACCGAATCACTTCCTCAAGTGATCGTTTCTTTCTCACTTCATTTGAGCTGGAGTGAGAAACAGCATTGCCAGTCGAGCAGCTGGTGAATGAGGAGCAGCTGGAGGACTGCATGCACCAACACCTGAATCACTTGGTGAAAGAATCACTCATTGAGCTACACTGTCTGGAATCATTTTTGTCAGACAAAACTACCTTTTTTTTTTTTTTTTTACTGCTACATTGCCACCACAACAACTTGCATACAATAGGACACAGCATGTAACAAGTAGTGCTTTGAACCCGCATTATCCTATCATTTCACCAGTTTGCGAGGGAATGGTGTATGTTCAGTTTAAATTCTTCTAAACGCTCAGTGAACTAATCACTCACTGAGCCCAATTTACCGAGCAGACCTGATAAATAGCATACCATGGGACAGTACACTTAAAACATCATGACTTATGAACAAAAGTTCATTTTTACAAACCTGTTTGCCAAAGCAACACAGCCAAACACTTGTGTCTCCCAGTCCCAGAAGCTATGAATTGAACTGAATCCTGAACCGTTCAGCCGTGTTTCAGTTCAGGAGGTCGGAGTTGCAGGCTTCTCCGGCCAAGCGCCACATAATTCGGTGAATCAATCTGTAAATTAGTGGAATTATAATGTGATGTAACATTCTTTGAGACAACTGCAGTACAAGTACTCTTGTACTGTTTTGCATTTCTGCACTCTTTCAATAGAAACCTCAAACACCTACCGCTTTCATCTCACTAACAATTTTTTAGTTACTTTATGAATGGGTAGTAATTCTTTTTACTAATGCAGCAATAACATATGAGGGATTTTCTTAAGTCAGAAATCTAAAAACAACATCACATGCCTCGGAAAAAGCATTATAGTTGCCTCCTCCTCACACTGAAAATAAAGGGGAAAAATCTCAGATTTCAGATTCTGTGTTTTACCAGTGCTCTGTGGTAGATGAAGCATGTACAAGGGTCTGGGAGCTGAGCTGCTGTTAACCAAAGCTTAGCCTGTTTGCAGAAGCTGACTGTGTTTGTCTGTTTGGAGTTCATGAGTCAGCATTGGTTAAGAAATTTTAATCTTTTCATTTTTAATATCTGAGTCTCTACTATGTGCTAAGGCAGGCTAACCGAGCTGTCAGCAACGCCTGTCTGCCTGTTTTGGCTGTGTACCCACGTCATGCCCAAAGTTTCCTCATCTTTGAATAATAAGAAAGTTTAGTTTCATAGTTGCTTTCCTGTTGCCTGGATCCGCTTTTCTTTGCTTTTTTATCTATTACTTTTTCTTAGACAGCCATTGGTTTAAAGTGAATCAGTTTGTGTGAAGGTACATCAACCTTCACACAAACTGATTCAAGTTAACCTTGTAAAAACACACTCTTGATGAAATGATATGTATTTGTTATTTTTTTTATTTAGTTACTGAGTTCTGCCATTTTGGGGCTGTGGGAGGAAACCATAGCACCTGGTGGAAAGCTACAGTGTTATGGGGAGAAAATGCACAATTCGAATACGGAGACCTTTATCCTGAAGGTGACAGTGATGACATTCCATGTCCCTAGAACTAGCCTCTGCAGCCGAGGATCAGACCGCCAAGATCCCAGTGACCCACGTCCAGGCGAGGGAAACTTGGCGCCAAATATTTTGTCCATCATACTGGGTCTGTTTGAGCTACTCTTAGTCTGGTCCCCCCCCCAGGAGCAAACAGGTCCTGGGGGATCACTGGGACACACAAACCCCTCCACCACGGTAAGGTGGTAGCTCGAGGAGGGGGAATTTTTTTTTTTAAGATACTAAATATCTTGTGGGAGGAAACCAGAGCACCTGGAGTAAACCCCTGTGTGACGTGTTTGCATTAATTAAACTGTATTGGGGAAAAGAAGTGTTGGTCCTGTTTAAAAGAGGTGTTCTGTGTTGTCAATAGTCAATAATTCCAACAGGTGGGAGAAAGGATCACATGGGCCGTATGGATTGTTTGAATCACAATGAGCAATCAATCCACTGGACAGCATACCCACTGCAACAAGTGCACATGCAGAGGACACACCAATGAACTTGCCTACTCTCAGTGCACCTCTGCAAGAGCGCTTCCACAGGCTTTCACTCTGAGCCTCAGCAGCAGGAGTTTCCAGCTGCTGAGGTTCAGGTGATATCTCGAGGTCAGGTGATATCTCGTCTGTCTGTACCCCAGTGGAGTTAAGATGTCTTTCACTTGACGCTAGTATCTCTTCCTCCTGCTTTGCCTTGAGCTCTTCTCTGAGCTTGCTGATTGTTTCCTCTGAATGTGTGTAGTGGGTGTGCAGATCTTCTGTGATTTCTTGCAGATTGGCAATTTCCCTCTTCAGCTTTCTTATCGTTCTATTCTTTTCACCAAGTTCTAGATCAGATCCAAACAATTCAGTCTGAAGATTATGGATTTTCGACTTCATGTTTTCAATTCTTTCTGCACGCCCCTCTGCCAGAGATTTTTGTTCATCCAGCTTATCTGCAAGTTGCTCATCACGATCATTTAGCAACTCCTGATGTTCCTGAAGATCTTTTAAGGCTGCCTTGAGCTCTTCTCTGAGCTTGCTGATTGTTTCCTCTGAATGCTGGTTCAGGGCCCTTTCTTTGTCCTGAGCTTGTTCCAAGGCTGTTGTGAGGTGAAACACTTTCTCTTGATAATGCTTTTTTTGACTCCAATTCCTTTCCTTCAAATCGTCAATTTCTGCCACCAAATTTTCATTTTCATTTTCTTTTTCATCCAGTCTTGTTTCAAGACTCGCCACCTTCTCAGTCAAGAGGCTCCTGTTCCTTTCATTTGTGATGCTCTCATCCTGCAGCTGTTTAGCCTCGTCTTGTGTTTTATTAAATGATGTTTGGAGAGAGGTCACTTGCTGGTTCAGGGTCCTTTCGTTGTCCTGAGCTTGTTCCAAGGCTGTTGTGAGGTGAAACACTTTCTCTTGACAATGCTTTTCTTGACTCCAATTCCTTTCCTTCAAATCGTCAATTTCTGCCACCAAATTTTCATTTTCATTTTCTTTTTCATCCAGTCTTGTTTCAAGACTCGCCACCTTCTCAGTCAAGAGGCTCCTGTTCCTTTCATTTGTGATGCTCTCATCCTGCAGCTGTTTAGCCTCGTCTTGTGTTTTATTAAATGATGTTTGGAGAGAGGTCACTTGCTGGTTCAGGGTCCTTTCGTTGTCCTGAGCTTGTTCCAAGGCTGTTGTGAGGTGAAGCACTTTCTCTTGATAATGCTTTTCTTGACTCCAATTCCTTTCCTTTAAATCGTCAATTTCTGCCACCAAATTTTCATTTTCATTTTCTTTTTCATCCAGTCTTGTTTCAAGACTCGCCACCTTCTCAGTCAAGAGGCTCCTGTTCCTTTCATTTGTGATGCTCTCATCCTGCAGCTGTTTAGCCTCGTCTTGGGTTTTATTAAATGATGTTTGGAGAGAGGTCACTTGCTGGTTCAGGGTCCTTTCGTTGTCCTGAGCTTGTTCCAAGGCTATTGTGTGGTGAAACACTTTCTCACGATAATGCTTTTCTTGACTCCAATTCCTTTCCTTCAAATCGTCAATTTCTGCCACCAAATTTTCATTTTCATTTTCTTTTTCATCCAGTCTTGTTTCAAGACTCGCCACCTTCTCAGTCAAGAGGCTCCTGTTCCTTTCATTTGTGATGCTCTCATCCTGCAGCTGTTTAGCCTCGTCTTGTGTTTTATTAAATGATGTTTGAAGAGAGGTCACTTGCTGGTTCAGGGTCCTTTCTCTGTCATGAGCTTGCTGCAAGTCTCTTATTAGGTGAAGCACTCTCTCTCGATACTCCTTTAGTCTCCGAGTCGAAGTGTCACCCAACACCGGAAGTCTGGCAATCTCAGCATCTTTTTTTTGCAACTCCAGCCGAAGCATCTTTATTTGTGACTGGAGTAATGTTTCTTGCCTTACATCTATAACCCTTCTTCGAACTACAGGAGCCTGGTCCACTTGTGTGTTTTGCTGTGCTTTGTGGTGGCTCTCAATGGCCCTCCTATCTACTGTCTCTTCTTGCAAATAGGAGTGCCCCCTTCTTGATTGATGGGACCCCTTCAGTGCTACCATTGAGTGTGAGTAAAACTTCTTTTCACTCCTTTTAGGCTGGTAAGATTGGAGCATTTCTGTGTCCACCTCTATTCTCCTGATCACCTCACATTCCTCTTCAGGATGGTTCTGGAGCTCAGGCACACTGAGGCAGCGTGGGTCGGCAGCAATTTGTGTATATCTCTCAGACATGGTTACTAGTGAAGTTGTCTGTAAAAGAATTACTAAAATAAAAAGTTAAACAGTAAAGGTGGTAAAATAACCAACGTACCAGGAATCGAAAAACTTTCTGTTAACTATGTTATAAGAAGCATCAAGAACCCTTTGTCCTGCTCTGATGTCACGCTTTAATGTTATGACGTCACCGTCACGGACTTTGATGTTATGACGTCACGCGGGGGCAGTAGAACGCAGCTTGCGCATGCTCTGTGCGAGATGTCCAGGCGTCCGCCACATTAGAGAGGGCAAGTCCGCCTTTTCTATATTCAGATGAGAGAGAAATCCACCCGGATGCTTCGTTTCAAATCTGCGGCTCGGCTCATTACTTTTCAAATTAAACTGGGTTGGAGAAAAACGTTTCTGTAGGCGACTTGGCAACCGAAAAAAAAAAAAAACTACTCACGCTTTTATTTTCAATGCAAATACATGTACTTCCGGCTGTGGGCTCTATCCCTGCACCTCACGAATATCCTCCGACCCTTTTTTGAGCGTTTTACCGATAACTTTACTCCGTTCAACTCTTTCTGGCAGAGTTTCGTCCTGACGAAAACTCCATTTCTTTTTAAAGAAAAAAAAAGTCAGTGCATCTGACTGGTGCTGTGCCTGTACGCCTCTCAACATTAAGGAAATTTTTATGTCGACTATGCCCTCTGGTGGGGATAGCGGATGGTTGCAAAGATCTGTCAGCCAAAGCAATACTTGAGCTGACCCCTAAAAACATTTATTAATCGTGTGATGGTGAAGGAAACTTGTGTCTATCCAGAAGCTATCAAACGCACTGAAGTCTGAATTGCAGAGATGGGAAAACGTGGAGTCACCAAGTCATCTCCATGCCTCTCATCTCCATTCGTTTCAAATCTGCGGCTCGGCTTACTGGTGCTTGAAAGTGGACCATCGGAATTAGTCGGCAGTAAGTAGGAGGGAAATGTTGAGAGGACCCTTCGACAAAGGCTTTCGACTCACGAAGGCATATTGTTCTGGAGAGTCCCGAGTATCTTTGGTCCCCGAGACTAAAACACCGTGCAGTTTAACTATAGTTGCATATTTAACTATTGAAATGGCATCAATATATGACTGTACAGGCATGCTTCCGTAAACAAAACAGACAACACGGCGTTTTTTTTTACACTTACTGTGTTTTTTGGGGAATTTTGGCTGTATTTAAGAGGCTTTAATTTCTATAGAAAGACATGTAGGCTAATGTGAAGATGTCATATCAAAAATGTAATCATGTTTAATGATCATGCTATCAGTCAGAATAGTCATGTACTGTTCTGTGTTTGCATTTGTTTAGCAGAGACTTAGTAAGTATAATAAATCTTTAAAACAATCAATCAGTTTCTTTTGTTGTCCCGAGAGTCACAGGGGACTGTGAAGTCCCGTTTGTATTTCATTTGAGCTTATTTTTGGTTTGAATCCCCATGGCACGAAATTTGCAGAGGTGTGGATTTTCTTTCCACTTTTGATATTTATACCTCATCTGCTACACACCCCTTAGTGTAGTAGTGTTGTGTTGTTCGCGCAGATTCATTCAAAAGAAACAAATCTTATAAGTGACCATACTGAACCGAATCCCTTCCTCAAGTGATCGTTCGTTTCTCACTTCATTTGAGCTGGAGTGAGAAACAGCATTGCCAGTCGAGCAGCTGGTGAATGAGGAGCAGCTGGAGGACTGCATGCACCAACACCTGAATCACTTGGTGAAAGAATCACTCATTGAGCTACACTGTCTGGAATCATTTTTGTCAGACAAAACTACCTTTTTTTTCTTTTTTTTTTTTACTACTACATTGCCACCACAACAACTTGCATACAATAGGACACAGCATGTAACAAGTAGTGCTTTAAACCCGCATTATCCTATCATTTCACCAGTTTGCGAGGGAATGGTGTATGTTCAGTTTAAATTCTTCTAAACGCTCAGTGAACTAATCACTCACTGAGCCCAATTTACCGAGCAGACCTGATAAATAGCATACCATGGGACAGTACACTTAAAACATCATGACTTATGAACAAGTTCATTTTTACAAACCTGTTTGCCAAAGCAACACAGCCAAACACTTGTGTCTCCCAGTCCCAGAAGCTATGAATTGAACTGAATCCTGAACCGTTCAGCCGTGTTTCAGTTCAGGAGGTCGGAGTTGCAGGCTTCTCCGGCCAAGCGCCACATAATTCGGTGAATCAATCTGTAAATTAGTGGAATTATAATGTGATGTAACATTCTTTGAGACAACTGCAGTACAAGTACTCTTGTACTGTTTTGCATTTCTGCACTCTTTCAATAGAAACCTCAAACACCTACCGCTTTCATCTCACTAACAATTTTTTAGTTACTTTATGAATGGGTAGTAATTCTTTTTACTAATGCAGCAATAACATATGAGGGATTTTCTTAAGTCAGAAATCTAAAAACAACATCACATGCCTCGGAAAAAGCATTATAGTTGCCTCCTCCTCACACTGAAAATAAAGGGGAAAAATCTCAGATTTCAGATTCTGTGTTTTACCAGTGCTCTGTGGTAGATGAAGCATGTACAAGGGTCTGGGAGCTGAGCTGCTGTTAACCAAAGCTTAGCCTGTTTGCAGAAGCTGACTGTGTTTGTCTGTTTGGAGTTCATCAGTCAGCATTGGTTAAGAAATTTTAATCTTTTCATTTTTAATATCTGAGTCTCTACCATGTGCTAAGGCAGGCTAACCGAGCTGTCAGCAACGCCTGTCTGCTTTGGCTGTGTACCCACATCATGCCCAAAGTTTCCTCATCTTTGAATAATAAGAAAGTTTAGTTTCATAGTTGCTTTCCTGTTGCCTGGATCCGCTTTTCTTTGCTTTTTTATCTATTACTTTTTCTTAGACAGCCATTGGTTTAAAGTGAATCAGTTTGTGTGAAGGTACATCAACCTTCACACAAACTGATTCAAGTTAACCTTGTAAAAACACACTCTTGATGAAATGATATGTATTTGTTATTTTTTTATTTACGGTGTTCTCAACACAGAAGTTAATATAGTCCGTGATGCAGTCAGTCATGGTGTCGATGTCATCACCATGTGGGCCGCACAGTACATCCCAGTCTGTGGTCTCAAAACAGTCCTGCAGCGCCTCAGGAGGCCACTGAGGCGCTGCAGGACTGTTTTGAGACCACAGACTGGGATGTACTGTGCGGCCCACATGGTGATGACATCGACACCATGACTGACTGCATCACGGACTATATTAACTTCTGTGTTGAGAACACCGTACCCACCAGGAAAGTACGGTGTTTCTCCAACAGCAAACCCTGGGTGACCCCGGAACTGAAAGTCCTCCTGAAGGAGAAGAGGAGGGTCTTTAAATCTGGGGACAAGGAGGAGCTGAGGAGGGTGCAGAAGGAGTTGAAGAAGAAGATCAGAGAGGGAAAGGCCAGCTACAAGACCAAGATGGAAAACCTTTTGCAACAGAACAACGCAAGGGAGGTCTGGAGAGGCCTAAAATCCATCTCAGGTCATAGCAGGGGCCATGAGAGGGGATCTGAAGCAGGAGACAGGGAGTGGGCCAACGAGCTGAATCTGTTCTTCAATAGATTTGACTCTACTCCCACTCCTCCCCCGACTCATCTAACCAACGACCCGTCTGCTGCTCCTCCTTCTTCTTATTCTTATTCACACCACCTCAGTCCCATGGCACCGACACCATCAACCCCCCTCCACTCATCCTCCACCACCCCCTCCAGCACCACCCCCAGCCTCTCCATAACAGCTGACCAGGTGAGAAGTGAGCTGAGGAAGATGAAGCCAAGGAAAGCCACGGGTCCTGACGGCATCAGCCCCAGACTCCTGAAAGACTGTGCAGACCAGCTCTGTGAGGTGCTACTGCACATCTTCAGCTTGAGCCTGAGTCTGGAGAGGGTCCCAACACTGTGGAAGACTTCCTGCGTGATTCCTGTCCCCAAGACAGCGCACCCTAGGGAGCCCAACCACTTCAGACCTGTGGCCCTCACTTCTCACCTGATGAAGACTCTGGAGAGGATCGTGCTGAGGAACCTCCGCCCCCTGGTGAGCTCTCATCTGGATCCTCTGCAGTTTGCGTACCAGCCGAACATCGGAGTGGATGACGCAGTCATCTACCTGCTGCAGAGGTCCATGGCTCACCTGGAGAACACTGGCAGCACTGTGAGGGTCATGTTTTTTGACTTCTCCAGTGCGTTCAACACCATCCAGCCTTCACTGCTCAGGGGGAAGCTCGAGCGGGCGGGAGTGGACTGTCACCTAGCCGCATGGACCGTGGACTACCTCACCGACAGACCACAGTTTGTGAGGCTTCAGAACTGTGTATCGGACATGGTGGTCTGCAGCACGGGGGCTCCACAGGGGACAGTGCTCTCCCCCTTCCTCTTCACCCTGTACACCTCAGACTTCAGCTACAACTCTGGGAGCTGTCACCTCCAGAAGTTCTCTGATGACACAGCCATCGTCGGATGTGTATCGTCAGGGGACGAGCGGGAATACAGGACTGTCATCACTGACTTTGTCAACTGGTGTGGCACAAACCACCTCCAGCTCAACGCCAGTAAGACAAAGGAGATGGTTGTGGATTTCCGCAGGAGGGGGACACCTCAAACAGTTCCAGTGAACATACAGGGTCTGGACATTGAGATGGTGGAGTCCTACAGATTCCTGGGTGTTCACCTCAACAACAGACTGGACTGGTCAACAAACACAGACGTTCTGTACAAGAAGGGCCAAAGTCGTCTCCACCTGCTGAGGAGACTGAGGTCCTTTGGAGTGTGCAGGACTCTGCTCAGGACTTTCTATGACTCTGTGGTAGCATCTGCACTTTTCTATGCAGTGGTCTGCTGGGGGGCAGGGAGCACCGAGAGGGACAGGAAGAGACTGAATAGACTGGTCAGGAGGGCCGGTTCTGTCCTGGACTGCTCTTTGGACTCCCTGGAGGAGGTGGGTGAGAGGAGGATGTTAACAAAGCTTATATCCATCATGGACAATCCCTCTCACCCACTGCACCAGACTGTGGGGGCTTTAGGCAGCTCCTTCAGCAGCAGACTGAGACTCCCACCCTGCAGGACGGAGCGCTACCGCAGATCATTCCTCCCCTCTGCAATAAGACTTTACAATGAACAGTAACAAAACTGGATTTACACCACCACTTTTTTTATGGCATTTAAATTGTGTATATTGCAGAAAGCTTTATTTTTTCTTCTCCCTTTTCTCTTTTCAATTTTTTTTTTTTCTTAATTATTACATTTATTAAGTTCTTAATATTAGGACCCTTATTGTTATAACTGCATTTTGCACTTTCTGTCTTGTCTGTGATGCTGCTGTGACAAAAAAATTTCCCCCATGGGGGATCAATAAAGGAATATTCTATTCTATTCTATTCTATTTAGTTACTGAGTTCTGCCATTTTGGGGCTGTGGGAGGAAACCATAGCACCTGGTGGAAACCTACAGTGTTATGGGGAGAAAATGCACAATTCGAATACGGAGACCTTTATCCTGAAGGTGACAGTGGTGACATTCCATGTCCCTAGAACTAGCCTCTGCAGCCGAGGATCAGACCGCCAAGGTGCCAGTGACCCACGTCCAGGCGAGGGAAACTTGGCGCCAAATATTTTGTCCATCATAATGGGTCTGTTTGAGCTACTCTTAGTCTGGTCCCCCCCCCCCAGGAGCAAACAGGTCCTGGGGGATCACTGGGACACACAAACCCCTCCACCACGGTAAGGTGGTAGCTCGAGGAGGGGGAATTTTTTTTTTTAAGATACTAAATATCTTGTGGGAGGAAACCAGAGCACCTGGAGTAAACCCCTGTGTGACGTGTTTGCATTAATTAAACTGTATTGGGGAAAAGAAGTGTTGGTCCTGTTTAAAAGGGGTGTTCTGTGTTGTCAATAGTCAATAATTCCAACAGGTGGGAGAAAGGATCACATGGGCCGTATGGATTGTTTGAATCACAATGAGCAATCAATCCACTGGACAGCATACCCACTGCAACAAGTGCACATGCAGAGGACACACCAATGAACTTGCCTACTCTCAGTGCACCTCTGCAAGAGCGCTTCCACAGGCTTTCACTCTGAGCCTCAGCAGCAGGAGTTTCCAGCTGCTGAGGTTCAGGTGATATCTCGAGGTCAGGTGATATCTCGTCTGTCTGCACCCCAGTGGAGTTAAGATGTCTTTCACTTGACGCTAGTATCTCTTCCTCCTGCTTTGCCTTGAGCTCTTCTCTGAGCTTGCTGATTGTTTCCTCTGAATGTGTGTAGTGGGTGTGCAGATCTTCTGTGATTTCTTGCAGATTGGCAATTTCCCTCTTCAGCTTTCTTATCGTTCTATTCTTTTCACCAAGTTCTAGATCAGATCCAAACAATTCACTCTGAAGATTATGGATTTTCGACTTCATGTTTTCAATTCTTTCTGCACGCCCCTCTGCCAGAGATTTTTGTTCATCCAGCTTATCTGCAAGTTGCTCATCACGATCATTTAGCAACTCCTGATGTTCCTGAAGATCTTTTAAGGCTGCCTTGAGCTCTTCTCTGAGCTTGCTGATTGTTTCCTCTGAATGCTGGTTCAGGGCCCTTTCGTTGTCCTGAGCTTGTTCCAAGGCTGTTGTGAGGTGAAACACTTTCTCTTGATAATGCTTTTCTTGACTCCAATTCCTTTCCTTTAAATCGTCAATTTCTGCCACCAAATTTTCATTTTCATTTTCTTTTTCATCCAGTCTTGTTTCAAGACTCGCCACCTTCTCAGTCAAGAGGCTCCTGTTCCTTTCATTTGTGATGCTCTCATCCTGCAGCTGTTTAGCCTCGTCTTGTGTTTTATTAAATGATGTTTGGAGAGAGGTCACTTGCTGGTTCAGGGTCCTTTCGTTGTCCTGAGCTTGTTCCAAGGCTGTTGTGAGGTGAAACACTTTCTCTTGATAATACTTTTCTTGACTCCAATTCCTTTCCTTCAAATCGTCAATTTCTGCCACCAAATTTTCATTTTCATTTTCTTTTTCATCCAGTCTTGTTTCAAGACTCGCCACCTTCTCAGTCAAGAGGCTCCTGTCCCTTTCATTTGTGATGCTCTCATCCTGCAGCTGTTTAGCCTCGTCTTGTGTTTTATTAAATGATGTTTGAAGAGAGGTCACTTGCTGGTTCAGGGTCCTTTCTCTTTCATGAGCTTGCTGCAAGTCTCTTATTAGGTGAAGCACTCTCTCTCGATACTCCTTTAGTCTCCGAGTCGAAGTGTCACCCAACACCGGAAGTCTGGCAATCTCAGCATCTTTTTTTTGCAACTCCAGCCGAAGCATCTTTATTTGTGACTGGAGTAATGTTTCTTGCCTTACATCTATAACCCTTCTTCGAACTACAGGAGCCTGGTCCACTTGTGTGTTTTGCTGTGCTTTGTGGTGGCTCTCAATGGCCCTCCTATCTACTGTCTCTTCTTGCAAATAGGAGTGCCCCCTTCTTGATTGATGGGACCCCTTCGGTGCTACCATTGAGTGTGAGTAAAACTTCTTTTCACTCCTTTTAGGCTGGTAAGATTGGAGCATTTCTGTGTCCACCTCTATTCTCCTGATCACCTCACATTCCTCTTCAGGATGGTTCTGGAGCTCAGGCACACTGAGGCAGCGTGGGTCGGCAGCAATTTGTGTATATCTCTCAGACATGGTTACTAGTGAAGTTGTCTGTAAAAGAATTACTAAAACAAAAAGTTAACCAGTAAAGGTGGTAAAATAACCAACGTACCAGGAATCGAAAAACTTTCTGTTAACTATGTTATAAGAAGCATCAAGAACCCTTTGTCCTGCTCTGATGTCACGCTTTAATGTTATGACGTCACCGTCACGGACTTTGATGTTATGACGTCACGCGGGGGCAGTGGAACGCAGCTTGCGCATGCTCTGTGCGAGATGTCCAGGCGTCCGCCACATTAGAGAGGGCAAGTCCGCCTTTTCTATATTCAGATGAGAGAGAAATCCACCCGGATGCTTCGTTTCAAATCTGCGGCTCGGCTCATTACTTTTCAAATTAAACTGGGTTGGAGAAAAACGTTTCTGTAGGCGACTTGGCAACCGAAAAAAAAAAAACTACTCACGCTTTTATTTTCAATGCAAATACATGTACTTCCGGCTGTGGGCTCTATCCCTGCACCTCACGAATATCCTCCGACCCTTTTTTGAGCGTTTTACCGATAACTTTACTCCGTTCAACTCTTTCTGGCAGAGTTTCGTCCTGACGAAAACTCCATTTCTTTTTAAAGAAAAAAAAAGTCAGTGCATCTGACTGGTGCTGTGCCTGTACGCCTCTCAACATTAAGGAAATTTTTATGTCGACTATGCCCTCTGGTGGGGATAGCGGACGGTTGCAAAGATCTGTCAGCCAAAGCAATACTTGAGCTGACCTCTAAAAACATTTATTAATCGTGTGATGGTGAAGGAAACTTGTGTCTTTCCAGAAGCTATCAAACGCACTGAAGTCTGAATTGCAGAGATGGGAAAATGTGGAGTCACCAAGTCATCTCCATGCCTCTCATCTCCATTCGTTTCAAATCTGCGGCTCGGCTTACTGGTGCTTGAAAGTGGACCATCGGAATTAGTCGGCAGTAAGTAGGAGGGAAATGTTGAGAGGACCCTTCGACAAAGGCTTTCGACTCACGAAGGCATATTGTTCTGGAGAGTCCCGAGTATCTTTGGTCCCCGAGACTAAAACACCGTGCAGTTTAACTATAGTTGCATATTTAACTATTGAAATGGCATCAATATATGACTGTACAGGCATGCTTCCGTAAACAAAACAGACAACACACCATTTTTTTTTTTAACTTACTGTGTTTTTTGGGGAATTTTGACTGTATTTAAGGGGCTTTAATTTCTATAGAAAGACATGTAGGCTAATGTGAAGATGTCATATCACAAATGTAATCATGTTTAATGATCATGCTATCAGTCAGAATAGTCATCCGTGTTTGCATTTGTTTAGCAGAGACTTAGTAAGTATAATAAATCTTTAAAACAATCAATCAATTTCTTTTGTTGTCCCGAGAGTCACAGGGGACTGTGAAGTCCCGTTTGTATTTCATTTGAGCTTATTATTTTTGGTTTGAATCCCCATGGCACGAAATTTGCAGAGGTGTGGATTTTCTTTCCACTTTTGATATTTATACCTCATCTGCTACACACCCCTTAGTGTAGTAGTGTTGTGTTGTTCGCGCAGATTCATTCAAAAGAAACAAATCTTATAAGTGACCATACTGAACCGAATCACTTCCTCAAGTGATCGTTCGTTTCTCACTTCATTTGAGCTTGAGTGAGAAACAGACATGGTTTCAAATTCCTTTTAAAAATACATACCATATTTTAAAAAAAATATTTTATACCTTTCCTAAGCTCCTTTAAGCAGTTTTGAATTGACCATAAGATAAATTGAAATCAATACTGATGCCTCTACAGCTAATCAGTGAGGAGATTTATTTTTTACATTGTTTTGTTTAAGGCTTCCAAATGCTGCTGCTGCCATGTGCTAAGGATTTGTATAGATTTTCAGAGGCAAAGATTCTCTGCGATTGATTCCTATTGAGTGTTAAAAGAAACCAGGATGATGTTTATTTTGTCCCAAAACCTAATTTACACATGAGTAAAAATCGTACCATTTTTTCCACAGTGAACACTAATCTTGTACAAATAGAGTGTCCCTCACAGGAACTTAATGTCGCCACATGAAGTTGTTTGCCTTCTTTCAAGCCCCTTTAAGAACTTTTTGTGTTTGTTTTGGCTCTGTGGATGAAGCTGTAAGTGTAAATTGTGTTTTATGTTGAAAAATCTGATCTTGCATCTTTTTGACAGTCACAAAAAGCCATGAGTAAATATAATAATACGTGGACAGAATGCATACTCCTGCAAAATCAGCCAGGTGGGATAGTGTTGATCTCAGACTGCAACAACTGGCTGTTCATAGAAGAACAGATGTGTTGGCAGCCCAAGGGTGGAGTGATAATTTCCATCTAATGTAAGCACAGGTAAGAGGTTATCTTCTGGTCATTGCTGCCTGTCACACCTTGGACTGTGCTGTCAGTACAGTTGCAGGGTAATCAGCAAGGGGCCACCCTTCACTGATGCTCCATTAATCTTGTAACATCTCGTGGTGGTGGAACGACAGTGGAGATGTCTCCCCACTGCCCCCTACAGCTGTTCCTCGGACCCTTGCTTTCCCTTAACTTGATCCTTCCTCCTTAGCCAAAGCCAGAAGCTCCCCTATTTAGTCTCCTAAGCCAGATCTTGGAGGGCCTTTCTTAATTTATGGCCCGAGACTCCCACACTCCCCAGGAAGCACAGAGTAGATTTTCCCTCAAAACCTCTGCTGTCAGCTTTAGTGGAAGCTTCAGTGGGAGCTAACAGCTGACCACCCTGCTTCCCTGCAGTCAGCCATCCGCTCTGTGTATTTGTCCTTCTTCGTTTCAAAGGCTGCCTCCATCCCTCCTGAGCTCTGCAATGATCACTGTGTGGACTGTGGTGGACCTTAGGACAATGTCTGGTCTTACAGAGGTGGTGGTGATTTCGACTGGGAACTTCAGCTGGTGATCTTAACCCACTCTCATGTTCCATTCACGCCCAGCTGTTAAGGCTGACCTGTTTCTTTAGGTGATGTTCTGAGCCTTTTCTCCTTTTCCAGTGAAACAGTCTGCCAGCTCCCAGTGGCCAGATAAAATGTTGAAATCAGTCTCACTGTGGTGCTCAACATGGCTATGATTCTTTACCCAATGTAACTTTATTGAGAATACAAGTTCAAACACAATGGTGCATTCAGGGGTAAAAATATTATTAGACTACATACATACTGTATAAACATATAAATTACATTACAGATTTTTCAGAAATAATGAAAAGATGTTTAATACAATATTGTTTGACGTTATTAAACTGAGTTTTTAAATTGGGCGATGTATCATACTGACGTTTAGCATCATTTACATTTACATGTAACAACCGCTGTACATCACTTCTGCAGCTGATGTCTCTACAGCAGAATGTCTGCGCAGCAGTTTCAAATCAACAGTATCGAACTGTGTTACACGTCATGCACAGGTAGAAGACAACCAGCCTGTAAAAATGCAGCATGTTATAGACAAATTCTAAAAGCTACTCTCAGTATAATTTACCCACAATGCACTGCAGTCAACAGTTAATCTTGTAAAGTGAGAGAAATATGTTCTACAACCTTTTTTTTTACATTAAGATAAGACAATAAAGCCTTAACTTAATGTAAAATGTAACCATAGAAATTACATAAATATGCGACTGTACAGGCGTGTTTGGTAAACTAAAAAGGTTTTTAAAAAGGGGGGATCACAGCATTTTTCCCCTTATTTTAATTTATTTGTCAGATCACAAGTTAAATTTTTTATAGTCATGATTTCAGCAGTAGAAATATTTGCATACTGTACTGTAAATCTCTACTGTGTTTAAATTTGTTACCAGAGGCTTTGTGAACATGTATAATACATCTTGTTTTTTTCCTTTTTAATGTAATTTTTTTGTCCAGATTATTGGGACTAACTGGTCTACAATTGTTTACCCTCTAGGTGATATAAACCTGTTTGAGAAACTTGGTGGCTAGAAGGGTGTGAGAGGTCACCAGACTTCTACAGCTGGAGTTTATCATGGTATGTTGTGATAACATGTGGCATATTGTCCACAAGAGGTCCCTGTAACAGTTTTCTTTGACTTGGTTTTAGCTTCTCTTGTGCAAGAATCAAAAAGTCATCAATAAGTGGTGATAAACTGACTCATTTCCAAAGCAGGTGGTGTTTGCAGAGGGTTATAAGATTTCTTAGGTGATGCTGGAGTAGGAAAGACAAGCACTTACGTTTTTTATCCAGTCAAGAGAGCTGTGTGGGCGACAACAATGACCAGCAGGGAAATCAAAAGGAGTAAATATTGCAGATAATAATAGGATGGAGGCATAAAGGGGCCAGGGACAGCAGCCATAAACGTGGGGTCAGAGGTCACTTAAGAGATGCAGGGGGTTGCAGGCGGGGCTTATTGTGCCTGACCTGGCTGAGTGAACCACAGTGTGAATGGGGATTAACCCCATTCCAGTGCCCTTCAATACCCCTCCGTTTACTGTGGGACCTGAGGAAAATTCCCATGTAACTCCTTTACATTCACCTTCTCTTCAGCATCAGACCACCACTGTCACTTCTTTACATGTGCAATCTTACAGCAGAGAGGAACATTAATAGTCAAAACTTCCTGAGGTAGGAATAAATGTGTGCTGGATAGGACAGAAGCTTTCTTTAGACACACCCATGCACATCAACAATGACATAAGGATGTAGTGGGGGGCATTGATGAGGAGGGGGTAGTTTTCTTTACTCATTTAAATCTGCCCCCACTTCATCTCAGTGAAGGAGGCTGAAGTCACTCAGAAAAACACACATACTAAACTTTGTGCACACACTGGCTCGCTCTATCGCCTTTGATCGCGTCTGGTGTTTGCCAAAGCTGACAACAGACCACCTGATCAGGAACTTCTTTTATTTGAAAGAAAAGACAAAAGTATAGTTAATTTGAGTCCTTTTTCTAAAAATTTAAATGTATTACCATTCTGTCAGGGCTCAGAAGTATGTATCATGAAAATTTAAAGTTACATGGTGTTCTTGATTTTAAGG